ATACTTGTATAATTAAGTATATGTATGTATAATTGAGCTGAACAAAAGATACTATCAATAAGGGAAAAATCAACTTCAATGACAATCTATATCACTATATATTGATTTTTAATTTTGTTTATAAATTGAACCAAAATATTAATTTAAATTTTGTGGCCAATATGGTATTGTAAATGAAAAGGAGCTAATTCCCTTTTTAAATAGACAATTGCTTAAATTTTAAACTAACTTTCATCCAATATTGTCTTATTGGCTTTAAACCAATTCTCAAATTGTTAATGTCTGGATGAAGATCGTCCAAACAAAAAATTTGAATTCGAACTCTTTTATCATGTATTCAATTATTTATCAAATCTCTGGTTATTGACCAATTCTTGACCTCCATAAAAAACTGGAGATTATTATTATTTTCAAAATATTCAAAACTATAATCAAAGGGAAAAAGAATAATTCCCAATTTTATCAAGACCACTGATGATTAAATTGTCTTTTTTTTTTGCAATATGTGAATACAAACAAATATAACAATGTAATATAGAATATAATATTATATAGATGCAACTGATTATAATTGCATTAGTTAACCCCCTTTATTTTTATTGTCAATAAGAACTTTATTCCTAATTAATTCCATAATTAAAAATAGTTCTCTAATGTATCTTCAAAGTTCTAAATATCAGGTTATCTCGATGATTGGGTAAGGTTCAGCACATGTAGTGTTTAAAGCTGAACACAATTTAACTTAAAAGCTATTTGCGATTAAAATGGAAAAATATCCCAATTAAGGTTAAATCGATGGAGAAATTAAAATCCTAAAAGAATTAAACTAAATTGAAGGTATCCCAAATTTGATACACCATGGAATTACTTCAGAAAATAAGTATTAACTTTAAAATAAATTTAGGTGCTTTCTTATTTTGCCTCTACTAAACTGTAGTTTGCGTGAATTAGTGAAATCTTAACAGTTATCTTTATCTTAAACATTGGCTATAGGATTAAGTCTTATTGAAACTTTGGAAAAAGTTCATAAAAAAAACATTTTGCATTTAGATATTAAACCAGAAAATATTATGGTATCATAAAAAGTACAAAAAAATTCAAAAGAATAACTACTCTAGCCTGGAGCAATTTAACTCATAGATTTTGGGTTGTCTTAAACTTTAGGAAATTCAAAATTCTTAAAAAATGTATTTATTGGCTCATTGAATTTTGCCAGCAGAGCTTCCCACAAAGGAGATTAGTTAGGGTATAAAGATGATTTAGAAAGTCTATTTTATGTGTTAGTCTATTTGAGAAATTGTAATTATCATTATTAACTCTAGGTAAGTTGCCGTGGTCTCAAAAGCCTTCTATGGGATTTAAAAATATGGATATCAAATTCATTGGAGAAATGAAAACATCTATCTTCAATACGATGGTATTATGCCAAAAATTTCCTTTAGAATTCTCCAAATTTATGCAATACATTGATGAACTAAAACATTATTAAATGCCAGATTATTCTTACATTAAGGAGTTGTTTATAAAAATGTTATAAAATACATCTTTATCCCCAATAATGGACTAATTTTTGAATTATTCTCCTGTTCAATCGATTAATCAACTGGGAAATTCGGAAACGATGTAGCTTCCAGTTGAACAACATCTTCCGAACAACAATTCTATAGAAACTTAAATTTAAGATGATATAATAGATGTAGAAGCTAAAGTAGTACATTTATCTGACTTGATTGGAAAATACACAACTATTTAAATCAAGTCAATTTACAATTTAAATATTCACTATGATTATAATTCTTCTAATTTATTCATAAAAAAATGATTCAAACATAGATTAAAGTTTATTATTTGATAAAAAATTTATTAAATTATAAATATATCTACTAATTATTAATTAAATTGCAATTCACTTCGATTAAATACAATGATGGCTTTAATAAATATACTTAATAAACAAATTATTATGATATTCTTTTTCCTTTATAGATTAAAATCTACAACCTTTTCCAATAACTAAAGAAAAAAAAAATTATGATCTAAATTTCAGTCATTTATTTGAAAAGATTGAATTTATTATCATAAAAAAAAGTTGATGAAAATTATTTATAAATGTAAGAATAGTTTTGTACTTTGAGGTAGGTTTTAAAATTAGGAACCTAAATATGATAGAATTAATGGTTTTTTTTCTGTTTCATTAATTAAATCGCTAATGACTATCTAATTATATTACACTTAACCATCATAAGAATAATGACTTTGATAAATGGGAAGAATGTATAATTTCAATAAGTGTTTTAATGAAAAAAAATTTTATATAAAACAATTTCTTTTAAAACAAAACTCTAAAGGTTTAAATTAATAGAAGAAATAATATAAGTTTTAAATATTTAATATCTAATATTTACAATTATCGAGAGAAGTAAGAAGAAGAATGAAATATCCATTGTAGATGATCTAATCAAAATTATTTCATTTCATAAATTTCAAACGTCTATCTATTAAAATTTAGAAGAGAAGTACAATTAATTTTTCAATCATAAAGGGGTTTTAATTTGGAAAAATCATACAAAACAAAGGTTAATACATAGTTTCAAAATATTCAATCTATGATAAATGGGACTTTTTAGAAAATGCAGCTCTTCAAATTTATGAGACTGCCACAAGATTCTCATTTTTTTTTAAATTAATGCTATTCTATAAATTTTTCGAGAATTAATTAAAGTAGTATAAGAAATTAAATTAAATAATTGAATTAATGGGTTAAATTTCTTGCTTTTAAGGAAATGAGTTAATAGAGTTCAATGTATTGTTACTGGGTCCATCAGGATCAGGGAAGACTAGGGTGGTGAGAGAAAAGACTTTAGGACCTACAATTAGTAATGAAATATTTAATTGAAAGAATTAGAAAAGCACTTAGTAAAAGTGAATGATACGCACGGGTTGAATTTTTATGACACACCTGGAATATTTAGTTTATTCAAATAATGTCTAAATTATGATATTATTTAAAGTGTTGATATAATTGTATGCTTCCCCAATTCGGAATAATACAAGGAGTATATTAAGTAGATTTTATAGAATAATACCAAATTATTTAAATAGATTACATTTTATGATATTCCAGGCGATTTAGAAGCAAAGGAAATAAGAAATACGATATATTTATTTATTTTGTCATAAAGTAAAAGAAAGTCAAAAAAGCCTAGTTATAATTAAGAAATTGTATGATTTCATTAAATTCATTGTTTATGTTCTTATTTAAATGATAATCATTCATTATTATGTTATGATTTTTTGGATAAAAATCAGATTCGTAAACTATTCATAAGTGTGAGGTTCTTTTGAGTATTTAAATATTCAACGATTTTTTGTTTATTAAATATTTAATTTTCAACAAAAATGGCAATTAATTAAAATTTTAATATTTCTCAATGCATCCTATCTGATTTTGCATTATTATTTTTAACAATTAATTACTTTCTTTTTAAACTTTCGTAACTTGTTTTAATTACCCAGTTGTTGTACTAGATTATGAATCTAGTTTATCTTTTTATTATCCTTTGATTTTAATCTTTAATCTATGGTTTTATTAATATTCTATTAAAATATTCTTTTCTTCTCAATATGCTTGCTTAGATGTTGTTTTAATGACACACATAGCAAAAATATAACCACAATTTATGAGTATGATCTTGAAAATATAGGTTGGTGTATCCAATACAAAAACATCAATTAGTTTTCAAGTTTAATGTAGAAATTATTCATTAGTTATTAGAGAGATTTCTAATTTAGAGAGTTAATTTGAAATCAAAAATGCTTTTATGTTTAAGTAAGTCTTTGAGTTTGCATGCTCATAAAATTTGAAGAGACATATAATAAACTAATCCCATTAACTATTTATATATTAATTATAAATTTATGAGTGAAGAAGAATCAACTAATGGGAAATTCGATTATTTAAAAGCAAAATATGTTTTTAGATTTCCTTTTACAGTCACTGCATTAAAATGGGGATTCGGTTTGGGTACATTTTTTGGGATTCATTAATACATAAAATCAAGGGATGGAATGGCAAGTATGAGATGGTTTATCTGGGGAAATGTTTTAACTACTTTGCCTATTTGGGGATTCTTTATGATGAAATATTCGTTCTATAGCAGTGCATTAAGAAAATTTGAATCTGAACAATCAAGATAATACGAAATTTAAGGATTAACCAGAGTTTACTTGGCTAATAAGATGGGGATCGACCCAGAATGTAGTGACGAGGACCTTTTGAAGTAAGGCTTATTTTTATGTGTTAGAGAATATCAGATAAAGAGCGAAAAGATAAAAGAGAAATTTAATTTATTGGATGAGTTGTTGGTGGGGGTTGACTTTTCTTAATTTGAGTTTCCTAAGTGAATTATTTAATTTTTATATTGATCTGGAAGCACTATAAACTAATTAACATCATATAATTAATTTGAATAATTTATTAAAATATTGCATATGGTTTATTATCATTACGTATTTTTACTATTTAAAAAGCATACTTGTATAAACTCATGGTATACATTTATTATTTTATTCAAATTAATCTGTGCATGGAAGGAATTATAAACTAAGCGAAGCATTATGTTGGAACTATTCAACAAGCAGCCAAATACTATACGGTTGACAACATCTACATTCTGAGTGGCTATAGAGTTAACTATTCTACTCCTTGGCTAGTGCTAAAGTCACTTTTTTAGAAACACAATGAGCTTATCAATGTTTGGACACATGTTATAGGATCATTTCTAACATTCCTATTAATTATTTATATTGTTAGTTATCATTATGATCACAGACAAAGAATTGAACAAGACATTGACCAAATATTTAGTTTTAATTCTACATTAAACCCAACTTCAAATAGCAACCAAAACATTATGGCTGATAGACAAAAATATGAAGAAATTTTTAATAAAATTGATCACTTTCAGAATTCGATGCTTACTTCTGAGACTTATAAAGAGATTGTCCATTTAATGAAAATTACAGTAGATATACTCAATTTTGAGGAAGTAGCTGAATATGCAGTTGTATTCTAAAATAAATTTAATTTATTTAAAGATAAAATAATTTAAGAAGTAAAGTGGCTATTTAATATAAATAGATTGACAGTGAACAATTTGATTGGGTTGAAATCTATAAGCATGACTATTCCCATACATCCATTTTGAAATAGGAGTAATTTTTGAGAAATAATACTGATCCTTATCATGTATCAAGATGGCCCATAGTTGTATTTTTAGTGAGTGGATTAATGTGCATGGCTGGATCAGCATTATTCCATCTATTTTATTAGATGAGTGAAGAAGCTAATAAATATCTTATGAGAGTTGATTATGGAGGTATCTCTCTACTTATTTTGGGGTCTTGTTTTCCTCCATTTTATTATGGATTTTATTGCGATGCATTTTTGAGATATTTTTATCTCATCACAGTAGGATCGGCATGTTTGGCTGCTTACATAGTTTCCATCTTTGATTTCATTCATACAGAAAAATGGAGAAAAGTTAAAGGACTCATGTATGGATCTTTAGGATTATTTGCAGGTGTTCCAGCTGTCCATCTTTATTTAAGAGAGTATGAATTACAAATATTCTAAATAGATTTTATAGAGAGGATATTTCAGATTATTTACCATTTAAACACTCATTTTTATTTTATGTTTTGATGGGATCAAGTTACTTATTTGGTTTGGCTTTATATACTTTAAGAATTCCTGAGAGGTTTATGCCAGGCAAATTCGATATCTTTGTAATAATAAATTTTATCTTAGGGACATAGTCATTAATGGTGGCATTGTTTTGTTTTTCTAGGAGTATTTTTCCATTATTTTGGTTCTATCTATAACATGGGAGATAGAAAGTTTACATTTTGTCTTATATGAATTATTTATTTATATAATTTTATAGTATTAATCAATTTTTTAGGTTTTAGTATTTAAATGAATTGGAATTAGGAGTTATATTTGAAAATGTCATCTCTCCAGTACTTAGTCTCTATTAGTTCTGTTTTTATATTCCTTATAAGACTCTCTGGGCATTCTCTTTACCATTCGATCTGCCTCTTCTTTAGATCTCAGCATTCATCACAAATATCTAATTTTCCAAATTATTTATTATTATTTTATACTCTGCTACTTGTGATGATAACTCATTAGCCTATTGTTAAATGTCTTCCTAATAACTAAAAATGATACACTATAACATTATACTTTTGTCCTAAAAGGTCTAATTGATTTTACAATTGTAAGTTTTCAGAATATAGTTGTTAAGCTTGATTATGCACATCATTCACCTAGATTTCTAATTGATGTATGATTTCATCTTTATTTTCTAATTACAATTCAAACTCTTCTTATAATTATTATTTTTCTTAGGTGAACTATTCTACAATATTGGACAATTATTTCTAAAAATATTATTCGATTTCTTGTTCTTTCTTGCTTAATTAATCAAATAAGTAATTGTTCTGTTCTTTTATTTCATTCATTTGATGTTATAACTCTTAATAGATGGATAACTTAGATTCTGATGAGCTTTTGTTTTACAACTGAGTAATCAATTATTATTATTCTTATTCCTTAATAAATACTTATAGTTTGTATTCCTAAAATTATAATTACAATGATTCTTATTCTTTATTCAACTTTTATAATAATCTTTTTGTTTCCTCCAATTATTTATCATACAAATCATTTTATTGGAGTAAATTCTCATTTTATAATTGTAGCCCTTCTAATTATTATTCTAATTGATGAGTCTATTAGAGGGAATTGTAATTTTCTTGATAATTATTCTAAATAATAGATTTTTCTAATTTTTATTGCAAATCCTTTTTCTCATTCAATAACTTAGAGATTGTGCATTATTATTATGCCAATAGATTTTGATATTGTTCAAATTTCATTTCATAATAATACTTGTCAGCATAGGCTTAAGACAATCTCTAAATCTCATTTTCTTATAAACAGATAGATTTCTAAACTTCTGGGTCTTTACTTAGAATGACACTCTATTCATTGGTTTCTTGATCAATATAAATGGTGCTGTTGTCATCAATGTTTGTAAACTAAGAGGTTTTCTCGAATAATTATTGATGCTCCTCAATGTAACTATGATCATTGGCTTTATTTTCATATGAATTTGTTTTATCAGTCAACATTAACGAATTTATTTTATTAATTAAAAATATATCAAATAAATCTAATACTCAGCTTATGTGTCATTTAACAACTGGAACTTGGTTGAGTTAAATACGCATATCAATAGATGTATATTATCTTTTTTTATCTACAAATAAAAATTATTAAATAATGTCTGAAAATATCTAAAATAGAGTCTCTTCAATCTTTGAAAAATTAAATAACATTTCCACTAGTGTTCAGGATGAGTAATAAATAGTTTTGAATTTTTAGAAAAAACAATCGTTTTCATGCAATTAGTTAATTGATCATGGCTTTTGAGGCACAATTGCAACATTAGTCAGATCAAAAAGAAGAGAAGTTCGTTTATAAAGCAGCCAAAGTCAGACAGATAACTGAATTTTTAGAATAAGAATAAAGAAGTAATTAGAATGATTATAAATTAAGTCGTGAAAGACAAGAAACAGAAACTTTTAAATTAATTACAGACTTAGAAAGACATGTAAGAAGGTTGATTGAATAAAACTCTAAAGAGAGAGTAGAATAAGAAAAAAAAATTATTTATTCAATTGGATAATAAATAGAGTCCTTATAATAGGATGTAATTAAGGAACGAATAGTATTAATTGTGTTAATTTAGGCATAATCAACATCACATGAATATATTGATTCATTTTTGAATGAAGAATTACCAAAAATAGCAGATGAATTGTAAAATGAAATCACAGAAAGAAAGGATGTAGAGGAAAAAATTTATCATTAATTCGTTGAACAGTTGAATGATTTAAGATTGCTATTTGAAAAGTAATTCTAATGTACACATTTATAGAGAAAAAAAAGAAAGAGAAATTAAAGAGGAAGAGATTATTGAGAATTTACGAGAGATATCGAATAGAATCCAAGATTAATTGAGAAAGACTAGAGGAGAAAGGGAAAGGACAAAGGAAACATTAGTGACATTAGTAGAAAAAGTTATTGAAAAACTTAAAAGAGAAATGTTAGAAATGAATTTATGAATAAAATATCAATCATAATTTATCAGAAACAAATTTTTTATTGGGCAATTAGGCATCTTTTCATTTTTTTTCCATAAAGAATAAAAAATTTGATTGTCATTCTAAATAACATCAACAATTTGACTTCCATCAATACATTACTGATTTCTGTGTTATACCTCAGCACTTCTCACTGCTTTATAAATGATCATTGATATTGTTATCTTTTGATTTTGAAAGGGGAGAATAATTTTTTTTATTTGAGTATATTTGTTAATAAATTATCTATAATGGTCATTGAAAGTTCATTGTAAAATTATTCTAATATTGAAATTCTATTAAAACATATTTCACTAATTAAGAGAATAATTTATCTGATTTCTTATCATAAAAAAAAATTTAAAAGAAGCAAATTATAATATAGATATTTATTTTATGAGAATTATTTTTCTGATTTTAATATATTTTTTCAAGTTTCTAATAAGATTGATCTTCATTAAAATTTAATGGAAATACATCATTTTATATCATGAGTTTATCATTTCAATAAAGGTGTGTACTTTATTCAAGAAATGCAATCTATGATAAATTAATTAGATGTATGTTTAAATATAATTTTACATTAAAGAATAATATATATATTAATTTATTTATTAGACATATATAAAGTTGATGAAGATAATTTCACATTCATTTTTTGATGTAACATACTGGCTTAATTATGTTTCAGCAAAACCCTATTCTAATTTTTTTATTTTACAATTAAAATCTCCTCCACAGTATTTTGATTAAAGCAGATTAAAAAAATTATAAAGTCTCAATAGTAAATGGGGAGAATAAAATGAAATAATTTGAATTGCAAATACAAAAGGAATTGAATGTTGGGATAGGAGAGGAATAAAATTAAATTAAATATTAAATGAAAGTTGAATTTCTTTTGATTTGAATAGCTTTTCTAATGCCTTATCAGTTGCTGCCTTTAATTGTCAATTGAAAATTAGGAAAAACAATTGCGAGACTCGAAGCTGAGAATAAAGGCTATAAATAAATTAGATCACATAAATCAACAAATTGGATCTTAATCAGCCATTGCTTAAAAAAGCTACNGTACACATTTATAGAGAAAAAAAAGAAAGAGAAATTAAAGAGGAAGAGATTATTGAGAATTTACGAGAGATATCGAATAGAATCCAAGATTAATTGAGAAAGACTAGAGGAGAAAGGGAAAGGACAAAGGAAACATTAGTGACATTAGTAGAAAAAGTTATTGAAAAACTTAAAAGAGAAATGTTAGAAATGAATTTATGAATAAAATATCAATCATAATTTATCAGAAACAAATTTTTTATTGGGCAATTAGGCATCTTTTCATTTTTTTTCCATAAAGAATAAAAAATTTGATTGTCATTCTAAATAACATCAACAATTTGACTTCCATCAATACATTACTGATTTCTGTGTTATACCTCAGCACTTCTCACTGCTTTATAAATGATCATTGATATTGTTATCTTTTGATTTTGAAAGGGGAGAATAATTTTTTTTATTTGAGTATATTTGTTAATAAATTATCTATAATGGTCATTGAAAGTTCATTGTAAAATTATTCTAATATTGAAATTCTATTAAAACATATTTCACTAATTAAGAGAATAATTTATCTGATTTCTTATCATAAAAAAAAATTTAAAAGAAGCAAATTATAATATAGATATTTATTTTATGAGAATTATTTTTCTGATTTTAATATATTTTTTCAAGTTTCTAATAAGATTGATCTTCATTAAAATTTAATGGAAATACATCATTTTATATCATGAGTTTATCATTTCAATAAAGGTGTGTACTTTATTCAAGAAATGCAATCTATGATAAATTAATTAGATGTATGTTTAAATATAATTTTACATTAAAGAATAATATATATATTAATTTATTTATTAGACATATATAAAGTTGATGAAGATAATTTCACATTCATTTTTTGATGTAACATACTGGCTTAATTATGTTTCAGCAAAACCCTATTCTAATTTTTTTATTTTACAATTAAAATCTCCTCCACAGTATTTTGATTAAAGCAGATTAAAAAAATTATAAAGTCTCAATAGTAAATGGGGAGAATAAAATGAAATAATTTGAATTGCAAATACAAAAGGAATTGAATGTTGGGATAGGAGAGGAATAAAATTAAATTAAATATTAAATGAAAGTTGAATTTCTTTTGATTTGAATAGCTTTTCTAATGCCTTATCAGTTGCTGCCTTTAATTGTCAATTGAAAATTAGGAAAAACAATTGCGAGACTCGAAGCTGAGAATAAAGGCTATAAATAAATTAGATCACATAAATCAACAAATTGGATCTTAATCAGCCATTGCTTAAAAAAGCTACAGGAAAAATCTAAAAAAACAAATAACTTTTTAACTATGCTTAATCTCAACCTTTGTCAATGAAATAAAAATATGCTACTCAAGCAAGAAGAAATGAGTGTTAATTAGGTGCTTAATTAGTTAAAATAATTGAATCCAGATTTAACTAAGGGAATGATGAAAATTAAGTAAGAACCTAAAGACTTTTACTAGTCGTGCTTGATCTAATTTAATTATTTTATATCAATAAATTTAAATTATCACAGTAAAATGAATAGTATCTCAATCTTACTTTTTAAATGTTAAAATCTGTCTCATCATATTTAATTCGAGAATATACTTCTATCATATTTAAGTAGATTGGCTACAATAATCAATAAAAAAATAAAATCAAAAATACTAGTTAATGTATTTTCAGTAAAACATTAACATACCAGAAATTAAACTTAAAATAACACCTTATTAAATTACTAAGAATTAAGTTCATTTTAATTGACAAGAAAGTATATAGTTGCTTTATCTAAGTAAAGATCAACCCATATAGAAATTATAGAATTTTTAATTAGATTTATTAATAGCTCAAAAATTTAAAAACAACTAAATTGAAATAAAATCCTAAAGATTTCAGGTCAATTATAGGCAAAAATATATAAATTTTAGATAAAAGAGATTATTAAAACTTTATGATTTGCAACATATCAAAATATCCTAAAAAGGACTTTATAAAAATGAAAGTAAGAGTATAATCATAATCCTAAAAGACAGTTTTTATTTTTCAATAATATTATTATTAAATATAGGAATAACCAATAGTGTACAAAACAGAAAAGATAAATGAATTATTGCTAATTCACAAAAGATTTTTGGTGGATTGATAAATTAATTAATTATTATTAAGTATTAGATTAAAGAAAAATCAAATTTATAATCGCCAAATAAACAAATATTTATCATCAATTAAACAAAGTTGTTGAATGGGAGAAACAAAATATATTATGAGACAAATCAACCTAACAAATAAAATATAAAATAATATTATTATAAAATCAGTTTACATCTCAAAACTTTATTTTGCGGGGCACTATAATTTTTATGAAATATTTTAGAGCTTTTATAATGACACAATATTAGGATGAATTTCAGTAACAAGGGCTCTAGTTTAAATGCTTATAAGAAATAAATAAAGGAAAAATTGGAGAAAAAAGAAATTTGAATGTGTTGAATAATGCAATTAATGTATTCTTTGCAAATTAAATTTCAATGACAAAATATATGAATATGAATAAACATTTCTGCATTACTTAAAACAACAAATTTCAAACCATAGTTAGTTAGAATTATCGCTTAATTAAATTTAATGATAAATTAGAACTACAAATAATAATTAGAAAAACGCTGATCATAAAGCTCTAAGTCTTTAGATTTATAAGAAATGTAGTGAAAGATCAATTAAGTAGATTTTATGATATATTAGAATATAAGATATAATAAAAAGTAAGAATAATTATGAATTATCAAAAAAAGATCGAGTAATTTGCTCAGTTTTCAGTGAATTATTATTGATAGATGTAAATGAATTAGAATTTAACAGGGTGTATACTTGAATTGATAAAATAAGAGATTAAGACCAAGAATAATTTCACTAAAAAGCCATGATGTTATATATATAATCCTTACTTCTAATAATAATTATATCATGGGATAATGTGTATGTTCTGAAACTGTACCAGTAATTAGTGAAATAAGTCCCCTGGTATACACCCAAAGGGCAGAAGTCATAAAAGAGCCCTTAGCTATTTCGGATGAACCTCTAATACAAGATGATATAGATAAAATACAATCTCAAACAAAGACTAGATAAACAGAGTGTTCTTTAGTTTTTGAGTTTAACAAACCAAATTGCAAAGTAGCTATGCTGACTAATGAATTGTTCTTGTCTTCTTCTCAAAAAGTCAAGGTATAATATATTTAGAATAAAGGAACTTCTAGATAAATTGGGTCCTTATGAAGATGAAGAGGTAGAAACAAGTAACCATTGTGTTTATGAATTAAAAAATGGGAGTTTATATAAAGGAGGATGGCTAGAGGATTAGAAGAGTGGAAAAGGTTAAATATTAGTTGTAAAATTTCTAGGAAATGAAATACAGAAAAATGGATCTCTGTTTGAAGGCTAATTTTATCAAGGATTAGCAAATGGAAGAGGGAGAATGATATATTGTGATGGTGATTATTATATTGGAGATTGGGTTGATGATTAACGTATATGTAAATGTTAAATATGAGATCATGGATACGGAGAATATTACCATTACGATGGATCTTTGTATAAAGGTTAATGGTTCTAAAATTTGTAGCATGGTTAAGGATTCGAATTATTTTCTGACTAATCTACATATAAAGGTGATTTCCAGTTTGGCAAAAGATCAGGAGAGGGTATATATAAGTTTAATGATGGATGTATGTATGAAGGTGAATTTAGAAATAATTAATTTAATGGATATGGGTTTAATTTATGTTTCATATTTAGTACTTTCAATTGGACAGATGGTAGAGTTTATGCAGGAGAATGGAGAAATGATAAAAAGGATGGAAAGGGCAAGATGATATGGGCAGATGGAACAATTTATGAGGGGGAATATAAAAATGATAAGAAACATGGATTCGGCACATTGAGATGGCGTATTTTTTGATTGAAATATAGTTAGCTGATAATAGACAATATAGTGGATAGTGGGAGGATGGTAAATAGAATGGAGTTGGAGAGTACAGGAATGCTTAGTAGGGAAGTAGGAAGGGACATTGGATAAATGGGAAGCGAGTATTATGGTTTGATTGAGGATTGAAATAATAAAATTTATTTAAGTATTCTGAATTGAAACATAATAATATATGTTGAAGCATTTAATAATTAATAGTTTAAATGAGCGATCTGCAAATTTCGTTATTGAACAGTGATATGAATTTCGATTCGTTATATGAAGTAAACTTAGCTAATAATATCAAGGTTGTTAGATAAGAATTAGTTGAATTTCAGAAAAATGTAGACGAGTTGTAAGTTTTAGGAGAAAGCGAAATTGATTAACACAATCTGAATTAATTGTTTTAGGCATTAAAAAAAATTTAGTTGCAGTAATTGAACCTTAAAGAGAAGATTATTAAATTGGAGCAAGTATATTAAACAATAAATCAAAGTAATCAAGAGGTGTCGAGTAAAGAAACAAAACTAAAAAATTAAGAGATTTATATGCAAGTCACTTATAAAGATAATAGTAATTGTATAAGAATATAGTTAATGATTCTGGATACGAACCACTATAAGATGCATTAAAAGAAATAGATAAAATGATGAAATTATCATCTAAGTAAGATGTTTAGAATTATAACTTGAACCAACAGATCCAATCGAAATAGTCAACTGCTGGAAGCAGTACAAACCTATCTTAAATGCAATTATTGGTTGTAGAACCTTTAGAGCAATATGAACATTTGGATTGGCAAAATCAAATTCTCAAACAAAACTAAGAAGATGTTAATAGATTGCAAATGAAAGCATAAACTGTAAATAAAATAGTATAGGATCTGGCATTGGAAATTGAGCATCAACATACAAACTTCGATGAAATTGAGAAAAATTTTGGAACTACTATAAAATATGTTGATGGGGCGAGAGATTAATTAGAATAAAAATAAGAGAAATAAAAGTCGGGAAATAAAAAGTTATGGTGTATGCTTATCTGCGCTTTTTTAACCTTTTTGGTTATGCTTTTAATTTTATTATTATGAATTAATAAATTACAATTTATGCCTTAATAATTTATAAAAGTATTCAAACATCATGGATGGACTGCACTCTCTTTTATTTTATTGGTTTAGTCATCTGATCAGTGATATGAATTGTATTTGACCTTATCTTAATTGTGCTCTTTGGTTTAGTTTTTCTATATAAAATATTCAATTCTTATATTCTCTCCAATGTTATTGTCTACCCCAATATTGATATCGATTTTTACTAATGTATTATTCCATTTTATTACAGATTTTAAGATATCTTCTTTTTGGAACATTTTTTGATTAAATTTGCTGTTTTTGTTATAATAAAATAGTTGATAATCTATCATGATTTGACTCTCTAATATATATTAGATATTAATTAATAATAAATATAGAGTATATCAGTCATTAATCGCTCTTGACTTAAAATCCTATTTTATTTCTTCATTCTAACTATCTCTTTTGATAATTTCTTCCTTAATATTAATCATTTCAATAATATAATTTATGAATTAGAGTTTTCCAATTATTTTTGCATTTCTTCACATGTGTCTTATAAGTCTTCTGCGTATCTTTTAATTACTGTTGAATTTGAATGAGCTTTTTCCTTCAGTTTCTTTTGAAATTAACTGATCTTCCAGTAGCTGATATTGGTTCTTTAGATCATTTAATACTTACTATATCCTATTTTATTATACCCTTAAGAAATGAATCCACAATTTTGACACATTACACGGAAACAAACCTACACATCTTCAACAATATTGTCTTAGCATGTTAATTCAGCATTCTCGCTTGTATTTTTCATTAGTTTCTTATAATAGTTCAGTACCTATTGTGAATCGACTAAGGATGTACATCCTTAAATAACTGCTTGATTATCTTCTCTTCTCTCTCCTTTTACATTTCACATAATAATTTATCTTATAATCTGATTTCAAATAAATTAAGGATTATTCACTTAAATGATAAAGTACTATAATCTATTTTAAAAACAAATTAATTATTTATCTAAACTAATCATGCTAATTAATAGAGATAATAGGAAGAATATTTAATATATTGTACTGAATTTAAAAACATAAATATAATAACTCTTAATTTATTAAATTTTTATTATTTAGTCTCAATATATTATCTTGAATAAAATTTAGATAAATATTTTTTTCAACCTTCATTTATTAATATTCCATAAATTATTTAGGACATTAAATAGATGGTTACTCTTCATATTAAAGCATGAGAAAATTATAGTCTAAATACAACAATAATGAAATCTATTATCAAGATAGAAGAATTCATAGTTCTAAGCTTTTTAAAGAGAACTATTTGGTTTGAAAATGAAAGATTTCAAAAGGAATGTTTTTCTCATTCAAAATTCATGGTTAGGTAGTCATTTTTGTATGAAATAAAGAGGAATTATATTAGAAAAATATGGTGCCACAATTTTCAATCAACTCATAGGTATATGAATTTATGACCTTAAGATTTTATTTAATTTAAAATATTTTTTTCATTGAAAAATCAAAAGATTAAAATGTCTTAACCATTTAGAATATGTGATCCTGTAGTAATTGATATAGAAATGGATTAGTAAATAGTTAAATGAGAGAAGTTTATAATTGTTTAGAATATTAAAAAAAATCGGCACCTATAAAGAACAAATTCTTGTTTGGGTGAAGGATAGTCATGAATTCAAATTTGCCAAAAAAAATTTACATTATATTAATAAACTATTCTTTTCATTCAAAATTATATTCTATTTAATAGTAAAATTTATTGAACATAAAATTGTAGAATTTAGTATATAAGTAAAGAATAAGTTGAATTAACTAATTTAATAGAATTAGATTCTTTTTTAAGGAGAATCAAATTTTAGATTTTAAAATTTAATTTTTCATTCCACTCTAATAGAAATATAAAAAAATAGTTATCATATAATCAGGAGAATTTAATTTTAAATTTGAGTATTTAATTATTTATTTCGCGATAATTGAATAATAGAATATAGTTATCATAAAATTAGAAGACTTTAATTTTAGATTTTAGTATTGATTTTTTAATTCATTTTAATAGAATTAGAAATAGTTATCATAAAATCAGGAGATTTTTATTTTGGATTTTAGTGTTTAAATTTTCATTCCACTTTAATAGAAAAAGAATTTTAGAAATATACTCATAAATCAGAAGACTTTAATTTTGGATTTTAGTATTTATATAAATAAATTACGAGACTTCTTTATTTAAGTGTAACCAAATAAATTATTATAAATGCATTATGGATTTAGAATATATGGATAGTTCCGATCGAAAGTAATTGCAATTTCAGAATCGTTTGATTTGAATATAGATATCCACTATCTATTGTAATTAGGTAGTATATTATATATTAATTCATACATCAATAGATTAACTGATTCATAATAATTCAACATTAATTTATTGGCCTTTGCTTTTGATAATATTTTCAATTGATTGTCTGGCTAAAGGATGATAAAAATTTTTGTTTTCATTATACCAAGTTTGAGCAGTATTCCTAGAATTTTATAATAGTATACTTATCTAAAGCCTTATAAATAGGGTTGATCATTTTCATTCTACCAATTTTGCCAACAAAGCTTCTAATTTAATTAAGATTAGTGTTAGTTGTAGCGTATTTGGTTTGTATAGATAATGTGTACCATCTAAATAATAATTCTGCGTCTTTATTCTCACTAAGATTATAACTTAAATCCAATTGTTTCATAGTTATAGTATTCATATTGATGTATTTTTCTAGCATATAAGACAAAAATAATTATTTTTGGTTTGATTTGAATTGATCAAAGATCTCATAACCCTAAGGTTGTTCTCCAGGTCTTGATGAAAGCCATTCCTCTGCCAAATCTGTTGCTTAAGTTGAAGCATGATTACCAAAACCCTATTTTACAGGAAGAGCACCTAAAGAATAATTTAGATGGCTTACCTGTCTCATATACCCATTTAGTATAGACAGAATCAATTTATTGTTTCACAGCCAAAAATTATTCAATTGTAAAGTTAGATTAAATCCAGGTAATCATAAAGTTGTAAAAGTCATTTTCATCTGCACTTTAATATTCGTTTTATCTAAGCCAATCTTTTAATAATTATTGAAATTTAGTTTCTGAAATTATAGATTCTAAATAGAAAAGCAATTAATATCCTCTCTCATATGGGATGGTCTAATTTAGGTGAATAATTTACACTAAAACTGTCATCTGCATTGTGGTCCTCAGTTATTGGATGTAGACTAGCATATGATTTCACGACAGGATCAGTACTAGTATTGAATTCTTTAATCAAAGCATTCATCTCTTTTGTTCCAACTTAAGAGTTAACATAAACATAATCAATTTCTCCAAACAATTGTAATAAGCCTTTTCTTTCCAAGAAGACGCAGAATCCTTCATTGATCCACATATTAGACCAATTGTTACATGTTACAGTATTACCAAACCATGAATGAGCTATTTCATGTATAGCAACACTGACACCACTCTTATCTCCAACAATGATGGATGGATTTGCAAAAGTTAACAATGGATTTTCCATACCACCAAATGGAAATGAGGCTGGTAATATCACTATTTTATAAAATCCCCATTTATATTCACCAATATAGTCTTCTAAGTATTTAACATACTTGTCTAAGTCTTCCAATTCCTTTTGATAAATATCAATATTTTTGGCTTCAGATATTACTGATGTCCTTTAACCTGTTGCTTTTTCTTAGACTGTTCCTGCTACTATTGCAATTAAATATGCAGGGATTTTGATTTTTAATTCAAATTGGAATATTTTTGCAATTCCATTCATATTATACTACTCCATCAATGCAAACTTGTTATTCTCAACAGGAAGTCCACTCATAAATACATTAATTTAAGAATCTTAAGTAAGCACAGTTGCTGAATAAGTAAATTTAATGCTTGGAGTGTCTTGTAATGGTATCATAGATCTGCAATTGTTGGCCTCGCACTAAGAAAATAAGTAAGGGGCCTCTATCTTATAAATTAGTACTCATACTTTTATCATCAGTTTAATCAACGCTCAAGAAACTCAACGCTCTTGCTGCCTCTCCTATTTAGTATTTAATTCTCAATTAAAAGATATCTCCATATTTGTATGATTATCCTAATTTAATTATGAGTTTGTCTCCCTAAACCAGACTTTATTTTGGATCCGATTCTACATGCCAATCCAAAACTTTTCCCACGTTTGGATAATAAGCATACTTAATTTCCATTTAATATATATCCAGATGAACCTCATACTTGAAAATTTAATACTTCTTTAAGTTCTGCTGTTGTCACTTTAAATGTATATTCAGCCGATCCGTCAATAATCTTTGTTCTTAAGTTTAATAACCATTCAATATGTAAATGCTGCATCTTCACTTCTCTGTAATTCGAAAATGTATTCTTATCGATATCTACTCCAAAAGAAGCAATTATCAGAAATGCAATAATATAGAATTTCATATAAATTATATTAAATTTATCACAAAATTATTTTATCAGATTTTCTCTTATTTTCAATCTTTCATTCCTTATCAATGAATAAACTCTTACTTCATCTCCATTAAACAGTATCCAAGTTGAATGATTATAAATATTATATATATAAATTTCAATTAAGTCTTTATTCAAAAAAAATCAAAAAAACATTATTAATTAATTTCTAAGCGAATAAACCGAATCAATGAATAATATAATAAAGTCGTACGGTTGTGTTTATTTATTTATAATAATTGATGCTAAATACAAACATTAATGGATATTATGTACAATAACCATTCTATTACCCATATGGGTTCTAGTATTTTGTAATGCCAGCACCAATAGCATTCACTAATACATAGATAATTAATCATCCAAATTAAGTTAAACATAATACTACTTAAACAAATGATATATCTATCGAATTGAACAAACCACAGGATGAGCAAAAACTAAAAACTATATCTGAAACCGAGAGTCAACTAGATTCTGATAGCAGCAATGAAGATTCTAGAGATTAACCAGCTAGACCCAAATCAATTAAGCTCAATCTAACCAAGAAAATTAAGACGCCTAACTTCTTAGTTAAATCTACAAATATCCAAAAAAATTATGCCAAAGCTATGGTGTCCTATGCCTGTCGTTAGCGCACTTTGGTTTTTGAGACTTTAGGAGAATAGGGTGGAGAAGAATTCCTTAAGTTAATGATTAGACTTAAAAATAGACTTAGAAATGTAGCACACATTACAAGATTTACTCATGTAGAAGAATTTTTATCATTGTTTAGAATTTTGGGGTATTTTAAGTATACATAATAATAGAAACAATTTCATAAAGAAGGATTCAGTTAGTTACATCTATAACTCCAAGATATAATAGAAGAGCTGCCATTTATCCAATATGACTATTGTAAGGAATTCTCTTTTAAAATATTGATATAGTATCTCAAAATGAATATTATAGAGTTTTATATTTAATAATTAAAAGTATATATTATTAATTTACTTCATTAAATTACAGGTATGTTTCACAAAATGATAATAAAAAATAATTTAAATAATAATAATTTAGTAATAGTATTAGTTAAATCATGGATTAAAATAATTGAGGAAAAAATATAAAATTTTGGAATTCCTGAAAATTGGAATTCCAATTTATAAAAGCATTGCTTCAGTTAATGATTATCTTATTGCATCTGCATTGTATGTCACTTAATGTTATGATATTATAAAGCTCTCCAGAAGATTTGCATTTAAATTGACTTTATTTGCCCATAAGTCGATTTGGAATGTTGATTATGAAATAAATAATAGAATTAGAAAATAAATTAGGAATTAAAAATATGTAAATGTGAAAATCTAAGAAGAAAATAATGATAAAAAATATTTACAATTTGAATTCTAAAGATTTTCATAAGGCAAATTACAATTCGAAAAATAAAGAAAATAAATGTAACAAAATTTAGTAAGCTATTTCAATAATTTAAATGAGCACATCTTAATATCAAGATAGAAAATTAAAATTAAAAATAAAAAAGTTGCTTTAAGAAAGATAGAAACTAATATTAATATTTTGAATATGATTTATAACCGTCTTCAAAATTTAAAGAGTAAATATATGATCAAAATTCAGATATAAATTATCAAATAATATCAGGAATTAGGATAATTCTAGTTCAATTCATATTTCAATACTAACATTATTGAAATAATTTTAAGAATAAAAATAAATTTTTACTTTTATCTTTTTGTACTTAAAACACTAAGTAATACTTTACTGTTTGTATAAAAAATAGATATAAACGAAAATCAGATTATAAGACTTCAAAATACTAAATTCAATCATTTTATTGAAGAAACCATAATTTATATATGAAATAAGATCCTCATAATCTTTGGGGTGAAGGATAGTCCAAACTTCAGAAAAAACAGGTATTTCAGTATGAAGATGCTGGTATTTAATATTTAGAATGAGGACTATTATTGCTAGGTCTATTAAAAATATAACAGTAATCGCTTATAATAGATTTATTATTATAGATTTCTGTAATTTAAGGTATGAAATTTTGATAAATGGAAAATTGGAAGAAATATTTAAATAGTTCCAATAATTATAGGAAACTAGATACCTATTCAATCAGTTGGTTTTGAGATGATTATAAATAATATTAATAAATAAATATTATGCACGAATAATATGAATTGTATTACACCACATTTAATCAGGAGAGGGACAGGATTAGAGTAAGAGAGTTTGATTACTTTAGAAATTTTACAGCAGCTTGAAATCGGAAGAATCTAATAGATTGTTAAAAAGTTAATCTCTTAACGAATCATTGAAGAAGGCAGAGGGATTCAAGAATGAGAAGAAGTAGCAGATCAAACAGAAAGCGCACAAATTTAATATTAAAGCTAAAATCATATAGAGGAAGAATAATTAGATGCAGGAGCATCAATTTTTGGGGATAATTAAATAGAAAAACGAGTTGGTAAAGAAAGAAATTGAGCTGTAAAATATAATTTGTATATAGAGAACATCGTTTGAATATCCTGAATGCTGAATAAACTGAGTAGATTCGATAAAATCAAATCTACAAATCTATGAAACAAAAAATTTATTTGGAGAGAGTGGAATAACATTAATTGGTAATATAGTTATAATAAAATAGAAAATAGAATAGGAACATTAATAATTGTTGGAATAGATGAATAACAAATTTTAGAAGGTCGAATAATATATTCAAATAACAAGAGAGTCTGAGAAATAAAAGTTTAGAAGTCTTAGTTACAAGTATTTGAATTACAAACAGAAAGCAGAGAATCTTATATAGGAGAAAACTGAAAATACTTTTCAAGAAGCCTTGGATAACATGTCCAAGAGGGAATAAGTTTACGTATCATTATTTTCTAATCAAAAAGGAAAAGTATATTGAGACTAAGGAAAAAGAGAGGATAAAGATAGTGAGAAGAAACAAATTAGAATTAGTTAAATTTAAACGAAACAAGAAAAGACAGGAGTCTATTGAAAAATCTTAGAAAAAGTTATAAGAACAAGAAAGACAAAAAAGAATACTCAATAAATCTACATCCATACCAAAAATTATTATTACTGAGCACGATGAGTAAGCCAATAATGATGTTGAGGTTGAGGTTTATGAAGTACCTTACTCTGAGGAATAAACCCAAACTTATGAAGAAAAAGTTATTACTTCTAAAAGGAATCTGAAAGAGGAATAATCGATTTGTACTAATATCAATGAATCATCTATGCAGGTTACGTTGCCTGAACCAAAAATTATTGACTCTCCTAACTATAAAAAACCAAGAAGAAAATCGGAAAAAGAAAGACAATATTAAGTTTTGATGTAATATAATTTAAATAAGGAATTAGGAAATTAAGATTGAATCTGAAATAAGAAAGAGAGAAGTTGGATAGAGAATTGAACTCATTTTTTATCAGTTAGCCAATCCATACAAATTGATATTAATAATACTTATGTGATTATTAGATAAATTCTTTTTGGATATTTCTCATCGTTTATGAATAAATTTGAATTGGCTCTCCAAACTTAACAGGATTTATTTAACTACATTCTATCAACATAATGGAAGGATGATTCAGAGAAATAACAATTAGGAGTAATTTTTGAGAAACTCTAAGTATGATAATAATCATATTAGACAACATGTAATATTAAATTGGAAATGGATGACTTCTTTACCAAAGAAAAGCAAGAATAGTTGAAATCCTATTTATACGAAAAATAATAGCAAGTATTTGTATTCCTCATTTCTTCAGATCAGAAAGATTAAAAAAAGCTTGCAGGAAACTCTAAACAAATAAGTTTAAGGTCATTAATCTCCATCTTGTGTAATTGCTTAATTGCCTCCCAGATTCAAAAATAACAAAGAGTCATACCTTTAATAGATGTATTTATAAGAAATTTAGATTGTAGTAATTATTTCAAATGCAATTTGATAGAACTAAAGAGTTGCCATTCAAAATTATGTCAGAATGTAGAATTAAAACAGGAAAGAGAGGCTATAACAAAGTAAATTAGCTTATTGTAAATTGCGGAAGATTTTAAATTTGAACTAAATTGTTTAGAAAGTGAATTAATGCATAATCGACTTTAATTAAGTGAATAATTTGAAAGAATCAGAAAATAAATTGAAACTGTTATTGAGGACGATTAACTTCAAAATTTAGTGAGTTATTGCACTGCTATTACGAAAGCAAATGTTCTATTAAAGAAATAACTTATTATTGTAAAGCAAATAAATTCATTTGAAACAAAAGATTTGTAAATAAAAATAAATTATATTAGTTATTTGTAGATGTTAGAAATAGATAAAGAGAATAAGCAAACTAGTTACTCTCAAGACACTGATATTACAAGTCAGCAATCCCCTTAGAAAAATTGTGATTAACATCAGATTATGAACAAAAATCTTAGAAGTCAAGAATGTTTGTGTACAATCTTCTGATGTGATTTAAATGTGTATTATAAAAAACAGAAAATTGAAATGATCATTTAATGTGTAATTTTAATAAAAAATGTTAAATCAAAAATGTCTTATGGCAAATATCATGCACTTAATGATAGTCTCATATTCAATATATTTCTATTTGATAAGTTCCAACTTACTCAATATGATAACTTTGATTGTTACTACTACCATAACAATTGTATTTTTGATACTCCAAATTTAACATCATAAGTTTGTGGTGCAAGGAACTATTATTTGTCTTCAATTGGATTAACTTTGTTTAATTTTGATGAATGTTTCAAATATATCCACGATACCCTTTTCACAATTCATTATCTCACAACTTTTAACAAAGGAATTGTTTCTTGACTTAAAACTAACCAAGAGATCTCCAATCATAATCCTACCATTAATTGTGTCACTATTTCTGATTATTTATTCCTACGTCTACATCCAATTCAACCTTGAACATCCTCAGCTATTGATAAGTTTATCTATATCATTATATTGTTGTACTATCTCTTTTAAGCCTCATCAATCCTAGGTCAATGTACTACTTACAGAAATAAGCAACACAAACAAACCTGACAATCTAAAATTTAATAAGAATGCATCCTAATTTGACTTGGATTAGAATCTCAATTCAGCATGTCTAAGAGAAGCAACATTCAGTGACACAACTATATTAGAAACAACCTATCACTGTTTACAATATCTAAATGAGGGATTGATTATATTGGGAACAGAATCTGAAAATCCAAATTTCCCTTATTCACTTAAATACTTTAATTACGCAACCAAAGCTATTTTTGGAAAAGAAACAGAATCTGAAATTATGAATTTACTAGAGGGTCTTACCATATTTACTACCTCCGATCATGCAGATGGATTATAATTTACATCCTAATTGTAAAACAGACCTTCATATTATTGTTTGAAACAAATTGAAATAAAAGATTAATTTACATCATAACATAAAAGTTCAAATCAAGACTCATTAAATGATCAGTTACACAAATACTAATTTAGATAAGCATTGGAAATGCTCTTTAAATCGACTAATTGTGGGTGTTTAGTTGTATAAGCTAACTTATAACAGAGATTTTCAACTACAACAAATTAAATATTCCAGGCTTCATAAACCTAGATTAATACTGAAAATTATTAATTAATCGAATTGACTTTGACACTTAATAAAAATAATATCATTATCGTCTGTCGAGATGTAACTCATAGATAAAAAATAAGATATCTAAAGGAGTATGATAAATAGAAATCTAAGATGCTAGCTTTTGTTAGTCATGAATATAGATCCCCTTTGAATTGTATCATTTAAATGCTGGAATGTGTTATGAATGATTAGACAATTCAGGATAATAATGATCTGACTGAGTAATTATAAGTGGCCTTAGATAATTCAAGTTATATCCTTAATTTATCTAATGACTTATTGGATTTAGCATAAATAAAAAATGGGAAATTTAGAATTGACAAAGTACCTTTCAATTTAGAAACATTGATTCAAGAATGCATGAAAATGTTCGAATTGAAGGCTAAGATGAAAAAAGTGTAATTAAAATTTAATCTTGCCAGTTAAATCCCAAAAATAGTATTTTCTGATAGAAGTAGAATTAAACAAATAATTATCAATTTGTTAAGTAATGCATTCAAATTTACTTAAAATGGGAAGATTATCATCAATGTTTCAAAGGTTAATTCAAATTTTTTAAGGATAGGAGTTATGGATGAAGGAATTGGAATCTCAGAAGAAGATTAGATGACATTGTTTAAGGCATTTTAAAAAGTAAATTCAGAAGAAAGCAAAAAATTAAATTAATAAGGTGTAGGGTTGGGCTTAGTGATAAGTAATCAAATAGCATAGACTATAGGGTCTACAGGATTGAATCTTGTATCAAGTAATTAAAGAGACAATCATTACTCAAATTTTTATTTTGATCTACCTTTGGAGTAACCGCTTAGAAAGAAGGTCTCTAGTTTCAAGGTTCCTGAAATTTCAATATAAATTTAAGAGGTAGAAGAAATAGCAAGTTTTAAATATATACATTCTCATATCAAGGAAGATTGGTCAACTTAATAAATATGTTTACATTATTTAATAGTAGATGATGACTGTTTTAATATATTTGCAATGAAAAGATTATTCTAATAATTATAAAAAAACAAAAAGTATTTATTTTAGAATGAGTTTGATGTTGATTCAGCATTATCAGGGTTGGAATGCATTGAAAAAATTAAAAATAAGAAGTGCAGTAATTCCTGTTAAGGATACAAAATTGTATTTATGGATATAGAGATGCCATTTTTGAATGGTTAAGAAACCACCAAGAGAATTTTAAGTGGCTATCCCAATTATATAATTATCGGATGCAGTGGTTATTCAGATCAATAAGAAAATGAGAAGTGTATTAGTAGTGGAATGTCTGATTTCTTAGTTAAACCAATTAATGAAAATTAATTAATTTAGATAATTAAAAAGTTTCATTGAATAATTGATACAATATTTGTATTAATTTTTGGATGATTTATTATTATAATTGATAATTATTAATCATTGTTTCTTGGTATAGATTTAAGACTAATAATAATAAAATCTATCTGCTAAAAAATGATTACTCAAATCAGAACGATCTTATTATTGTTAAATAGTTCATAATTTGGAGTATTTAATAATAGGCTGAGATGGTGAAAGTGTATTGGATAAATAAAAAAATATATGACTAAACAATTTAGAATAACAATTGATGACTTGTAGGGCATAATTATTTTCTTATGAATTTTTGATTTTATTATGTTTTTATCAAATATCTTATTCATTATTTAAGAATGATGGCTACCCTGTACCTGCTAACAATCTCTACCATGATATATTTGATGGCTAAATTTATAAGATAAAAATTACTGTAATTCTATTGGCATAATTTCCTGAATTCATTTCATTCAAAGGAATCATACATGTTTTATTGCTGACATGACCAACTGCAAATCCAGTGAAACCAGCCATTGAAGCATGAATTGCATTTTAAGCCAATTAACTGCATAGTTTAGAATCTAATGAATTAGCTTTACCAGCTCTAACCATATATTAAGGATCAATGTATTTGACTTCAGCATTTAAACCTTTTTCTCTGGTGAACTCTAAAATAGCATTCTTCAAGAACAATCCGATGTCTCCTTACTTGACATTTCCAGAAGCATCTCTACCTTTGTCATTAATCTTGCAATCTCTCAAAGAAGCAGCAGATCCTTCAGCCACTACAATGACACATGTTCCTTTGTGTTGAAGTCTCTAATACACATATTCTAACAATCCTTTTTCTCCATAGACATCGAATTCAAATTCGGGAACCAAACATATATTTACACTTCTAAAAGCCAAGGAAGCATTCAATGCCAAAAATCCTGTATGTGACCCCCACAGTCTTACTATTCCAACTGAATATTTTTTAGAATGAGTTTCTTAATAAGCTGCTTTTAAAGGATTCTAAGCTTCCTTTTAAATGATTAAATAATAATATTACTTCAATAGCAGTTTCAAATCCAAATGATTTGTCTATGATTGGAATCTCATTTTCAATACTTTTAGGTATAACTACAATACTAATTTTGAGATTTCTGCTTTTTATGATTTCATGTAATTATTCTGCACTCTTCATACAACCCAATCCACCAATGAGATAAACTTAATTAATTCCATTTTTAGCTAACTCATCCACTATCATTTCACCATCAAATTTAGATCTGGCTGTTCCCAAAAAGCAACCTCCTTAATGATGAATAGTTTTCACTATTTTTGGATCTAATTTTATCCAATCATTATTGTAGATTCCATTGTATCCATTTTTGGCACCAAATATGTTCTATACTTTGTAATTGTAAAACAAACACATTGTTAATTCTCTGATTATGACATTCAATCCAGGTAACAATCCACCTACGACTACAATGCCTGCTTTGACTTCATCTGGACTAAATAATAGATGTTTTCTAGGACCAGATCTAAGCCATCTCTTTGTTCTTGATAATAAATCATTTGGTCCAAAGTTAGGGTGTTCTAAATTTATGAGATAATTTTACAAAGGATATAGCAATCGTGATTAACAAAAGCAGTCTCAGGGAGGAAACCTTCACCACCAAACACACTTCTATAATTTGAATTTCCAAGCATGGGATTTACATTCAAAGGCAATACTTAAAGTTTGAGATCATAAGCAAGATTAGAAACTCTTTCAATCTCACAAGTAATTTCTTCTAAATTTTTTAATTCTTTGACTAATTCATTTTCATTTGCATTTTTTGCCATCAACTTATTAATTGCATGTTTTTTAATTGGTTTTTTAGGAGATGAAGGAGCAGATGCATTTGCAGACATACTCTCTTCAAAAACATGTTGAGCTGTTTCAGAAGACCCTTTTCTTAAGGCATTAAAAGCAGCAGCCCCGATTGTACCCAAAGCTAATGAAGCAAGTAAATACAAGGGATTGATGGTTTGGGTAAGATTTTTTGATTCCATTAATTAATAAATGTAGTCGATTTCATCTGAGGTACTAAAAGCAGGAGTAACTAAATCTAACATTCGTTCCAACGTCACAGCTAAGAGGTAGAGTTAATATGTATATGTAGACCTAATCAACTGGGTGGAGGTAGAACTTAATTGGGTCCTCCTTAGACAGGGAAAGATACTCAATAATCATCGTAGGATAATGTGATAGTGAAGTATAAGGATAGCATAGTCACACCAAAAGAGTATTATATTGATATGAAAATAGATTGATTACTAAGAGATTCCTGTAATTGGCCGAACAGTTGAATAGAGAGGAAGAATAGAAACTAAAATAATTACAGAAACCAGCTGATACAAAAGTGAGTGCGAGTGTTATGGATAGCAATATGAAATCATTCCATCAGAGTGCAGTACTATTAATAAAGTATAACAGGATAAATCATCGAATTCAGATTTGAAAGTTTCATCTTCCAACAATCCAGAGAGGAGCAGTTTTATGGAATCTAAATAGTCAGACACATACTCTGATTCAGATTCTAAAAGAGATCAATCTGAATAACAAGAGAAGAAACCCAAATAGAAGAAAGGTTTGAAAGAGGAGGATTTGGAAGAGAATATCCCTATTAATTTAAGTGAAACTCCAACACAATGTTTAATGTTTATGTAAATTATTGGTTATTATATGTAGACCATCATCTTTTGTGAATAGTGAATAAGGCAAGAAAACTGGCTAGATTCAGAGAACCCAAAAGTATGAATAATTCATCATTGAGAAAATTGGAAGTGACAATTTCACAAAGAGGTTTGCTTAAACATTCAATTACATACAAAAACATAAGATACAGCAATGTAACAAAATTGAGAAGAATGACACAGGAGCATTTACAGCTGTGTGGGATTTGTATGATGCTTCAATAACTGATTAATTGAATGAATTCGAAATATTATAAGAAGAGATCAAGCAAAGCATTGAGAATGAGTATAAATAATTGAATAAGAACCCCTATTTCTTATTGCCTACAGAATTAGAAGCAATTAAAATACATGCTGAAAGACCTGTGTTGGGTAAAGAAACATCGGAGAAATCCTAAAGTAAAACCAGAAGTGGAATTGCAGCCAATACTAAATAATAACCTATCAATAATTTGAGTGGTGGATTGACTGGACAAGGTGGAGACGAGAGAATATAAGACAGTTCATCAAGTCACACTGGTACTAAAGGAGTTACTAATATGGGATCTTAATAAGCCAATATCCAGTAATAAGTGACCAAGAGTCATGGAAAGACAAGCAATCCCTTACCTGAATAATAATAGAAATAATATGAATAAAAATAGGATGAATAAGATATTAAGGAGGAAGAATACATGAAGTAATATGTCCAAAAAACCAATTCTCAAATTAGTGAACAAGAACAGATTATTTATTAGAGTCAATAAGTGCAAACTAGTTTGAAATATGTGGAAAGAATTCTTAATTAGAATCTATATCATAAATAATACATTCAATATAGAAACTATCCAGAAGTCAAATTTGAGAAGATGACTTTGAATGAAGATCCTAAATAGAGAGGAGGAGCATTCAAAAGGAATTTCCAAAATAAATTAGAGGATGAGGAAGTTGTTGAAAAGAAACAATAAGATCCCATTACATAATTATTTTCATATAAGTGCTAATTAAGTGAACAATGCAAAGTAACTAGTGCTGATTGGAATCCAGTCAATAAAGATTTATTGGCTGTTTCATATGGCAATAGAGAAACCTCGGATGGACACATTATGTTTTGGACTTTAAAGAATCCCACATATCCTGAGCGTATTATTACTTATCCATCCAAATTCAATTGTTGTAAATTCTCAGAAAGCTAACCCAATCTCATTGCTGCTGGAACTGTTGATGGTATTGTAGCTGTATGGGATATCAGAAGAAAGTCTAATAAACCTATTACTGAGAATAAAGAGATGGCTGGAAAACATAGTGATTCTGTTTGGGAAGTTTAATGGGTTGGAAAAGGAGCTAAAGGCACAGATAAGGGAGAATCACTTGTCAGTATTAGTAGTGATAGTAGAATTGTTGAATGGTCAATGAAGAAGGGATTGGAATATACTAATTTAATGAATCTCAAAAGAGTTGTTCAGTCATCTTAAAAAGAAAACTTATAGGAAGGAGTCAATTTTAGAATGTCAGCAGGATTTTCCTTTGATTTCTTATAAAGAGAATCAGCTATGTATTTAGCTGCCACTGAAGATGGTACTGTTCATAGATGCTCAAAATCATATACAGAATAATATTTAGATAATTATTTTGGTCATTCTGGACCAGTTTACAAGGTTAGATGCAATCCTTTCTTTGGTGATATCTTCTTAACTTGTAGTGCAGATTGGTCATGCAAATTATGGAATTGGACTGAGGAATTACCCAAGGCCAATTTCTAAGTATTTATAATTTGAATTATAAAGCAATAAAACTTGTAAGATGAAGTGTTAGACTTTGAATGGTCTCCCCACACTTCAGTACTATTTGCATCAGTTTGCAAGGATGGTAGATTGGAATTATGGGACTTAACCAAGAACAACATGTTAGATCCATACTTTACCATTATGCCCCAGGATTAATAAATATGGCCAGCCAAAACTATGGTCAGATTTGCTCACAATAGTCCAGTGCTTATTACTGGTGATGCTAGAGGCGATATTAATGCTTATAGATTATATGGTACATTTGTATTAGTTATGTGTTAGGCTATGAAGATAATGATCCACTTTAAGAGGAAGAGAAGTTAAGAAAACTGTTATACCCCACTGGATATTCTAAGGGATAAAAGGAATAAAAGGATTGATGGATTGAATGAATTTATATATATAAATCAGTGTAACTTCATATGTATACTCGACGTATATTTCTTTCTGTTAAGCAACTAATCTATTTTGATATTGATTTAACCTGATTGCAATACTGTTTTTAGTCGTACAGGTGATCTGGCTGAAACACTTAGAGATGTATTTGCTGGAAAATCATCTTTAATTTTGATAGATTTTTATTATTTCTCATAACCAAGACCTAATGTATGCTCAGTGAGGAAGTTGTCGTATAAATGTGGTAATTAGACATGGTCAATTGTGCTTGACTTCTTATGTTTTGGTGATTGCTTCTTATTGAGTCTACTTCTTCCCAGAATCTGAAATAGAGTGACTCTTCTGTTGTTATTGAAATTCATTTTAAATCATTATTTTCTAAATATGCTTTCGATTAAATTAGGATTAGGACTAACTCTCCTTCTGATCTTCAATTGGACACTACTCCTATTCTACTTTGCTTATATGACATAAGACCAGGAGTTTAACTTGGCAGAGACAAAGCTACTCATAAACAACATCTTTGAACATCATATATATGAATCAGACACAAAAGATCAGATTTAAATAGATGCTTAAATAGAAATGGGTGAAGAAGAGGAATTCTAATTTGGAGAAGAGAATGAAAAAGAAATTTAATTTATTGATGATACCAAAGGAGATCTTGTGGCTGTGGGAGATGATGATGTAGACAATATTTATGATTACACAATATAAGTCTTGAAAGACATCAATCCCATCAAACAAAGCATTTTGTATACTAATGAACCAATACGTTAATAAACATAACTCAATATCCTCAAAGATAATCATTATTGTGAATTAAATAACCTATACGTTATAACGAATCCTTAATTACCAATTAACATCATCACAGATTATCCAAATGATAATATTATCACCTTTGCCTTAGATGCTGCAGGCAAAGATCTACTTCCAGATGTAATACTAGAAAGTAATAAATTATATCATCTTCCATTCAATGCCACCATCTTCTTTATGGAGAACCTTAATTTTCATAAGTATTTTGAAATTGGCTCTTAATTTCTGTGCAATTTCCAAGCTTACAATCACATCCCTGGAATAGAAATATTATTTAAAAAATCATCTCTTTATTAAATTCTATAGAGTACACAAGTACCTATTCCAGAAACCTTCATTATGAATAGTACATCATCATATACTATTACTTAGACAATACATAATGTTTAGAATATTTTAAGCAATACAAGAACTTAAATGAGTCTGAATATTTGGTTAAGAATCACATTAAACGATAAATTTAATAATAGACCCTTGAACACAGATACATAAGAAGGAAATACCAGGATGGCAAAAATTGTGGCATTGTGATTGATGATCTCATCATATAAAAGAAGGTTGAAAACAGACAAAAGAGATTCTTTGCAATGTTGTTGATTAGCTTTGTAGATCCATTCTAGTATTAGATATTCGATGGCTTCTATTATAAGATATAAAAAGTAAATTAGTCTTCAATTAGGGTGTTCCTGTAGATCATCAAAGATATAATGAGACAATTAGCAAAATGATCACAGATCAAGTTGAACAATTTATACACAAAATCTCAATCCTCAAAGATAATAGATTCTTCTCACTACTGAGAATGGAATTTATTGAAGCAGATGATATCTATCTTATGTCTATAAGTATCTTTTCAATTAATATATAGCTCCAAATATTGATAAAGATCCATAAATCAAAGATTATATGACAAGTCTTGTAGTCTCTACATTGTAATTAATTAATTTCCAATAAATCCAAAGACTATCCCTGTATCAGATTGAAAGTCATTATCATTATTGAGAATATTAGTTAATAAATTATATAAATTAAACAACAAAAGGATAAATTACCAATAGGGGATTTCAAAGGGAAGGAAAATGTATTCAAATATTTCTAATTCCTACAGTTTTTGAATAAGAAGGTCCCGAGAAATATAAAATCTCATTATGATCGAATGTTTAACCCAAAAGCGGAGGAATAGAAAAGTTTCTCTAAAATTACCCTGAAGCTGTTATTGGAACAAAGGTACCTTCTTTTCAAAAACCAGAATGTAAACTTTATTATGAAAAATGCAAAGACACATAACAAAATTATCAAGAGATTAAATTATAAAGAAAGTGAACCTTAAATAAATAAATCAGAAAACCCATTAGTGACACGAAATCATAAATTACTTAAAAATCAAAAATGACTCAATAAAAAAGTACTAATAAATAACAATAATAATAATAATACTCTTAGTTTATTGATAAATGATTATATTTATAAATTAATTATGTAGTAATTATAGGAATCGCATTCTTAATCGGATTTCAAGCTTCCCTCTATTGATATTCATACTACTCATCGACTTCCTATCAAAATGAATCCTAGTTATAGATTAAAATACACCAACCCAATACGAGTGCAATACTTAAGGTTCTTGGATCGAAGAAGCTTGGATGAAAAATTGAATCAACCATTTTGTCTTGAAAAATTTGCCAAAATTAACAATTACTCATACGAAAAGAGTTATGAATAGTAAGAGATTGTATTCTAACGATTTAAGTGAATTGAAAAGCAGAAAACCATAGAAAAAAGCTTAACCACAGCAAAGACAAGAATATCGTAAACCAACGATGAGGTATTTCAATCCAGAAGACTCAGAGGTACGTTAAGATGACATGGAGTTGATTTTGAATCCTAAGCAAAATAAACCTGTAACTTCAAATAGCAAAGTCTTTATTTCTGAATGAATTTGCTGCTTAAACAAATATATTTATGTATCATCTAATTTATTATCAATTTTGTATCTAAAAGTATGTGACTTTGAATTTCAATGATATTATTTTATTCATCATATATTCCTAATTGAGTATAAATTAGAATTTACTGATTTTATACTATTATTTATTTTTTATTTATTTAAATTCCATTAAATTAAATCAAAATAGATTAGTAAGATTGCTAAATTTATTAGATAAATGACCTTTGATATATTTCAGGGAATAAGAACTAGCCTTAAATTTATTAATTTTTCATTAATTTCTTATCCAAATTAAATATTATTTTAATTAATCATTAGGTTTACTATTATGGCTATGTTTGAAGGCTACTTTAATTATTAACTTTAATTGAGATCTTAGATTTTGAATAATTTCAAAGATATTTAAATCCATACTATTTAGACTAAAGTTAATTTTGTCTAATTCTGACCAATGTCCCAAAGAACCATATCTAGAACACAGTTTAGATTTTTCGAGCCAACATTTTTTTAACACTTTTGATTTCGAGTTAAGATTTTAGAATGCCACAATTAAAAATATTGCCTCTTTATATCTTTCTTACTTCATTTATTAATTCTTTATATGTATCTATTATCTAAATCTTTATTTTTATATTATGAAAATAAATAATAGTGCTATCAAAACACTAAAATAAATTTGATATATAATTTTATTCTGGAACTATCAAGTAAGGATTTGTGATAAATGAACCAAAATTACTAAAATATGTAAAGGATACAAAGAACATTCTAATGTTATAAATAATTTAAAGGAGGGATACAACTATCCTATTTATATTTTAACTTGCAACTAATAAATTATAATTGATCTTATTATACTGATTATGACACTATAACCTACATTAAGTATATAGATCAATTATTCATCAAATAAATTATATCATGCTTGTGTAAACAATTAGAAATTCAAGAGTTAAATAATGAGATAATCATATAAAATTGAACAATATTTAGTCGTGAGTTCAAAATAATGATAAATAATTAAGGTATTAAGTTAATAATTTAATTGGTGCTCAGAAACGAATATTTTATGTGTGAAATCCGTTTTTTAGTTATATTATTTAGTTTCGAAATGCGATTTGTAAATACAAATTAATAAACATGAAATTGATTGCTACATTGTTAGTCGTATTAGTATGCGTCAGTGCTGCTCCAAGAAATCCATTTGATTATTCAAAGAAGCGATCTTTGACAGCAGTTATGGCTGAAGTTGAAGCAAAGCTAAAAAACAAGTCACCACTTGATGCCGTCTTGAATATCTTGAGAGATTTCAGAGATGCAGTCAACACAGAATAGGTTAACCATGATGAAATCTACAATATCCAATAAACTGAATGCGATTCTGAGAACGAATTTAGATCAAGATAAGTTTAAGATGCTCAAACAGTTTTGAGAGACTCCACTGCTGCCTTGAATGTCTGCAATACTTCTAAAATTAGAACAACCAACGTCGCAGAAGTCAACACATAATAATACCAATCAGCTTAAGAGCACTTGACAACAGTCTTGAATGCTGCTGAAACCGAAGCATAATACTTTAAGAGAAGAGGAAGAGATTATGAAGATGCTCTCCATTCAATTGACGAAGCCTAAGATATTTTAGCCTCCATCTATAGTGGATCAGGATCATTTGCTGAAATCAGCAAAGTCTCAAAGAGCATGCTCTAAACTGCTTTCAACATCAAGGAAACTGCTAAGTTCGCCCCAATCTTCTATGCCTTTGCTCAATTGGCTGCTTAAGAAGGATAACTCGATGAATCAGCCCTAGAAAGAGTTGCTTAACTTTTGGACAACTTGAGATCCAATATTCAAGAAGCCTATGACGACTATGCAAGCTCAAATGCTGTCTCAGTTGCTGCCTTTAACGACTAAAAGGAAAGATTAGGATAAACTATTGCCAGACTTGAAGCCCAAAGCGAAAGACTCTAAAATAAGTTAACCAACTTAGTTTAATGCATTGGAACTCAATCAGCCATTGCTTAAACTGCCTCAGGAAAACTCTAAAGAAATTAATAACTTTGGGACTAAGCCTAAAACTTATGCTCAACCTTTTCCAATGAATATAACTATGCCACCTAAGCCAGAAGAAACGAACTCTAATTGGTTGCTCAATTGGAAGAGATGGTCGCTGAAAGATTCGACTAAGTTGAAGATGAAAATCACCAACTAAGTACTAGTCTTAATGCAAAGAATGGATATTGATCTTATCAAAATATCAATATGTTAACCAAAAATATTTTCAACTTTTTTAGAATAACAAAATTTATATTATATTAATAATTGTTATTATTATGAACAATATTTTATGCAAAGACCATCCAGACAATCCTATTATCTTCATAATTTGGAATAAAAATAGCTTATAACTAGTATGTGATGAATGCATGGGAAAGATTCTTGATGAAAAAAATCTTGAGAATGATAAATTGAAAAAATTAGCCATCAGAAAAGCACTTAAGGAACCAGAATATTTCTTTTAGTAATTTAATTTGGATGAAAAAAACACTACTCTTATTAACGGCATCGCAAAATACCCAGAAGTTCAATTAAGAGATTTTATTCAAAAAATTGAAACAAACCTCAAGGATATACAATTAACTCTAGATAAAATCATAAATGAACTCAAAGAAGAGGTTTTTAATGTTTTAAACAACAAAAGCAATTCTAGAAAACAATTAGAAAAAGTATTTTAAATATTTTAATAGGTAACGCAATTTTCTTAGTTTAAAGATCTAATTGAAAGTCTCAATAACTCTTAGTAAACAATCACCCACGATGTTGTCAATTAAGTAGAAACAAAATTATTACAAATATTCATAGATCTTGAAAAAGATTCAAGCAGTTTTAATAAAGAAATAAAAGATAATTCAGCATCAAATAAAATTAATAAAATAAATTTCTCAGGATTTCGATAATTTAAGGACTAAATGAATTAATTTTTAGATCTTTCATTATCATTCCAAGGCAAAATACCTAATAACTAATTTATTGTTTCCTATTCTTATTTTAATGATCTATTATTAAGTAAAATTAGTCTAGAGGCTGGAAAAAAATTCAAAGATCTAACTTAATATTTAATGAATAACAATAAAATCTGAATTGTTATGTATTTTGGAAAAATGTCTAAAATAAAAGCAACTTATTAATGATATTTAAATCACAAAGTGGTAATATATTTGGCGCATACACTCCTTTAAAATGGATTTATGAAGACAGGGATGTTCGTGATAGTTCAAATTGTTCCTTTTTGTTTTCATACACTCATAACACCATACATAAGTTAATAAATGGTCCAAATTATTCACTATTCTTAAGATAATAGAGCGGTCCTTGTTTTTCTTAAGACCTATATATAAAAGGTGATTTTTAATAAGGACATTCAAATCTAGGAATTTCTTATACAAAAGAGGCTTAATAACACCCAAATACACATTTATTTGGATAAGAAACTCCAAAAATAGTAGAATGCAGGATTTTTGAAATTATATTCTAATGAATAAATTCTTATTTATAGAATTTTTTACAAATAAATACTGTAAATTTATAATTAATATTCATCCACTCAATAAGAAATTGGCAGTTTATTCTTCATCATTTACAAATTTTTTTGATTAATGCTTCCTATAATTTATAAATAGCCAATTACTTTAACTTCTTCTTCATCAAAACCTAATTAAACAAGATTGGAAACTTTTTCCTTTTGTTCATTTTTTTATGCATAATTTTGTGTCCATTCTCTAGCATAATGCATTTAATAAATACTTTGCTGTTTTAATAAATAATACTTTATTTGTTTTAAATTGATCGGCTACTACAGCATTTTATGGAGAATCTATATAAAATGATTTTGTATATAACCTGGCTATGGATCACAAAATAAGACCTATAGTGACAGTAAGAGAGTACGAATTGATAAGATAGGTGACCATTATTCTTACAAAATATCAAGGCCGATGGCACCAGTTTATCTTATTATAACTTTAAATACGATGAAATATTGGGATGCCAGATGGGTGTATCGAATTTCATTTTGGGTGGTTTGTGAGGGTATTCATTTGGGATTACGATGTCAATTTAGAAATAGCCACCTTCATAGGGAGTATCTGGTGATCCATTAATAAATCCCTTCAAATGTTAGATATCATTGTCAAAAGCAAAGACATAAAACCCATCGGCTTCATTCTCATAATATTAGAATTAATATACTTTCTTGTTTCCTTATTCCAATTCTTATAATTCTTAAGTGATTTTTTTACGTAGATATTAACGCATAAAATATAATTTATATTATATAATTGATTCAAGCATAATAATTTAAGCTACTCTTCTTTTTTGCTTGTACAACAGCTATTCCTTCAACGAAATCTTCATGAATCAAGAATGTTCCACCTCTATTCAAGGCAATCATACCCGCTTCTACACTTGAATGATATAAATTAATAAACATACCAGACAGCTTTCAACTACGCACCATTAAATTCATCAGTACTTCTAGCAATTTCTACATAATTAACGGTTTCTTTAGCAACTGACATCTTTCTGGAATGAATTTTCAGGATTTAAGCTCTGGCTTCTTCATTTGGTAATGGGAATTCAATTTTTCGATCCAATCTACCGGATCTCAATAATGCTGGATCCAATATATCAGGTCTATTAGTGGCTGCAATGACCTATTAAAATAGCAATTATAAGTACTTTGATTCTGTCATCAGGACTGAAACCATCAAGCTGATTCAATAATTCAAGCATAGTTCTTTATACTTCTCTATCTCCATTCTTATCACTATCATATCTTTTAGTTCCGATGGCATCTAATTCATCGATGAATATAATGGCAGGTGCCTTTTCTTAAGCCAATTGAAATGCATCTCTAACCATTTTAGCTCCATCACCAATAAACATTTAAACTAATTAAGGACCAGCTAACTTTAAGAATGTCGCTTTAGTTTGAGCAGCACATGCTCTAGCCATCATAGTTTTACCAGTTCCAGGTGGTCCATGCATCAATACTCCTTTTGGTGGTCTAATTAATTATGATAATATTATTTACCTAATACCAATATTTTCAAATCTCTCTTTATGTACAATTGGCAAGACTATGGCTTCTCTTAATTCTTCGATTTGTTTATCCAATCCACCGATATCTGTATAATCTTCTTATGGTTTTTCATCCACCTCCATTGTTTTGACTAGGATAATGAGTTTCAAATACCTCTTGCATCGTATTCAGTTGGTAATTTCTCATATAACATATATCCATCTTTATTAACTCCAATCAATTCTGCAGGTTTCAATTAAGATGCATTTAATAAACCTGTGACTGGCAAAAAGATTGTCTGTCTAGTGGTAGTCTTAATTACAACACCTTTTCCAGAAATAGTAGCATAATCATCTGTCACGGATTAATCTTATTAATCTTTATCAATTGCTTCAATGTCTAATATTTCAACTACATTTGAAACTAAGTAGGGGAGGGTTGTCATATTGCCACTTCAAATATATATGATTGCATACACTCTCTTTTTAGTACTATCCAATTGATCTTCATATTGCTTTTTATGATTAATTTCTCTTGATTGCATGGTTTTCAGTTCATTAAGTCTCCTATTCAATTTATTGATCTCCTCATGCAATTATTAGTCTGTCAATGCATCAGCTTAAGCTTTATAGTCTGCATCTGTTTTAGGAGTAGGTTTCTCTGTTTACATATTAAATTTAAATTATTACTATACTGGTGTATGATGAAAACATTAAATATCTAGAAAATGAATAATAACTAATAACTCAACAACACTAATCTTTCTTTTACTTCTTTGTTGAATTATTACGATAAACATTTGTATCGTTATTCAAAACAAAACTCTTCATAAATTAATAGATTTACTTAGAAATTAAGAGTTGAACTTTGTTTTGACTTTGCTTTAGCACTAGCTCCCAGTTCGAAAGCTTTTTAGAATGCTAATTTGATAGACTCTTTATCCTAGAACTAAACTGGTTTCAGCAGTTTTAAGGCTGAATATTTATCGCTTAATTACGAGAAGCCATCATTTAATTGTTAGGTTCTACTTTGTTGAAATAAATCTAATTTAGTTCCAATCAGGACATATACACAATGAGATGAACTGCGGTTTGTTAGAGTATCCATCCATTACTCAATGGAATGTACATCAATTTCTTCGCTTAAATCTATACATAACATCACAGCATCAGCATCTTTTACTAAAAAGTGGCTCATTTAATTTTAGAATCCTTATCCAACACTATCCCATATTGCTACAATATATTCTTCTTAATCGATTTCTACTTGAACTATTTTGTAATCGAAGCGTAAATTAGAGGCTGATTATTTCCCATCAATTTCCTATAGATATGTTTGAATTAAAGTTGTTTTGCCCACTTTAGAATCGCCCACTACCACTATTTTCAATGGAATTGCGTCTGAAATATTCATCACTATCAAGAATTGAAATTATAAAAATATAATTATATATAATCATTTACTATCTTGTTCTATTTACAAATAATTTATTAGTTGAATCAATCAAACTATACAACCAAGGTTTTATGAAACTATATTCATCTTTTTTTTATTCGCTTATAACCAACTCTCCTTCTATAATATTTATTACATTTATTCTTCGCTATATATGATTCCATTTATAAAACCATCGGAATTCAGTTATTGATTCTAACTAAGGATCAATTATGATCCATTCTTTGTTAATTCATACTGAGTATATTTAATATTCTATTTCCTCATTTCCACTTTTTGGCAATTAGAGAAATGAAGAATAAAGAAATATTAAAAGAGAGAAATTATGCATCTCATCAAAAATTCTATACTGCCTATATTACATTTCAATGCTTCCAAACTAGTTGTCAATTTTAATAAGCTAGGTATCAAATTATTCATGATTATGCATTCAGAGAAGACTAGTTGCTTTTCCTATTCATTCAATTGAGTATAATCTCTAGTTAAGTAATTTGCCCTCTCACTTACAAATTTACTGAATTGTTTACGATATTCGAAGTATTGATCTTAGTGCATCTATAAACTCAGTTCATTTATTAAGTATTTACCTGTAGTCATAACTACAAGATTGGACATTGCAAATGTGAAACTGTTTTAAACAAAAACAATCGCCTAATCAATTTCAACTGATGTCATTGTTTCTGGATAGTCCTATTAAATATATTAATTCAAAATTTTTACAATAAAATTCAATTTTTGTTTTTCTAAATTTTTCTACTGAATTATTGAAATCATCTTAGAAAATACCATTTAAGTCCATTATTTAATTTTTATTATTGAAATGCTTTCATTATATTTTAAAATCTTCAGATTTCTTTTTAAAATATCCATCTATAAATTCCAAGATGATTACTTCTAACTATTGTTTAAATTAAATATTTACTTGCACATAGTCTTCATTCTAAAAACAGCCGTAATTATCTAAAAGCATTTTCTTATTCTTTTGAATTTTGCCCTAATGAATGTTGGAATATCATTTGTTGAAATTGTCTTGATTGAAAGACTCTCACTTTTAATTGGATTAGGTGTACGGTCACTACTGCCACTCTGAATATTATCGCTCAAATATTCATAAGACCCCTCGCAATAATGAAATATTTTTCTTATATTCTAGGGGTTATATGGGCTCTCAGATGTGGTCAAGAATTAATCATTGTTATTGGAAATTTCTATACTCTATCCTCGTGGGGCGATCGAAAATTGCTACGAATCTCGGGTTGTTACTTTGTGAGCGGATTGTAATTCAGTTGAGACAGGACTTGCCTTTGATTTTTTCTGAAATTCTTATTAATTCAATTCCTAAGAAACAGAATATCCTATTTTATAAAGAATGCTCTAATGATCGGTTCTTTCAGCTATGAATTTTAATTTAAAGAAATACTCTCATAGATATTTCTATTAGTAGGTTCTTAAGTAAAAGAAGAATCACCGTTAAGAATGGTTTACCCAGCAATTTGAAACTTGGCTCTATATGAATCAAGATGAGAATTTTGTCTATCATTCTTTGTTAATATTTCATTGTTTCTAATCATAGTTCGTCTTTATGTTAGATAAATCCAAATTTTATTAAATATATTCCAAGAATAACTACTTAATTATATAAAGAGATATATGATGTCATGTAAAATCATGTCTTCCCTACTAGAGATTGATTCATTTATTTATATTTTTTCATAATTTATAACTAATAAGTACTAAATATAAAATCTCGTTTTTATAAAGAACAAATAATTTGTGTTATTCATAATTTTAAAACCATCCATTAGGAGCGATTTAATTTCTATATTTCATATCTTCTATTCTATTATATTTATAAATTCAATTATCAAATCTAAACAATCTCTTTTAATTGAGTATAAATCAATTATATTTAGCCATCTACTAAATTACCAATAACGATTAGTGGTTTATAATTTCTTAATTGAAAGGGAGACTTTTAAGAAATGTTTCTTTAATCTACTATTATAATAATGCATCATTATTATTATTTGACAAATGAAGTGTTTTCGAAATAAGAAAACTAAATACAATTATTTTGAATACTCTTTTAATGAGTTTTAAATATTGAATATACGACATTCGATGGTGGTCTTCAATTATTTTAACTATATTTTGTTAGTTGGATATGTATTACTGTTTGATTTTGAATTTGATACTAATTCATTATATGAAGATAACAACTTGATTTTCTTGTTAATCATAATATTTTAAAAATATCATTATCAAGTATCATACAAAAAATATGATGATAAAAAAAAGAATTATAAATACATATATTATAAGACAATTAAAGAATAAAAACATCATTTTTCTGTTTTTAATTGTCACTCTTTCATTTCTCATACTAGTCAATTTTATAATTTGATCCACTTCTTGTATTAATTTTAAAACAGATAATTTAATAATTTATCAACTAAACTGGATGAAATTAGAGCAAATGATGATGTGGCTCCTGTTAAAAGAAACCATTACGTAACAGTATGTGATAATGCTACCGTTGATAAACAAACCCAACCTCCAGATAACAATACTCCTACTAAAATAGGAATTGTTGTATAATCAACGATATTTTTTAATTTTTTAAAACCAATCATATTTTCGATTAAGGGATAAGCAACTTCAATTTTGTTAANTCTAATGATCGGTTCTTTCAGCTATGAATTTTAATTTAAAGAAATACTCTCATAGATATTTCTATTAGTAGGTTCTTAAGTAAAAGAAGAATCACCGTTAAGAATGGTTTACCCAGCAATTTGAAACTTGGCTCTATATGAATCAAGATGAGAATTTTGTCTATCATTCTTTGTTAATATTTCATTGTTTCTAATCATAGTTCGTCTTTATGTTAGATAAATCCAAATTTTATTAAATATATTCCAAGAATAACTACTTAATTATATAAAGAGATATATGATGTCATGTAAAATCATGTCTTCCCTACTAGAGATTGATTCATTTATTTATATTTTTTCATAATTTATAACTAATAAGTACTAAATATAAAATCTCGTTTTTATAAAGAACAAATAATTTGTGTTATTCATAATTTTAAAACCATCCATTAGGAGCGATTTAATTTCTATATTTCATATCTTCTATTCTATTATATTTATAAATTCAATTATCAAATCTAAACAATCTCTTTTAATTGAGTATAAATCAATTATATTTAGCCATCTACTAAATTACCAATAACGATTAGTGGTTTATAATTTCTTAATTGAAAGGGAGACTTTTAAGAAATGTTTCTTTAATCTACTATTATAATAATGCATCATTATTATTATTTGACAAATGAAGTGTTTTCGAAATAAGAAAACTAAATACAATTATTTTGAATACTCTTTTAATGAGTTTTAAATATTGAATATACGACATTCGATGGTGGTCTTCAATTATTTTAACTATATTTTGTTAGTTGGATATGTATTACTGTTTGATTTTGAATTTGATACTAATTCATTATATGAAGATAACAACTTGATTTTCTTGTTAATCATAATATTTTAAAAATATCATTATCAAGTATCATACAAAAAATATGATGATAAAAAAAAGAATTATAAATACATATATTATAAGACAATTAAAGAATAAAAACATCATTTTTCTGTTTTTAATTGTCACTCTTTCATTTCTCATACTAGTCAATTTTATAATTTGATCCACTTCTTGTATTAATTTTAAAACAGATAATTTAATAATTTATCAACTAAACTGGATGAAATTAGAGCAAATGATGATGTGGCTCCTGTTAAAAGAAACCATTACGTAACAGTATGTGATAATGCTACCGTTGATAAACAAACCCAACCTCCAGATAACAATACTCCTACTAAAATAGGAATTGTTGTATAATCAACGATATTTTTTAATTTTTTAAAACCAATCATATTTTCGATTAAGGGATAAGCAACTTCAATTTTGTTAATAAATGGTGTGATGTTGACTTCAAAAGAAGTTTTCTTTATATTCTTGCAATATTTTGATATTTTAAAAATAGTTTCAATGTCTTAAATATATGATACAAGGAAAAAACTCATTTTTTTTGTATACTCGTTATTTTTGATCCATTCTGATAACCGCTAAAGTATTTATATGCAATTAGTCAGATTAATTGCAGTACAATTTAAATCAAGAAAAATACCTTTAATGGTTTTTATTTATTCAAATTTCTAAATTATAGGATCATCACTTTTCGAAAAGTATTCATCAAAATTCTAATAAAATAATTTAAGTAATAATTCTAATTTCAATTTAATATTAAGCATACATGTTTGATACAAATTAGAAAGTTTTTTATCAAGTTGAAGCTCAAAAATTGGATTATTATTATTTCTTTACTAAAGTTACTATTCTGCTTTTACAATAATAGAGTTTGCAAACTTTTTTATATCATAATGCATTTCTTCTGAAGGTCTCAAAAATTCGAAACAAATTTAGTCATCAGCAAAATGCTTTTTATAGAAGCTATAATTTTATTCTAATAATCCATTAAAGGCCAGATCCCATTATTCTAAATTCTCTTTTCTTGAATCTTTTTCGGCTTTAGTTAAAATAAGATTTCCCCAACTTTTAAAATTTTGATCTAAGTCCGTTTTATTCTATAAAAGACTATAAATGGGATCGAATGTATTCTTAACATTTTCGATCGACTATATAGAAATGTCGATCAAAAAAAAAACAATAATGTTTTTTGTTTTTTTGAAATAATTATACAAGCTTATTCTATGAGCAATTCGCATGAAATCATTTTAATTATCTTCAAATCCAGGACAATCAAAAATAAACCATTTTTCAGGTAATTTGAGTTAATTTTCTTCTGCCAAATTTGGTAATTCTTAATAGCTAAAAACATCTTATTGTTAATCACTAATGTTTGTGTCATTATTTTAATTATAAAAGATCTTATTAAGTTCCTCTTTTTAACCAATGTAAATACCACTAATTTTTTATGTCATACTAACCCCGCCTTGACCAATTTTAAAGCTTGTTTCCTATTCTTAACAAATTTAGTAGCATTATTTACCTAAAATTATTTTTTATTCAAGTTTATCAGGATTTAAAATTGCATTCATAACTGTAGATTTTCCTGATTTAGTTACTCCTATAAAATAAATTCCATTTTCAATTGGATTTTCTGGTCCTTCTTATATTCCCTTTACTGTACGTTTTAGTTAATATAGTATATTTTCAATCGCATCAGCACAATATTAGCACCAAAATTAAAGATTAATTTCCAAGTTTTTAGCTTCTAAAATTTCGAACTTTTAATAATATGTCTCCCAAAATTGAATGATTTTATCTATCTTTTATACGTCTTATTCATTAAAAATTGGGTGAATACTTATTTATTCAATTTAGTTTTCTTCTTAAAATTATTTCATTTATGGGGTATTTTTTTTTTAAATTTTATTATTCAATTCATTTGCTTTATTTCCTGAATTTATTTAATTTATAATTTTAAAAATTTCTTTTAATTTCGAAAATCTATTTTATGGGCAATTCTAGATATTATTAATACCATTTTTTAATTCTTATAAATAGCTTTTAACTAATGTCTTAGTGTCATCTGCATTCGAAATGATTGGCATTTACTGTAACATAAGAAGTAGCTTTTAAAATTCTCTAAGTCGATAATTAAAATAGTCCTTTAAAATTGTTTCCTTTTATGATAAATAAGTCATCATTTTTCCATAATTCAAAAAATCCCTCGATTTGCAATTCTTTAAGGATTAATAAGAATCATATCTAAATATTGATTGCAAAACTTTATTTTAGTTAATTCCTTCAGGCTAAAATTTTTATGAATAGATATTTTTATCAGATAATTTAATTTTGCATAACCTCCACATATTATCATCTTCTGGGTTAAGAAATAAAAAAGAATTTTTCTTGAATAAATATTTCCCAAAATAAGCAACTGAATCTTTAATCATCCTATCCATCTTTGCAATTTCATTTTCTCCATTTAATTATTACATATCAATAATTAACTAAAATTTGCACTTTTCCATCTTCTGAAGTGCTTTCTCAGCGTATATTTTTGAAATACATAAGTCCAAAGGTATTTAATTAGTTTCGTAATTATATTGTAAAATTAAAGGGAAATTTAATAAATAACTTATTTTTCCTTATTTTTCTAGTCTAACTAACTTATAGTAATTTGTATCTAAAATGACCTTTTTTATTTGAAAATGTTGATAAAATGTGTGAAAATTTTATTGAAACGCTCCAAGAAAGATCAATACTATGCTATCCTTAATACTTTCATGAAATTCACCTTAAGTATGATTGTTTATGTATTCTTAATCGTCGAATACATTTTAAATTTCTTAGTCGAAGTTAACCTCTTCTTAAACTATTTATTATTCCATAATATTTATCACTATATAAATTCTTGGCTTTTAAATTGATTTGCTAATTCTATCGCAAAAATAATTCAATTTTTTGTTTTTATCACACTTATCTGTTCCAAAATAAACTCAGGCATATTATTCTAAGTCAAATATAGCCATATTAACAATAATAAAATACTAGAAATGTGAACATTTAAGTTTGTTATTTATCGCGAAACGATATAACCATTTTCTTCATACAAATTAAAGATAAAAATATCTATGGCCTTGAGTGATGGTATATACGAATACTATATATTTTAAGATTGATTTTTTAGAGATATATCATAAAAAAATATGTTAAGTATTCATTTTGTGATATATGATTAATAATTAATTAATAAAGTATAATTTTAATTCGTGTTATTAGAATGTCTGAATAATAAGAGGGTGTTAAAAATCATAAAAAATATAGAAAGGATAAACCTTGGGATAATGATCCAACAATAGATAAATGGAAGATACCAGAAATTCAACCTGGTGAAATGAATGGCAGTCTTTTAGCTGAGAGTTCATTTGCTACTTTATTCCCAAAATATAGAGAGAAGTATATTCAAGAAGTGTTTGGAATGGTTAAGAAATCAATGAAGGATCATGGAATAAGAGCTGAGTTAAATTTAATGGAAGGATCTTTGACTGTAAAAACAACAAATAAAACATGGGATCCATGGGCAATCATGAAAGCCAGAGATATTATTAAATTATTGGCTAGAAGTGTTCCTGTTTAATAATGCTTAAGATTATTAGAAGATGGAACATTTTGTGATATCATCAAAATTAGAAGCTATACAAGAAACAAAGAGAAATTTGTAAAGAGAAGATAAAGATTGATTGGACCAAATGGAGCAACATTGAAAGCATTAGAGTTATTAACAGATTGTTATATTATGGTCTAAGGTAGTACTGTTTCTGTGATTGGAAATTGGAAGAATTTAAAAGTAATTATAGTATTTTATATTAGACTGTTCGAAAAGTTGTAGTTGATACTATGTAGAATGTACATCCAATTTATAGCATTAAAGAACTTATGATTAAGAGAGAACTGTCTAAAGATGAGAATATGTAAAATGAAAATTGGGATCGATTCCTACCTCACTTTAAGAAATAAAATTAAAAAAGAAAGAAGGTTATTAAAAAAAAGAAGGGTACATCCATATTATTAATATTAAAGAATATACACCATTCCCACCTGAGTAACAACCAAGAAAGGAAGATTTATTGATGGCATCAGGAGAATACTTTTTGAATGAGAAATAAAGATAGTAAAAGAAATTGGAGGAGAAAAAGAAAAAGCAATAATTGAAGAAATAACAAAAAATGAATTAGGATGGAGATTAAGAAGAGGAATAAGAATATGATTAATAACAAGGTGAAGAATAAATACAGAAAAGTTAACCATAAGATATAGAAGAAATTAGAGAATAAATTTAGAAGAGTGGAAAGTTAAAGAAAGTAAAATTGTTTTGATGATGTACTTATTAAATGAATATAAATATATATATCAAATAAATAAATTCATAGAATTAAACCATATATAACTATTAGAATAAAAATAATATTGATAAGTCTCTATTTATAAATTTTAACATAAAAATTATTATTATGATTAAAAATTTATATTGGCTTATCCTAATTTAAACAATAGTGATTATTCTTACGTTTAATTTTTCAACTAATCTACAGATAATAGATGAAATAAAGAAAATAATCAATCAAAACGAAACTATTACTACGCAGAGCCGAAATATGAAAATATGTTAAGATGATATTATTCCATAAGCTAAAATTATATCAGAAGCTTATAATAATTTTTTTGGAGGAAAGCACTGGGGTTTCCTTTTAGTTTATCCAATTATGCTTATTTAAAAACAATTGAATAAAGAAAGTGATTTTTATGTAATTTCAGATTATACTTTTTAGATAAAAATGGCCTTTTATTTTCACTTGATTTAATACCCTTTTTTGGCAATTTTCACTCATTAAATCTCCTTAATAATAGGAGAATATTTTGGTAAAAAATATTATAATATTTATGCTAGCTTAATAGATAATACCGATTAATATTTGCTTTGGGATTTTTTTTTTAAACCTCTGTTTCTTTTTAATTAACTCGCAGTTATTGGGAATATAAATTAAAAATAAAAGGAAACCTTTATATATTCTATTTTTTTTATTTGTTATAAACGGATTATATAATATAATCACTTTAAAACATCATAATTGGATACCGTATTTGATATTTAATGCATATATTTAAATCTACTTAATCCATATCAATTCCAATTTGTTCGTGGTATTTATATCATTTCATTACTTAAGTGTAATCAATACAATAAGCATAAGCTTTTAATAGAAATTCTTTTTGAAAAAATTTCTCTTTTTAATGGAAATTAAGATAAAGATTATTTTTATATAAATAAAGAGGTATTCTTATTTTTTGGAATCCTAATAACTCTTTTTTATAATTTCCATTAAGCATTAATGCAAATGCAGGTTTTAGCTACTGTAATATTAACAATCGTAGCATTTTTGATTTTTATAATTTGGGATACCTCATTAATAGTATTATTTATTTGTATGTATTTAGTCTTCAAATTTTACAAATAAAAGTCAATGGTTAGCTGCCGATCTATTTTTTTTAGATTTATTTTTGCCCTTTAGGAATATTGTGATGTTTTTATTAATAGAATGATAAAATCAATTAACTTATGTATTATTATCTTTTAATTTCTATTTTTGAATTTTAATTCTCTTTTAGGAAAATTGTTAATTTATATTGAAGTATAATTGAGAACTTGCTTTGAAACTATTCATCTTGTTCAACTCGATTTATATAATAAATAGATACGAAAATATTGATAAGAATAACAAAATTATGAATATATAAATATGATTTCTAATTTTTCAATAATCAATATTTATTATATTTTCTATGTCTTTTAAATCTAGATATGAAAGGGATGAATAAGAAGAAAAAAAAACCCATTCTGAGCAAGAAACAGACGTAACAAAGGCTTAGAGAGAGAATTCTAAATATATAAAAAGGGAAGCAATTAAGACTCCTAAATAATATCAAAACATCTAGGAATAAGGGAAGGGTTTCTTTTATATACTCCTCCTTATATAAGCACTAATAATCCTTGGTTCCTATTATTTGTAGATGGAACACTTCTATTACGATGCAACTGATGGAGCTCAGAGCAATAGTGCTGCTTTTAAAGAATATTGCAAAAATACTAATTATTGTCAAAAATTTATTTAAAAAGATGGGAATAAAAGTGAAATGTATAAAATAGTGAACTATTGGCCTAATCAACTTCACTGGATTAGTTTAATTGCTTATCCTTTAGTTTTAATGTTCCAATATTTCATTAGAGACATAAGTTTCTTGGTATATAGATTTTTAACTTATTTAGAGAAAAATTGCATTTTTATTTACCTTTATTTCATATCCATGTTTATTTTTGTTTGTGTAGATAATTTCAGTATACATAAGAAATTATTTTGGTATTAAAAAAAGTTATCTTAATAGAATATTATATAGAATATTTATAGGCTGTGTTTTGGATTTATTTAGCATTTGTTGTTTTCTTCATACTCAATCAATTTGTCTTAGAGATTAAAAATTAAGAAAATTAGAAACTAACTTACTTGATTTTTTTGGCATTTATTGTTAATTTTTTATACAATACGCTTTTTTAAACATCTGCTAATTGGACTTTTTATATATTAACAATTGTTTATATACATACATATTTTAACCATATAGATGCAAATTTATTTCAAGTAGAAACTTTATTCATATTATAGCATAATAAATATAATGAAAAGAATAAAGCGCTAATTAGAATAATATTTAATAAATTATTGAAACCATTAAAAGTAAAAGTTGATAGAAACTAATTCAATAATCATATTGTCTTAAATAAAAGGTTTACTATTTTTTATGCTATAATTATTATATTAGCTTATTAACTTGTATCCTTATTTTAATAAGAATAGACTGTAATAATATTAAGTAGTATCATTTTAATATTTGTTTATTTGGATACTTCATTAGTTTCGACAGTATATAATAATGATTAATTATTTAGACTACATTTTTTACTTCAGATGATCAGTGGTTGGCTGCAAATTTATTCTTTTTAGATTTTTTATTACCAATTAGAAACATTCTAATGGTTTTATTTTTAGATTGACATAGTTTATATTTAATAGATAGCTAATTTATATCATAATTTACTAAATATACAAGAAAATCTTAGAAATAATTAATAAATAAACCAAGAGTTATTAATATTTTCTATGAAATATTTAAAAGGAGTACTTTTTTATCTCTATAAAAATTTCTCTTCAATCATCTATATTTTCTCTAAAAAATCTATATAATAAAAAAAGATTTCTTCTAGTTTCCAGTAATATTAAAGAATGATACTTATTCGTATGAATTATAATTTATTTTCTTTAATGAAAGTGAAGAACTATTCAATCTTTAGTAAAAGCAAACAGTAACAATATCGAATTTGTGAAATAATCCCTACAATCTGTGGAGTGAATGGTATTACTTATATTCCAGATGAGAAACCGATGTTAATGCAAATTTCTTAATGTACATGTTCTAATAAGAAAATCAACATTTCAAATTCAAACAAATGGACTCAGAAAGATAGAATTCGTTCTTATTCTTAAGTGATTCAAAGGCCTATAACCAGAAAATCTACAAGAATGCTTACATAAGTTAAGGAGAATACACCTCCAAAATTTCTAACATTAAGGGTCTCAGCTAGAAGATGGTGCGCTTATCAAAACAACTCAAAGTTTTATGGTGTTAACGAAAATATCAAATGTGAGGTTGGATGCTTAACTAAATTGATGGCGATTTATACTATATTATAATTATGTTAGGACTACAAAATTAGATTATAAGTACCTTATTATGCAGAAAGTGTTCCAGAACCTAAAGCAGATATAAATTCCTATAATTATTTGACTCTAGAACAGCTTCTTTATGCTGTTATTCTTAGAGGGGGTAATGATGCTTTATGGAGTATTGTAAGTGGATTAAGCGAAAAACTATATGGAATAACTTAAAGAAACCTAATAAAAAACAAATTTCTTGACTTATATAATAGGAATGCATAATAGCTAAAGATGAATAATACCAGATATACAAATTTAGAAGGTTTAGCTGATCCAAATAATGTAACTACTGCATATGATCTGTGTCTACTTTGTGATTAATTATTGAAGTTTGATATATTTAAAAGAATATTAAAAACTAAGAGTTACACCTGCAGAGCAACATTTGAAAATGGAGACCTATCAACTGTATACACATGGAAGAATCGATAATTTTAATTTATGAAAAAAAGTTTTTATGGATTTTAGGGAATAAACAATAATAGTGGGCCTTGTGCTTTGATTATACCAGAGGTTGACACCAATTAAACGTTTGTTATACTTTTAAAATGTAATCCTAAATAAGAAATTGTGGATGCTCAAATGATAACCAAATATTAATGATAATTATTTTTTTTATTTCATTTCTTTTACTCATAAATTATGTAATTATCATTATTAAATCTAATGATTAACAAAATAAAAACATTCAAGAGTCTGACTATTATTATTTTAATTATTTATTTATGATTATTAAAATTTTGTAATTGTGAATTGAAAACAATAATCTAATAAATTCCTTCTATAAATTCATTATTATTGAACTATTTCTAAATTAAAAATTGATAATAAAAAGAATTTAACCTAATCAGATTGAAATAAAGGACTAAATTCTATATTTTATTTTGATAATATACCTCTTTAGGTTCTTGATTTATGATATATTTATTAAAGTATTCAGATATTAACAATGATTTATATATTAATACAAGAGATTATTTGAAAATGACTTATACTTTATGTAATTGAATACTAAATTTTTTATTAAAAATAATTAACTAACATTCACATAGAAATATTTATAATATAAATAATTAATGAGGCCTAATCACCCTTATACTATAACATTTCCCATTTGGCAATGTGATCAATGGACTGCATTAAGAGGACGGCTGAAGCTATCAGATGAATAAGTTATCATAGCAAGATGGAATAATACTGTGTATTTAGATGAAGAATTGGCCTTTTTTGATTCTCAACATCGTATTAAGCCATAAAGGGAAAGCAAAATGCTCAAGCCTCAAATTAGTTTGCTTCCTTCGATATTATAGATAGTTAGGACGAATACGTACACAGATGTTTTAATTGAGAATGTGACTTAATGGTTTTTAACAAGTGGGGATCTCTCAAAATTATTATTAATATATTTTGGATATGATCTTTATACTGGATGTTCTCCACGTGATTGCACTCTAGAGAATATAATTAAGAATGATGACTCAATTGTTATTCTAGATTTTGGTTTGAGGAAACGTACAGAAAAATATTGTGTCTATTGGAATCCTCTAATTCTAAAAGGCAAGCCTTATCGATCCTCTTACTAATGGTCCTTAGGAATCATGTATTTAGTTATGACCTAAGGGACTTACATTTTGAATGAAGTTTAAAAGCATATAAATGAATGGTTGAAAGGAGGTAGATTGGACATCGGTTCAATGATAACACATAAAAAGTAATCAGTCCAAAATTTAATATCTTCTCTTTTAGATCCAGAGAATCCAATACCTTGGAATTAAATCCCAAATCATCCAGCATTTAGAGAGGACAATGTTTGTAAATAAATTCTCAAGGATTTTTAAATGAAATCCAACAGAACAGAATTAAAAGGCCGATCTACATCAAGAATGAGTAGTAGAGACGAAAATATCAATTAAATTAGTATCATGCCTTGTCCTTATGGATTAAAGAATCCAAAAACTTGCGATTAAAATATACTTAATCAGTCACTTATTACGAAGGTTAGCAATATGTATAAAGCACATCAAGACAAAGTTCGCAATGCTCTTGGGAATTCTTATTCATCTTTGTATAATAGACATGCATCAACATCCTAATAGAGTAGATAAATGCAGTAAACAAATACGATTACAAACAGATTTAACAACTTTTTAAATTCTACTAAAATATTACCTAAATCCTAAATTAAAACGCAGAATCTCGGATTCAGAACTTTTAGAAATCAAACTTCAAATAGTACTTTAAATGCAGGACCTGATTCTCATCGTAAATCTGGAGAGGTTATATTAGATAATAGCAATTAAGTTCCTTAAAAATAAGATTGCTTTTATGAAAAAATAAGATCAAGGGTTACATCAATAAAAGGAGATACTATTAAATTATAATAAAAACCAAGAAATAGTTCTACGCACTCAATCTTCTAAGAGTAACAGAATAAATAGTAAAGTCATTAAAAAAAGGTATCAAATAATTAAGAGGAAGTGCATGAAATTTATTAATAATATGAAATATTGAATGATTAATAATAAAAACAAGTATTACAATAGCAATAAACACAATAATAATCATAAAAACAACAAGAACAATAATAACAACAATAACAATAGTAACAACAATAACAACAACATCAATAACAATAATAAGAATAATTATAACAACAACAATAGCAATAACAATACCAATAAGAATACCAACAACAGTAGCAACAACAATAACAATAATAACAATAATAACAATAATAATAAATTATTAAATATGGTGATTTAGACTAATAACAATAAAAATAATAATTATTATCTATTTAATAAAAAAAGTCTTTATAATAATAACAAAAATAATAATAATCTTAAACTCAAAATGCTGCAAGTAATGCAGATAATTACATTTAATTAATTAAAAAAAATAATTCATAATAATAACTCTTTTCACAAAAATACAATAGATCTTTAGATGCTATAAATGTAATTGGCTAGACGGTTGCAAAATGCTTAACTTTTTTTAATGGATTACAAAATTTTTGGATCATTCCTCTATTTTTGGTTTTTAAGCGAATGCTATAATTAAGGAAATAAATTGAAAATTTATTATAGTAAAAAATAAATTCATTTAATATTGATGGCTGGGAAGAGTTAATATCAACTCCAGAATATGAAATTTATTTAAATAAAGTGAAATAGGATAATTAACTTGTTTAAAGTGAATTAAGTTTATTATTAAATTCTGCAAAAGCTAAAGCAGAAAAATTAGATAAAAATAGGAAAGAGAAGGTAGAATGGTTTTTAAATGATGATCTAAATGATAAAATAAAGGATGTATGCAATACCTATTTTCATGGATAAATTTATAAGAACATTAAAGACAGAAAGGGAATTGTCAAACCAAATATAGAATGGCTAAAATTGGAAATCTAGGCTTAAGCTTCTCTAATCATAAGCGAATTACCTATTTTGACTTGTGATAAAGAAAGCTTCTCTTATGAACAGTATTTATCAGCTCTTGAATTAACAGATGAAGAATCAATTTACTAATACTTAAAAAAAAATGAGCATTATCTCGAACGCAGATGAACCTAAATTCTTAGTTTAATTATTATATTCATTTATATTGAATTTAAATATTAGAGACTTCTTGAAATTTTGGTGAACTATATTTTCTTTGTATTGCTTATAATGACATAATTTTTGCTTGGCATAATTGTTAACAAATTTCTTTTGCCACTGGCCTAATTTAACTCTCAGTATATTGTGAATGTATTTCTAAATAAGTAGGCCAACAATTTTAAGATCTATTAATGTATTTAATTTCTATACTTTTTATAAATCTTTTACACCAAATATAGTACACTGGCTGCTTGTAAACTTGGGTTGTATTAAATAAACTTATGATCCAACAGCATTAATTCGAGAATATATTTTCCTAATTAGTATGACTTTTAATCTAATTATACTAATTGTTGATATCTCTCATAGAATTAATGCTAATTCGTAAAACAAATTTCAAATTGCAATTACATTAATATTTTACCCTCCATTTCTAATATCTCTTCTTTTGTGTAGGTTTTGTCTGTGACATCTGAGTAATAGTTTAGTTTTGGAGGGTAGATCTCACAATATTTAGATGCAATGAATAGAGCAGACACTCCAAGCAATTGAAATTTATTCCTTGATATTTGAATTGATTATAAATATGCATCAATAATGTAAATAGTTAAGTATAAAGTATCTGAAACCAAATTAAATCTGTAATGTACATCAACTAGCCAATCTATGAGTATTGATCTCATTTTATAATTGATTTCTATTTGTTTGTCGATATAAGTGTGATCAAGTGCTTTGTCCTTACTTCTGCAATATTTATAAATATCTTTAGCATATGCAGATACAAATTAAGGATTGTTATTATTCTTATTGTCAATCTAATCTAATTCATCAATTTTTATTCTTTGAGTTTAAGATTATGATTTACTTTATCTAAAATTAGATAAATCCTTTCCAAAACATCTCTCCCCCATACTTAGACGAGGCACTCTACTTTTTTATCCCATATCATTTTCATCGATGTATTGCATTTAGAAATTTGAATAAATTAATATTACAGTTAATAATTATATTAATATATATACTTTTTATAATTTATCAAATTTAATCAAATAAAATCAACTAGTCAATCAATTGGACGGTAATATGAATCGTGAAAAATCTATATCTCATCAGCTAAGTATTTATTTGCAATGAATTCAGGGAAACTTTTAGTTTCTGAATTGAATTCTTTTTGATACTTAATTAAGAAGCCCAGAATTTTTATTCCATCTTGCAAACCTGCATTTCCACTCATCTTTTAATATGATTCATGTTGGCATTTTGATAAAAATTCAACACAAAATCGATTATTTAGAGATTTTTCATTTTAAATGGTACTTAATATCTTTTCATTATTTGAATTAATCATAGATTTGACAGAATTTATCATAGAAACAACCAAATCATTATTATCTTTCTTTTTTTTACAGATTTTCTGATTATGCCAAAATTGCATGATAGGGTATAAAGTGTCATCAATTAAAGTTAATTTCATATCGTAGGATTTACCAATCAATTCTTTTAATTATTCAAAGTGCTTATCTAAAGTATTGAATCTTTTTTTTAAATGAGCTTCCATCAAAGTTAACAAAGTTAAATATTTCTCATTTTGCTTTTTATCTTAATCTGGAGATTTTGGATCGAGTTAGCAACATCCAATAAATGTAATCAATGTAAAAAGGAGACTATTTCTATATTCTTATAAGAATGATTTTTCATTTGTTATATTATCTAATCGCAATTTAATTTATAAATACCTAATGCTTATTTATACACTTTATTTGAAGGATTTATCTTGACTGCTTATTCAAAAGCCTTTAGGGCATCTTCGATTTGTTTGTCTTATTTATATACATTTCCAAGTTGAAAATAGGCTTCTGAATTTTTAGCGTTTTGATTAATGCAATTTTGATAGCCGTCAATGACTTCATCCAATTTCATTAAATATTGATTTGCAGTGCCTAACTATACACTTAATAATATTAATACGATGAAATAGACTTGCTCAAGATTTTCCTTTCCATTTTTAAGATATAAATTTAAGTATTTTAATGCCTCAACATATTCTTTCTTTTAATTGTAACATATTCCCAGGTAATAATTAAGATTTTGGGCATATTCGCTATTTTTCAACTCTACAAATATATCAAATGATTCATTATAGTTATTTTAATTAAATAATATAGAACCTAATAATTATAATATAATACACCTTTTTCATATAAGTATTATTCATTGGTTGCATCAATAGTTAATATTTTTTCATAAATTTCAAGTGCTTTTTGTTCATTCTTTGTAATTTTATACATTTATGCTAACAAATCTAAGATTTCTAAGCTTTAAGGGAATTTAGTTAATCCATCATTCAAACAAATGATGGCTTCTTCATATTTTTTTTATGCTTAAAATAGCCTCCCTAAATAAGAATTTAGTATACCTCTAATAATAAAGATTTTTGAAACATTCTAATTTGATTATGATTATAAATATTCATAAATCTTTGATGCTTCTTAAAGTCTATTCAATTTTATTAAAGTAGAGGCTAAATAAATATTTTGGATATAAACCTTTCTTCTCCAATAATTCAAAGCTTGTTTCTTTAGCTAGGATCAAATCATAGCATTTCAAAACTTCTTCGCTTTTGTTCATATATTCTAAGATTTTCACTAAATCAATTAGAATGAATGTTGATACCCTTTTCTTTTAATGCATCTAAGTCATTCTGCTGAATGTTGAGAATTTGATTCAGGGTTACGAGACAACTTGCTTATTATTTTAATTCAATTTATATTTATGCTTTTAATTTTAAGGCTTCTAATTGAACAGGGTCTTTTTCCAAAATTTAGTTTAGGAGACTCAAAGCCTAAGTGTGTTGTTAACCTACTTGCAAATTCCTTACTATAATCTTAATATTAGATTCAACCTTCTTTCAATTAATCTTCAACAGAAATTGACTCCTATGGAACTGGTAGTTACTTTAATTAATTTTTTTTTTTGATTTCTTGTTTACAATTTAATGCATATATGTTTTGAGCATCAAATTTAAGAACTACATCACATGCTTCCTCCATCTTATCATATTATTTTGAATGGCGATATATATATGCTAATTTAGTAAATGAGTATCAGATACCTAATACTTAATATGCATCAATATATTGAGGATCGAGTTTCAGGGCTATTTAAACAGCTTCCAAAGCATTATCAAATTATTTTATGTCTGATAAGGTAGTCGCTTTACTAACATAGAAATGTTTTTGATTTGGGTCTTATTTTATCGCCATATCAAAATATTGGATAGCCTCGGTTTTTCGCTTTAATCTTGCTAAAACATAGCCTGGTGATTTTGATTAAAATGTACAGTGTACCTAAACCATAGTTTAAGTCTGGTATGTTTGGATCAGCCTGGAATCCTTTTTCCAAATTCCCTAATGCTTCATTGTACTATTTTTCTTTGATCATTAAACTAGCTGAATGATAAAACATTAGAAAATACCTAATTCATTGAGAGCAAGAGCATGGTTTGGTTATTTCTCAAGGGAAGTTAGAAAATATTTCTTTGCCTTCTCCAACTTATTTTAACACAGTTCAACAATACCTAAAAGGAAATTAAATTGAATGACTAACCCTTTGAATAAATAGCATTCACGAAATCAGGATCAGTTTCTAAAATTCGATCTAATAACTAGGTAGATTGCTCGTATTTCTCATTCTGTATGAGATAGTTTGCTATTATTTTATAGCCAAAAAGAACCTCTTCTGTATAACTTGGTGATATCTGTTTGGCCTTCTGAAATCGAACTAGTTCTTGAATGAATTTTCGATGAATTTAATTATTCTGTTTCTTAGACATTCACTGGTTTTACAGATCCGCAACCCATTAATAAATATTAAAAAAACTGATTTATTTTTTGTGTTCAATCAATTAACCATGTAAATAGTTTGTAAAATAACTAATGTTGTTATAAATTGATGTATGAATAATCAAAGTCTTCATCCTAAAATTGGGAAAGATGGAGCAGCACAAATACCACAAGTATCACCTCCGGCAAGTCTGATGTGACCAGCTTCTCCCCAAGTATTTCCCCATGAGTTTCTGATCTTCCAAGTTCCATCAGCTTAGACACCAACAAGGACGACTCCGTGGTTTAAGTTTTTAGTACATTTGGTGAGGACACCACTTCCTAAAAAATTAAATTTAAATAATTACTGTAGAATTACCATGGATTGGCATCAACGGCAACAGCGACTGTTCTTTCTTAGATTGCTTCGGCTAATTCATCGCATGAGTCAATATCTTAGAATCCTTAGACGTGAGTGAATGGTCTTTTAACTGAGGTCTTGCAGACTCCATCCTTAGCAGTGTATGGATAATCTTTAGCTTCAGCCAAACCGTTGTCAGCAACATATTCATAAGCAGAATCCATCCATCCACCATTACATCCTTAGTTGTCATATGGTCCTGAGCAGTCAACCAAATCTTATTCAGATAATTCGTATTTTCTGTTGAGTTCAATGTCAGCATTGATTTCAAGTGTTCCGACTGCAGAGAAGGCCCAGCATGAACCGCATGATCCTTAGTTCTTAACAGCTGGATACTTAACCTTCTTATTGTCAGTCCAATCGACTTCAGCACCCTTGTATTAGAAGTTAGCATTGGAAGCATTGAGTTTGGTTGTCTTTGGAACTCTGAGACTCAAATAGGTTTAGGCAAATTCTTATTGGCTCATATCAGCAAATTGATTTAATTCCAAAGTGTATGTGGTCTCTTCTGGACTTTCATAGAAGGCTCTGATGTAGTTAAGGTTGTCTGTGAAAACCTTGTATCTGTACATTTCATCTCTTTAGTTTGTATATCTTCTGTTATATTTCATCTTCCAGTTTGCATAAAGATTTGCTGTATCGATTTCATCAGATACTTCTTGTGTGTTGTTTAAGTAGAGGCTAGCGCCCAACAACATCATTAATCCGACTGCCAATAGTGTTTTCTCCATATTCAATATATATTAATGTGATTAAAATTTTGAATGCCATAAATATTAGTATACGATGACGTAATTATCACTTTCTTAATCACACACATAAATATAATTAATGATATTTTTTAATAATGTTTTTCAATCTAATTTTAGTTCATTTACTTACTCTTTTAATATACTCTCTCTTGCTTTGACATCTCATTGACCTTAACATTTTAGCATGATTGTTTGAAAAAAATATATTAATTTATACTGAAAAAAAAATACTTAAAATTATCGTCTACACATGAATGTATATTAAAGTAATTTAATATCCTCTTCTTATATAATTGGTTTTTTAATGAAGAAAAAAATAATTTCTATATCACTTTTTATTTGGCCTTGTTTTATAAAATTTTAGATTATTTAATAATATTAATTAAGTAATTTATAATGTGTAATTTTTTATTATGATGATATTCAAATTGCTTTGCATTGTTTGCTTAGGATAACAAAGAAACTAGTTTGTTTTATTCTAATTATGATTGAACATTAAAAATTTATCATCATCACCTTATAAAATTGGCTTTTATTTTGACTTGATGTAATACAAATACGTTTTATGTCTACATTATTTTCATCTAATTATCAATCTAAAAGCAATTAAAATTATATTATTATTGATTGTTCAGGTACAAAATCAAATTACTTCTTGGCAATATCCTCATAAACATCGAGAATTCTTGTTTTAATTTTTCAATTATTACATTACATTATTATAATTTTTGAGATAATAATAATAAACACTCTGCAAAAAATTATTAATTAACTTATCATGATATGCTTAGTTAATTTTTACAATATAGATATTATTTTTTGAAAATGTTCTTTATTATTATCTTACAATATTTATAATATTCCTAAAACATTAATAATTGTAATATTTTGTACGATTTGGATATCATGTTTCTGTCATTTCTGTTAACTACTCGAGATTATGGTCACTCTGATCGATAATATGTACGATTACACATTAGTAATTAATTCTAGTAATACTATAAAATATTTGCGATTTATTTATGAAATAAAGATGCAATTCTTCAATGATTAATTTGAACAACTCCTAAAACGACGCTATTCATAGGATGTTATATCAAATTTTCAACAGGCTAAATTGATTTTGAGTATAAGGAAATATATAAGAAATAATGAATATAAAAAAATTTCATTTAAATTATTTTCAGTGTGCTTGAGATTCCTTCCCCTCATTTGTTGGCTAGGAACTAAGGATTAAAGCTTAATTTTATTTTTCAAACTATTGGAGTTTGCCAGCTGGACAAAAGGCTTGATTAGATGGGAGATCTATGATGTGCATAGAGGAAGGCAAACTAGGTGGGGGACTGTCAATGATAATTATCAAAGAAGTTCTTTGTGGTTTTGTGGACATACATCCCATTTATTGTATAATTATAATTGAATTTATATTTGGCAATTTTACATGGTAATACATGCAATTCGAGTTTATGATAAAATAATATTAATTGTCTGTTAGAATTTTACCATATGTCTCAATTGTTAAAACCTATATCAGCTTCATCCCCTTCCAAAACCAGAAGTGCATTGTCATAGCACACATAATCAAAGAGTCCTCATTACAATGAGGCCTAATAAGGTAATTTAGTAATTGTATAAATGAGGTTCTACACATCAAAAGTCTCAGTAGAGTTTACGAAATTCTCACTATACAAGTAAATTTGAGAAGAGCATTGATATGGATATGAAACAGAGTAACAGTTTTATTAACCCTGAATTTGAAATTAAGAAACTCATGAACTTAGTTGAATTGCAACAACATGAGATAAACAATTGGAAGCGTCGATATGAACAAGCAGAATAACGAGTATCTTATTAATGTATGTCCAACAATTCAGCTTAAGCAATGAAGGATTATGAAAATCATTTAGATTAATTAACAAATGAACTTAAAAATTACAAGTCTATTAACGATGATTTAATTAATAAAATGAAAGAAAAAGACTCTCAGATTGCAAAGTTAAATAAACAATAAGATATCTACAAATAATAACTGAATGACTATTAGTCTGAGTTAAAGTATGCATAGAAAGAAAAAGCTAATTTGGATTAAGATGCTTCTAAACAATTGTATTAACAAGATCAAAGATACAATAAGAATTTGTAAGAAATTCAATAGACTCATTATGAGTAAATGTAAATTATGGATGATTAAGTCTAAAAATTGTAAGAGGAGTTGATGAGAAGAAATTAAGTCATTGAATTTTAGAAATAAGAAATAATGTAATTAGATAGTATCATTAATGAGATTAAAACAGGAGAAAAGACTTTGATATAATCATTAGATGCTTATAAATTAAAATACTAAGATTTAGAGGTTGAGAAAAAGAAGGAAATTAATAAGTAAAATTAAAACTTTGAATAAACCATCAAATAATAAGAGAAAGAATTTTTGGATGAAAAAGAATGTCTCATTCATAAAATTAGTTAATTGCAATATGAAATTGCTACATTAAACTAATAACATCAAGAATCATAAAGTAAAATTTAAATTAATTTAAGACCTAATTTCAGGCTTACAAGACGAAATTCAATCATAAGTGGAGTAGAATTGTTACCTTTAAGAGCAACATCAAGGTAGTACATAAGATTTAGAATTAAAGTATAAAAAAATCATTTAGGAACTTAAAATTGATAATGAATAATAGAAAAATAAATTATCTTAAGAGAATTCAAAATTAAATTCTTAATTAGAAGTTACTTCACAATAGCTTAGTGAATATTAAGAATTGAATCAAGAATTATAGAATACTTTAGATACTCTCAATTAACATAATCAAACCTAATCAGAGCAATTAAACAGATTACAAAATGAAATTGAATAATTACAATAATAATACGAAAACGATATAACTGAATAAAACTATGAAATTTAATAATTAAATGATTAAATTGAATAACTTACAGAATTATTAGAGTAGAGATCGAATGAGCTTGATGATAGCAGATAGTTGAGAGGAGAATTAGCATTAAAAAATAATGAAAATCATGTAAATTATATTTGTGATATTCGTAGCTCTTGATCCAGAGATTATAAAATGAATTAGAGTCTTAAAAATAAAAACTGATTGAATTATAAAAACAACATCTAATTCAAGGATAAGTCAAAGAGGAAATAAGTAAATCACAATTTGAATAAATGAAAAGACAAATGGAGTCTAAAATTGAGTTACTAGAAACTGAGAATAAAACTATATTGTATAAATTCGAAATGAAATCGAGAGAATGTGAAGAATGGAAGCTGTAGCATAATAAAAATTTATGATACTATTTTTATTTATTATTATTTAAGTTGATAATTTAAAGTGCTTTTATAATCTTAAATAACTTATATAAAATGATTTTTTAAAAGTTGAGAATTACAGAATTGATAACTTAACTTGTTGAAGCAATAAATATATTCATTAAATGGAGAAAATAACTTGATAAATGTAAATATTATTTATATTTATTTATTCATAATTAACCTTTTGCTGGTATAGATACATAAGAAAAATCAAATTCAGGCTAATGTTTTATTATTAATTAAAATGTCTACAAAATTAGAACTTATGGAAATTAATGATAAAATAATGATAGAATTGAATTCTATATTAATGAATAGATAATTATTATTTGATTTGATCATTTAATAAAATTTATATTATGAGATAAGAAATCCTTTTAACATGTTCTTATGAAGAGCATGAGAACAGTCCAATAATAGGAATTTGCACTAACAAAAACTGCAAACATAAAAGAACTTATTGTATTGCTTGCAAACCTTAATTTCACACAGAACATTCAGATGATTTGGTTAGATTACATGAATTTGATAGTTGGATTAAAAGCAGAAGATAATTGATTGAACCTGTAAATCAGCTTATTGGTGAAGTTTAATCCTTTTAAAAATCTCTAAAATGTTTAGTTGAAAACGTAGATAAAAAAAGTCAACCAGATCTTGAGACTTTAAATTGTTCAGAAATAGAGGAGTATATTAATTAACTTATTCTTCTCGAAAAATCATAAGTTCGTTTGATTCCAAAAATAAGATAATTAATTTCTTTTTAAGAGAAATTAAAAAAAGAGATTGAGAGTCTAATTTTAAATAAGGAATGTATTTAATATTCTATAAAAAGTAAGCGAAAATGAATAGTTGACAATTCAAGAGTTATGTTATTCATAACAAATGAATTCATCTTGTATAATTAAGGACGATGACATAAAAATAGAGGAATACAAAGAAACTGATAAATACACAAAAATTCAAATCAAATTTTCATAAGAACTAAAATACGAAGATATTACTCTTACAAAAAATTAATTAATTGCTTAAGGTGATCTTTTTGCTCTTTGTGAACCAGTATTACCAATGAATCTTTCAACTAAGTTTGCTTTCAAATGCCATGAAGATGGGATATATATTGGCGTTTGCAGAAAGGAATTAATTTAAAAGGCAAATTTTAATCCAAAACTCAATAAAATTGGGCATGGGTAATATAAATTATAATTTTAGAGCCTATTTAATTTTTTGTGATGGTTCTGTCTACTCACATTTAGAAAAAGAAAAGAATTTAACCAAACAATCATTCAAATATGCAAAGAATGACATAATATAAGTTATTGTATAAATGGCAGAATAGAAAATTACTTGGATTAAATAGTATACGAATGAGGAATTTGTAAACTATACAATTTATAATAGTCTATGAAATTAGAAATTGCTGAAGACCTTTGCCCTTGTGTGCAATTATGGGGAAAACCTGGAACTTAGGTTGAAATTGTTGATTTTTGACAATTATTTAATTTATTTATAGAACAAAGTAAACACAAATGTCCCAAATTTACTTTTTATTAATTATGGTATAATAATAACTAATTATAATTCATTAATTGAAGCTTTCATCTATTTTGATACAAGTTTATTCTAACAATTTTAGAATACTCTCATGTGACTTTTCTTTTTGCTATCTTTCAGCTATAATTTCAGATTAGATTTTCTAATGTACGTCTTCTATCATAGAAAATATCTTTTTCTCAGTTTCTTCTCTAACAGATCTTTCTATAGACATCATTTCCTAAAACTTATTTAATTCTAAATCCATTTATTCTATTAAGTGAGCCTATGAGTCAGTTCTGATATATCATGTATGAATACCTAGTTTATTGTTCATTTTCAATAGTATATCTTAGTTCTTTTAATTGATTGCTTACATCTCCTATTTATCTATTCAATTTATCATAATAGACTGAATTGTTTTTTTCAAGCATGCCATGAACTGTGTCAAATCTATCCTCTATTTATTTTAAAAGCTACATTTCTACTCTTCTCTTACTCTATTTTGATTTAATTGATATATATATACATTTTTTTCCTCATCCAATTATTTATTAATTAATTCTTCGAATTGTTGTAACTATTCTTAATACCTAGCATAATGTTCTTTCCCAAACTTTTCATTATTGATTTGATCACTAAGTTTTAAAATTTATTCTTTTAGTGTCTATTGAATTATTGTATATTATACTTTAAACCTATCTTCATCCTTTATTTTATCATAATTTAATAAGCTATCAATCTTTTGGAGTGATGCATCAATAATTTCTTTTTTTTCAAATTTATCTCTTTCTATACCAGCTTTTAATTAAGTCCATTTATCTGCTAAAGCTTACATTTTTTAGAATGATGGTGATTCTGATCTTACTTATGAATTGCTCATTATCTAAGATGTTGAAAACTTCATTTCTTCTAAAATTTAAAATTAAAATTTTCTTTTGTTTGTTAGAATTATTATTAAAAAATATTCGATAAAAGTATAAATTTTTAGCTTGAATAAAATATAATTCATTCTTTCATTTTACTATTTGGATTTATCTGACAAATTTATGGCAATTAGATTAGATAGATCTACTATGTTATCTAGGTAAATATTCATATTTATTCAATATTTATTACATTGAATTGGATTATTGATTTTAAAGTATAACAACGAAGTTCTTTTGACTCAATTTGTAAATTGTTTATATGAAAATATATATATGTATTGTTTTAAAATCAATAATTTTATTTTTTGAATTTGAATGAGTAAGACAAAAAACAATCATAGGAGATCACAGTCTAATAATGATTTCCAATAGATAATGAGTTCTAAAATAGCTGGATTGGTTGAATAAAATTCTCATAAAAATTTACTGAAAAACCAAAGCTTTGGTAATATGTTATTCCAAATCCCTGAATAAACTGACATAGGTTCTTCAACAGAATAATCTCATCATTCTGAAAAGAAGAGTTGTATAAATGATAATCTGCTATCTAATAAAAAGAATTTTTCATAAGACCAAAAAGAAAATCTAATAAATTCCAATTCTTGCTCTAACATCATCTCATCAATTTAATATATGATTAAAAGTAGTCATCCAATAAAAGAAATAGCATAAAAAACATTAAATAATGATAGTTAAAGTAAAAAAAAGCAACTAAGTTTTACAAATGAATTGCAAAAGAAAAATAGCCAAATTCTCCATTAGCAAAATAAAATAGATATCTCATCAAGTTTGACTCCAGATAGAAAGAAAATAGATAACAACAATAGTAAACAGAACAGTCACAAATAAAAATCAGCTTAATAATAAATAGATGGTCAAGATAAATCAAAAATAGAATTGTCAAACTTTTTATTGAACAATTTATTAAAGGGGGACTAAAAAAAGAAAACTAATGGGGAACAATAAGATTCCTTTAGAAGAATTGAATTTCAGATGAATGAGATTTAGAAGGACATTTCAAAAATAAAAAAAAGACAAGATGAACTGGACTTATTCAATAGAAACATTTAGAATTAACTCTTTGATTTTATTTCGGAAAGTAGAAAATATCAGGATGTAAGTGTTATTTTAATATTTAGTATGGATATTAATCTCTCTAAAAACTCGAATAATTAGAACAAATCACCAGAAGAAATGAAGAATCAATAAAAATGCTTAAATAAAAATTATTCAACAATGACAATTAGTAAATTACTACTAAATAACATGAAAATAATATCAATTTTGGGTATAATAATCATATTTATGCATTAGTAATATTTCCTCTTACAAACAAGAACTTGATATACAAAAAAAAATGTCTGATTTTAAGTATATCAAATACAATTGAAACTTAATTCAATTTTGAATTTATAATTAAAATATTTATAGAATCTTTCCATTAAATGATTATTTTATAAAATCTTAATTAAAACCAGCAATAATAATTAATTCATTTCTGGACTCTACTTAAGAGAGTGTTAGATCTTAAATATTTGTTCTCTGAATCCTCAACAGATGTCTAAAATCTTCTATTCAAGTCATTGAAGAAACTATGATCTCTTTTTCTCTCTCCGTTGATTTCTTTACCTACAAATTAACTAGACTTGGTAGAATGAGCTTTATTGGTATCTTGAAGTATTTGTTTCTTCAATATCATATATTCTTCTAATATATTTTTAAGCCATTTCCAACATTCTTTCAAACTAGAAAATAAACTAATATTTTACCTTGGTTTAGCTTGGGCTTGACTCAAAGTGCAGTTCATCACCATATCGACAATACATTCTACGAATTTATTCATCTGATGTTGATCATACTGGTTTAATTGGGGGGACTTTTCTCTCAACACTACCGACTTGTACTATTTACTAATGTTTTCTTTAGAATTCTTTCTGGATAATTAGACCTAGAAACAATAGTCGCAATGGATTACATCGTGTTATAGTTTATTAATGTAAGTCTCTTGGGATTGGATGTATTGTTGCAACTCATAAATTTTGGCTTGATTTATTTAATCTTGTTCTTCCTATTTCAACTTTTATTACTAGAAGTAAATGATTTAGAAATTACTTCATTAATTTATTCAGCTACTTTCTATTGATGTTGCTATTAGAATAACTTTTGTTCATATTCAAATATTTTGGTTTTTAAAGTAGAGTTTTCTTTTTCCAATTATCCAAGACTTTTCAAACTCTTGTGGTATTGCTGTTCGGATTAACTAATCTACAACTCGAGATCTTCTATTTTCTAGAGGTGTCTTTTTGATGCTGAGTCTCTTTGCAATTAATTCATTGATTAATCTTCACTAATATTCAGATGAAATTTACATCATCATTTGCTAATTCAACTTCAATTTCTCATTCTATTCTTACAACCATACTTAATAGTGCTCTAATTCTTCGATTCTTTTATCTTTCTCTCTCAAGATTTATAATAATTATTTATGTTCTTGACCTTAAACATCATCGATTTGAACTTGATTGCATTTTTTCATGAACACATTCCCTTGATCTTTCTTGGTCTCACAATAACTCTAAAGTATTTAATAATGAAATTCATACTCCTTGGTCATTTGAGAATTTACTATAACTACATAATACATCCTCATCCGTTGTTAATCTAATTTATTTATCCCACGAATATTAACTGATAGACAAGAGCAGAGCCTAACTTAATTCTTGCTTCTCCGGAGTTTTTTGCATACTTATAATATTTATATTTGAAAATTTAATAATTATTAACGTTTATCATTTACCAAATCTATAGGGAATTTGAGAAAGCGAAGATCCTGATACCATTTCAGCCTTCTTATTTTGTAAACTTTATTACACAATTTTAGAAAAATCAATATGCGTAGTTCCTTAATAATGAGAGTAAAAAAGTACTTGGAGAACAACTAAGCATTCTAGCCTATTCCTCTTCTCTTTAGGTTTAGCAATACAAATTGAGAGATTATTCATTTCTTTAATTGTTTTTTCTCAAACTATTTTCTAGTTCAATTTTTTGTATTTGCAACATTTAAACTTATCTAGTATGTTGTAAATCCTTTTCCATCAACAGCTTGATCTAAGTTTGTGTTTATTCCATATATTTAATTTTTTCTTCCTTCGCTTAAATCAAAGCTGCTGACAGCTCATTCAATTTAGATTACAACTAAGCAACCTCCACTTTGAGCTTATTAGTTTCGGCATTTAAAGTGGTAATTTGAAGATCCTTGTCGACATTCTATTATTTTAATGACAAGACTAATTCGCTCAATTCTCTATATTGTTTTTCGAGTTCTTTCAACTCCTCATTCCCAGAATCTGTAGTATTTTTATGTGAATTCAATTGTTCGGTCAAGGCAACTATCTGATTTCTTTCATTCTAAGTGTTCTCATTTTATATTTAATACATTAATTTATTCTTGTCTTGCTTCTTCTACTATAAGGATTGCATTCATAATATCTTCAACATCTGAATTGATGCCTAACTTCAGTATCTCTTCGAAGTCATCATTAAATGTTTTGGAGATCTGAATCCACAACTTGAGCAGAGTTTGCTTGAATTCCTCCTTCTCAGATTTAAGATTTTATATCTCATTCTAGAGTTCATGAAATGTAGAGTCATTTATATCAGGAGTAGTAATCATTATTAACAAATATTAAATTTATTTTATTTCTTCATAACTGCTAAAACCGAGACTCCATTGGAAACTTTCCCTGGATTATCCTCTTTAGACGCTTCTTGGAACCCTGGTTTACGCACAGCATCGAGTAGTAGGCATTTTGCAGGAAGGATCGGCTTCTGTACTCTTTCACCTTTTGCTTATTTTGATGTTCATTCCCTTAAATAAGGGCCAATATTACGAACTTTTTTTATTAGACTATCGATCATCTCGATTTATTATTTCGATTATTCTTACAATTGCGCACTCGCATTTTACATTATACTACTAATGGCCAATTGTCTATTCTTATTAATCATGTATAAACTGTAGGGTAACTTAACTCCGTTGAACACAAATGATGATTCCTGTTGAAAATATGCCGAAGTATTTAATAATTGTGTTTATTGTTAATTCTTGACCTTATGAAATGATTTTCTGTTAGAAATAAGAATAATTGATATACTTGTATTAAGAATAACTCTTTTGTAAATCTGATAATTCCTTAAATTTCTATTCTTTGCTTTTATTTAAGATGGGAATTTTAGGTGAGACCTCTAAACTGCTTAAACTTATCTTGCTTCCTTTTCTGCTTTTTTTGGGGATCTCATGAAATGATTACTAAGTCATATGGTGATGTTAAACTTTAGGTTGATTTTGTCTAGTTGTCATAAAGACATCAGGCAATTGAAACGATTTTTGAGGTTGTTCTTCAAAATCGATTTTGAGTTATGGTTATCCATGAAGGGAATTGTTGTGGAATCGCCATTTAGATTTAATGGCTTGTATGTTATAATTGTCAGTCTCAGAGAGTTGAAAGTAATCGTCGCAATGATTCATATATAATTAATATTACAAATTGTGAATAGATTTTCTTCATGATTGAGCCATCTATTTCTTGCAATGAATAATTATATGCAAGTTGTTTCGATGATAAGGATTCAGCCGTAACTACTCATCAGATTTGGAGTAGCTTGTTCTCATTTATTCAGTTGTAGTGCATATTTCTCTTAGAGAAAAAGGGGACATGGCTTCTGATTCATTAGAACATCTATGGTCATAAGATTTGATATTATGTCTGACATTTTCAAAATAGTTTTATTGCTTCTGTGTAGGGTCAGTAATTTAGAGTTCTAATTTATCGAGATACTCATTGACTCTTTATTCAATCTAATTCATATCGAATTGTGAAAAAGATAAAGATATTAATGTTCATAAGAATGCGGTGGCATTTTGGATAAATTCATAATTAAAGTACGAGGTATTTTCCTAATTTGATACTTATTAATATATCATTAATAAATTTGATTCAAAATCTAAATCAGAGAAGGGTTTTCTTGTAGATTGGGCTGGTTGATAGGCCTCCACTACAGTATTGATAATCAACCTGTAATCAAAATACTATAATAATTATTTCATTACTTATTGTAATACTAATAAATAGAAGGGATGAAAAAAAGGAACTATGAAGAGGACATCAGATTCAAGGCCAAATAGAGATGTTAGACTATATCTGAATGGGCATTTAAAACAATCGAATCTGAGAGAGTACAAGAAACAAGAGGCAAGTCATTATTTAGTGGATCCATTAAGATTCAAAATCAACTTATGTATTCTATCCAATAACCTGAAAAACAACCGAAAATAATAAGTACCAAGAGCATTTTTAGAAAGAATCCAAGACTTGGTCTTTCTCAAAAGCCTACGTCATAGCAATCATCAAAAATTTATAGGAAAATGATAGACCCCAATTAAATTACAAGGTCACTTGATTACTCTGAATTAGCAGAGTCTGAAACAAATACAAGCAAGAAGAGAGTGCCATAAAATAAAAGACTCAATCGATAATTTTAAGCAATCTATAATAAAATGAAATTAATTTTGGATTCCTACAATTAAAGAGAAAGAGTACTTTTGAAGTAGATAGCTTCTTTGTAACAAGAGATTATCATTCTCAAATAAACTTAAAATTAAACAATTTGAATTTTATTTATTTTCTTCCTTATTTATTTATATCACAACTTCGCTATTAATAATGTCCGAAAGCGTCAAAAGGAATATCAAATCATTTACACCTTATGTTGCGAAACCCTCAGACATCCCCTCAGTCGAAGCATCCATGGATCCTCTGAGGCAGTTTCGACCACTCCTAAAAGTGCAAACCTCAAATGACCCTTAGGTCTAATAGATGTCAACAGATCAACCCTTTTAAACAAACTTACATTACAATCAAACTTTTGCCTCCTTTGATATTTCCTAAAGAGTTTCATTGGATGGAACAAGTGAATACTTGCTCAACCACTCTAAAATTGTAGGACCTCTAGTAAATAGTTCACTTGATAGTAAATCAAGAGAAAGACAGCACGACGTTCTGCAATCCCAAAGCCGCTTTTTTGCCTCTATGATGCCCATCTTTTTCAATTCGCCAATGCAATCCTACTACCCTTATCTACCTCCGCCATGCCAAACTGAAATGCCTCGTCAATCTAATAATAGTCTTGATAAATAGACTAAAACCAATCCAATAAACGCAGTCTAGCCCTTTGTTGGTAAACCTCCCTCTTAAAACCAATAATAACTGGATTAGCCATAGAATCAATGCAAGTGGTTAAAACGCGTAAGCTCTTGTGAAAGTGTGCTCATGAAGGAGGAGGAAAGCCTATAGAATGAGCTGAAACAACCCAAAAATGAATAAAAATTGACGAAGCGAATCAGGAAAAGAATACCAGTGGAAGAGAGTTCGGATTCCTATAGAGTCCACCGTAAGAAGAAGGGACCTAAAGTCAATGATACCAAGAATATCACGAAAAACTTTTCAAAAGCCATTATATCTTATATTCTGAACGATGAAAAATTAATTTAAAAATTTATTACCAGCGAACAATAGGACAGCTTCATTAACATATTAAAAAATAAAAAGAATCAGATGACAAATATCAAGTAGCTCAGAGACATGTGGGTTGATAATGGTAGAAACCCTGAATTCAATAAAGTATTTCGAATCATTAGGTATTTTTAAATAATTTCTATTAAGCCAATACTTTCTAAAAAATTAGGCGGTTCCATACGTGTACAATTCAAGAATTTCTAACACAGCTTGGCATCTCAAATATAGATAAAACTTATTGAGAGCGTTAAGAGAACCTGAAAACTTTAAATTTATAAAAGATATATGAATTTTCAAGATTATATTTTAATTACAATTACTAATAGTGACTAATTAATACTCTTTTATTATAAAACAGATATACATAATAAATACATCACTTCAATCCACTTTGGCCTTCCTCATGACCTTCGTAATCTTCTATTGAGTTATAAACAAGCAATTCATTAGTAATATGACCAAACACACCTTATATATTACCGACTCCAAGTCATAGACATGCATGATTTGGGAGAATAAAAGTAACTATCATATATCCAATTAAATTACATAGAATCCTAATTTCCTCAGGGATTAGAATTGATATTAACCATGTTTGTGAGTGTCAATCAATTAGTTGTTTCTTTGCATAAATAAATCTCCAAAAATATAATACAATAATTTGAATATCCAATTCTGTTGAGGCATTAACATTATGATATAATTCATGATCTATCTAAAATATTTAAAGTTCAACATCAAAAACACTGTTAACAGTTAAGTTGTAACACCATTAGCAATGTCAAACAATTTGATAATGATTATGACGTTAAGCACACCTAATGCACAGTATTTTTCATTCAAAAAACTCAACATCAAAGCAGGAAATGATAAAATAAAAGCAAATCCAAATATCATCAAATTATAGAACTCATGACTAAACAGAGAATTGAAATAGTTAATGAATGCTTATGGGTATATAGCCTAAGCCAATGTAGAACTAAAATAAAATGGAACCAAAATGAAGCATTGAACAATTATTAGTACCAAAATTAAGAATATCAATTCGATTACCAATTCTTGGAGACCTGAAAAATTAGGCTATATTTAAATAAGATGATGTTACTCTGATATTCTTTTTTGTAATGATTCCATGTTACTGACATAATCTTCCGAAAGCGTATGTTGAAATTAGAGGGTAGAGTAAGAGACATTATGGTTCATAATTGACTGCTATTACATACAGGATTGAGCCGAACCAAACATTTTCGGTTATAATAAAGACACACAAGGCCATCAATACTATAAATAAGTGAGGGTTTAGTTACTTTCAGTAATATTCCATATTCCCAAGAATGTAGGACACATGATTTGATAAAGTAATATTCCTGATAGGATTTCTTTGTTGATTTTAAACTGTTTGGATTTAAGTATAAAGTACAAGGGACAGTAAAAGACGAGTAAGTTGATTATTAAATTCAAGTAATGAAAGAAGGGCTAATTGATTTATTCTTGTTGCTGTTTGAACACATGTAACTTAGAGGAATCAAATACATTAACAATCAATCCAATTAGACAATAAAATTAGGCTTTGAGTGGTGACAGTGGCAATTATTAAAACTGATTATACCATGTATTATGTCCGAATAGGACTGTTTTTTCCATTAATTATTGGTATTCTTCGTAGTTTGGCAGATAGAGTATCAAATTGGCAAGGGATACAAGTAGGAAGGTGAAAATGATGGATAAGTCAATTGATTTTGAAGATTTCGCAATTTTACTCAATAAATCTGAGTACGGATCTAAGGTGTATGGTTATTTGACAAAAATAGTCTTTTTAATGAATTCGTGTGATCTAGATAAGAGGTGGATTGTACTTCTCGATGATCTAATTTACAGTTAATTGGGGAGTCCATTTGAGAACTTTGAAATAGTAATCGTAGGAATTGAAATCATCAAGATTTTTAATGGAGTAAAAGTCATCATCCAATTGGAATCTCAATTGAGGTTGGGAGAAGGGGTATAACTCATTTAATTTGATTTGGGTTCTGCATCCTTGTGAATCGAATTGTATAATATCTACATTGGAGTTTGAGATCCAATTCAGTTCTAGGGATTGACAAATTTCTTATTCTAAGAATATTGGATTGATTGGGATTACCCTTTTTGATACGATTTGGGCGAATAGAATTTTTGAATGGAGGTTTAGGGAAAAGTTATGAAATTAAGAATTCTATAAATTACATAAAAATATTTATGTGTTGTGGAGACAATTAACCAAAGAATCAACCCAAGGCTGGAATCAAAACTAAATCAAATGCCCCTGGGCAAAAGAAGGACATCAAAGTGGTGATGCTTGGAGATAAGGCCGTGGGGAAAAGTTCGATTGCTTCAAGATTCTGTTTTGATAAGGTATGCCAGTCAGTTTAAAAAAATATAATAGTTTCAATCAGAATATGAAATAACGATTGGTGGAGTGTACAATAGCGTGGATCTGACAGTGAAAGGTATTTAAATAGTTTCTAATTGGTTAGGTTAAAACTTAAAGATCCATTTATGGGACACCGCAGGAGAAGAGAAATTTAGATCTCTACTTTCATTGTACTATAGGGATGCAAATGCTGCTATTATTGTGTACGACATCACGCAAAGTGACTCCTTTTCGTCTGTTTCGACTTGGCTTAAAGAATTGGAAGATAAAATCTAAAAAGATGGTAAGAATGATTCAGATAATTGAGGAATGGCTCTGGCTTTGGTGGGCAACAAGTGCGATTGCTTAGAATCTGAAAGAAAAGTGCCCAAGGCCAAGGCTACTGATTTTGCTAAGTAGAATGGCATGATATTCTATGAAACATCTGCCAAAACAGGAGAAGGTGTTAAGAATTTATTTTAGCAATTAATTGAGACATATGTTGCAGAGAATATGTGAATATTAATCTTAAATATAATTTGCATTCCTACTCATATAGTTATATAACCAAATTCTCTAATAGCATCACTAATGATCTTATAACTAATTTAATTATTATTAATTAACTTAAAGACCTAGCACTATCAAAAGCACGCTCAGTACCTATCCATCACTACTACTATTCGTACTCCAGATGCTTAGAAATGTATATTATGGGTTATAGAAAACAGATTAATAAATCAATAAAGTTATCCTGACATTATTTAATTAATAAATTCCCTCTATCGCATATTATGTGCATTCATTTCTACTCCAACAATTGTCATCTATAAATACTCATTATGTAATTCATTGTATATTTAAATATAAGAATTAACATAGAAGATATGGAAAAAGAGGGACTGATTGAGTCAATGATATAAAATACTCTCTAATTAATTAATATTATGTATTTATTTAATGTANAATTGAGGTTGGGAGAAGGGGTATAACTCATTTAATTTGATTTGGGTTCTGCATCCTTGTGAATCGAATTGTATAATATCTACATTGGAGTTTGAGATCCAATTCAGTTCTAGGGATTGACAAATTTCTTATTCTAAGAATATTGGATTGATTGGGATTACCCTTTTTGATACGATTTGGGCGAATAGAATTTTTGAATGGAGGTTTAGGGAAAAGTTATGAAATTAAGAATTCTATAAATTACATAAAAATATTTATGTGTTGTGGAGACAATTAACCAAAGAATCAACCCAAGGCTGGAATCAAAACTAAATCAAATGCCCCTGGGCAAAAGAAGGACATCAAAGTGGTGATGCTTGGAGATAAGGCCGTGGGGAAAAGTTCGATTGCTTCAAGATTCTGTTTTGATAAGGTATGCCAGTCAGTTTAAAAAAATATAATAGTTTCAATCAGAATATGAAATAACGATTGGTGGAGTGTACAATAGCGTGGATCTGACAGTGAAAGGTATTTAAATAGTTTCTAATTGGTTAGGTTAAAACTTAAAGATCCATTTATGGGACACCGCAGGAGAAGAGAAATTTAGATCTCTACTTTCATTGTACTATAGGGATGCAAATGCTGCTATTATTGTGTACGACATCACGCAAAGTGACTCCTTTTCGTCTGTTTCGACTTGGCTTAAAGAATTGGAAGATAAAATCTAAAAAGATGGTAAGAATGATTCAGATAATTGAGGAATGGCTCTGGCTTTGGTGGGCAACAAGTGCGATTGCTTAGAATCTGAAAGAAAAGTGCCCAAGGCCAAGGCTACTGATTTTGCTAAGTAGAATGGCATGATATTCTATGAAACATCTGCCAAAACAGGAGAAGGTGTTAAGAATTTATTTTAGCAATTAATTGAGACATATGTTGCAGAGAATATGTGAATATTAATCTTAAATATAATTTGCATTCCTACTCATATAGTTATATAACCAAATTCTCTAATAGCATCACTAATGATCTTATAACTAATTTAATTATTATTAATTAACTTAAAGACCTAGCACTATCAAAAGCACGCTCAGTACCTATCCATCACTACTACTATTCGTACTCCAGATGCTTAGAAATGTATATTATGGGTTATAGAAAACAGATTAATAAATCAATAAAGTTATCCTGACATTATTTAATTAATAAATTCCCTCTATCGCATATTATGTGCATTCATTTCTACTCCAACAATTGTCATCTATAAATACTCATTATGTAATTCATTGTATATTTAAATATAAGAATTAACATAGAAGATATGGAAAAAGAGGGACTGATTGAGTCAATGATATAAAATACTCTCTAATTAATTAATATTATGTATTTATTTAATGTACTCAATATTATCTTTTATTGTTCTCGAATCATCAAGAATAACCTAGATGACTCTAGGAATATATATTATTTCTAATAACAATTATTGATATATATGTATAATATAAATTTCGAATAACTTAATTTGTAAATGTAAAAGGAAGATTTAAATTTCTTCTAATAAATAATAAGATTAATCACAATATATTTATTTTAGATAAAGTCAAATTAATTCCCCTAGTTGAAAGATATCGAAAGACTTCTTGGATTGGCAATAATGTAGAAATAGTTTAACAATTAAAAATGTCAAATATCTGTGTTCTTTATTATTTATCTAATTAAATTAACTGAATTAGGATGTAGCCATTTTAGAAATTCAATGTTTTCCTCATCGAGATCCATTTTTGGTTGAAAAATTAGTTTAATTTTAATTATATATCATATTTAATCAATAATCTTCAACGTACCTTTCATTTTTGATATCCATGTTTCTAGATATTTTTGCTGAAGTTATTTGTTGATTATTAATAGGTTATTCAGAAACTGGTTGTAAATATTTCTTATCAAATGGCCATTTCTCTATTGTAACTTATGGGTCTTCGAAGTAACTGCTGGAGCCAAAGTATACTTTCACATCACTCACTTTTCCCTAACATAATATAACCAATATTATACATAGAATTCTGCAAAATTTTGATCCTTTATTAAATAGAAATAAAACACATTTGGTATTATGTGAAGAGATTCAATCTTTTTTTGTTATGCTTATTTGACTTATAAAGCATAAGCCAACGCATTTCCTTTCTTGTATTAGAAGAATACGTAAGTCCATTATAATTATTCCACTTGGATCTCCTCTACTTTTTATTCAAATTATGGAGTGTCCAATAATTTATAAGTATTATAACTCAATTTCTCATTTAACATACTAACAAGAAGTGTTCTATCTCCCAATTGCATGTCCTTCATAAATTAAGGGTGGTTTGTTGATAGTCTGGCAATTAACCTAGGAACTGTTGGCATACCAGGTAATAAAGGAGACTACTGTATCCACATTCCATAGGAATATTCAATAGATTCTTACTTATCCTCAAATTTATAATCTATGTAGCCAGTCTTTAAACTTTCAGTTGTATCCATTTAAGGAATTGCCCACTTGAAATCAGCTAAATCCACTGCAGGTAGGGGCAGCTTACGATGAATTTTTTAGAGTAGATCCACAACCTTCTGACTTTCATTGATAAAGCTACCTTATCCTAGATATAGACGTGGATCATAGAGCCAACCATGAAACTACCCATGTCCAAATTCAGACACTCCAATCAACAACTTAGCATATCCTACTAAAGGTATGTGTTTAGTTGCAAACTCAACTTTCAAAGCTTTGGCAGTGTCTCTTACTATTATTATACCAACTGTTTAACCATCTTTATATCCCATATACATAAAATTCCATGATCCTTCTATCTACTCATAGGCAGCCAGACTATTTGCAGCAAAGTTGTTGGTTGCAATGTCATAACTGCTGAATTCATACGATCCCTTATTCAAAAATGCACTCAGCACTCTATCCTATATTTATGATTTGTCTTAATGTTCTCTCTTAGCAGTGAATCTAAAAATAGAATGAGAATCCTTTCTCTCCACTAAATGGTCTGGGAAATCTGTTAACCATCTCGTCCATATACCAATAGCATATTCAGTTATGGAATCAATTTCATTAGTAAATTCTTAAACGATGAATTCTGGAGTCTATAACACAGTATCTTTATTTGAATTCCATTAGAATTATTTATTTGGCTACACCAGACCGTAATTTGGTAATAGTTGCTAATAACCATTCTTCTTCAGACTTACAAATCCACCCAATCCGTAAGCTGCTGTCCATTTGTTCATTAATCCAATAAATTTACTTGTAAATTTATCTTATCCAATGTACAATCCTAAATAATTCGGTACGTAATGCTACACTTATTCCCAGGTTATTGGTTTGTCTTCAATCAGAGTATGCAATAAACAATGGACTTCTCTTGTTCTTTAATTGTAACCCATATAGATATAATTCCAAGCATAATTGTAATCATTCAATTCTAATTGTCCATCCATAAATTTAGGTTCATTTGCATCTTTTAGATCCACCAGTGTGTAAGTTGAATACTTAATTAGCTGAGTATTACAAATAGTAATGTGTAGAGTTCTGTCTCCTTAGGATTTCCTATCATTCAAAATTTCTGCATTATTATTCGTCAATCTTAAAATTAATTAACAATCTGTATTTCCTGTACCAGTTGGCTTAATCCATCCACTAAATGCATATTCACTGATTCCACTCCACCTATTCCCTTCGAATTGAATGCCATTAGTAATATCGATCTAGTTTACATCTTCAATTATTTCAAACTTCCCATGCTTCTCCTTATCAGTGTATTCTTGTGTCAACTAAAAGGGCAAAGAGAAAGTAGTCTCTATTTGAGACTTGAATTGATCTTATTATCGAATATAGGATCCAGGACCTAGAGACAACATAATCTTTGTGAGGCTTCCTTAGAAACCTGTAATAGTATCTTCCTTTCCAATCCTAAATAGTAAGTAATCAGTTAATGGTTTATGTAAGATCTTGTCTATTTTCATTTCTGTTATTGTCGTATCAAAAGTATAACAAGAAATAGTCTCAATATCTTTGCTGTAACCCATATAGATATATCTCCAGATGCCTTCTAATTGATTGTATTTCATGAACTTTTATTGTATTCCAGTATCAGTGTTCAGATCATAGGTTGATAGTTAATAATAGTTGAATACTATATGTGTTGCTAGAACTCTGTCTCCAGTTTTGATTACACCATCTGTTATTTATTTGTTGATTGACAACCGTGCTAATTGCATTAAAGCTGGTTTGGATAGTTATCTTGTGGGAATAGTAGTGAGGTATCGAGTCCACATACCGAAAGCATATTCTGACATTTAATCAAATGGGTATTGAAATCCATTGAATAGTTCAACCTTCATAGAACTAATAGTTTCATCACCATCTGATACTAACATTACTTATTCATTCTTCTCCCATGTAATTTTCTTCTATTTGGGGAACAATTTGTCTGCAACAAGATATTCAGGTAAAAAAGGTATTTTGCTGTTAGTATAAGAACCTGGACCTATTGTAAGAGCAATTTAAGCCAAATTGCCCTCAAATCTTTATTGGATGTTATCACTGCCTACATAGATCCAGAGTCTGTCACTTATGGCATGAAGGATAATTTCTTCGCTTTTGCATATGTATTCATCCACTGAGAGATAGTAATAGAACTTTTATTTGCTTTTGCTATATCCCATATAGATGAATGACCAATTGTGTTGACTTAATTCTGGTATCTAGCAATTGTAGGGAATACCAAAGTTCATGCCTTTCAATAGGGTGTAAGTAGAGAACTCCATATTGTCTTTGTTAATTTTAAAAAAGGCAAGTGTTCTATCACCAATCCAAGAAGAGTCAGTTACTTTGCCCACAGGATTCTAAGTAACTCTAACAACAGTTTCTTTATTTTCATTTATTTTTTGGAATTGCTTATACCACAAAGCTAAAGAATATTCATTTGCTGGAAAATCAATCATTTGTGGATTATTTGGAAGAACCTTATAATTATCCACCTTTCCATCAATAATGGTATATTTATGAGAAACATCATAAGGGACAGAAGGCATCAAGTCGGTGTTTTTCATTCTTTACAATATGTCATTCTTACTATCTATATAAGCACCATTGCCTAATTTAAATTTAATGCCTGTCAACTACCCATTAAAGTTTGGATAGTACTTTCCACTATGGCCTATTGTAAGTTGAACAAAATTATTTATTGGATTGTGCAATGCCTCTAATTTGAGTTCATCTACTATATCCATTCTTCCTGTATATGCCATAGCAACACCTTGAGTTTGAGATACTCTTTTGTAACTGTAGTAAACATAAACCCATTCGGATTCATAGTCAATTTGATATTAGAGAGTACCAAAGATATTGGGTTGACCTATTGTGTAAGTTGAGAATTAGAATATTCCTTGTGATTTTTCATCTTCACCTTTTCCAAAGAGTATCATCAGTACTCTATCACCAACAGCATCTGCATCTCTGTAATCTCTATTAGTTGTCAATCTGCTTAAACCCATCCATTTAGGTTGACTGAAGAGAATACTACTTCCATAGTATCTGAATCTTATCCACATTCCATAACCATATGAACTGACTCCTTCTATTTTAACATCAGATTGCTCATTCAATTCAATCATCCATGGGACATTCTATTTTTCTGCTTGGGAATCTATTACTTTATCACTGTGATCTATTTCTTGATTAGCAGTCTGCAATTTCAAATGATCAGTTCCACTATTGAATCCAAAATTTAATTCTACCGTTTCATTCTACTCATATCCACTTTCTAAATATGAACCATCACCAACATTCAATACCCAATATTTAATTTAACCCAGCCATTGATTTGCCAATTGAAACTTCTTTCCCAAAAATAAAGTAAATGTAGACAACAATATTCTGTTGATCTCTTAGAATGCTTACTATTATTAATTAAAAGTGAATTTGCATAATGCAAACAACTTCTTCTATTTCTGAGTATACCCAATGTAAATATAGGTCCATTGATTATAATACTCATTAAACTCGATATTCTTCTCCTAAGATTGTGAACAATCCTCCCCATTACAATTATAAGTTCCGAATATATACTCCTTATCAGTCCTTTATATATACAATTAACTATCACTCTATCCTGGTTTAATATCTTATTACTTCTTCTAAACCATCATCAATATACTATACAAACCTCCTTGCTTTTAATCACCTCCCCATTTCACCCAACCAGATAATGCATATTCATTAACACCTGCATATTAAGAATACTCAAATACATTTTAAGGTTCTTACACTTTGGCCATGTCAGTTTCTGAACCCAGCAATTAGATACTCTTACGAACAGCTGTACTTATTCCCAACACGGGTTTTTCTAATTATTAAAATTATTCATATTGTGCAACATCCACTAAAAATGCCCCGTTTCCTAATCTCATCTGCACATTAGCTAATTTACCATTAAATTGAGGGATATTTGATTTTCCTACATTCAACTCCACATACTCCAAAATGTAATCATGTAACACTTCTACTGAACACTCCTTTACTTATCCTCCAATACCGAATTAAACATAGCCCTTGGCTAAACCCATATTGTTGTTCATTTTTTTATAAGAAAAGGATAAGTAATTCCATGATCCCTCTAATTGAGAATCTAAAGGAATCACACCCTTTTTAATGTCATTGCTCATTAGATTGTAAGTGGAGAACTCATAATCCTTTTTACCCAACCTCATCTATAATGTAGTGTCTTTGATATCACTATTTACTTATCCATCAACACTCTAGATTAGCTTATTGTTCTTCAACTCCAACAACTTACTCTGAGTTCCCATTCTAATAATCTAATGCAAATCACTCCTGCTTCCTATAAACTTCGGTAGACTACTTAACCAACAAGTCCACAACCCTATTGAATACTCACTCAATCCATTGATTCTTATGTTGCTATCATCTTGAATCAGAATCTGATTGATCAATGACTCCTTTTAATCAAATGAAATTTCGTATTAATCCTATTGTCCTCTCAATATTAATGGTTTAACCAACTAAAACAATCTGACAGCACCATCTCCATACCCAAAATTGTAATCCAACTTCTTAGACTTCGCATAACTCTCAGGTCCCAAATATACTCCAATCTGAGATACTTTACCATTAAAGGAGGCAACCGTCTGATCTCCTCCCAATGTAAAATATAATGAATTAGTGTTCTTATGCTCTAGTCCTTCAAATAACACCTCCTCATTCACTCCCACTCTTATCATTATACCTTAAGCTTTCTTCTCCTCTTGATTAAATCCAAAATAAACATACGTCCACACATTGGTTGTATAAGGCACTGATTTCACTATCATCTCACTTCCTCTGCCCTCATTCCCAGCCACTGAATAAGTATGGAAATTCAATCCTATATTCTACAATCCTCTTATAAAATGAATTTCCAATGCTCTATCTCCCAATTCTCTTCTATCTTTCACTCTCTACTTATTCGATCTCAGATTCATTATCTAAAATGAGTTCAACTCCTTCACATCCAAATTATCAACCCATCTAAACCAACCTGCAATTGCATAATGCTCATAAATAAACGAATCCTTAAATCCCTTCTCATAATTGCAATTAGTATTTCCATCCATCTCCACTGGTGGCCCAACTATCATTTCCTCATGATAGGTCTTCAATCCTTATGGCATAAACGACATTGTCTCTACCAAATTGAATAGCTCTTATTCATTGTCTATCAAAGCAGGTGCTTCTATATCGTAAAAGATATTTGCAAATTAACCTTCCAATCCGGGGTAATGTAAATGCATCCCTCCCACAGTCATTGACATATAAAAAGGAGGAGCATGAGTGCATGGAATCTCGATTCTCTAAAATTCCCGACTCTTACCATAAGACAACACAAATCCTACTGACTTCTATTTGCGACTGCTATACGAGAAAGACACGAAGTACCATCTACCATCTATATTCTAATTCAAACTTATCTAAGCCACCTTATTCTTCTCTTTTCCAACATAGTCATACGTAGCAAACACAAATGTGTTATCCACCAAGAAATTGGCTAAAGTTCTATCCCCATAATTTTGAAAATCCAAATAATCCTTTATAGAAGTTAATCGAGACAAAAAGTAATATTAATTTTGTTTCAACTTGTACTCAAGAGTGCTTTAGTATTTCACCCAAAACCCATATCCATACTCTTCAGAATCCTACAACTCCTTATTTGAAAATTAAATTTCATAAGACGCCTTTCCTTCAACCGTTGAATCATAAAATTTTGATTACCTCACCAAAATGTTTGCAGTGCTCTATAAAGGCTTATGTTTGAATGGAACAAACTTAACTGGGTCAATTAATTGATCGGGATTCTCCTCAAGTCCTTTAATTGGGATTTTAACTGAATTATCTGGAACCAGCTCAGTAGGTAACAATGGTTTCTACTCACTCACATTTTAAGGCTGAAGCTGACTTGTGTCAATCCCAATAGGTTATTCTGATGTTGGGTCTTATGATTAAATTTGAGGTTCATTATTTGATTCTGGTACATTGGGTAATTAATTATTCACATTCTCTTCTTAAGTTTATAATGGGTTAGGTAATACATTTTATTATTATTAAGGTTATTATTCTGATTATTATGATTAAGGTTATTATTAAGATTCCTATTATTATAAAGGTTATTATTCTTATTATTATGTTTAAGGTTATTATTAAGATTACTATTATTATAAGGGTTATTATTACTATTGTTATTATTATTTTTATTATTATTATTCTATCTATTCTTATAAGGATGACTTTTATTATGGTTAAATTTAATCAGAGGTTTATTAGGGTGCTTCTTATTATACTCCTTATTATGTTGGTGCCTATTCTTTTTCTAAAGGGTTAACTTGTTAAACTTGCTACTCTTGCTTTTATTATTCTTACTATTAGACATTTGGTTATTACTATTATTACTACTGCTCAGGTAGTATTTTTTAATCTTTTAAATTAAATTCTTCTGCCTAGGCCTTAATTTATGTTGTTTATTTTAATGTGTCTGGTATTGCTTTAAAATCCTCATGAGCATCTATTTATCCTTCTTACATATGATTTAATTATGATTTAGATTTATTCTGTTCCTAATTGTTTATTTCTGATTATTTATTGCTTTGTTATATCACTTCTTCATTCTGTTATGAAGAGTTCTTATTTTGATCTTATTCAACTTATTTAACCTCTGATTTCTCCTATTTTTCAACTTATTTATTTTCAGATTTTTCTTCTGAATCAACTGTCTTAACTTCTTAGTTTTCCTTTGATTCAAGCTTTTTATTTTATGATTCCCCCTCTTTTTCAATATCATTCGTTTTTTCATCTTCTTGTTTTTGATAAATGATATCGTCCTATTCATCAAGATTTGAGGATTCTTAACTAGAATGTTTATTTTTTGATCTATTTTCCTACTCAATTTAGTAATCAACATCCTATTGATAATCATAGTCATCCTTTTTTAGATTAATGAACCTTTACTGCTTTTAGTTTTAAACAGGTTGAATTGCTTCATTTTCTAGTTATTCCTCATCTGACTATTAAATATATTCTTAATCCTCTTAGTAGTCATCCTAATAATAGTCATCTGAATCCATATATTAATCTCGTTCATTTTGAATTAAATTATTCTCTTTTTTAGATTTTTTTTTCTTTTCTTATTCATTTACAATATGTAAATCTGATATAATGTTATATTAATTTTCAGGATCTAAAGCATCATATGGTTTTGAATCTGGAGGTGCATAGTAATCATCATAGACCTGATTTGGATCCTCTTCTTATTGTTGAATACGAGATTAAATATTGTCATCATCAACTTCATTATTGTAAATAGGACGATCTTAATATTGCTATTCAGTTGTTATAAAATCTTAATCCTAAAATTGTTCTTCATCTGTATATTGTTATTATTAGATTTCTGGCTAATCAAAATGCTTATCTTTCTTCTATTTGATTTATCCTTTTATCTTAGTTTATTTTGATTATTTTTATGAATTGGAATTCTTTCGTGCTCTTTAATGCTATTATCTTTATGATCTACTTCTACGGAGTCTCTCATAATTGTAATCATAATCATCATAATCATAATAGTTGCTGTAATCATAATCATAATCACTATCATATAAAACTTATTAGATAGGATCATCGTATTCATCAAAATCATACTCGTCATAACTGTATGGCTTATAGTACTTATTATTCCTACCAATTGTAAATTAGCCTTGTTACTATTAATTTTAACACTATTGTTTGATGTATAATAATTATTTTAGATTAGTAGTCAATAACTCTATGTCATAATCGGTGGCTTTTGAGGATTGAGATAATATAGCTTACATTTTTTATTTTGTTGCTTAAATACTAACATCAATTTCAGTTAATAGATCTAGTTTGTCTTTTTTTGATTGCTTTTGATTCATTTATTACATTAACTTCATGATTTTGGCAAGATCTGTCTCAAATTTAGCTTAAAAGTCTGGTTTAACAGGCATTTCAATTTCAATTAATGATTATTAATGCAATAACTATCGTTTTGTATTTTTAACAATTCTCTCAACCTCCAACAATCCATTAAAATCATCTCCTAATTAATAATTTAACTCTATTGCTTCTTTCCATTAAATGATGTCAGAGATCATAATATTTATATCATCTAGATCTCTACATCTCAAATTTTGCAAATTCAGCCGGACTGCTTGCTGGAGTGTTAGCTCTAAATATTTTATAGCATTTACTTGAACTTGCAAAAGTAAGCAGACTCACAATGACTATTATTATATATGCGTTTTTCATTAAATTAATAGGAAACTTTTTTCAAAGAATTTAATCAATAAAATAAACTTATTCCTGTACTGATATTTTTTGATTGAGAAGTCATTTTTTAATGATATTTCTATGTTGTAATATTCTTAGAACATAGAGAATCATTAAACTGTTTTTACTTTTCTTATGTAATGATTAAATTACTTAAAATAACAGTATTTATAATTAACTATCATCCATAGAAGATTTAATAACTTCCAAAACTTCTAAGAACTTTAAATATCTTATAACATGTCTCATAAATATTAAAAAATAATACAAGATTATATATAAATTATTTAATTTATTAATAAATTACTCTAGTAAAATTAGACTAGTAGTTCTTCCCAAATCTATTGATAGCTTGGAGAAGATATAATTCAAAATACAATCTTTCTTAGGAACTACATGATTTAGCCAAAAATTAACTGAAAAGGTTTTTAAGAATGGAAACCTAATATTAACAAGTAATTAGAAATCATTTCTGATCATTTTGAGGATGGTTGAGATAAATCAAGGGATCAAAAAGTCTCACCACCCTTCTCAAAACCTTATTATACATCGATTTAATTGAAGTCTTGATGGAGAACCATTTATCTCAAAATCATATTAAAATGAATACTCATATAAAAAATTTTCAATTTATAACTTTAACTAAGACTTCCAAAAAATCAAAAAAAATTAACTTTAATTATTCTAGATGTTTAATATAACTAAATAGCAATCTTATAAAACCTAAAATTATAATATCTTACCTTAGATATGTAGATATTGTTTTTCATGAAGAATCTAGTGGTTAAAAGCATATTTTTTATTAATCAAATTTGCTGAAATCTGTTATACCTAGAATATAATGTGAATAATTAATTTTTTGGATAAAATAAATTAATCAAAATGATTAACATAAAAATTTACATATTTCAACTAATAACAAAAAAAATAATTTGATGTTAATACACTAATTATAATATTTCATTTATAGAATATCTATTGATTTTACACAGAAGGAGATAACTTAAATTAAATTTAAATTTGTTTATGATCATCGTGATGAAAATAGTATGCCTCAAAAGCATAGATATTGTTGAATAGCGATTTGTCAAATAAAGCAAAAATTTATTATTTAATTAAAATAATGGTAAAATGAAATTAAAATCATCACTTTAGATGTTGAGTTTAAGGATTAATTTTTAGTAAAAAGTATCCCAGCTTTATTTAACATAAATCACATTTCTAATTTTGGAAATATACATCCTAATATGAATGGAGATCATCAAATCCACTAATTAAATCAGCTAAAGATGGATTGCACCCATTCTTATTTTGAGCAGAGTTGAATTAAAAGGAATCAATTCTATTTTGTGGAGATGCAACTGGATGTATATAAATTCGGATAGTAGAATGGGAATAAAATGAATTAAATTGTTAGGAGGAATTTAAGCGAGATACTGCATGAATTACAGCATTAAGCTTAAGTCCATCTGAAAAATATTAGCTGCTTGCAACGCTGCCATTGATATATATATATATATTGTAAAAAAGAGAATCTGATTAATGGATTTTCAAATATGTTGATATTATCATTTGAAATCTCAATATGAGTTTTAAATCACTGGATTAATAATTTAAGAAATTATAAAGGATAAATTTCTATTTAGTATTAACCAGCCAGCATCTCATAACCTAGTAATAAGATCAAATTTTTGAAAGATGCCTAAAATGCTTGACACACTTTGAGTGTTTGAATTTGAAGAAGGATTTTTAGGAAAATCTAGATAAGCAATTATAATTAACAAAAAAATGGTTCTGAAGACTATTGCCAAGCCAAAATCCAATATAATAAAGAAAATGTGATAATAGTTTTACTTAAAACACATACATATTCTTTAAAAACATAACAATGGTGCATTTAAAGTTCCAGAGAAATTAGGCTGCAATTGATTTATTATTAGCGGAGCACTATCAGAAATGGTTAAAATTTAATTTTTTTGGATACAAGCAAGTAAGCGTTCATAACTTATGAGATGTAATAAAGTTGGAAAATATATTTTACATTTATCTATATAATATTTAAATAACATAATGATGTTATATTAGGTCTAACAAACCTTGGTCTATAAATATCTCTTTAATAGATAGATAACCTTAATAATTATAATGTATTATGAAAATAAAGTTGTTCAGTTGTGATTTTATTTAAAGGTTTATAATCAAAAGAATAAAATATTTCATAATATAAAGTAAGTCTAAATTGTTTTCATATTTTGTTTATAATGAATTAAGTCTAGCTTGAGAATCATTTAATTCCAACTAAATTTATAATAAAAATTGGCTATAGTTCTATTCTTTATATATTATAATAAATTATTAATTATTCTATGGATTAGGAAGATAATGCTCAACTCCAATCAAACGATAGAGATGGAGTCAATGCTAAGGAATAAGGATCCTAGAAAAAATATCGAGTTCATAACGACAATATGAAAACTTTTATGATAAAGATCATGATCATAAATGTTTTACAGACTCTATTTAATGGACTACGTTACTAATTTTATTTGAATAATATAAAAATTAAAGAAAGACTAGAATTGTCTTTATTGATTTTGCTATTCTATCCAATCATGATAGTATTATTTCGATGTTATCGCAAAAGTACAAAATTTAAGAACTCATTATGTAGAAATTTATGATAAGTTTAGGTTTATATTCTTTTTTTATATTATTCTTCATATCATTTGTACCATTTCCCTCTTAATTTTATCAAGTTTTTCAGGACTTTGATTAATTGTCTTATTAAATCAATTATTTGATGTTGGCAATAATCAATCTAATAGTAGCATATCCAATGAATATTGTCTACCTTTATTTTACTAATTATTTGATGGAAAGAAGTAATAAAATTCCATTAAATTTTATAGATTTTCAAATTATTCAATATATTGTTGCATTCTTAGTTGCAATCATATATTTAATAATTTTTTTACCTAAATGTCATGAAGCTGGATCAACCATTTGTTCTATGTATTAATCTGTTATCAGTATATTATATTTTTAAGGAATAATGACTTTATATTTATTGATATAGGTATGATTTTTATGAGTTATTTAACAGATATAGCTTTTGTTTGAAACTTTAGAAGGAAAACACAAGTTACAACCAAATTAAATTATTTATGGATATATGCAAATACAGACCAGAAGTTTTTTATATTGCTTTAAAGATTGATTATTATTATTAATAAAAATAGTATATAACACTATCTCTTTTAAATTACATGAAAAAATATCATATAACTTTCGTAAAAGCTTGAAAAGACTTAATTTACTAACAGTGTAAAAAAAACATCTAAAAATATTAAATTAAGAAATAATATATTTATATTACTTTAAATTGTTCTATCATATCATAAATGAATAAATTTTATAATCATTTTCTCTAAATAACATATTCTAAGGATACTATTCTAACTCTTTTGTCCCAACTACCAGTAAGAATTAATTCTCTATATTGATTTACAGCCATGCAACTAATTTATTCTGTATGGACTTTAATACTCTTCATTAGAGTCGCTTAATCTTTGATTTCCCATACCCTTAAAGTCTTGTCAATTCCTGCACTGAATAAATACTTATGAAACCCTAAACAAGTAATAGTTTCATTATGCGCCTATAATTTATGAGCTTTAAAACCACCTCTTAAATTCCAGATAATGATTATTCTATCAGCTCCTCCACTGGCCAACATTTAATTTGGTAATTCCTTCAAACAATAAACATCATCTCCATGAGCCAGTTCATACTTCAATTACCCCTTGAATGCACTCCAAATTTTAATGAAACAATCCCCTCCAGATGCAAAATTATCGTCATCTAATTAAATGATAGTTCTAACAATCTTTTTATGAGCATCTTCAATTGTATAAAAACATTTGTCTCTATTCCATATCTTAATTCTGTAATCCCCGCCTCCAGAACAGATATACTAAAACTTTCTTAGATAACACAGACTTTTCACAATGTCCAGATGACCAACTAAGGTAAACTCCAAGGTCATATATTAAACATTCCAAATATGTATCAACCTATCATTCCCTCCTGAAACCAATTTCTCAGCTACATCTTAATTAAAGTCATCAGTAATTGCACACAAACACCAAATTTCGCCTTTATGAGCTTCGATTGTTCCTAAACAAATTTATGAATCTATATCCCAAAATTTCAATACTCCCTCACCTCCAGCAGAGGCAATTTAATTTAAATTCAAAACACAAACAGCAGTAACTATGTCTAAGTGACCTTATATAACAGTGTTCAAATGTTTCTACTAGCTTATAAAGATTTCGAAAGGTAGACCATTTAATTAAGGAGCATCTTTTGGAACTGTTCTTTATTAAGATAATTTATTACTTCGGAACAAAATCAGAACTTTAAGGAACTTTGTACTCTTTTCCTAGTAAATCAGAGTGCAAATACGGTTGAATGGATGACTTATAGAAGTCGAGATTCTTTTATTAATTTTTTAGATTGACCTTGAAGATGGACAAAGAATCATATTCAGGTTCATCCATTACAACGGGTTTCTTCTCAGTGTTTAATATATTGCTGACAACAAAGGCCTTCTCTATTACAACTTAAATAGCTTTTTCAAAATTTTAATTTATTAAGATATCACTGCTTATGCTCAATCTGCTTAAGTCTTCTGCTTATTTCGTAAGAGTAGGTACAATAACTTGTAATAATTTCTCTTGCAAATCTAATAAGAAATCAAATTTTCTTGAATCATCTACTTCTCCATTAATAATTGAATTTAACTTATTGATATGTTCCTCGCAATTTTGAGTAACTTCTGCGATTTTGGTATGTTTTTCATTGTAAAATGATTCAATTTAAAGTATAACACCTTTAATAAAAGCTATTTGATAGGTGGTTAAATATACAATCTAACTCATCTGTAAAGTAGTTGACAATGTGTTTTTATAACCTCTTACATTCAGACTTTCGAATTTCTCTGGTTTGAATCAAATGATTCTACAACATTGACATTCTCTATCTTACAATGCTCAAATCCTCTTCTATTAGACTCAATATTCATACTGGCAATGGTTTTGGGTACAGAGTAACTAGAAGGATCGAAATCTCGTAATGGTAGGATTGCAGCCAGATGATTTTTAGGGTGTGTGACTATGCAATCGGAACATAAGGTTTTATGTTGGCAACCTTTTGTAGTGCATACCATGGTTGACATCTTGCCATGATTAAAGCAACGAATCATATAATTATAATAATAAAGAAAAAAAGAAAATGAGTAAGTATAGTATATTAAATATTAAGGGATCATTGACAGAAAAGTTTGTGTAGAAAATATAGGAATTGATGGGTCTATATTTGGACCTAATGACAACAGCCCCAAAAGTGGAATTGACTGAGAATTTATTCAGGGCCACTATAATATTTTAATTTATGTTCCGACTTCATTATTTATTACCGGAAGATGGATGGGGAGTGTGGACTTATGAAGACTTTAAGATCAAAATACCTTAATAGATTTTATCAACGATATTTCAGCAGAATGCAATTATACTAAAAATAATACTCATCATATTGAATGGTTGTTGTTTAGTGATGAGCTTTATGCGGATAAAATTGATGTACTATTATAATAATGTCACTTGGCATATCTTTTTTATGCCTCAAGTTTCAATACTCATAGATTTTGAATCAGATCCAACCCTTTCAATTGTAGCTATTTTTTTATTGTTACTCCAATCTTTTATAAATTTATACTTTAACAGAGCAACTAAATTCTTACATAATAATCCATTTATAAGAAAGTATACTAATCTTACACTTGTTTCTATAGCTATTGATACTCTTTGCTACATGAACTTTCAGTTTTATTTAATTAGATTGATTTTGCTTCATTTTTCAACAATAGTCTAAATAGTTGATGTCTATGCATTTCATCCCTACAAGCCTATGTTCAATTCATTTGTATTTCAATGTTCCATGCTACAATACACTCTCATTATAATCACCAGTGTATCAATTATCCAATAATCAGAGAACAATTTATTTTATTCATACTTCCTATTCGGTACATTCTCAGTGGCATTGTCATAAATTATTATAGAGAAATGTTCTAAAAAGCAAACCTTTGATTAGTATTTTGTCTTGGTCCAAACCTAATAGTTATACTTGGCATCAAATTTTTATAAGACAATATTGATTAATCAACATAAGTAGAATTGCAAATTTAAACATTAAAGCAATTTAACTGAAACCATTATTTGCATACTTGAAAACTCAATCATTAAAAATAAGCAAATAAAATTAGATTACGAAATCTTAGAATTAGCCTTAATTAATTTCTTATCCTTATAAAAAGCTGCATTAACAGCCTTCTGTAGACTAAAATAGTACTATAATGCCATTGATGATCATACAATTTATTTTTAAATATGCTTCCCAAACATAGATAAGAAATTATGGAAGAGAGTGAGAGACGTTTAGAATAGAATTACTAAACAAATTAGATCTACTCAATATTATGATGAAAGGGATTTAAAAACAAAGGATATATATATTGCTTGTTTGATGAAAGATTAATTCTACCCCAAAATCATAGAAGTCCTCAATAGAAAACTGGAGTACTGGAATAAATTATTGTCAGATCTTTCAAATTATGAAAGACTCTTTGAACACACAATCAAATGTAGTCAAGTAATGAATGATTTCAACAACTTTCTCACAAATCTATTCTCTTAAGATCTAGATGAAATTTAAAATGTTAAGACTGTTATTGAATTGAAGATGCTTGAAATCTATTTTTGTGTAGTCAGAAACGATTAGGTTTAGGCCACAAAAATGTAGAAACTCATTATTGAGATGCTTAGATAGGAAACACAACAAGATGGAAAACTCTTAAATTGCAGTATCCTGGAAAATAAAGTTGTTTTATTGTACACTAGCATCGTTAAAGCCTAAGGATTTATAATTAAGACCAATAGTGATTAATTGGCACAGTTTTGGGGTTATGAAAATGAATTAGATTTCCATGAGATTAAACATATCAACTAATTGATGCCAAACTTTTGTGCATCTGTTCATGATTAATACATTGAGAGATTTTAGATTTTAGGTCATAGTATTCTTTTTGGGAAATGTAGAACTATCTTTCTCAAAGATAAATATGATCTACTCATTCCAGCCAGCATCACTATTGATAACTTCTTTATTAGCTATGATGATTATGTCATTACTGCTGCCTTTGCCAAAAATAAAGAAACATCCTTATACATACTGTTTGATTCCAAAGGTAAGATACTTGGAGTCACTTAATTATTGTATAAAGTATTTCATTCAATAGATCCAACCATCACACCAGAAATTTTGAACGCTGGGTATATATTTCAGATTATTCCCAATATTTTCTATTTGGTTAACAATCATACCAATTCTGAATTTGATAATCTTCCTTATGAAGAAAGGATTCTTTTGATGATCAGTAGTCCGATTAAATAGTAGTTTGACAGACCAATTAATTCATCTAAACATAAGGGATATTATGATGGTCTTTGGACACTTTATGAAGATACTAAAAATCACAAAACAGAAATGTTTCTCCAAGAGTATTAAGATTCTTGTAAACAATAAATAAATCACAAATTGAAAACCATCAATTTTGAAATCATATGTCAACTTCATTATTAGTTAATTGGCCATTATAAAACTATGCCAATGTTTACTTTAGAAATTTTGGATATATTCAAAGCAGACTTATCATCCGGTTTAGATTATTCATCAGATATTGAAATGAAAACTAATGATGCATTTGAACCAGATCCAGTTGACTTGAGCTCCATTTAAGAGGAGAGTTACAAGAAGGTGGAGTATAATGATTTGACATAAATTGACCCTCCTTTAAAAATAAATCCTGAAGTTTCTAATACTAAAGGGAGATATGAATAGCAAAAAAATGAATTGACTATGAGAAACAATAAATAATTCATGGAGCCATAATCCCAAAAAGCTATATTTTAGATAATCAAATAAAAGAGTTTAAATGAAGATCTAAAAAGCATAGAGGAGGAAATGAAAATTATCAAGGCTAATAAAAATTAAAGTTAAAAGCAATTTATGGTTAAAGAGAAGTAGCATGAAGAAGAACATAAAAGTTCAGAAAAAATAACCAAAAGAAAGAACATTATTGATTAAATCTAAGAAAAACGCAAGTAGGATATCAATGAAATGGATGCTGTTAATTCTGTGAACTCTATAGCTTCTAACTTAATCAATTACAAATAGGATCTTGTGAAAAGTGTATACAAATCAAACAGATTACTTTATTCACTTAAAATGATCATCATCTTTGACCTAATGATTATCGCCTCGATATTAGTCTTTAACGTATTTCCTATGATTACAATTCATAATAACAATCTCCATGCAATTGAATAGATCGATGCTATAATGGCTCCATATTTGTATAACTCTTACTATTGTTAATTGTATGTTCACAATATGATTTTTGAATTGTAAAAGCTTTAAATTGTTGATTATAGTGAAGAATTAATTAATGACATAGAAACAATCAATAAAAATAATACGCTCCTTGAAGATCTAAGCAAATATTATCCAGTCTTTTTAGAAATAGAGAAACTAGACTACTTTCCTACATTAAATATCAGTTTCATAAATACAGCAGATCAAATGAATGTGTCATTCACTTATATGTATAGTGTTTTAATAGAGAAATTATAATATTTCACATAAAAAGGTTAAATCTTTGCAAAATATTAGATGAATGAATCAGAGATTATTTCATCCTTGTACTTGTATGCTAATCTATAGGAAAGTATATCCCTGTATTCTGACTTAATTTAGTTGATTGTGTAAACCTTTTTTGAAGATATGATTTATGATGAAAATAATATACTTAAATACCTTTTGGTTGCACTCTTCACAATAATCTTTTTATTTTGGGTATAGATCATCTATTTTCATCAAATATTCAATTATTTTAAGAAGATAATATACTTAAATTGTAGACTTTTAGAAAAGGATGTTCATCTAATAGTGTAGAGGCTTTAATTAATAAGAGAGATCTTAATTGAACATACTGTTACAAGTTGGAAAAAAGCAGATTACGTTCATTTGATGTTTCAATCCATAAAATCTGATCAAATGCAAATACAATCAAAAATAAATAAGCATACACTTCTATGCTCGAGAATTGCTTAAAGTAGATTTTCTCTACTCTCCATTCTCTTAATGATTATATCTGTTCAAGTATTCATATTAAGTTTCTGTCTTGGTGGGTACTTTTTTAATTAAATATAGTAAACATAATTAACTCCTTAATATGAATTGATGTCTGAATTCTTTTAATTTTCAGTTACAATTGATTCCATGATTACTCAATCTGTTAGAGTAAAATGTCAAAGACTCTATATGCAGAATAATAGAATTAATGAATCAATAACAGTTTAAAAAAATTTGGTTAACTAAAAACTTATAGCTATTAGAACAACGAATTTAACATTTTACTCTATTTTATATCAAAATTTTATAGAATCTGAAGAACAAATACTTAAGGGATTAGTTAATGATGATTCTGTTGATAGATAAAATAATTCAACTTTGTATCAACTATTCTTTAATGATCTTTGCCCAATAGTGTGTCCAAATTCTACCAATTAAAAAGATTAGAATAAATATTATGTAAGTGAAGGCATCTCTGGGATATATTCAAGTCTAAGTAAATTTATTAAAAGTACTTTCAATTATGAATTGGAAAATCTGAAATAAGATCCGGATGTCAAAGCTTAAATAAGCGTTGTAAATTCCCATGAATTTATTGTATTATTTTCAAGGCATTTTCTAAACACAAAAAAAGCATTCATAAAATTCTAAGAGGAAATACTTGCTAAAACTTATTAAGTTATCAATCAAAATGATATAGAAATTTAAGCTTATTTTGCATGCGCTTTAATTCTGGAAATCATAATTGCAGGATGTACATTTATATATTGTATAAAAATAAAACAAAAACAAATATAGCTAATGAGATTGTCTTTAAGTAATATTCCAATAGATCTATTAGATTAACAATCAATCAGCATTCTTAAAACATTATGAATATCATTATATTTATTATATGATTATTTTAAAATCTAAAGAAACCGTTGATATTTAAATAGAAGTCAAAAAGATCTCATATATTTGATTGATATTTCTTTGAATATAAAATCTAAAAATAACTTTAATGAAAATTAACCTGATTTTATGTATCTTAACTTATCAAATAATGGGACAAATTGTAATACCACTCTAATAAAGATGCTTATGTTCTGATATATCTGAAAAAAGTTAATGTGAACTTATAAATTGTTATTGGGATGAAGCATGTTCTGAAAATAAATGTGAAAATAGAAAATAAGATAAATGCTACGGAGAATGTTCATGGTCAAATGGCACATGCACAGATTACATATTTAAATGTAGCGATTACAGTACTTAAAAGAGCTGTGATTAACAAACTAATTGTGGTTGGGCATCTTCATAATAATGCATATTATTTAATAGCTGTCAAGGGTTTTTCGTGTCAGAACCTGAACAATGTTATTCAAAAGGTTAGAATTAATGTGAACCGTCAGCTATACAAGCAGATGGCCAATACTAGTGTGTTTAGAAGGTTAATGTAGAATGTGGAAAATTGAAATCAAAAACCATATGCAACAATTCTTAATAATCAAACAGTGTACAGTGTGGATGGAAATAATCAACAAATGAATGTTTAGCCAAATTGAATTTTGATATTTGCGAGAACGCGAAGGATTGGTAAGAAATGTGTGATACTTATGCTTGCATTTGGTCAAATGGAACATGTTAATCTAGAGATTGTGGCAGTTTCACTATCTAAGAAACATGCAAATTTATTCCAAATTATTAATATACTGAAATCACAGTTTGTATTTGGACAGATGATAAGTGTTAGAGTGTATAAAGCATAGATGAATTGCCATAAGAACAATGCTTTGAGAATACAAATGGTGGATCTATGTGGATAAATGATGGCTGCACATCTTGTCAGGGATATACTTAAATTCTTAATATAATAATGATGGTGCTAATTTTCACATTATTAGAGTGAATATAATTTAGTATATTCTTTATAAATGCAATTAAAGTGATTATTAAACATGATCAATAAGATTTCTTCAATTTCATTACTTTTGCTGCCTTTATTGTAAAAATTACGGTGACAATTATCATTAACAAAATAGTTATTATCGAAAAAAATATTATTTTGCTAGAAATTACATTCATCTTTTCATTCCTATTTGTCTACAATTATACTAAATCCAATTGGGCAGACTATTAATTAATTCAATTTTATACCTTTAAGTGTTGCAAAGTATTATTGTATTATTTAACTTACTTCTCTACTTCCTTCAAATCTTCCATTGATGCTAATTCTGCTTATATACCCTGCTCATAGAAAAACTAGATGTTCATCTAATAGTGAGCCAGATTATGAATACAAATTTGAATCTATGTTGTCTCATTGAAAAGTTGTGTAAACTTTTGTGTTAATTCATGATACGTGTACAACAACTACTTATTCACACTTGTATCAGTTATTTTAAGACTATAATCAGCTGACTCTCCTTCCACAAACCCTTATATCATCTCCTTTTCTTATAGTCTATCACCAAAACATCTTATTTATCGAGCTGGCAATTTGAATCTTAAATCTACAGCATTTGCTAAGCAAATTAGAAAAAATAACATAAATTTATATTCTTAATAAATGAAATTCTCATCAAATACATAGCAACATTACTAACTCATAAAGAACTGATCTTAAAATATGCCTTGTTATGAGATCCATGTGTCAGTTCAATCCTCTAGTTAATGTATAAATTCTTTTGAAATTTATGAGTTATGCTATCCTTTTTTTATATGAAATAACAAAATTATGTCTAAGTTTCTGCATAATAATGTTAAGGTAGAATTCTTCCTATTGCTATGACTCAAATGTTAAAATTTAATATATATTTGTTAATTTTTAATCACTATTCTAGAAGAAATGATTAAGTTATACTTGAATAAACACAATTTAGTAAATAAACAATTCTAGATATCATTAAATAATATTTATAAAGCAGAGAGGATCATCATTCTAGATGGAATTGACAATCATAAACTTCTTCACTTCGGTAGTTTTCAGTTGAATCAAACAAAATTACATGAAGACCTTTATTTTCATTAAGATCAGATTCATCGACCATAACTTTGTGTGATAAGAAAATACGGCAAAAAAACTTTTGTATTTGGATTTCCTAACAGATAGGTCGATTTTCAAATGAATAGCCTGAGAACAATAATGAGAAAGATGCTTTCAAATAACGGTTATTTACAAATTAATATAAACATAATTTATTAAACATTAATAATACACTTAAGTTTTTATTGAGTATACACATTTTTGATACATTGCTTCAAGCTATGATGGCTTGGTAATTTATAAGCAACTTCCTTAATATGATTTTTTGAGTCATAGGAACAGTTTTTATTGTTCGTTCGACAACTTGATCACTTTTAGAAGGAATTACTTTAAAATTTAAATCTACGTGCTTCTTCAAGCTATACTATATATTTTTTATATTCATAAGAGAACATAATTAATATAATTAAGTGAAAATGATAAGATTCATTATAATATTAAAGATTTTATATTTGAAATCATGTTCTTTAAAATATCTTTGAATTCTGGAAATAATTAAACTGTCTCTATAATCTCTTCTCCTTGTGAGCTCTGTATTAGGCTTTCTTTGTACAACGTATCGTAATCTCTAGCATATTATTAAAATCTTTACTTCCCCATTATTTATGTCCATCTGTATCTGAGAAATTTGTAGTATCGATTCTTTACAGTGCTGAGGGATTTTTATGGAAAATAAGTGGAAATAACTTTGAACTTGGGACCTAATTTTAATACAGAAGAAAGTATTAATCTATCTTCATTTGGTGTAAAGGATTCAGAGGCAGGAATCCTAGTTCTTCTACGCATGCCAGGTCTTTTTGCCTTTGAATATAGTCGCTTTCGTTTCATTTTCTTTTTGACAATTCTATTTTGTTTGTTGATTTTTTAAACTACTCTCTGCGCATCGCCTCTTTCTTTTTTACTAATTGATCGAGTTTGGGGGGGCTCATGACTATTAGTTTTTATCACCTATTAAACTTCATCTTCATAGTTGGACATGAAGATAATTAAGTAATTATTAGGAATTAAATTATTGAATTTCTGTTTTGTGATTTATACAAAATATTATTAAGATTTATTTGACTGTCATTCAAAATAATTAATCACTCATGAAACCCCAACCTCTTCTTGAGTCTCGTTGTAGTTATAACTTCATAATTATCATGTTATACCTCAAAAATGATATTAAAACAATCTACAAAAAAATCTTAAATCGCCAGTGAAACTTAGCAATTTCTTATTCTAAACTAAAATTTAAACGACTCTGCTATGTTCTAGTAGCATTTCGATGAATTACAAGATGATATGAACTAAATCATTCAACCTCACTTATTATCCAAGCTAATATATTCTAAATTATTTATTTCTAGTACAAAACATTTAAAATATTATTGAAGCAAAAACTACTAAATTTAAAAAAGTGTAATGGAAATATTATTGCTTAAAATGTGTAATATTAAAATTACAACATTATAGCTGTTCTTAGAACTATATAAATTTAGAAGTAATTGATGGTTTAATTCATCTTATATAAAAAATAAATAAATAAATGGGAGGCTTTTGCCCAAGTCAAAATATCAAAGTCCTTCCATCGCCTGTGATTCAAGAAGAGATAATAGTGGACCCGCAAATAGAAATTATAACTCTTACAAATTAAGAAACCAATTACAAACTTAGGTTAACTCATAATTTCTCTCTAGAGAATCCAAGCTTGTAAACATGTGATGAAGTAATCTTAGAAATCCTCTCCATATCAATTTCCTTCATGGTTAAGGATTTTTCTGAATAATCAAACTTTCTTAAAATGCAAATATAAAAACAAGTCTAGGACTTAATGGATCAGAAAATTGATTTCCAAGAAGATCTCCTAAAAATGCTTGTCAATTATTATGATTTCTTAAGTTATGTCTAGGAAACTGGAGCTACAAAAGTAATATCTTGGTGGAAGGATCCCATCGGCGTGGTTGAAGTAGAATAAGCAATAAAACACTGGTCTCAAGAATTTATTAAATACGGAGGCAAATTGAGAAGAGAAAGAACCTTCAGAAAATTACATTAAGATCCCAAACCTCCGGAACGCTTTGTGAAAACAAGGGAATGGATCAAAAAACAATAAGAGGGATAGGAAGAGGAGTTAAAACCAAAAAGAGAATCACTTGCAACTACTAGTAAGCTTGAGGAAGGGTTTGAAGAATCATGATGTTGTTTAGGGAATATTTATTTATATCCAATAATTAAATGGAATATTATACTTTCTGAAATAATTAAAACTGTTAAATCAAACTTTGTCCTATGTTTTAAATTGTGAAATTACTACATCCATCGAAATTGAGTTAAACGTAATTAGATTTGAATCTTAATTTACCTTAATTATTTGTATTTTCAATTTAATAAAAAGGAGAGATGCAAGAAATTAACGTTATTCTAGATCCCCTCTATATACTGAATCTGAATCAAATGGCATTATATTAAGTGAATTATATTTTGAGTTTGATGCTTAATTTGAAATAAGTATAATTAATTAAATATTAAAATGGCTATCAATAATGGCATGGTTGTTCACTTTAGAGTAAACTGTGAATTCGTATTTAAGGGGTATTAAAAGTATTAAACATAAGATGGTCTACAACTGCTGATGAAACAGGATTGTTCTTTTTTGGATGTCTTATTGTAATGTTTTATTGTATGCTTCATATGAATCTCTATACTGTTAAGTTAATTTTACCAAAAAAGTAAAACCCATCTTTAAAATAAGTTTGATTGTTGATATCTGTTGGTATTTAGTATATGCACTTTCAGGTATCATGGTTATGTAATTAATTATGACAATGAATGGTTGGGTCAATCTTGCAGTGATTATAGGAAGCACTATAGGTTATTCGATATAGGAATCTTGGTCTTAAATTTATGAAAAGGAAAACTAAGCTCCTCCAGGAGGTTGTGAATTTTGCAATTGAGATCGTACATATTTTATAATCGTATAAATTCAACATACAATAATAAAACCCTTTATACATAATAAAAGACAAAAAATTATATTATAGATTAAGAATTATAAAGATTGAATGTAATATAAGGAACCAAGATTATTTCAATTAAGAATACTTACCTTTTTATTAAGTTTAAATTCATTATCAACTCATTTATGTCTTTTTTTTGATTTTTCTCTTCTTTTTTATTTTTTAATGGGACTTTCTTCTCTCTTCTTATGCTTTTTGACAGACTTAGATCGAGATCTCTCCCTAGGTTTCTTTGCTGGTTTTACCTCTTCTAATAAAAAATTTTTTATTTAATACCTTTCTTTGATTTTCTCCTCTTGTCCTCTTCATCTTTTTCCACATGTTCTTCTTTAGGTTTTTTAGATATTTCTTCACTTCTTGATCTTCTCAACTCACCTAGACCACCTCCAAGTCGACGGGGTCTCCATTTCAGAATTGTTCTACCTCTTTCGATGTCAACAACCAACTTTCTTCCATCAATACGCTTATCTACTGCATATTTATAAGCTTATTTAACACTGTTCTTGCTCTCATACTCTTTTAATTTAAGATCACCCCCTTACCAATGAATGCATAGCCTCTAGGCTTATCTTATGTAGAATCTCGTATGATTCTTATTGATTTGATTGGTCCATATTCTTCAAATTCCTTACGCAATTTTTTATCAGTTGTCGCATAATTCAATCTGCCCACAAACAGTGTTTTATAAGGTTCAGATGTGATATTAGGATCTTCAAATGGATTCCATAATTACAACAACTTCTTTAATTCCTCATTGTGTTGATGCTTCTTTTCTAATCTCTTTAGAATCTTAAGAGGTAATCGAGATGGTTTTACGATATCTTTTTTTATACATATAAAATTACCCTTCTCCCTTTCTTCTCTTTACATTTATTCGTACTCATCTTCAAATTTATCTAGCATCCACTCAGCCTTTCTACCTAACCCTAAAATTGGGTCATATGGCCTGCATTTTGGTTTCGGTTAAGACTTAATGTGAGCTATTTAGGGAATAACAAAAATTGGTTGCATCTAATTGTAATAATGCTAACTTACATCAGGTGGGAAGTCGGGTTTTCTTATATTGGTTGCCTATTGCATTTAAACTGGGTTGTTCATCATATGCGCAAGTGGCATCATAGGAGGCTATGCTTAATAATACATTTTAATTAATAAATTAATTAAAATGAAAATTAAAGAAATAATTTTAAGACAATAATTATGAATTAATCATCACTGCTCTATTACTAAAAATATTTAAATCAAAAACAAATTCTAATACTTCCATTGATAATATTATACACTTCATTTTGATAAAATCACAGAATTTGTCTAAAAAATGAACAAATTATCTGTTTTTCTCACTTAGGTTGTTAAAGTCGTACTGAACCTCAATCATAATAAAAAATTCTAATGAAATTTTCAAAATAAAACATAATTTTTATGTTTTATAATATTTATTAAATTATGATAACTATGTCAATTTTTATTGATAATTTATTGACCCATATTACTTAAACTCTAAATTTAAATTTAATCCTTTAATAATTACTTTTGATGGGAGTCTTCGTGTAAATTATGATTGAAATAGAGAGAAATTACTAATAAGTGAAACAATCTCTTGTCATTTTACATTTAAATCAATTTGTTCCTATAATATTTAAATCAACTTTATATTTTCTCATTTGAAATAACACGAAAGTCCATCATTATTAAGGTTTAAAGATATTAGTTATGAATTTGTAGAAGGAATTATTTTTTCTAAAAGAATATAACAAATTATAAAATAGAATTTGTCACAACTTAACAATTATCAAGAATTAGTTTGAAATAAATATCTTTTATCAATAATTATAGTACTCAGAGCTCATTCTTTAATTTTGAATATAAGTTCCATATTGATTAACATCCTTCCTTTATTTAATCTTTTGATACTATGAAAGTAAATATTCTCTAATTTTCATTGCATATTCTGGTTTTTTTAAGTCTTCTTGTTCTTAAATCTCGATAACATTTAGTGGAATATTAAATGTTTATTTTATTTTCTCATTGATTATATTTACTTTATTTTTCTAATTTAGAATTACTTTTACTTCATATTGTTTTATATCCATTGATTATTCTGTATCCGCAGGCATTTCAATAACTGATTCTAAAATTGATTGATTTTTTAGAGTGTGTGGTTTTACATCTTAATATTGGTTAAATTAACTTGAATTATCAATTTATTATTGTTATTTCTACTATAATAATTGTTATTACTAGTATTGTTACTGTTGTTACTACTATTCTTATTGCTACAACTATTATTATTACTACTATTGTTATTATTATTGTTATTACTATTGCTACTACTGTTGTTATTGTTATTGCTACTATTATTGCTACTATTGCTACTACTGTTGTTATTGATATTGCTACTATTAATATTATTACTACTATTCTTATTATTATTGTTACGACTATTGATATTGTTGTTGCTACTATTACTATTATTACTACTATTGTTATTATTATTATTATTATTATTATTATTATTATTATTATTATTATTATTATTATTATTAGTATTATTGTTATTGTTATTGTTATTGTTATTGTTACTACTACTATTGCTACTACTAATACTATTATTATTACTACTATTGTTATTTTACTTATTACTATTATAACTATTCTTATTATTATTGTTGGTGTTGTTACTATTAATTTTATTACTAATGTTATTGATATTAATATTATTATTATTGCTACTGATATTATTATTACTATTGCTATTGAAATTATTGTTACTATTGTTATAGTTATTGATAATATTATTATTACTACTATTATTATTATTGATAGTATTATTACTACTATTATTATTATTAATAGTATTATTATTACTAATATTATTTTTCAACAGGTAATTATCCCTGATTTTCAACTTTCATCTCTTTATTCTAAGCCTACCATTTTTAGGGAAAATTTTAAAAATATTGAAAATTGAATTAATTTTTTTCTAAAGGTTTATTTTAATTGTCTTATTAATTATTATTCCACATAAATTTAAGTGCCTGATTTTAAAATTATTAAGAGTTAGCTGACGTTTAATCAAATTAAGAAAAGTTATAATTTGGTGGCAATTAAAACGCATATTAATTGATTCCTTAACCATTTTAATTAAAATTTTATTGGAATTAACCTTAATTTATGAATAAGTGTTACATTTTTTTTAATTTTCATATTGGTTTTCTTACATTTGACTTAGGGATTTTTAGTTCGTCTTGCCTTCCTCATTACTTTGTTGAATATCAGAATAAAATTCTGGAGTTTAACGAGGTGTATTCAATTATTAATTCATGTTAGGAAAGTTTGGATGAAATTGTTTACTTGTTTAATTTTAGTTCATACCTTAGTTTTGTTAAAATTTTTAAAAGTATTAAAATTTCTATTTTCCATCTGCATTTTAGCTGTTATTGATGATTTATTAGTTTACTTGAAAATCATTCTTATTGTTCTATAAATTAAGACTTTACTTTTAATTTTGTAAATTTTTTTGTTAATCTGAACTTTCTGTAGCGTTTTATACTTCCATTTGTTGTTAAATAAATTCCAAAGGTATTTATTTGTATTTCATTTATGAGGATTACTCTTTAATTTTGTCAAAATTGATTGCACTTTCTATTTTATATGTGTTTTATATTTATTCTATGGAAGGCCTTTCGGAAGCTATGTAGCTTAACATTTATTTTAATAAATCCTTATATTTAGTATCACATTGAATTTAATCTATCTTTTATTAGATGAGGCTTTGATCTTATTAAGTGGATAAAATTTATTTTTGTATTTCTTCTAAAGAGCCTCCATTAAATAAGGGCTCAGTAGTATAAAGCTCATAAATTAATGCTCCTAAAGACCAGATGTCAGCTGAAGAATCGTAGAGTGAAGATTAAATAACTTCTGGAGCTTAATAATATGGTGTTCCTACGTTCATAGTTTGGATACTTTTCTTCTGCAAATTTTAGGAATTACTACAATATATTTCTTTAATTTCTCCAAAATCACAAATTTTGTAGTGATTTCTATTAGTTAGAGAATCAATTTAAATCAAAATATTTTCTGGCTTTAAGTCCCTATGAAAAAAGTGTTATTCTCTCAACACTTAGAGTTATCTGCAGATCTTTAATAATTTAGTTTATAAATACATCTGATAATATTTTTTAAATATCTGGGGTTGATAATTTTTGTTTCTACAATAGTTAAAATAGATTGCCACCGGCACAATACTCTTAGATAATTACTAAGCTATTTTTGTACTAAAAATATTCATAATGAATGAGTATGTGTGCAAAAGCTTGTTGATTCTAGAAATACTTATTTAAGAAAGCCATTTCGCTCGATTTCATTTTGACTACCCTCTTCAAGGCATAAAATTTATTATCCTCTCCTTTTACTTGATACACGTATCCTTAACTTCCATTGTCTAAACATTTAATTATAGTATAGTTTGTGAGAGTTCCTGGAATTCTATCACTAGAAGAAAAGTACATTTAGCGTAATATATTTAATAAATTTATAAAAAACAACACCAAGCACATAAATTTATTAATACCGAACGAAATCAAGAACAAAATACTTATAGAGGAAAGGGATCAATATTGTGAATTAAATTAGAAGTGACCTTAATCTCTTATGGAACTTAATTTTTCAATTTTTTAATTAATGAAGGATGTATTGCAATTATAGAATTATTTATAAATGAAAAAATCCTCTATATTTTATTCATTTTAGTTAGTAATGAAATTGTAGAAATCTCTAGAACATAATTTATTTATTGGCTGATGTGAAATTGTATTCATAAAAATTAATATATATTTACTTAATTTTACTTGATTTAAGTATTCAGATTATGTGATATTCTTAAAATTAATTATAACTAAAACTAAATCTAAATTAGTTAATTCATTTTATTTTGTGGTTAAGAAGATTTTTCTTTATAAATCTAAATATTGTTTTAATGAAACATATTAAATTAATGCCCATTGTAGGATATATCAAAAGAAAAGTAAATAGACTAAGAAAACATATGTATAATACTACTAAATTAAAATGGTAAATTACAAATATAAAATATTGCCAAATTCACATTTTGAATAACATCGTATTTAAATGCAATAATTTTGATTAGAGATCATCTATTAGAGTTATCTTTGATTATAATTCTTCTTCAGTTTCAATAATTAAATTTTAGATAGTCTAATGACTTTATCTTCCATTAGCCTATATTTTGGATTCTCTAGATTTGCTCACTTATTTAAAATTAGTTTTTATTTTCTTTTTTCTAATTGATCTCTATTAAATTTCAGGAGAAATAATTTGGTAAGAAACAGTGCAAATTTTTAACAATTCTTGACAAATAAACTCAAAGTTCTGATTTTCTGAAGCTTTTTGTGGTAAAATAGTTGTGGTAGCTTCAGAAGGTTCGGTTTTGATTTACATTAGGTATTATGATAAGTAGTAAATTTGATAAATTTTATTAATATGTGCAAATATTCAAAAAAGTACTTGTAATCTGTTTAATCTATTTTGAAAATAAGTTTTTATATAATATATGATTAAAATAATTTTTATTGAATTTGATTAAATGATAATGACAGAACAATGATTCTACATTATGATTAAAATAATCTCTAGCAATGTATTTTGAAAACATGCAAAATAAAAGTATAAAATTGATTAAATCTATATTTCAGAATTTATATAAATAAAATCCAAATTAATATAACTTAGATTAAATTAAAAATAATGCTATATAATCAAGTGTGAAAAAAATTGAGGTTACGATTAATAGAGAAGGATCATATTAATTTTTTTCCATTTGATGAGTATAAAGATCAGATTGAATATAAAAATATATAGCTTTTATAATTTTTTTATTTTATTTAATAATATAAAATGATCAGAATCGTTTTTGGTTTCTTGTTTATTAGTAATTTTTGTGCATATCGGATTGACGAGAATTTAATATAATAAAGGCAAGGACTATTAAATGATAATCATGAATTGTAAGCGTAAGAGTACTCTGAAAAATTATAATAGTGCTTTGATAATGAATTAGAAGCAAAGCATGAATTAGAGAATGGTAACTCAATTAAAGTATTTTGAGTAATGAAGTTTGATGAAAACACTATAGGATTTGGGGATGGAGTTGATGTATATTAAAAGGAGGAGGAGAGAGAACTCAAAGATTCAAAAAAGGGAAAAAAAATATAGGGATTTGGAAAAGGTAAAAATGTTTATGAGGAGGAAGAGAGGAAAGAATAGAATAATATTAATAACAAGATTAGAGGATTTGGAAAAGGAGAAAATGTTTATGAAGATGTTTAAGAGATAAACTAAGATGTCAATGGATTTGGCAAAGGAGTGGAAGTTTATGAAGTTGAAAATCAAGAAAAGGAGTCTTCAGAAGAGAATGGATTTGGAGAGGCTCTTGGAACAGTTGATGATTATGAGTAATAAATGGAAGATTAGAACTCATAGATTTAATTGTCTGGAAATTTAAGAAAGAAAGCATGATTATTCATATTACTGTCTGCATAAAGAGGAACATCAATAATATAGAAAAATATGGCTTATATGTTATATAAACGATTATGATAATCAATCTCTATCAAAGAGTCTGTCCAAAAAGCTCTTTTATTTCTATTGTGGTTATTGGGCTGCTTATGGGTTTGGTCTTGGATTTTAAGCCTTTTTTTTTTAAATAATGTCATACTTGGGTTCTGTCTAATGGTTATTGGGGTCTAGCTTAAGGGACTGTTCTGGTTGGTAATTAGGTCTAGGCTAATGGTAGACTGGCAACTGGAGCAGGAACATAGGTTGTTTGTTAAAGTGGAGCTGGGGCATATTGGACTGGTTATGGAGCATATTGGACTGGTTGTTGGACATATTGGACTGGTTGTGGAGCATATTAGACTGGTTATGGAGCATATTAGACTGGTTGAACGACTGATTGAGTGACAACTTATTAGACTGGTTGGGCAACAACTTATTAGACTTATTGTTGATGAACAACTTATCTCTCAACTGGATAATACTCAACTCTTTCTTGGTATCTATCTACAGGAACATATTCTGTAAATTTAAATTTTTAAAATGTCATACCTGTAAATTTTTCTTAGAAGACTTATGGTACATATTCTGTTTGGTATTCAACTGCGTAATAATCAGTAACATATTTTTCTCTTGGCACTTAGATTCTTTATCTCACTTCTTCATATTCAACCACAGTTTTCTCATATGGAACATATTCGATTCTGCTCTCACCTTTGATTGTTGGTTATGCAACAACAGATTGAGCAACAACTGGTTAGGCAACAACTGGTTGAGCGACGACTGGTTGAGGTACATATTGTTATGGGACCACTTATTGAGGTACATAGGTTTATGGGACGACCTATTGGACGACAGGGGGAGCATAGGAATATCTCAATGGTGAAAGAGGAGCACCATATGGTTAAGCATAGCTGGGTTATCCATAATAGGGTTGTGGTGCTTATGGTGGTTGTTGTGCTTGTTGTGGATGTTATGATTGTGGGATATTGCTCATATAAATTTTATTTAAAAGTTGAGAGGGAAAAAAAGATATGAATTAGGCCTTATAATTAATTAAAATAAATGAATTTGGAAGAATAAGCAAAAGAGTCAATAGAACGAGAATCAGATGATAATGAAAAGAATGATAAGAAAGATTAAGCCTAGCAACCAGAACAAAAGAAAAAAAAGAAGAAAAATAAAAAGAAAAAGAAATGGGGAGAGGAAGGTAATTTCAAATTAAATAAAATTAATAGAGGAAATACTTACAGATTTTGATGATGATTGGCAAAATAAAGTGAAGCAATCTAAAATTTTGTAAGATCCAGACCTCCCTCAACATATTAAGGAAAAGTACGCTATTTATGAAAACAATCCATTTATGATGATTATTTCAAATGTGCCTTTGAATGTTTAACTAAAAGAATTGGAAGAGTATTTTAATACACTCATTACTTCTCTTGATCCTAAAATAAGTATGATAATCCCTGAATTTAGATGACAGACCAATCAAATCAATTGAATATGGTGCCACAAAGTCCTGGGTTGTTTTAGAATGCAGTTCCAAAGAAGCAAAAAGAGCGTTAGTCACTCAGGATTAAGTTTAATTTGTCAACAATTGCAAAATTAAGGTGGAGAGACCAAGAAAATTTTTGGAGAGAATTCTAAATCCCCAAACTAAAGATGGAGAACTTAATCCCGAATAAAAACAAGAGGATAACACCAGATTGTATTTGGGTGGATTGCCGACATATTTAAGGGATGAAGATGTTATGAAATTAATTTAATCCTTTGGAATAACCAAGTATTTCAATCTAGTAAAGGACACTGCTTCAAATACAGAAATTTCGAAGGGTTATTGTTTTTTTGAATATGAAAACGCTGTTTCTACTGCAAAGGCTCTTAAGGCTCTCAATAACTTATAAATCGGAGATAAGAAGTTGAAGATTTGTAAGGTTTAAGGAGAAACTTAATAAAATAAAAAAGTAAATGGGAAGGATCAACCATCCAATTATGCTGGTTCATTCTTGGCATCTTGTGATTTACTTAGAATACCTTAAGTTTAATAGATGTTAACAATTCCGCAATCCGCCTTGATACCTAGCAAGGTTGTTTAATTTTTGAATATGGTATTGTATTTTCTTATTCATTGATAGTGTTCCATTTAGGATTTATATGAGGATGACATTTTCGAGGAATTGGTGGAAGATATAAGGAGTGAATGCATGCGTTATGGATAAATCGAAAAAATCGAAATTCCGAGACCTGATAAAGAATCAGGGTATTTATGATTGTTAATTATAGTTTCTGCAATCCTGCTGTTGGGAAAATATTTGTTAAGTTTTATTATTAAATTCCTGCAAAGAAGGCTAAATTTCACTTAGCTGGACGTACATATAATAAGAGAACTGTTATTACTTCATTTTATCCTGAAGAATAATTTGATTATAAAGACTATTTGATTAATGGATGATTTAATAATTATGATATAATTTGTTAATGATGATCTAATTCAAAAATGCATAAGCTTATTCTATCATACCAAGTAAATAACGAATGGATATTAAGTAAACATAGCCAAAATAATTTAAATGTATACAAAAACCGAAATTAAAATAATGATTAAATAATTTATTATGCAATAATAAACATACCTTGAGAGTAGTTTCAGTAGTCATAGCAGCAGTAGTAGTGAAAACGAAAATAAGGATGTTCCTTTCTCTCCTGTATTTATTTTTCTTAATGCTTAAGTTTAGGGATGCAAATGAAATACAACTACTGTCAGAGTAATTTGACATAACCAAGTGGTCCAAACACGTTTTGCCTCAACAATCATAAGCAGAGAAGACTCCAAAGCCTAATAAAAAACAAGTGGGCAAAAAAACTAAGATTAAAGTCAATACATCATCTTCCATTTCACCCTAGAAAAAGAAATCTAAAATCAAGAGAGTATATAGACCAACCCTCTATGTAGCCCAAAATGAAAGACATTAAGCCCTTAAATTTAGAAAGTGAGAAGAATCTGTTTTTTGCCATGAAAGCTGCATACAATCCATAATTTGAATATGTCGAAGTTAAGGTTTGTATCTACTTTTTATACTAAAGGAACTTGGCCCAGAATAACCTCATCGTAAGTACGAAGAAATTGCATTAAAAATTATTGATCAATGCATTAAAGAATTTGGTTCTGATTTGAAATATGCCGAACAGGAAGGAGGCAAATTATTATCAATCGAAGAAACAGAAAATTTCTTTAATGATTATATCCATAAACTAGGTGTTTAAGATTTGATATCTTATGAATTTCAAGATCATACTGTAGCTCCTACCAGTGTTGTGCATAATCCGACTGATGGTAAAAGCAAAGTAATTATTGGGTTGCCAATCAACTATCGCATCAATCGAATTGAAGGAGTTCTGAATCATGAGATAGGTACCCACTTCATTAGAAAAATAAATGATAGATAACAGCAATGGTACAAGAAAAGGTATAAATTCAATTGATCAAGAGCTAAATATCATTTGGAACCATACTTAAAACATGAAGAAGGATTGGCTGTTTTGAATCAAGTTCTTCCTTAGGCTCTTAAATAGAAAGGCAAACCCTACTTATTCATGGCTGCTTTGCATTATATTTCTGTAATTTATATTATCATTTGAATAAGTCAATAATGGCTAGTTAAATGAGTTTTGCAAAGTTGTTTCATGAACTAAGATACTTTATTTAAGATGATGAGGCCAGATTTCGTGAGTGCTTGAGAGTCAAGAGAGGATTGAAAGATACATCATAACCAGGAGGAATGTACAAAGATTAAGTATACTTGACTGGAGCAATTAAAATACTGAGATATCGAGGGAAATTAAATTTTATTCATTTGCATAGTGGTAAAATAACAATTAAGGATTGTATTCGTTTGGGAGAAATAGGATAAATATTTACAAAAAATATCTATATTCCACCTTTTTTATAAGAACTTGATCAATATAAAAGAGGACTGGATAAGATAGCATAATAAAATTTCATTAATTTTGTATGATAATAAGAATATTAATTAAATCAAAATAAATTATCAAATATTAAAATAATTTAAGATTTTGGTTGCTCTTTTTATGATATTCTAATTTTGACTCTATATGATTATATCATTTAGATATTACAACAGATTGTATTATCTAAAGTACTCGCAAAGCTTCTAATCAAATTCACTATGTTTCATGATAGCATAAGTTACTAAAATTAGAACATAAGAGTTACATTTTAATAAAGATTTACACAACGCAAAATTATTCGTATCTTTTATATCCTAAAAGTTAGACACTATTAGGCTCAATAATCCATTTTCATAAATCTGAAGACATTCTTCAAAGGTACTTTGCTCACAAATATAATAAAATGCTTCAATTTAATGGTAAAGTACTTTCTGATGCTCTAAATAATAGTTTGAATAATATATACCTTCTAATTTCACTATCTCTAAAAAGTTAGTAGGTATTTGGTTTGAGTGAATATCATTCATCATTTAACAATTCTTGAGAGAAACTAAATTTTTGAAAGTTAATGATGCTTGCAAACGAATACAATTGTTAATTGAATTATAAGCAATATGATTTTCCAAGACTTCCACTAACTAAAACAATATTTAAGGGCTCTTTTGGAGAATGCTCAATTTTTATTTCTCTGATTACTTTGATATTTCAGCTAGCACTTATAAAGCATTCAATCTTAAAGATAATGCATCTTATAATGTGAATGCTGTTTATTAAAGAATTTTCCAAATACTTTAATAATGCGTAATATTAAAAGGGAATGATGAATTTTGGATAAAACAACTAAGGAAATAAAAGATTTAAGTGAGAAGAGAATGTTAAACCTCATTCGATGTCTCCTCTTGTGACTCAATATCCATATCCATGTAATTTATGAGAACTAATTTCTTACAAAGTTTCTCTAAAATTGTTAATAAGAGCAGCTTGTTCTGATCCGAATAACTATGAGCATCTGATTCTATGAAAATAGTAATTAAGTACACTAATGATAACATACAATAGTCATCATACTCTATTTCAAAGTTTAACACCTTAAGTGCACTTTAAAATGTATTCAATTCTAAGAGCCTGCATTTGCAGATTTAAGACTTCTTAGCTATGGATCCGATAATGTATTGAATTTCAGTGATGTGATTAAGATCCTATTCCTTCTCATAAGCCTACAATAGTCTTTATCCAAGAAAATATTGTACAAAAGTATTTTCCAATTCCTCTTGTTCTGATTAATCCACTATCTATTATAACTACTCTAAGCTTGAGTTTGTTAGTTCGCTATTGAAAATAGTGGTCATTATTGCAGCAATATCTTTGGTAATACAAATTTAATCTGGCTTAGGTGGTGAACCATTGCTATTGAAATGTAATTCATTTTAATGTGTTTAAGTAATAGATAGCATATGTTGTCTAGCTTACATCAAATGAGCATCTAAACGTTGTCTCCTTATTTATTATCGAAATTATTCTTTTTTCAATTATAACATAAAATAATAATCAAATAATTCTTAATTTTAGTTTAGTTTAGTTTAGATAAATGAACATAAGCCACCATAAATTCTGGAGGTAAGAAATCCATTGCAAACGAATATACTCTTTATTTTCCTTTCAACTTTTTCAAAATAGTAAATAATCATTATTAATGAATTTAGCTAAAATTAAAATTACTTATAGATCTCTAAATATTAAATTTAATAGACTAAGTAAATAACTTTATTTTAACAATTGAGATATATTGCCAGCAAAAGATAGATACAAAGCACAATACAGAAGTTTATTGAATATTTTCAATTACTACTTGTAGACGTACTATCAGTGTTTATAAATATATGGATAAGAAAGAATATAAAGTGTATTTTATATTCCGCATGCTTTCTTGATAAATAGGCAATTAAAATGAATTTTTAACATGTTCCTCAGAATTCTGTCCATTCTGTTAGACCTATATTCTTTTGTTTTGTTTGCATTTTCTACTACAATTAGTTAATGAATGGAGGCCATTAAGATTATCATTCGGATTAAGCCATTTATCAAAAAAATTAAAATGACTAATAGCCGCCATCAAATTAGATATGAATGCTATAGCCAACATTTCTGTTTTTAAATATTCTTTAAATAATTTCAATGCACAACTATTGTAAGTACTTTTGACAGCAGCATTCTCATTACATATTTCTCATGCATATAAGCTTAATCAATGTTCTTCTCCTTCCAAGTTTTAGTTTTAGCGATTCACTTATCTTATCCAAATTAGCATTCTCATTATCTTTAGAAATTTTATAAATAGATTAATTAACAACGATTATTAATTCATTTTTAATTAGTAAAATATTTATAATACTTATTTTATTACTCTTATATTATAAAGCAACAAGTTATTCCTCTTTGTTTACTTATTGAAATTTGATAAAAAATTAAAAATGATTGTCAATAAAATACTATTATTCACAATTCAAAATGCAAAATTTAATAAAGTATTGACACCATCTAGGTATGGACTAAGATGTCAAAATTTTAGTTTATTATTTTAACATATTGATATTTGCTGAATAACTTATTATATCAATCCATTTTACTCTTGTTTATTCAATAAAAATGTAGATGTATATAGGAGAATGATTATAATCTTAATTAATAGTTATACTCAATTCTTGCGTATATTCTTATTTATTGGATATTAGGGTTCACCAGTAACCTCATCAAGATCTGGAGCTGCTTCTTGCTAAACTATTTGAAAGTTATACTCTTGCTTCCAGAAAGAATTCATTATAACCTCTAAACACTGTATAGACATTGTAGGCAATGAGGCATAGGATTCCATTGACAACGTAGACATGAGCTTTGTTGGCCATCTTGAAACCTTTAGCTTCTGCCTTTGATAAAAGAGCATCCAATTTTTTCCAAATCATTATAAAAAATAACACAATTATATTTTAGAATATCGGAATTTTATAATGTTTTAAAAAGTATGAGATTTGACAATAAAATTCTTAGGAATTAGTGGAATAGTCAATTGTAGATCTGTCTTTTTTAAATAAATTCATTTCTTTTATAAAAATTTAAGTAATTAAGTTCCTTAAGTATTTTTTAAGCGACCATTAGATATTTATTTTTACAATGCAATTAAATTCTTGCCTACTTATTCAAAACTCTAACTAGAAACTGTTTATTCCTATTTCTGGAGGTCAAACTACAAGAGAATATTGATTTAATAAACCTTAGGAAATGCTTTATATTTATTCATCTACAATTATTTCTCAGATGTTTAATGTTACAATTCATTGGATTTATCTGACCTTTATAGTTTGTGTCGCACATTTTCTCTTAATCTTTCAGTTTCAGTAAGTTTTGATTCTGGAAATGGTTGTGTTTCATCATTTATTCGCTGCAACCCAAGTTCTCGTTTTGCTGACAGATGTCTCCTTCCTTTGGACAAAGATCTGTCGGCATCTGTGTGACAAGCCTTCAAGAAAGTCTTGAGATTTGTCTCATAAGTAGAATTTTGGGTTTGCTTTGCAGCTTTATTTTGAACGAATTTTCCGAGTCTCTCAAAAAAAGCAGAAGGACTTTTCTTATGGATAATTTCGACAGGAGAATTTTCTTATAGCTTTTTGTTTTAATCCTAGAAATGTTGGATAGATACGTTTATAATCAATTCTAATGATCGTATTTTATCTTGTTGTTGCTGTATGACGAGATCTTTCTCGAGAGTAATTTCTTCAAGTTTCTGCATCAATACTTCGATTTGCAATTTCTATTGTTGTTCAACTCTTATATGGGACCGTATTGAAGCTTCAAGATTTTGGATAATTGACTCATAATCATTGTTAATATGTTCATTTAGTTGTTCTTCAAAAAGTATCTTGATGCTAGAAGGGTATTAAATAACATAGCAACCGATTCAAATAGGCCACAATTTGAAGTATGTACTCACATTATTATATTTCAGACTATCCACAAATGTCTTGGGTAGTCTATTTATTCATTTATTGATAAGTTTCTACGACATCCTAAAATGAAATTGATAGTACTTTGTCAATAATATCTAGTACATCCATTAATAGCTATTTTATACTTTGCATATATATATATAAATTAATAAAAACAGCAAGATCCCAATGCTGTAGAAGAGCACTGTAAAAGAATCGATAAGATAGTCTGATTTTGGTTGTAGTTTTGTTTGTTTGTACTATTAATAAGAAATTAATTGAGAAAATTATGCAATAAAAGATGAAGCACTATAATTTATAATTGATAAATTAATATAAAAATGCTGAGTTTATACAGAAATCAGTTGATGGGAATGCAAAAGAAGGTACTTCTGATTGGAAGTGGTTTGATGGCAGAAGCAGTCATTGATTAATTATTGAAGAGAAGTGACGTACTATTTTAATAAATTTTAAGAATTTCGTTGTTGTTGCCTCTGCTCACGTGGAAGATGCTAAAAAGGTGATCTAGAATAAAGAGAGATGTTCAGCTCATCATTTAGATGTGACAGAAACAGAGGAACTCAGAAAATTTGTTAAGAATTCAGATATTGTGATAGCCTACATCCCACCATAATTTATTGTTCCAATAGCCAAGATGTGTGCAGAAATAGGCAGATCGATGATCACATCACAATACACATTCCCAGAGATCAGAGCCTTGGAAGAGGAATGTAAGAAGAAGGGAATAATCATGTTGAATGAAATCGGTTTGGATCCAGGAATCGATCATTTGGCAACTGTAAAAGTGAGAGATGAAGTGTATGCAAAAGGAGGAAAGTAAGAGAATGTAATAAATTTAAGAATCATTGAATACGAGTCTTGGTGTGGAGGTGTCCCAAGTCCAGAGTTCTGCGATAACCCTTTTGGCTATAAGTTTTCATGGAGTCCTTTTGCAGCCATAAGGAACATCAACAACGATGCCAAATACTTAGAAAAAGGAGTTTAAAAGTATATTCCAGCATCTGAGTTGCTTTACTCTACTGAAATAATTCATGTGAATCCATCATTACAGATGGAAGGATATCCAAATAGAGATAGTTTACCATATTAAGAATTGTACGGTTTGAAGGACTGTTAGAAACTAGTTAGGGGGACATTAAGATACCAAGGTCATTGTGTATTGATGGCAGCCATGAAGGCTTTGGGATTTGCATCAGAGGAGGTTATCAAAGTAGACAGAGAGATGAGTTGGTTCGAATATTTACTGAGCAATATAAGGTTTGAGTCTTGCTCATCTAAGTTTTTGGGTAATCATCACATTACGCAATTGGCTAATACCATCGATTAGAAGGTGTTTACGTTAGCTTAATTGGAAACATTGTTGACTAAAGTGTTCAATCGTGTGTTCTCCTAATACTATTACAAAGATAAAAGCGAAGAATAATTGTATAAGGATGCCGAATAAATAACTTATACTTTGAAGTGGATGGGAGTATTTGATCCTAAAAACTTGATTTTGAACAATGTGACTCATGTCCACAACTTTGCTGCTCATCTACAAACTCTTATGAATTATAGATAGGGGGAAACTGATTTGGTAGCCATGCAACATATCTTCAAAATTGTCTATCCCAATGATCCAAGAGTGTATGTCAAAAAGTCCACAATGGTGAAGATTGGACATCGAAATGGAAAGTATTCTATTATATGTATGCTATCTTTAGATCTGCCATGGCCATTACTGTGGGTGTGCCAACTGCTGTGGCTACTTAGTTGATTCTGGATGGAGTGATCAAGGTCACAGGAGTTCATATGCCGAACATCTCAGAGATTAACACTCCGTTGTATGAGGAACTCAAGAAGGAGGGCATCTATTGTGAGGAGGAAGATTATTGAGATTGCAGTTATCTGAATATGTATAGATTATTCCAATTTATTATTTTATCATGTTGTCACTTTAAAAGAAATAAAAACGTAATTAACATATGTAAATATATATTTATATGTTATACTAAATAAATCATCCACTTTTGAATAAGAGTATTGCAACTTATCCCATGTAAAAATAAATGAAATGCTTTGTCTCATGTGTAACGTAAGATCCAAAGTTTCTGCCAACTATGCAATGCCATGTTGGATTGTACTTTTTATCGAATTCCTTTTTGATGAATGCCTACGATCTTAGAAATTAGGTTTACAGCAATATCTTTTTCAATATTGAATTTCTCCAATGCTTGATTGGCACAATCGATAGCATCTTGTTGCATTTCTTCTGACATGTCTGCATTCTTTACTACTGCCTTTCTGTCTGCTTGAGCCATTGAACTTGATTTAATTTTTAAATTTATTAATAACTATATTCATTTTATATAATGCAAATTTATATAGTACTTTTAATTTATGAATTTATCAGTTAAATCTTACAGCTTATCTACACTTCGGACATTCTGATCGAGCCTTGAGCCAGTCAGAAATGCAAGCCTTATGAAAAACATGAAATTCATGACAGCCCAATCTGACAAACTCCTCCCCTCCAACGAATTCCTATAGACATATTACACACTCATTATCCTCGCTTATTCGTTCCTGTCCCACCATTTCAATCTTCAATTTATTCAGATTTTCTGGACTGGCCCCTGTATTCCTTTTTTGAAGATTGCTCAAATTTATACAATAAGCAAAGGGTAGCACCAAGAGGTAAATCACCACTATCAACGTGGGAATCCCTATCGTTATATATTTCAGTATCAGAAAGGTCAATGCCACGCCCCAAGTGAAATTAAATTCAGGCTCTCCTATTTCGCATTCCCCATACAAGTTCCTATAAATTTACACCTATCCAAACATAAATACAACTATGTTCAATCTACCAAATCATGGACACATTAATACACAATCATCAAATATTTTATAAACTTGTATGAACTATGATAATCCGATATAGCATCTATCAAATATTTAGTATTAGCAAACGAAAATTCAGGATAGGGTAATCGATTCTCACCTTCACTCTGATATACTTCAATCAAATCGTTATAGATTATCAATAAGAGGTATAAGATTCGAAAGGCTTCCTATTTTGATTTTTAAAAAGTACAATTGTATTTACAATTATAGCCAAAATGAAAAATTCACTCAAAGTTGTATTTGCACAAGGCTTTGGCAATAAACACAAGGCCAAAAAATATAGAAACAATTCCAAAAGCGAGAATGCCAATTTGAAGACAGATCTATTGCGTAGACTCTTGTAAACATTGATTTGATTAGTTCTAAATGTTTATATATTTGGGTTGGTCTGAGTCATTTAGTTTTCTTGGCACTATTAAATTAATCCACCTTACAATATTAAATGACATTGATCATCTGTTGGTCGGATAATTATTCCTCAGGAACTATCTGCTACATCAGTTTTGATTTCACGTTTATATAATTTAAATATTCAATATTTCAATGCGAAGAGTAGTTGTTACAGGAATGGGAATGGTGTCTCCCTTGGGTTTGAATGTCTCTGAATCGTGGAATAGCCTACTTGCAGGAAAAAGCGGAGTTGTGAGAGTGAAGGATAGAAATAAAGATCTGCCAGATGTCTACATGGGACTCATACCTCAATCCTTTGATAGCAAGCCCTATTAAGTAGAGTATTGTCCCAGCAACCTGACATCATATGCAATGTGTGCTGCCCAAGAGGCCATAGCCGATTCGAATGTACTGAACGATTGTGATCCAGATAGAATTGTAAGTTCATTCCATCTCACATATTAGGGAGTCAATATCGGAGTGATGAATTCAAGCATGACTAAAATCACTGAAATCATTAGCAATGCAGCCTTGAAAGGTACTAGCAGAATCAATCCATTTACAATGCTCTACGTCCTATCGAATATGCCCACTGCATTATTAACCATCAAATACAAACTTAAAGGACCCAGCAGTACAGCCTCAACTGCATGTGCAACAGGAGCATCAGCTATCGGCGATTCCTTTAGAAAAATTAAGTATGGAGATGCTGATATCATGATTGCCGGAGGAACAGAAGATACTTTCAACACAACAGCCATCTATGCTTCAATCAAGATGCAAGCTATGTCAACAAAAATCTATGATGATCCCACGAGAGCCTCAAGACCCTTTGATGAAGACAGATCAGGATTCTTATTAGCTGAAGGCAGTGGAGTCCTGGTCTTGGAAGAGTATTCCAGAGCTAAGAGAAGAGGAGCCAAAATCTATGCTGAGATCTTGGGATATGGAGAAAGTAGCGATGCTTTCCATCTGACTCGCCCCCAGGATAATGGAGAAGGGGGAAGAGCTGCCATGTTAAAAGCATTGAAGGAAGCCAATATTGATGATGTCGATCTCATCAATTGTCATGCTACATCTACCAAAGGAGGAGACATAGCAGAGGCTAGAGCCATAGCTGATTCGAAGGCTACTTTGGTTGCCAATAAAAGCCAATTGGGACACACCTTTGGAGCAGCTGGTGCCATCGAGTCTATTTTCACCATCAAATCTTTACAGGAATAAATTATTCCTCCCACTATCAATCTTGATAAACCCATTATAAGAGAGAATCAATATTGCAAGGAAGCCACAGAGAAAACATTAAAATATGCTTTGAAAAATGCTTTTGGGTTTGGAGGTGTCAATGTCTCTCTAGCATTTGGTAAATATAATTGATTATATTAATTTTATATTTATGAGTTTATTAGTCCTTTATTCCAACAAGTATTTAAATATATACATTGATTTCATCAATTTTATCCAACATGAAATAAAAATATAAATAGATAATGTTTACAAGAAACTTCAAATTAACACAAATATTATATATTATTATTATTATTTAACGATTTTAATATAGCATGTCATCTATACCCTCAATGAATTTGTTCAGTGGCCCTGATATCTAAAAGACAAGATCTCATTATCGTCCTTTTGGAACTTATCAATCAAATTACTGCTCACAACCCCCAAAATCATTATATCCAGAAGACTATTACTCTATGCCATCTTATCATGATTACTTAGCTTAACAAGCAAGAACAAATTATAATTAATCCTATCCTGAATATATTGATAAAGAGCACTATGTACCCATCAAATATGAAAGTCCATTTTAAACCCTTTACAAGTATGAAAAAACAAACCCTACTCCTAAAGATGCCTTTATTACCCCGTATAGACCAAAAGAACCAACAGATGAAGAAATACAAGAGCATGTACCTGTTATTGATCTAGTGATTGAACAACAAAGGTTCTACACACATTTTTCAGATCACGGTCTACCCAAAGGATATGCTGAAAAAGATTATCAAAGAGAATTAGAAGACAGATATAACAGAGATCTTACTTAACAAATTCACAATGGCTATAAGTTGGAAGAAACAAGAACCAAAAAGGATATTGATTAATTCTATAGGAATATTAAAGTAGCCGTTGATGAAAGAGGGAGAGTTCAAATCAACAATATTAGATAGCCATAACAAACTTCAAAGCCTCTTTCCACCATTTACAAGACGACTGAAGATACTGCCAAAGTGACTAGCAATTTATAAACGTTTGATAATAATGTTTATCAGTAACCTAACAAACAATCTTAAGAACAATATCACAATCAATTTCAAGACTCATTCAATCCTTATTCATAAAATCAGCAACAACCACAATAATAATAGTAGCCACTCCACACAGAAGAAAAGGCTCCTTCTGAAAAGAATTCAGTGGTAATACCCATACCTGGAGATTCAAATTTATAATAGTCGTAACTTGAATAATCCAAGGTAATTACTAGTAATGATTGATGTATTAAATATAAATTATCTTATTATATAAGTCTTTTGGAATAAATAATTATTATCAATTTCTTAAACTAATTGAAAATCATCCTTTTTGAATTAATCTATTGATTAATAACAAAAAATTTCGATCCAATATTTAATAACTTATTTTATTATTATGAATTCCTTTAAAGTAAGCTATGTTTATATTCTTTAAAATAAAAAATGAAAAATTCCATTTAAATTTATGCATTATCATAGAAAACCAAATATGAGTATCCCTTAAATTTGTTCATTATTGTAACCTCTAATAATAACTTATTATTGGATATTATTTTTATAATATTGACTGTAAATTCATAGTTAAACGTTTTTACTAAAATTTTAATAGTATCAGTATTTAATCATTCACTAAAATACAAAAATATCAATTTCTTATAACTGTGTACAGGGTTTATAATAACAAAGCGGAGTTCCCAAAATATATAACTATTTCAATTTGATCATAAGATCCAGAAACATTTTCAAATTTCAATAGGATGGCTTACAAATGAATGAATATATTATTGTGACTACTTAATCAATAATAGATGAAACATGATGCACAAAAATCAATCCTCTCATCCATTTAACTAAAGTAAAAGAAGAAAGAATAGAATTTTGATTCTTCAAAAGTGACAACAATCTCAATTGAATCAAAATCCTCAATGGGATATTAATTAATCATAGTAATTAACATAAATATTGTTTTCATATTTTTAATTGCATTTTTAACATTCTATTCTCTTCTTTAACTATATTACAATTTGCTTATTCGATACGCAACTATTGTAAATTGGTTTTTAATTGAAATTGTTTCTTCTCGAATTCTTACTCACATTGCTAGATATATAATTACAATATTGATACATCCAAAAATTCGAAATATGATTTTACTTTCTCACTTAAAGTCCCTTCATTTTGAATTTGATAATTACAAAATCTCTTCACATTTATATTATTAAAAAAATCTTCAAGGATTTAGGTCTCATCAACTAGCGATTAGAATTCTCTTTCCTTTTTATCCAATTACTACTTTAATTGATTTGTAATATTGATATCCTTTCTTAATTTACTTATATCTGTCTAATACATTAGTTTTTCTTCATATTTTTGTTACATTATATTCTTTTCCTCATGCAGTTGCTTGTACTGTCTTTATAAAGTAGATAAATCAGTATTGAGCTTCTAATTGGCCTTCTACAACATAAGAACATTATCAGACAACTTCTTCTACTTACTGTCATCTGTCTCATTCTGATTACAACATTATAACTATTAAATTGTTTATTCCAACTCTGCTTTCAAAGTCGATAGTTCAATCTTGGCGGTACGGAGTCTTTGATATTAAAATATAGTACTTGTCTATCTCCTCCAATGACTTAGATCGTTAAGTCTACTCTAATTTCAATTCAGATCTTAATTTTAGTACTTCATTCTCCTTCATAATTAATTTCTAATTGATTATATCGAAACTATCTAGGAATCTACTTAACTTCTCCTTTTAATACTGGAACTCTTCTTTCAATTATCCATATTTCTAGACTCCTTCAAAGTTTACTTTATTTTTTTCTAATTCTACTTTTAATTCTTCATTTTATCTCTTTACCTCATCCAAATCATTCTAAGTTTAATGTTATAAATCAGAGTAATATATTTTTTATTCATTTAGCAACTAAGATTCTTATATTTGCATATCAAATTGGGTCTTAACTTAATTCAATTTTGAGCTTAAGGCATTCTTAATAAATTCATTAGTCAATTATTTTGCTTCTAATTCCATAGTAGTATTTAATGAAGATAAGAATTCTATCTATTTTTACTCCATTTTAGTGAAGTTCTCCTTTTCTTTTTTTAATGCCTTTAATGATTTTAAAACTTTTTTTGACTTAAGTTCACTTCTTCTCTTAAATTTTAAAAGCTCCTTCAATTAATCTTTAATCAAGGTTTCCTTTTCTGCCATTTATGTGTGAAGATTTGAACAATCTGATTATAATCCTTAGAGCAGAGATTTATTTAGTTCAATATCGTTTTATAATCTCTAAATTTCTTCACTCTAAAACTCAATAGTTTATGCATCTGTATCCATCTAATCCTTATTAATTTATAATTAGTCATTTAGCTCAGTAATTCTATTCTCAAGTTCTTGAAGCTAATGAGCTTTGTCCTCTTAAAACATCTCCAATTAGCTTTCATATTGTTAAGTCAAGGTGGCTTATTACTAGTATTAATCCAAAAGCATTTCCTTTTCTTTTTATAGTAATTCTATATTCTACTCTAATTATGTGATAATCAATTATTATTCATTTCTTCTATGTTTCAGAATAGTATCTTCTTGCTGAAGTTCCAAAACTCTTTAATTTAAGTATTCATTCTTATATTTCAATTCCATTTAGATTTCTAATGCCTATTCCAATTATAAGTCCTTATCTTACATACCTATTTACGAACACTTATGACTTTTAATATTGTAATCTTCTAATTCAGTTATTCTGGATTCATAGTGTTCTTTCATTTGTTTAAGTTCTTTAGTCAGATGATCTTAATATTAGCTGCTTTCATTTAGTTGATAGCTTAAACTAGTTATTTAGGAGATTAATTCGACTTCTTTTTACTTCTTAGGAATAATTTCAGATTGGTGAATAGAATATTATAATTCATTCTTCAATCTTTTTATTTCTGCTTTCAAAGAATCCAAATTACCACCAATTTCTTCATTTATAATTGCTTAATTCTTAATGTTCTTAGCTCTAGAAGCAAATTTCAAAGTCCCTAGAGTTTCTTAAAATGAAGAACTAGCAGCAGATATTGTAGCTATCATAACAGTTTTGGAATTTCCTCCTAAACTTTCTCTTAAAAGGAATGTCAATTTACTATCTCTATAGGGAATAAATTTCTTTGCATTTTCAGCTAAAGAATTGATCACTAAACCTAGAACAGTGAGAGACTTATTAATATTCGTAGCTTCTTTTAATCTGTCACCTGTGGCTGCTGTTAATTTTTATCTTTCACTACCAGCCAAATCAACAAAATTCATTTTACTTTTTCTTGTGTACATCCCTTTTGTTCGCTATTCTAATTGTAAAGTGAATATGGAATGACTTCTAGAACTCTCCAAATTCATTTATGTTGCAGAGACATGTCTATTGGCTAATCCTCTTTACATCAATAATAAAACATCATTAAAGGATGTAACTGCAATTTCTGTAAGATTCTCAACATATACTCGTTTAGAATCTTCTCTAATTGTTAAAGGCATAGCTTTAGCACCATTTAAGAGATCAATCAATTATTCATTATAAATTTCTAAGTATGTACATTTGATTGTCCAATTATTCTCTTTTGGCAATTCCTTAAATAATTGCTAAATCAAACGTGGCTATAATCCTACATGTGAACTATCACTTGTTAAATCATCATAGCCTTTCCCTTGCATTGTATAAGTTTTGCCAGCACCTGTTTAACCATAGGCAAAGATACAGCAATTCAAACCGTCAAGAAATGATTGAAGTGTAGAATTCCCAATTTTATCAAAGACTTGCTCTTGAGTTGAATCAGCACCCAATACATGATCATAAGTATACTCTTTCTTATTGTCCAATGTAATGGAGTTCGCATTTGTAGTAATACAAGCATTGGCACCCAAATGAGCTTCTCTTTAATTCAATGGTCTCACTCTAACTAGAACGTGAATATTTTCCATCAAATTTATGGGTATTTTAAAATGTATTTTAACGAATTAATTTTAAAAATTAACAAATGAATTAAATGGATGGATTGATTGAAGAGAACACTCAATTAAAGAAGGCCATTATATCCTCAAAAGCTGTCATATCGAGGAAGATAAGTAATAAAATCATAGAATCATTTAGATGAATTCGAAACATTATAAGCTATTAATGATGAATTGAAGTAACAAGTTGATAAATTGAAATTGGATAATAATGAATTGAACCAAAAATTTAGAATTGCGCTTCATGAAAAAAAGCAGACTGAATAATAATTTGATAATGCGAGCAAGAATTGGAAATTGTTGATTGAACAAAAACAAAGAGAATTGGAAGATATTTAAAATAAATTGAGTCCATCCTTTGATTAGGATATGATTAGAATTAAATTGCTAAATGAATTAGAAATACCACATAGATAATAACTTGAAGTTAAATAGATTGAAATTGAAAAGCTAAATGAAGTTATTTATCAACTGAAAAGAAGTTTGGATCTTGAAATTGCTAAAGTTGAAACAACCAAATTAGAAAGTGCCAAAGAAATTAAACTACTTCAGGATCGATTCAAATTGGACATGTCAGATTAACAACATTAGATTGAAGAACTTACAAAAATGATAGAAGACAGTAAAGATAGAGATGTAATTAGGAGACTAAGAAAAGATTTAGATGAATATAAATTAAAATTTAATAATGCAGACACTGAAAATTAAGAATTAAGAAATGAGAGAGACAAAATAAGAGAAGAGAAAAATTAAATCATGATTAAATTCGCCAGATAAATAGATTAAGAAAGAAATGATAAACGTTAATATAAAAGTGATTTTGATAAAATACAAGTGAGAACCAGATTTATTGAAGATGAATTAAGAAAGGAGAAGCAAAGAAGGGAGTAAGTGTCTACTGATTTTGAAATAATGAAAACAGAAAAAGATTAATTATTAACAGAAATAAGAAAGAAGGATGACACCATTCATTATCTACAGAGAAAAATTGGAGATATGGAAGAAGAATAATTGGAATAAGAATAAAAGGTTTAAGATAAGTTAACTCGTCTTTATTAAGATGAGCATGACAAGTATTTATAAGAGAGAAATAAAGCGGTCACATTATAGAAAGATCTTGATAATTTAAAAAAGCGGTTTAGTGATTTACAAGATGATTACAAAATACTAAAGGATAGATACTTAAAGGAAAATACTGATAATAAGGATAACAACAAAATTTAAAATGAAGAATTGGAGAAATTAAAGAAGATTGTGTCCTAGTAACTCAAAGACATAGGTGATTTAGAAAGATCAAATAAAAATAGAGAAGAATAAATACATGACATTGAAAACGAAAATGAAACCTTGAAGAGAAGAAACAGAGAACTACAACATAGAATCTAATTAATTGAAGTTAATCCTTTACCTTCTCCTCAATAAACATAGATGATATATAATTAATCATTATACCCAAGTTTTGCTTAAGTCCCTCAATATGCTTAATAGATTTAAGAATAATATGAGACTAAACCTAAACAAAACACAGTTGCACAATAAGAAAATGAACCTTAAAATTAAAATTACACTTAGGCATAAAAGTAGAGTATTTAATAGATTACAGAAGAAAATAGATCGTTGATTCAGAAAAATAAAAAGCTTAATAAGAAATTAAAGGAAGCTAATGATAAAATTTTAGAGCTTTCGATGAAAAATACTCTTTTAGAAAAGTAATTATAAAGATAGTACTCTGTCCCTTCTGTAGCATATTAAGGATAATAAGGAAATTATACTCATTCACAATCTCCTCTCAGATATCCCTATGAAGACTATGAATAGAAAGATACTAGACAATATTAGCAAACTCATACTGATACGAGGTTGGATCGATTTGATAAATAAGATAGGTATACTTAACCCAATTAAGAGAGATATTAATAGAGAAAAATATCTGGAACAAATTAATAATCTAAATAGGGTTATTAAAATGAGATTCATGAGGATGACTTACTTAATAAAGTAATGATGCTTACTAATAATAATACTAATTAGCCTAAATATTGGTGAGTTTACTATTTATTTAATAAAAACTTAAGTTAAATTTATATAATTTATAATTCAAATAATGCTTCTTTTCATATTACTATCATAGACATTAGCTTGTTAAGGTACTCACATGCATCTTATCTAGATCAGAATTGTATTGAATGTAATTAACCTACAATTTGCACTGCTTGTGTATCAATTTTGACCAAACTCTTAGGTTTAGCCCTTATTATTAAGCAATAATCAATGTGTCACCAATTGTCCAACAAATTATTACCCGGACATAATAAATAATGTGAAATAGTGTTTAAAATGCAATGATAAATGTTTGGAATGTTAAAATGGATCTCCAACAGGTTGTACTAAATGTGTGAAGCCTTTGAGATTAATGTGTGGCAATTGTTTGGACAGTGAGATAGACTCAGAATGTTCTGATTGTAGTTCCCAATGCGTAAAATGATATCCTAATTCTAAGATAACATGTTTTGGTAAAAGTCCATCTGAATGCTATCTCTGCAATCTTCCTAATTTTCATTCTCCAAACAATGACAGTTGCGAATTAACATGTGAATTCCCAATGTATGGAGATGTGTATGACTTCTAATGCAAAGAATTCTGCCCCTTTGGCACCTATGGTTAGCCAATTTCGAGACAATGTTTGCCCAATTGTCCAGACCCGTATTTTAAAAATGAATTGAATACCAATTGTGTGAAAGAAGTATTTTTTAATTCAATTTTCTAAGTGCCCCAAAGGTACTTATCCCTTAGATAGATCTTGCTAGATTTGCAATTCCACTTGTGAAACATGTTCTGGGGGAGAGTCAACTGAGTGTCTATTATGCAAGGAAGGCTTTTATATGTATGATCAACTGTGTGGGGAATGTAAAAGTTAATAATACTCAAACAATGAAACAAGAACATGTGTTAATTATTTAACATATTCTCTTAATATTTTGGAAGCTCATGAGTCAACTATAGTTTTTGAAATCTCATTTTCTAGCAGCATCAATCCAAAAACACTTGATATAAACTCACAGATAATTGTTGTGGATGTAGATCAGGCATAATATAAAATGTAAGTTATGATTTACATAGATAAGGACATTAAGTTCTGTTTAAGATGATTAATTCTTTATAATTACCTTGGAATTTTATATATCTCACAGAATTACTCAAATCTCTTGTAATTTTACAAATAATATTATGAATGAAGATAAAACCCCCATTCAATAGTCATCAGCCATTTAGGATTTGGATATACCTGCATAGTTTATTCCACCTGAAAAGGAAGCCAATAATAAATAGATCAATACGTATTTGATAATCAGTTATTTGTCTTATTTTTGCTTTTTGTTTCTCCTATGTCTAATCTTAAGAACTCAAAGAAGAATGTTCTACTTGATTATCAACAACCTACAATTCGTTCAGGTAATGATTTTTATCAATTTTACTTATTCAACCCTTGCTTTAAACTCCCTCAAACTTCTGGATATTGTAAATCTAAGGAGAATACCAGCAATTGGGGTTTCAGAGGATGGAATAATATTGTACTTCTTCAATACACCTATTTACAATTAAATTCCAAACAACAATTTGCTTTATAATGCAGGTTATTATTACAATTTCATAGCAAATGGAGGAATATAAATACTGGGAATATTGCTCATATTTTGGCTTGTTTGGATAATCAGTTACATTTTGCACAATTTATACTAGATCAATAATAAATTAGAAACATTGAAGATCTACAGAGCTATGCATGAAGGCAGTAATGATTTGCTGGTTCGTGTGCATGAGTTTCTCTATTTTCCTTTGATTCTCATTTCCATTTTGTAATTGTGGGGATATGATTTTAGTTCTGATATCAACATAGCCTCATTTGTATTGTCCATAGTCACTATTTTGTATTATCTTTTATATTTCAGAAGCGTATACAAATCATAGTTTCTTGATCTAGATCAATAGGAAATGGAAAATAAATACTTCACATTCTTTTCAGATTTCAAATAAACAAATTACATCAAAAAGAACTATGAATTCATTAATTACTTTATGAAAACCAGTATTGCATGTTCTCTAATTTTGCTCAACAATTTCCCTTATATCCAGTTTTCTATTTCAATAACTTTGATTGTCCTTTACTTCTTACTTCTAATTCAAAGAAGACCTTACTAAAGGGATATAATGAACTATTCAGCCATTTTTGGAAATCTTATCATGGTTGGTTTATATTCAACAGCAATTGTATAAGAAGTGGAATATCATGCTTAGAACAAGGATATTGTTATAAAAACTTCAGATGAATAATAATAATACAATTTTGGATTAGCCTTCATGATTTTAGTTTAAATTATTCTTGGGTTCTATGCAATCACCTTTAGTTTCAATAAATTCTTGGACTATTTGAAGTACTTGGAAAAACAACCACAATCAGGAAAGAGTTTCTTATAAAAGATGGGAAAAGTCTTCTTTTCAGATAAAATGCAAGAAGTTGAATTGGGTAACATGTCTTTTACAAATTGAAAATAATTTAATTTGTATTTAATTATTAAAATTTAACATACTTAAAATAATTAATACTGCCCCAATATAAATTAATTTATAATTAATTAATTAATATAAGCATTTGCGAAGTAAAATCACAATTAAAGGAATAAGGAATTGGCATGTTTTCAGCATTTCAGTATTATTAATTGGCTACTTCAGAAACATTATTTCTTCACATTAAATATCCTCTAAATATATAATTAAGATAATTTAAGGATATATTATTTTTTGTAGAAAAAGGACTAACCAATAATTAGACAAATTAAAATGAAATGAATTTTTTATCGATTCTTAAATATAATTATCTACAATAAATTTTCATTACCTTTCTATTTTTTTAAATTGACAATTAAGAGGATACTAAATAGAAAATTTAATAAATTATATATTGGTATTAAAGCTTCTTATTAAACCTTTGGAGAAAAGGAGTGAACACAGACTTAGAATCAGAGAAACGAAATCGATATTAATAACCGCTTTAATTTTATACTAAAATGTAGAATGAAACTTATCGAAAAAAAAAGTTTAATTGTAATAAAATATTAAAAGATAGATAAAATATATGTAAGGGCCTTCTTGATGAGTAAAATAATTCAAATATGAAATTACTAAAAGTCAATTCTGTTGATTTAAGTGAGTTATCTAGGATTTAACTATATATTATATATACATTAATAATTAATAGCATTAATGATTTTCGTTTTAACAATAATTAAAGAATAGGTTTTATTTTTTGAGAAAATCTATATATATTAACTATAAGTCTAACAATTTTAAATTAAAGTTTTAGTGTAATTTAATAAATAGAAAAGATGAATCCTAATGCATCTCGTCTAAAATTTCAACCCGCTGTAACTCTCAATAAACGAACTTTCGACTTAGATTTATTCGAATTAGAGAAAATAAATTTCCTAAATAAGATGGATAAAATGCTCTCATAAATAAACAGTTCTCAAGAGATTAGAACCCCAACTTTTAATACCCATACTGAAATACATGATAATAAAGCAAAATTAGTTGACTTGAACTCAAATTAATAGAAAAAAGTATTGTTCATCAGCACAAAAATCGCAAAAAAACTAAATAAAAGTAAAACAAGTGATGTCTATGAATAATCAACTCTTCCAAATACTCAATTGACCACATATTAATGATAAATGATGTAAAATTATATATATATGTCACTATGTCAATATAAATTTGGAATTCCTTAAATATTGTCTATAACTATTCCAGGCGTAATTATAATGCATAAGTGGTTAGGATCTAAAACCTATATCTTACTTATTAGCCATTAACTTCTTTGTGCTTGTTATTCTGAAGTTACCTAGATTTTTAAGTTATTGACTAACTATAATTCTGTTTATTTGTTGGCCATATGTTACAGTTCTATGATTACTTATATATGGATTTGATATGAAGAAATATATTTATTTAGTCATAATTTGTAGATATTAAAATGATGAGGATCAAAAATATCTGAAGATCTATAATATTGTTCTGATTTCATAGACAGCAATACCATCAAAGGATATTAACAGTTAAAACGAACACATTATGGTTCTTCAGGCATAAGATATAATTATTGGATGCACTCTTTATGAATTTTAAATTTCCTATAATAAATCATAATATTGATGATTATAATGTGATAGTATGAATCTCTTAGTTTAAAGCATCAATAATTAAACCTAGAATACTAAAAGTTTAAGAGTTTCTGTAATTAGTCACTATAAACTTTTCTTTTATATATCAAATAGAAAGGTCTTTGCTGTAATAATTATTTAAGAAAATATCTTAAAAATTACCCTTAAATTATTAATATAATAATATAGTTTTATTTAATCATTGCCTTCATAATCTCTGAATTAAAGCAAAGTTTGCCACCTGAAAGAGTGCTTTTATATCTTATATTCAAACAAAAACGGTTGAATTTATGTGAATTCCAATTACGATTAAATTTATATAAGTTAACAATATATATGCATTTTATAGATTTTACTGAGCCTTAATATGTAAGATTTTGTTTCACTTAATTTTTGCATGCATTTAATACTATTATTAAGAATTTATTCTTAAAATATTTGCATTTGAATAATCATATAATTTTGCACAAAAATGGTCCGTAAAATAAATCATTAATAAAACAAATATTAGAAATTCAAGCATATTTATATACTAACACAATAGCAATACTAGTCAAAAAGATAGCAAGAACGATTAAGAATATAATTTTGTGTTCTCTCATTTTTGATTTAATCCTTGACAGTCGACTATTTGATTCACCCAAGTCGTATTAAATTTCAGGCATTTTGTTTATATTTCTATCCAAGGTTTCAGACTGACCCTTCAATTGAACTTATATATTATTAGAAATTGTTTCAATTTCAAAGCACACTCTTTTTGCATCTTCTAATTTTAGAGTTTAATTGACTAACTTATCTTAAGTATTAATGAATTTTATTTGTTGATTGTCTTATTCACCAAATAAGGAATCTTTAGTTTTTTGAGATGAAACCTCATCTTGCAATATTCTAAATTATTTTTTCATTGCCTCAGTCTCTGATTTATATCGTTTAACCTTGTTTTTTAATTCCTATCTATCGGACACTGCAATACTGGCTGACTCTATATCCATTTATTGTAACTATAGGAATAAATTATCTATTTTACACAATTCTGCAAATCAGTAAAAACTGAATTTATCTCATTTAAGGTGTCATCTGATTTATTAATTTAGGTTTATCGTATTAATTGGCAGACTTATTGCTAATACTTTTCAAATTCAACTTCATAACTACTGAATACTTCAGACATTCTCTTCTTTATTTTTTTAATCAAAATAAAATAATAAAAATTTCAATAAAAAATATCAGAAAATAAAGTTTTTAAAATGGTGATGATCAAACAATCTGTCTTCTCCGTACATTGTCTTCTGACAGTACAGCTAATTTGGTTTCCAGGTTTCTTATCTTTTACTTGTATCCATTGAGTGTCCCATCACTTCTTTCAGTTTCTTATGATTGCAATTAGTCTATTTTTTATCTAAATCTAAATAGTTATTCTTCAGATGCACTTAGTTAATCTTGTAATTTGTCACTTAATAATTTTAATTGTTCATTTTCGTTTAGAATAAAATCGATCTTTTCATCGATCTCACCCAAATTATTCAATTCATCTTAACTAAATTTCAATTATTCTGTTAATTCAGCATTTCTCTCTAACAATTATTTGATATGTTCTTCTTATGCTACAATAGTCTCCTTTTTGTTCTCAATTTATTAATCCTTATAATCTAATTCTTTGAGAACAGCCTAGTATTTGGTTTCTGTGAGGATTCTATCTTCTTCAGATTTACTGATATATTTGAATATAATTAGTTTACATCAATTATTCTTTAAGGATAGCAACTTCATCTCTTAATTGAGACAATTCAGTTTAATCGCATGATCTTTGTTTCTAGTACCTTGATTCCTTAGTTAGAAGCTGTTTTATGAGTTCTGCTGATTTCTCATTTTCTTCGAGCAGCACTATAATCTTTTTAACTAAATCCACTCTTTATTAGTTTGGAGACAGATTCTCTTTGTTTTTAGGTGATTACCAAGTGGCATACTTGCAGTCAGTACTTACAGAGCGAACCTGTTGAAAGGGATTTCTTAAAAGGGCTGGCCCTTAGACTTTAGAAGGAGAACACACATTCATTAACGGTATATTTTATATTATTCATTTATATTCTTACCTAATTATTTATTGTATATAGGAGTGTGATGATATCCAAGATGATGTTTCTTGGAATGATAATTAGTGATACATTAAATATTATTGTTTTCAAATTAATTATGATTGAACTTCCAATTCTGGGAGATAAAGTAGAAGATACATAAACGCAGGAATACTTCGAAGAGTTCAATGAACGATACGAATTGAGAGTTTATTATTATGAGGAGGACAATAATTTTATGATTAAGATCCTACGCATAGTAAGTCTTGGGCTTTTTTCTCTTTTTGAAAATTGGTTTGTTTCTGTGTCATTGATGAGGTAATTCGAATTTCAATATTGTTTAGTTTTCAGAAGAGTACCGATCCTACTCATTTGTTGATCTAAAAGATGAAAGACGGTAAACGGATGAGCAGAGATAAGATCATTAAATGCAAGAGGGACGGAGATAGGATCAAATTCAAGTATGAATACATTAACTTTTTGATCACTCCATAAAATCAATTGAAAAAGTTGGAATTGATTAATTACGATTATAATGAGTTAAGTAAATACGAAGCTCAACAAAGGTAAATTTTATATGGAGAAAATATAATGTAAATTGAAGAATGTACTAGAAGTGAAATTTTATTTAATGAAATCCTATCCCCCTTCAACATCTTTTAAGTATTCTCCTTCATAGTTTGGTCTCTGGATGATTATTACCTCTACGCCTTTTTGATCGCCGTTTTGACCATAACATAAATTGCCATAAGTTTATACGATTTAGAACAACAGAATCATAAAATACGAGAGATGATCTATTATGAAAGTTCAGTCATTGTGCACAGAGACAATCATTCATTCAGGATCTCCTCAAAAGACTTAGTCCCTGGAGACATCGTTGAAGTAACACCCAAATCAATGGTTACCTTTGATGGTCAAATCATTCATGGAGAGGCCGTGTTCAACGAAGCCATCCTAACTGGAGAGAGCACTCCAATATTAAAAACAATCAACATGGAAATCTTCAGTGGATGTAGCTGTTTATCTGCAAGTTCCGATTGCCGAGCTCTTGTAAAATCAATAGGCTTTAATACTGTCAAAGGATCCTTGGCCAGATACATCTTATTCAATAATTCATATACTTACTCATTCCAAAAGGAATCACTTAAATACTTAATTGTTTTAGGGTTCTTGGGAACCATGCTATCAATAACTAATTACTTTATACGTGTGAAGTCCACATAAAATTAATTTAAGAGCACCATCGAAGCTCTTGAAATATTTACCATTCTGATACCACCATCATTACCTACAGCTTTGGGTGCTGGGTTATAAGTGGCTATTTAGAGATTAAAGGCAAACAATATTTTTTGCATTAAACCAGATAAGATCAATGTGAGTGGGATGGTCAATCTAATAGGATTTGATAAGACAGGCACGTTGACCGAATCAACACTTAAAGTCTTGGGTTGTGTAGAGAAACAATTATTAATAAATCCTAATCATTGTAAAGAGATCATGCAATTGGCATTAAAAAGTTGTCATACTCTTGTTGGTGGTTGTGGGGATAACTTGGAAATAGCCATGTTAGAATGCTGTTAATAATAATTTGATTTCGAATACCAGAAGGTCTATTAATTCGAGGCCAATTTGTAAAGAATGACAGTTATTATCAAGTACAAAGGGAAGTTGTTAGCTATAACAAAGGGATCATCAGAAATAATGGAGAGACTGTGTTTTTCAACATTACCTGATCAGTTTACATCTACTGTGAATCATTATTTACAAGAAGGATATAGATTAATTTCATTTGGATATAAGGAGATTAGTGACGTTGATCAAGAGAGAAAATATATTGAAAATGGATTGCAATTCCTAGGCACTTTAGTGTTTGTAAATCATTTGAGAGATGATTCCAGACAACTGATTGAATAATTGAATTCAATTAATATTAGATGTATTATGGTAACAGGAGATAACATATTGACATCAATCAATGTTGCAAAACAATGTCAGATTATAGATCCCAATCAACCTGTGATCACTGGATAAATAATTAATGACAAATTAGTCTTCGATAATAATATTAACGTAGAAGAAATAGAATAGATGAATTACTAAGTGGCATTGACAGGAGATTCTTGGGAATGCGTAGATAAAGTATTTGTTAATATTATTTTTGAGTATCTTTGAAAAAACCAAAGTGTTTGCCAGAATGAAGCCATCTTAAAAGGGTAATCTTATGATAAAACTTAAGAATATGAATAAAGGGATATTTACTGCTTTTGTTGGCGATGGTTGTAATGATATTTGTGCACTCTAACAAAGTGACATTGGATTAGCCTTATCAAATTAGGAAGCCTCTTTGGCTGCCCCATTCCTTACTCCAATAATCAGAGTTTCGTAGATTTGTGAGATTTTGAAAGTTGGAAGAGGATCCCTCATTACAAGTTAATCTTGCTTTAAGTTCATGACTCTTTATTCTAGTATTCAGACCATAGCATTGACTATATGTTACATCAGCAATACTAAACTAACAGTTGAGCAATTTCTGTATTAGGACCTGTGGATTTTGATTCCAGTTGCATTCACTATGAGTTTGACTAAGCCATCTGAGACTTTAACTGTAGAGTAACCATTCGTTAGTTTGTTGAGTAGGTCCATCATTTTTTCGGTTATCGGATAATTCTTGATTTGTTGTTGTTGCCAATTGATTTCCCTTTCAACATATGACCAATCTTAGATCACACCACTGAATATGGATTTAGTTAATCCAATCAATACTTAATAAATAATATTGGGCAATACTCAAGTCATTGCTGTTGCTATTGCATATTCGCAAGGTAAGCCCTTCAGACAACCCATATACAGAAACTATTTTCTTTTGTTTTTTTTGTTTATTGGAATGGTTGTGCATGTCTTGCTCATTATCAAACCTAACATTGTTAACATTTCCATATTAAGTGAACTGACATCAGAGTAATTGATGATGACCACTTTGATGAATGTACCCGTATTTTTGGCCATCATTTTATTTGAGAATCTGTGTATAAAATAATATAAGAACTAAGGTATAGGTAAGTGATGATTTCATATATATTTATGATATCAAGTATTAGTAAACACATTAATATCTTTAATAGATTTATACATAAACAATTAAATAAATATAAAATCATAAAATTTAGAATCCCACATATGTTCTTAACAACCATTTCACTACTTCAACCGTAGCTAACAAAAGCAAACAAAATGGAAGACCTGCTGAACCTAATAATTCCCAAGGCATATTGATTGTCTAAAACACCCTCTAAATCCCTGGGACGTAAACAATGATTGGCAACAAGATTAATGATATCGTTAACCCATATATGGCCAAAGTGTTAACCCGAGTCGAATTATAAGGCTTAATTAAAGTCCTTAGTGCAAAGTAATTGATACTATATTTAAGTTATAAGATTATTACCACTATGATAATACCAATACTATATAGAATGAAGTAGATGCGAAATCACTTGCTTTAGCTGTGTAACAATACTACAGATCATTATTATAGCTTTGACACTCAGGGTAGTCATACCTGGTGTTCCAACATTAGGTTAAATATCCATTTTGAATTTACAAATCAGTGCAGGTTCCACATTTTACAAATATCAATCTCTAATCAATTTTATTATTAGGGGAACTCCATTGATAATTTTGCATCTCCCCAGTATACAAACAGTTATCAAATAAATTCGAATTGCCTAAAGTATTACTATATGGATTGTAAACATCTTGATCGCCAACAGGATAGACTCTTGCAAATCTTGTGAAATATAGATTGTGCAGATTAAATCCAAAATAACGATAAGCACTGAAACTTGCCATTAAACCTCCACCTGCTTCAATACACCCAATAATCAAAATTGCAAAGAGGAAAAGGTTGGTTCTATTGGGAATTCTGTACTCTAACTCTTCTCTAGCTAAACTGATTCCTAGAATCAAATCAACAGAAATGCTAGTCAATAACATTAGATTTTGAGAGACGGGTAAGGGTGTTCCCAAGAAGCAATATACAAATAAAGCCAAGATCATGGCTGTGTTTGATGATAAACAAAGCATAATTGATTTGGCAACATTATTAACAGCCCTCTTGGCTTCCAAGATAGCTTAATAACTATCAAGAAAAGTTTATTTACTAGAAGTGAGAACCAGATCACTTGAATTGATGATCATTTGCTATGATCCATGCTTCTTACTGATACTGATATCGGCCTATCTGAATGCTCCTAAATCGGTTAATCCTTCTCCAGTAATAGCCACTTTGTAATTCAATTGTTGTAAAGCCTTGACAATGCTTAATTTCTGCTCTGGAGATGTACGAGCAAAGACGATTTCCTATTAGGAACACCAATTTCCCAATTTATTTTCAACTGAGCTTAATCTGGTGACTTCTTATTGATCGTCGACATGTAAGTACAATTGATGACCTTCAATAATAGTTGGATTACTGTAATGTCCTGTATTTTTACATATAACTCTTGCAGTTTCTGGATGTTCTCCAGTTATGATCACCAATTTGATATTCTGCTTTTGTAATTTCTCCATAATAGGAATAGTTTATTCATTAAGTATGTTATTTAAATATAAGGTGCCTAAATACACAAAGTTTTGTTTGTTGAACTCATAATCATTTTCATTGATTTTGAGATCCTCCTCATTTTCAATTTCTAAATAAGCAAACCCAACACTTCTCAATCCCTTTGAACATTGATGCACCAATTAATCATTAAATTATTGGGTCTATTGTACATCAATCTTGCCAAATAAGGTCTTATTACAATAACTCCAGATAACCTCAGGTGCTCCCTTGATGTATACAAAATATTTGCCCTCCTATTCCACAATTGATAATGAGTACTTCTTACTATTATTGAATGGCAAATGATATTGAATGCCATTCACATAATACTTGGTGTTCATTATCAAATCATCTGTATTATCTTCTTTAAAACAATCAATGATACTCTTTTCCGTACCATCCAAATTGCCATGATTACAAGTCAATATTGCACAATGATAAAGATGAATAGAGTTACGTTTACCACATTCATATTATAATTATTTGCCATCATTAAATGAATTAAATGAGTAATTCTTACTAGTAATTACTTCATTTAATCCAATACACAAACAATTGATCTCACTTAATCTTTCAATACTCTCAGCATCCTTAATCAAGAATCTCAGTTTGGCCAATCTCCTTATAGCCATTTAAAACGAGATTGTAACAATAACCAATAATCCAACTGGAACTATAGCAATGATCACTTACTCAACCACTCTAAATCCATATGCAAACACATCAGAAGCATCCTTCTCAGTCATAACAGCACTCCAAATTATTACTAACACTATCACAAACAATGCTATTAGAGTCATTATTTATTAGAACAAAATCAATTATTTCTACAATTACTTACTCCCCTGTCTCTTCTGAATCTGAGCAATCGTAGTACTGGATCCTGTCTTAATGACGACTGCTTTTCCAAAACCACTCCTTATTAGAGATCCACAAAATATCTGTGATCCCTTTACTGCTTGAGTCACATCTTGATTCATTTGTATTTGGAGATCCGAGGATTCCAATACTCTCATGTCACAATAGATTACCAGACCATCCCTAATCACACAAACATCTCCTGATACAAGATTCTGGATTTGAGCTTATTACATTTTTCCATCTCTATACACAACAATTGTTTATTCATTATCCTTCTCTATTGCATACTAGGATTTCTTTCTTTATTGATATCCCATTGCAAAAGTTATTGTTATCACTATTAACAATAAACATGATGTTATAATCTCTTCTCCACTAAATTCAAGGTTATTTTGACTTCCATATATTGCTAAACTTATCGAAATCATTGTTGCAATAATTAGATCGAATGCAAATAAATTCAATTCCTTTATAAACATTTTCCAATCACTGCCATCTATAGTTTTTGATTATTGTCTTCTCAATGCTTCGTCACTTGTAAGACCGACACCAAAATTTGTTTTTAACAGCCCCTCTAATTAATCCAATGGACAAAAGTATTCCTGCATTTCTGCATACTTTTCATACACGCTCGGGGCTGGTCTCTCTGTCTGATCCTCCTTTTCAGCGTAACTTATACTCAACTAGAGTTTAGTTTGAATATCAGGTCCTTTTTCTAGAAACCTAAATAATTCACATTCCTACCTAGGTTTGCATATCAGCATATCCTACATTTCGGAATGAGCCATACTCTTCTTGTATTCTGAAATATTAAATTTTTATATTATATGGAACAGAGAAATATCTAAAATCATAAATCACTATATTCTTATCACCCATCAACATCATACATAATTTAAGGTACCTTCCCTTAGAATCACATCAAGATGTTTTGCTAGGGTTCTTTTAATACTTCAACTTCACTTCCAACATAAATTATCCACTTTTTATGTGATATACTTATTAATTGCTATAATAAAATGGCACTAGCTCTCTCAGCTCATTATTTATTCTTTACTATCTCATCGTAATAAAATTGAAATTGTTCATTGGCAAAGTATATTTTATAATATCATTATTCTGATAGTTTTTTTCTGTGAATAGATAATTCTTTATATTTGGTTTATTCAAATAACATAGTTTTAACCCTATAATATCGATTATATTTACATTTCTAAAGTTAATTTTACCCTGATATCATTAGAAGTGAATGAAGTTAATAAATCTCAAATTATTTAAAAATTCATAATTCTATTAAATATATATATTTTTGATTTTTTTCATCATTAATATTTTTATTACCATAATATGTAAACCTATCATCTATATTCAATATTGACTGATAGTGCCTAAGATTATTTAATAGATAAAATAGTTTTTAACTATGAAGAATTCCAAAAACTATAAAAACAATTAAATTAATCCACATTTGTTCAAGTTTCTGGTTTGTTTGGAAGCTATAACGAGATAGAAAAGTAATTATTTGATGAAATTCACATAAAAATAGACAATTTAAAACTTCTGAAAGATTCTAAAAAAGGAAATTTAATTGGAGTTCGATTTTAAAACAAAATAATATTTTGCTTAATTCTTTAGTTAGAATTTTTTTAAAGCAAACCTATCAAAGAAAAGGCAATTGAGTTAACTCTATTTAGAATTCTTTAAGATTTAACTGACAATATTAAAATTTGTCTTGATGATGAGATTTATAATCTATGGTACATTGGAGATGAGACACCGTTCAGCCCATTTATTGTCTAGCGTTAATAATACACCTATGTTGAGTAAGGAGATTAAGAAATTTAAGAATATAAATTTCCTCAAAATAATATTATTCATGGTATGACATAATATGAATTCTTACACTCTTAAAATTAATCCCCATTTTTTACAATAATTCAAGAACTAAAATTTAATTAATAAGATTTCTAGCAAAATTATAAAGACTTTCTATAAAGCATATTACAATAAAATTTTCAAAAAGAAAAAAATTCCTTTTTGCAATTTTAAATTATTAAAAAATAATATCAATCAAACAAGCTTAGCAAGTTTTTATAAACTTTGTCAGATAAAATTAAAACTTTTTTCTTAAATGATAAGAAGTATCAATCTACAAATGAATTACAACTTGAGTAAATATAGAGTAAAATGGATAAGGACTATAAAACGTAATTTGATTAAATTTCTAATGATTTAAAAAAAACTACCAAATATTCAATAAATAAATTAAATTGTAAGATAAGAAGATCAGAGGAGAAGAGGATTGATAATATTCGGTATTAAATTGAGTAGAACTAATAAGTTATTCTTGGTTTAGATCTCTAAAATATTAAGATAAAAGAACTATTTTAGACTAAAGATAAGGCAGAAATCTTATTAATTGAATCAAAATCCTTTTATTCAATATATTTTAGATAATAAAATAGTGAATAGTTTCAACAAGTTTAAAATTATGAATTAAAAAAGACAAAGAACATTGTTTGTTTTTTTAAAATAAGTCATAGTCAATTATATTTTTTTAATTTTAATGATAAAAACATTTTAAGAATTTTAGTATCGCCATATGGAAAGATTGAAGAATAAATTAATAGTTGTGAATAATGTGTAAAGGAGAAAGATGAGTATGTAGATATAAAGATTAAATAAGTTGCTTATTTAAGCTAATAAAAGAAGTTTATTCTTTTAACCTAAAAACATGAAGTGTATTTCTTCCTAGAAGATTCGAAATAAATTATATAAGCTATGTGCTCTTCAAAAAATAACATGAAATAACCGTTATTACTTCCATAGAATTCTGACTCAGAAATACAAGAGTAATTACTGTCATGCCCTAGTGGAAAATATTTTTATTTTTCTAATGGAGAGTGTTGTTTTATGTATGATATAAATGGATTGGAGGTGAGAAGGATAAGAATTAAAGGAAAAATTAAAATTTTTGAAGATAAAAGTGACATTATAATTATTGATAATTTTACCAAAATAGAATAAAATAATGATGTCATTGTATTAGGAAATGCAATTAAATAAAAAACAATAAATAAATTGGGAGATGAAGAAAAATAGATTGTAGGAAACCCATCATTAGATATAATAAAAGGATCATGTATCAAATTTGGTCCTAATTCTGTGTTTTTATCAAAATCAAAAAAGAAGTAGATTTCTTTTTAAATCGATAAAGAAAGATTCACTCAGATAGAATCCTATTTCAATAAAATAAATTTAAACAATAATATAAATTTAGATATTTCGAAACTGCAATTTTCTGAGATTAGCTAGTAAGATCTTTAAAGTATAATGTTTTCAAGAGTACCTTTATAATTGTGTACAACTGAAAATGGTATTTTGATCCCTTTATTTGATGGATTTCGCAAAGAAACCTCGACTGAATAGAAAGTATGTGTTTATGAAAAATCTAAATAATTAAGGCTAGGGTTTATTGAAGAGTTTTTGATAAATCATCACTCTAAAATATTTGTAATAGGAATTATTGGAAAATAATCCTCTGGAAAAAGTTATCTATTAAATAGAGTGTTTGGTACAAGATTTTCAGTTTCATCTGCAAGGTGTACTGATGGTATATGGGCAAGTATTGGGTGGATTGAAGGCTAGAAATTTTTAATTTTAGATTGTGAAGGTCTATTTAATTCAGCAAGGACTAATTAAGAGGAAGTTCAAATGTTGGCTTTTTTGACTGCGATCTGTGATATATCTATTTTAAATTCAGATATTACTTTCAATCGGTATATGAATGATTTGTTTAATAATTTAACTAATGCTTCCTCCTAGTTAAAAGGAGAAACCTTATTTAAAGGATAATTACATATAGCTTTAAGAGATGTTAGCTCTACTGATAACTCTGGGATTGATAATGAATTATTAACTAATCTTTATAGACTAAAATCATAAGACTCTTAAGATATTGTGTTTTTAAAGAAATTATTTAATAATAACTTTACTGTTGAGAAACTATTCAATTTTGAACATTAATAATTTAATGAATAAATAATAAACCTTAGATAATACTTTTCAAAAAAAGCTTCGACATCCAAACGGTGGGAGGACGGGAGAAAATTAGTCTAGATGATGAAAATATTATTATGTTAATTAGAACTGTCTGATCATGGAAATGCAAATTTAATTGACCTAAAACTTTAAGTTGAAAGAATAGTAGAGAGTTAAATCAAGTTATGGCATTAATTCTCGATTAACTAGCCGTTAAATTGTAAATTAGTTTAATAGGAATATGAATTTCCTTAAAATGTTGAGGAAATTATTTTCTTTAACAGTACTTTACTAAAAAAACTCTAAAAAGATCTGCATTTGAACAATACTATTTTGAATCATAATGATAATTTAAATTAAATGGAAAACGAAATATAAAAGTTAATGATATAAAGAAAAGAATACATTTTAGAATAAACTAAATAAGAATTCTAAAATTATCAGTAACCAGAAATAATTGAAATTAAAAGTAAAGAAGAAGGATTATTAACCATTTATATCAATAATTAAATTCAAGAATATTAATTCTGTAAAGAAAAATGCTCTAATTGTAATTTAAAATGCAATTAATTCAAGAACCATATCAAAGAATAAGAAAAATTGATGACTATACTTTAAGAATAATAAAATACCTTAGAAAAAGAAATTGCTGAAACAAGTATTAAGACAGATGATGAATCACAATAAATTCAATAAAGATTAGTTGAAATTTCCGAGGAGCTTTAAGAATTGGACATCAATATTTCTTAAAAAGAGTAATTATAAAGAAAGGAAGAAATATATTGTAAATTAATAAAATAAAATTAGAAATTATAACAATTTTTATTTTGTGATACAAAAAATAAATAAGTCAAATTAGAAATTTTAGATATAAAACAAATCTAAAATCAGAAATTAAGTGTTGATTTGACAGCTCAAAATTTTTAAAAGTTAATCATTGAGATTCAAAGCAATCAAGAAAAGAAAAACTAATAATTAAAAGACAATCTTATTTTATTAGATTAAATCTAAAATGATATGTAAATTAAAGAAAATTTAATAACAGAGATAAAAAATGAAATAAAAATGAAATAGGATAGTCATGCAAAATAATCATAAAAAAAGAATGAACTTGAAAAAAACTTGGCTCATATATAAAATGAATTGAATGTCATCAGGTAAGATTAGTAGAAGTTAGAATAGACCTTATTATAATAGGTAGGTTTAAAAATAGAGGACAATTAATTAATTGAATAATAAAAGTAAATTGAGGCAAAACTTTTACATGAAGAAAAAAAAGAAAGTAATATAAAAAAATAAATTACAATTTTAGAATAAAAAATAAATGATTTTTAATAATAAAAACTTACACTCTATTAAGAAACTGAGTTATTTGAAGAGTAAAATGAAATAAGAAAAGAAAAAGACAGGTTACTTAAAGAGATGAATGATTTATAACAATAAATCGATAAGATTGATAAACTTAGATTTATAAGACAACTATCATCAAGCTTAACACCCATTTAAATTGAAGAAAAATCGAAATTAGAAAAAGATTTAGAATTCACAAACGATTCAGATCTTGATTTGAAATAAAAGTTTATAAAAGATATTAAAAGTTCATATTAAGAATTATTAAAAAAATAAAGATTTGAAGATCTAGAAATTTTAGAATAAATATATAATGAATAAAAATAAACGACTTCAAGTTAACATTAATTAGAAAAGATTGTTTATCAAAGCTACATAACTCATAAGTAGTAGGAAAAAAAAAAATTTATAAAAGAGTTGGAAAGTGAAAAAGAAGATGCTTTAAAGAATTCATACAACATAAACTAATTGAAAATGGTTTAAGAAAAATTGTCAATTTATTAAAAGTTTTAAAATAAATAAAATTAAATATAAAATTTTATGGATGAAATCAAAGATTAATTAACTAACATAAATGAATTAATTAAATCTATAGAATAATAAAAAGACTAATTATAATCACAACATTAATAATAAATCGAATAAATAGAATTTGAAAAGAATAGCAACAACCTTATAGAAGTTAACAAACAATTAGAATAAGCATTAGAAAATATGAAATAATAACAACCAATGCTTTCTAAGTGCCTTAAAATTCTTTTTAAAATTGAAGATTATTCTGATTAAATTGAAATATCTAAGACAGAATTTGATGATTTAGTCAATATGAAATAATTCTAAATTTGTGATGAAAGCTTTGATTAAGAATACAAATTATTATTAGATGCAAAAGAAAAATTATAAAATGAAAAAGAAAAATTGGATTAAAGAATTCAGAGATACTCTAAATTAGGAGAAGAAAAATAATAGTTAGAAAAACTAAAAGATAAAATTAATAGCTTGAATAATTTAAAATGTAATGTTCATTCATGTTAAAGAGAAAGTCATATTTGTGATTAACAATGCTCATAATGTAATGATAAATAATGCAATTAAAAAGCAGGGCATGATGAAAAGTAGGAACATCTTTGTTCGAAATAAGATCATGTTTGTGATAAGAACTGCAGTGTTTAAGATTGTAAAAATAAATGCAATAACATTCGAAATCATAATGGCAATCACACCTGTAATGAAAAACACATCTGCAAAAATACTTGTGCATATTGTGAAAAACAATGTTAATATGACAGAGCTGATATACATTTAACTCACATCTGTATAGATAAAAATAATGGGTGCAATTAGGGATGCGAATTATGTGAGAAAAATTGCTCAGAATAACATTAACATTCGATAAAAAGAGGCTAATATTGTGTAGAAACGTGCTTTCGATTTCATCAGCATTAGAGATAGCCTAAAGGTACTCATCTCTGCAGTAATATTCATTTTTGTAAGGAAACCTGCTCAAAATAAGGAATTTGCAATGTAGAATATGAATCAGTTTAGGTAAATTGGAAAAACAACCTCTCTGAATTTTAGTATACAAAATATATTCCTAAAAATGGAGGCAAAAAGAAATGTATGCATCAAATAGCCAAAGGTAAATATAATCATGATGAAGAACATATTTGCATGCGTGATACTGATGTCTAATATCACTATTGCGATTAAAAATGCCCAGAATGTTAATCTTTTTGTGAATTACAATACGGTCATTCAGGTTTACATTACTCAAGTAAGCATAGAAATAAAGATGATTAAAAATTTACATAACAATAGGGTAAAAATAATCAAATCAAAATATTAAGTGAAGATGGAAAACTAGTAAAAAATTATGTTGTTGGAGATGTTTCATCACCAGAAACTTGCAGAGAGAGTTGCAAAAGAAGAGGAAGAAGTCATTTTCATTTAGTTGAGTGTAAAGGTGGAGATAACTGTTTAGAAAAAACGCTTCAAAGATATGCTAGACATTCGAAAGAAAAATATTAAGGTTTTGAAAATAAGAAGTTTGACGAAATCTTATGCTTTCAATTTTGGGAATAAAAAATGTGGGCTCATCCTTTACAAAACACAGATGATATCGATATTATATAAGGTTGTGATGCCTATTGTCCATAATGTTCAGAAATTAAATAGTTCTGTTAAGAAAGAGGATGGCACACAAATTCAAGTAGGATAAGAGATCATAAGTTTGAATGTGCTGTAAACCATTAATAAGATCTAATTCATGGAATTGATGTTGCTTTTGTGATCGATACAACTGGGTCTATGTCATAATATATTAAATCTTGCATTGAGATAATCAAGAAAACTATGCAAAAATTTGTAGAATTTAAAGAGCATATTTAAGAATGTCAATTCGCTGTTGTTTCATATAAGGATCACGATGTTCCATATAATATGAATCAATAAGTAGTATAAGTGCAAGATTTTGCCTCGGCAGATGTTGTCAATTAATTCTTGGGATAATTAAAAGCCGAAGGAGGTGGTGATTATGCAGAAGCATTATTAGATGGATTAGATGCATCAATAAGGTTAGGTTGGAATGCTAAAAATGTGAAAGTTTTATATTTAATAGCTGATGCTCCACCTCACGGAAATAATAATAAACAGAAAATGTATCATAATTCTAAGGATGACTATCCTGATGGATGTCCTTGTGGATTAGAATAAACGATAATTTTGTAAAAAATTTAGGATAAAAATATTTAATTAAAGGTTATAAAATTAAACTAAAATCTTGAGATGATGATATCAAATTTTAAAGAGGATTATTCAAAGCTAATAGAATTAACTCCGTTAAATATTGAATAAAATGAATTCAAAAATATATTGATAAATGATATCTGTAAGTATTTGGAGCACAATGAAATAACCTACCAATATAAATACCAATAAAAATATTGAATAGCTTATCATCTGAAGAACTTTTATTTTATTATTCATAAATGCATTTTTTAAGATTCTTACGAATATTAAATTTTAATTATAATGAAATATAATCTAAATATTGATGGTTTGAAAAATAATTTTTCAATTTTTACTCGACTCCTAGAGGATAGTCTTGACTGCAATATTGATCTATCAATCACTTTTCATGATTCAAATGATATGACAAGAGGATTGATACAAGAATTGATGAATTAGAGGTTTCTGTAAGTTGACAAGATGGTAAAAATAAATTTGAATGAATATTCTCAAATTGTATAGGAAGACAAGGAACTTGAGAAATCATTAAAAGATCATGTAAGGTAAAAGTTAAGCTTGAATAATGATATTGAATGGATTATAGATAATAATCAAATAATTACAGAATTAAATTGTAGTTAAATAGTAGAAGAATATCTTAACAAATTATTTATACTTTAGACATAATACAAAGAATATGTGGATTTTCTTTAGACTTAAAGAAATGTAAAAACAATACGCTTAAATTAAGAAAGACCATTAAGAGGGTATAAAGAGAATTTCTAATCAGACATGTACGACACTTATGTAATTTATGGATATAAGCATTTTGATATTTCAGAAATATTTAAAAAGCAAATTTTTAGAATAGAATTAAATGTAAAAATGTTTCATATATTTACAACATATTATGTTCCAAAAATAAAGCTTTGGATTGAAAAATACTATTATGTCTATGTCGAAGTAGATGAAGATGAAGAATATGTAACTTTGATAACTAATACACATAGATTATTCTTTATGGCCCAATTAATTTAGCTAAGGAAGCCTAAGAAATAATTATGAAAGAATTTAAACAACTTTAACTCTACCATGGAATCATTAAATCTGAGGGTTTGACTGAGGAATAATTTCAATTTTTGGAAGTTCATGAATTTTTAAAAGAATCTTTTTTTTAAAATTATTAGGTTTCTAAACAATCATCAGCAATCTTAGATTAATTGGAGGAAAGTTTGAAAGATATTAAAAGTATGGCATTTTAGGCAGCGATTTTTGCTGGTAAATAATTTAATTCAAAAACTTATAGAGTTTAAAGATGGAGGTTTAGATGGAAGTTGTGTTTTATGTTCGAATTTTTAGATTGATAAAATGAGAGTTGAAGAAATATTAGAATCAGAAGTTCAAAAGCTAGCGTCGATTAATAAGAATGGAAATTGTGTAGGTTATTTTTAGATTGTGTATGGGATGATGTTAAGTGCCAATTTAAAATAAAAGTTAAATGATCATTTAAAAGTTATCAAAGAAGAAATTCATAATTAAAACTATATTAACTATTTGTTAATGTAAGATTTTTCAGATTTGCAGAATTATGAAATGCAATTCAAAGTTAAATTGGATTCAAATAATGAAAAGTTCTTTGTAACAGGAAAATAAGATCAAATAAAGAAATTTATTGAAAATTTGCAAAATATTATTACATCAAAGATTGACATAATTGATTACTATTAATATAAGAATAATTTCAATATTAGGGCAGCTATGATTGACTATAAAGAAAGGTATGATTAAATCATAGCCTAAAATGATTGTGTAGGTATTTTATTATCTTCTATGTGTAGTTGAGGCAAATTTATTAAATACAAGAATAAAATTATCTGGCAAGCAAATGTATGTTGCCTAGCTAAAACAATAATTATAATAATTAGAATAAGATATCTAATCTAATAAGATTTAAAAATAAATTTCAATAGATATCCCAAAAGGAATCAATTTTTCGTATCAATTTTCAAATTTATTAGATTATTACTCAAAAATATTCAGCAAAAATATCCATCAATAGATTTAGTCGCTGGAGCATGTGATGAAGTTAATATTGCCTAAATTTATTCTTTTCGCAGAAAATAAACCAGAATAAAAATTTGCAATGGATCACCAAAAGGTTTATTTGAGATACAGGCTGAATTATTGAAATTAGATAAAGCATTATTCATTATCCCAATAGAAAAAGTCCATTTGGAACTCCAGAAACCCTCATTGTTATGGGAACATGAGTTAATTCAACAAAGATAAATTGATACCAAATAGATAAAAGAAACTAAATACTATAAATTGAATACATACTCTACCGAAATCACTTAAACTAACGTGAATGTTAATTCGAAAGACAAAAAAAAGAAACCGAAAACAGAAACTATAGAGTATTTTATTTGTTAAGTTTATTACAAAAACTATGCAAAACCAGAAAACTTTATACATTATTTTGATAAGGAATCATTAAACAATTCGCTTGATAAGTTAGTTAATCAATTTTAAGTGATTAAACCTAATTAAATTTATATTTCTTGTTAAAATGACAAAGGCTAAAATTATCAATAGATAATCGATTATGTTATCAAAGAATCATAGTATATCTAAATTATTATAATTAAGCCCAAAAGTCACAATCTTTTTTTTAATGTCATAAGCAGAAAATATGGAAAGCCTCAAATAGGATCTTCTGAAGGACTTTGACGAAGAAGAGAACTAAAGATTAAAAATAACACAGCATTTTACTATTTTTGGAAGTATATAAGATAAGATTTAATCAATAATTGAAGATTTAAATAATATTTAATGAAATATGTTTTTAAAATAAATAATAATTATAATTTAATACTACTGTTAATGTCAATCAATAGCTCAAACTAAAAAATCAAAATCATTAGCATAAATTACCTTCCATAAAGCACTATGTAATAGACCCCTTATCAATTCAATAACGATATTAAGCCACCTATATAACAATACACTTAAAACTCACACTCAAAATTTTCAGTTAAATTAAATTCTGATTTAAATACCAGTGAGCCAAATAAACAAAGGTCATCTTCTTAACTTTAAAACCCATTGAATCCTATTAATATTAACCTCTACAACAAGCATTATGAAAGGACATTTAACAAAGGCTATCCTAATTGTTAAATGTTGAATTAATAAAATTCTGATTTCGCAGCCTAAATAAGCGAAAAACCATAATAATTTAATAATTACTAGTCTTATGAAGTTTAAAATGTCGAAAATAATACATATACTAACTCTTAATCTTATCAAAACTAGACATAAGTCGATAATTTTGTATAAAATAAAGGAAATAATATAATTAATAAAAACTAATAAGTATACTAATAAACTATTACTCAATAATGTCCTAGCAATAAATACAATAATAATAATAATTTTGAATCTTATTAGCCCTAGATTGTTTTAAATACTTAGTGTTAACATTAAAATAATAACTCATATTAAGTTTAGAATAACAAAACAGAAAATCATACCATTACATAGATGGGGAATTAGTCTATAACAAAATTCAGGCTAGAATAGGAAGAAGCAAAAGAATATAACTCAGACAATAATTGTGAAATTAATGAAGACCTATCTTCATCATTAATCAAATCAATTACATATTTATGCTAACATTGCAACACAAGAGTGTCTAAAGATATTGTTCAACTAGATTGTTACCATTTTTACCACATTTAGTGTTTCTAAGATCATTTGTTACAATAAATCTGTGTGAAAACATATAGACCTTTATAATGTCATTGCAAAATAAAGATTTCGTAGTCTTAAGTAAGAAATGTGTTGAAATTAGAATAAAAAAGATCTGATTTGATTGAAAAACTATTAGAATCAGAAATCAATTCTATTTTTACCATGTACAAGAAAATTTAGAATCTAAATAAATGTGCAAATTGTAATTTTTTCTGGGTTGGAGATGGAAATGATAAAACCTAAAAAACATACTACTGTTAAAAATGCGAAAGGAAATACTACTGATATGAAATATTATTATTATTAAAATTCATTATATTTTAAATGATTTGTAGTTGAATTTGTAAATTTAAATATTGCATATGAAAATAATCAGATAAATTAATATATTTCATTAATTGCTTTAGTAATATTTTGAATTTCAGTTTATACGTTGCTTTAATCTTATTCTAATTTTAAAACAGTTTAGAAATTTTTAAACATATTTAATAAATCAGCTTCTATTTTATCAATCTACAAATTTCTAATAGAATTATACTTAATCTTTTTAATCTTCATATTCAGTTTATACGTCATTTAAAACCTTTGTCAATATATTGCAAGCATCCTCTACAGATTTGATTCTATCATCTTTCTCATTAATTTCATTCTAAATTTAATCAAATCGTTATGGTATTGAAACCAGAATTTATTTACTAGTGTCAGTTAATTCTCCAATCGATTATTGAAGAGATTCAGGGATGATAGGTGGAATACAAGTTAATTTATGTATAACTTCCTCTAAATTTTAAATTCTTTTTTCAAGTTCAAACAATTTATCGTTGCTATTTTGCTATAATTGCAACATTTCTAATTTATTGACTACAGACCACATTTGCTTAAAAGCAAGATCAAATATTTCATAAGTGACATATTAGTCAGGACAAATTGTTTTAAGCTATTCAATTGATAATGATCCATCAGATGAATGAATTCTTTTAGTATTTCTCTTTTAACTCATAAATTGATTAATAAATTTTATATGAATTATTTTTGTTTTATGCTCGATTGAAAATTATTAATATTTTTGTTCAGATGGTAAGATAAGGATCTTTGATATTAGACAGGTTATTTGAAATTCATCTGTATTTTGCAAACTTTTAATTTTATATAATAAGATTTAAGAAATTCGCTAAATTGAGAGAATAATTGAAACTTATAAGTTTCTTAGAATAAATTAAAGAACAAGAATATGTATTAAAATAAATGAAGATATAATAACAACACAGCAAATATAAATGAAATTGAATGAATATTGAATTATAAAAATAAATAGGAAGAGTTCATTTAAATTTAATATAACCTATTAGAAAAAGGCACCTCTCATTGTAGATGTATCTCGTTGTGTTAATAAAGGAAGAAATTCATAAAATTATTCTTTATAAAACATATCTTAATGAATGAGTTGCAGAATAACTATTCAAAAGCAAAACTAAGATATATTAACTCAAGTGGATACGAAGAGCGGATTGTAAATTTTGTTATAGTTATAAGTTTGACTATTATAGCAGTAATTGAGATGAATAGGTTAGATATGATGGCAAATAACTTAAAACCAAAAGCACTTGCTGAGGAAGAAATTCAAGCAAGAAAGGAACTTTTATTGAATGAGACTCTCTACAGAGAGTAGATCAATTAGAAGTCTCTTGGGATGGTTTGAAGTATATTATAAATACAATCATTTTTGATTAACTAATTTAATAATTAAAATGCCACCTAAATAATAGAGAGTTGCTCTTAAAAGGCCATAGATTGTAATTATTTTGAGTTTGTACAGTAGAAAAAATAAGCCAAACAAGTGAATCAAAATTTAAATCAATAAGACCCAGAACCAGATGGAGATGAATCGGAGTACTAAAATGAAGTTTTGAAATAATTTAATATTATTAGAGAGAGAAAGAGAGACCTTAACTAACTGAGAAGGAACTGAATGAAGATATGCCATCTAAAATGCTTATACCCAATAATCCTCAAGCACCAAAAAATATTACTTAATACGATTATTTATAAAGAAAGGTAACTACCCAACTTATGGATAGTATAAAACTGATGAATTGGTGGAATAAATGATTATTCATTTCAGAATGGATGGAGAAATAATCCACAAGGACTCGAATGAGGCTAGAATACAGGAGGAATTATGGGATACAAAATCAGCTTTGATTAAGGAGGCTTAAAGAAATTAGGAAATGGAAGATCCTGGAGCCTCTAAAGATATAGATGCGATCAAGTAGACCATGAGAAATAAGTTTAATTACAATGCCAGAGAAGCCTAGACTGATGGAAGAGTAATAAGAGAAAGAGGAGTTTCAACTGAGCCCCCTCCAAGTGATACATTGAAGGGTTAAATTACACAGTGGGAAATCTTCGATGCCTACATTTAGAATAAGGCAAAGGAGGAGAATTAGAAGAAAAAGGATCACACTTCTGACAATACAGTTTATAAACCATCATTTAAAAGATGCTTAAAAATAATGGAAAGAACTGTTGTTCATAATGATTAGAAGGAGAAATACAACGATTATAAATACTATTGGAATTAGGGAGAGGTGGTTGAGACATCAAAGAATGAAGGGTAACTATTAATTTAATTCAATAAGACATTTATTACCAATCTGGAAGTTTTCAAATGAGAAATAGAAGAAAAAGCATGTAACGTCTTTGTGTTGGAATCCTCGATATATGGATTTATTTGCAGTCAGTTTTGGTAGCTACGAATTTTCAAAATAAAGAATGGGTCTTATATGTTTATATTCTCTTAAAAATACAACTCATCCAGAATACGCATTCACATGCGAAGCTGGAGTGATGTGCTTAGATTTTCATCCTTAGAGTCCAGCATTATTGGCTGTCGGATTATATGATGGAACAGTCCTTGTTTATGATATCAGAAATAAACACAAGAAGCCCATATATTAATCAACTGTTAGAACATAAAAACATACTGACCCAGTATGGTAAGTAAAGTGGAATCCAGATATCTCAAAGAATTATAACTTCTATTCTATTTCATCTGATGGTAGAGTAATGAACTGGGTTTTAATGAAAAATAAATTAGAACCCGAAGAAGTCATTAGATTAAGATTAGTGGGTAAAAATGAAGAGGAAAGTACTCTGATTGGTTTAGCTTGTGGTTTATGTTTCGATTTCAATAAATTCGAACCTCACATCTTTTTAGTTGGTACAGAGGAAGGAAAGATCCATAAATGTTCTAGAGCTTATTCTGGATAATATTAGGAAACTTATATTGTATATTGAATGATTAAATAAATAGGGTCACAATTTGGCAGTTTATAAGGTGAAATGGAATAATTTCCATCCTAGAACTTTCATCTCCGCATCAGCAGATTGGACAGTCAAGATTTGGGATTCTAAAATTTCATCTTAAATTATGAGTTTTGAATAAGGAATGCAAGTTGTCGATGCCATGTGGGCTCCATACAGTTCTACAGGTATATCTAAATATTGAATTAATTTTATAGTTTTTGCATGTGCTACTTAAGATAAGATATTTGTATATGACTTGAATGTTGACAAAATTGGCAAACTTGCAGAATAAAAACCATCCAAATAACCTAGATTGACTAACATTGCATTCAATTAAAGAGATCCAATTATTTTGGTAGGTGATACTCATGGTGGCATAACACTACTTAAATTAAGTCCGAATCTTACCAAATGTAAATAATACAATTTGAGATTTTAGCTGGTGTTAAAGCATCCAATTTTCCTGATGGAAAAGTTCCCAAGGAAGTTGAAAATATGCCAATGGAAGAATATGAAAAATAGAAGATGGAGAATCTATTATAAGTAGTTTCAAAATGGGAAAGAGAGGATTCTTGAGAAACAAATTTTATACACAAAAATATTATAAAAAATACATTTATTTTAATGCACAATTATCAAGATAATAGTTAAAAATTCTTTTATGAATTATGGAAAACTGGTAACAGAATATTGTGTTAAGGAAAGTTGTTAATTGGGTAAATAATAAATTTATTGAAGTTCTGAAAATCATAAATTTATTGCATCTATTGTGCTAATTACTATACCCACAGTTTTATATTATGTGTTCATGGCACCGGTAAACAACTTTCAATACTTAGGCATTGGTTCAAAGAGAACAAGTTGCCTAGGTGATCATTTTTATAATTCTGAATTGTTTAGTTTATCTTTTCATCACTATTACAGTACTAATGGATCCAGGTATTATCCCGAAAATAGTACTAATTTATATAATCAAAAAGACTACAAAATATGAAATGGATGAATAGCTAATTTTAATTCCTCAAAAATATTTGAAGGTTGATCCATAAGTATTATTTGAATCCAAAACTCTGTAAATGAGAGGACATTAATTCAAATTGAAATTTTGTAACACATGTAAAAAACCAAATTAATAATTTATAGGTGCCATTTATAGACCTCCTCGAGCATCACATTGCCCAGCATGTGATAATTGTGTATTGAGATTTGATCATCATTGTCCTTGGATTGGAGCCTGCGTTGGAAGAAGGAATTATATTTATTTTTATCTCTTTATCTTCTTTCTTTCTGCTACCATGATTTATGTTTTTTCCACATGTCTTGCATATATCTTTGGAGATATGAGTGATGATAAAGATAAAGGAGAATAGATTATATCAACATTGTCAAGAAATCCATATGCATTAGCCTTAGCAATCTATTGTTTCATTGTAAATTAATTAGAATAATTCAGTTCTCCTTTTTTGTTGTTGGCTTGTGGGGATTCCATACATTTTTAGTTATAACTAATATGACCACAAACGAATACTTGAAGAAACATTGGGTCATCTAAAGTAAGAATCCTTTTAGAAGGTATGTCAATTCTTAATTTGTATAGAAAGAACATCTTTAAAAATATCTAGCATGTTTTAGCTTGCATCAGAGAGGTCAAGTTTTTAGAACTTCGTCAATATGTTTACGATCCCAAAAGCTATAATCAAGTAACATTTATATATTTATCGAGCCAATCACCTAAAATCAAATCAATGAGAATGAAATTGAAAATTTAAATGTAGTATGCGATAATCAAAATAATGTTGCAAGAAGATTGTCAAAACAAACTAACGATCATTTGGAAGAGCAATGAATATTCAACTAGTCATATTTTAATACATTCAAATCTTTTCTTTTTCTAGAATTACATTCAAAGATACCAAATTTGAAAATCTCATTTAAATTAATTATTAAATATTAAGTAATTTTGATATATATAAGTGAATTATATCATTAATGTATTCATGGAATCGAAGGCAATTTATTATATTAATTTAACAAAGCCAATTAAGGCTGTGGGGAAATTTAACCATTAAATGATTACTAATACTATTTAATTAATTTGCCCAGTCTTTTTCTATGGCTTTCAGTTGCAGTCTGACGAAAAAGTTTCTCTTAAGATTTGAAATCCTAACTTATGATTAGTTAAATACCTTAGCAATTTTTGGATCTGTCAATACATTATTCTATGGAAATTCCAGCGGTTATACCTTTTTTATTATCCATTTTGGACTTAGATTCTAACTTCCTTGAGATATTTGAACTCCAAATTATTTAGCTAAAATTCCTTGAGCCCAATCAGATCCATAAGGATCTTTTTTCTTCGGAGGATTAACTGTAGACTATTTTATTTAAAGAAAGATAACTTCTAATAGTTTGCTCTTTAGGCTTTTCTATTACTTCTGTTTAGTGAGTTTTGGGCTAGATTTCTTGATTTTTTTAATAACAATAATCCATTATGGATACAGGCTCACCCACTTCTGGCACGAATGAAGAACACTAAAAAAAAAGTCCATCCTTTTGCTGTTTCATAATTTATTTATTAAATTACCAAGATAAAGTCTAAGCATTATTAGTATTGAGATACATTCACTAATTTATTTGTAAAATAACATAATCATGAATCAAAAGTTTATCTACCCCTATACGATTTGGCTTAAGTCTTAATCTAAGGAGTATGACATGGATTGAATTCTGGCATAGAATAATCTGTAGTTTCTTAATTCTATGTGGTTTGAATTTATCTCACTTGACTACTTCTTCTTTTTTACAATCTCTCTTGTATGATGCTGTTTTGAGCTTCAAGGTTGTTATGTATTAATGTGTTCAATTGTTCTTACTAATGAAAAACTAATATTTTTTTATTACTTTTTATTGATGTTAGTTAATCAAATCATCAGCATTCCGCTTTTAATCAACTTACTTTATTTGCTATAACTTTTATTTAACATCCAAAGTTGGAGACTTTTTTTAGTTCATTTTCATAGCATTCATAACATTCTTCTTTGCAAATAAGTTTTAAATCTTGTTCTTGAAAATGAGATACTTGTTTGAATGAATAGCCTCAAAATATTCCACTGCCTCTTTATATAAATTTAGTAATTTCATTATAGTATCCATTTAAACATCATCAGATTCTACATCCATTTCTAAATTAAACAGTTCCTCTGCAAAGTTGTCCCTCAATTTAGGTACTGTTGAGTAGAAGTTCTATTTTGGTTATTGTTGTGTTTGTTGCTATTAAGGGGGTTTGGGGGGTTCTAGTGTTTAAATAGTTTGAATTACATTTTTGCTATGAGAAACTACGTATAAAATTAAGCATGTATTTAAATAAAAAATGTTCAATAATTCAACATCCTTTTTTGCGAACTCAAATGAAAAAAACAACCAGTTGAAAGAGAAAATCTACAACGCTCTCTATCAATCTCCTAACACATCTTAGTAAATTTTTTACTTAACCAAATAGTGATGTTATGAAGTGGATTCCAAGCAATGATATTTCAAATCTCTCGGTGTCCATTGAGTAGGATATTGATAAAATTCTACAAGTAATGCCACCCTGTCAATTTCAACCAAATAAACAGATCTCCTTTTAAAATTGTTATACTCAACAATCTGCTCATCGTCAACCTATGACAATTTTAAGTTCATCCTAAAAAAACAATTCTGAAAATATATACAAACCTGAAATAAAACCAATTTAATAACCTTAAATTGAAAGCAATTCAAAACTCAATAGAATAGAACAATAATAAGTTCTTTCAAAGTAGAATTAATACATTTAGGATTTAATTACTAGATACAAAGAACCTCCTAAAAACGCTTTTTAGGAAGATTAAAACCATACTTCAGGTAATATTGAAGAGGAGTAGGATATCAATACAAAATAATCAGTCGCAAATAGAGATTCTAAATAAAAAGGTTGTTTAATTGTTTAAGAAAAATGCAAAAACAATGAGCTTTCAAAACTAACTGAATAATAAACATGCTTAAATTAAAGCATTGGTAATTCTGTTATTTTAGATGCTTTAATTAATGAAGAAAATATCAAATAAGTATAATAGATTGTAGAAATTGAAAGTTAGGCTTTTAATACAAATTAAAATTGGGCAAAAATGAAGTTAAGAAAAGAGGCTAAATAATATGAAATTTATAAAACACAAAATTTTTTAGATCTGTTATATTCTTTGCCATCCTTCTTTATTCATTAGATTGAAGGTGATTTAAAAGTTGATAAATTGAGGGCTTAAGAAAATTAAGAGGGATATTATTATTAATCCTTTGAGCTTACAGTCAATCCATTCAAGATGATTGGACCCATTAACTTTAAAAAAAATCTTAAAATTGTATTTTTTTATAAGATAATAGCATATAAGATTCAAGAAGGGGTATTATGGAGTGGTTTATTATGATAAACAATTACAAAATGTGATTCCTCAAAATTAAGTTGACGGGATAACTTTGAAAAATGAACCATTTTTATTAGCAAACAATTCTGATAAACCTATAAAAGTAATTTGTTGTATTGTTGGAATCAAAAAATGATATTAAATAAATTTATAACTAAATCCAATCAGTCTTTTAATAATGATTTAAATCTTATATCATACTTATCTTTTATTTCTATTCGTTTATACTAGCATTCTAAAATAATAAATTGAAAAAATAATCCTTATCAATTCTAATAATATTAATTTATTTTTTCTATTTCATTGAAACATTACAATTAGATCATTATTTCTCAGAATATTACTTAATTAGTTTTTCAATTAGAAAGTATAATAAATGAAAATCTTTCAGAAGATTATGAAAAGTCAATATTTATATCACCAAAAGCTAATACTAATAACAAAATTTAAAGTTTTAGTACAATCCATCAAAATAAGTAAAATATAAATCTATTCTTTTCAATTAATTTAGATGCTCAATAATTTGATTTAAGCTAAAATCAAAATTAAGTCTTTTTATAATAAATAGGATCACTAAGAATTTCTAAATAGGCAATAAAATGAGTAATAAATTATTTATTCCGATTTTTCGCTGGTTAATATAACATATCTATATAATTTTCTTAAAAATATTTGCATCCATTTATTTTTTAGATACTATTCTAACTTATATGTGTTACATATAAAACACTATTGGTATTGTTTAGTTATGAGTTTTGAAAATTGAAATGTAGATTGAATAATAATACTTTAAAAAAAATTTATAATAATAGAATTTCAAAATCATATAAAAAAATTAATTACTTTAGTAAAATACAAAAATAATTTATGGATGATAATAATAAACTCGAAAGTCTTAGAACAGCAATAATTAGGGGGATGATAGCTTTTATTAACAGCCAATAATAAGAAGATGAAGAAAAGTGTAATATTTAAGACACTTAACAAAATTTATAAATAATACATGCTTAAGTTTAATTATAATAATAAATTAATTCTTCATCACCCTAAACAGGATCGTAATATTAAATACAGAATTAAACAAGCTTAAAGATAATTAAGCTTTGACGAAACATTAAAAAGAATTCTATAAAGCAAAATATTCTTAATAATTATTAGAAAATCTATCATAAACAGGAAAAGCCAAACCTATTTCTATACCCCATGTTAATCAGATTATCAATGAAGAAAATGTTGATGTTTTATTTTACACATTGAAAGAATCTTTGTTAAGGGATTAAAACCTAGAATTACTTAAAACAGATAGTTCAGTTTATGCTGGATTATAATCTCTTATAGGAGCATTAGGATAAGATTAAGGTTGCTTAAAATTTCGAACTACTTAAATTGATTATAATCAACTAACAACTGATGACTAGTTTAGAAACTAATATCTATCTGAATTAAAACAAAAAATAGCACAAAATTACAATATTAAGACTGATCAAGTTTAGGTCGTAGCAATCAATAAAGGGAGCACTGAGATTTTGCTAAAAATTATATCAAGTAGAGTAGATATTGAAAATTTAAAAGAAGATGATATTAAATTTTTTAAAAACGTATGTGGAGGTTCTATCGATTATTATAACTACTTTGTTTAAGCAGTAGAGAAGGTGAAAGTGGGGCTTTCATATTCAGATTTTAATCCTCATCACAACATGAGATGGGATAATTTTCCAAAAAAAGAAGAAAGAGGACCCCCAGGTTACCGCTATCATTATTATTTTCCAAAAGGATGCCAAGGTTTTGGATTAAAGCTTGATGAAAATGAGTATAAAAATATGAATTGGATTAAAATGGATGGTAATGAGGAAGAATGGAGAATTTTATTTCATGGAACAAAATAACATTGCGTGGCTGGTATCACAAAAGATAAATTAAAAGGAGGGTAGAATCAAGTCTACGAGAATGATATTTGTGAAGATAGAGGAAGAGGGATATATTTCTCCGATAAAATTAAAGTATGTCTTCATCCTTATTATGCTTCGCCTGTCTAAGTAGGTTAAAAGTAATTTTCAGTAATTTTCATGTCTAGGGCAAACCCAACAAAAATTAGATAAAGCCCAGAAATGAAAAAAGAGAGGTACTTTGTTGTCAATTATTCTGCTGATGTTAGACCATATAGAATTTTATTAAAAGAAGTTTGATAATATGATTATAATAATAATTAGTTGATATTTTTGGGGGTGTTTTATTCTATTTCTTTTACAATTTTAGGATAAAATTAGAATCATTTTTATATTTAATGGCTGGTTTTGGGTTTACAATGATATATATATTCAAGTTTAAATGAAAGATTAGTTACTGAAAATATTAGTTATTGAAAAAATAAAAGGTCTTAAAATATTAACTACTTCTCTTATTTAATTTAGAATTCATATAGTTCAAGTTAAGTTTCAATAAAATATTGTAATAATAATCAATTTATAAATCAAATTGTTTAATTAGTTTATATTTATAGATGAGTTTTATTTTCTATAATAATGCTATTTGAAGATTTTAGTACGAGCTAACGGTTTAAAATTAAAATTATAAGATTTTACTTCTCCTAAAAAAACTATGAACACAATCTTCTATTGAATATTAGACATTTAGGGTTAACATTTATTGATTGATTAGATCATTAGATTTTTGAGTATAATAAAAATATCCGAATTGTTTATTTGGATAGAAAATATATTTATTAATATTCATCATTATTGAGTCTATAAAGCTTCCAATAAGTAGAGAATATTTTGTTCAAAAAAATTTGGAATGTTAGAAGAGCATTTAAAAATATTTATTAAATCATATAAATATAATTTTATACAAAAATGAATTTCTATCTGAGGCTTTTCAAAATTCATGTTTTTCATAAATCTTCAAAAAAAAACAATTGATATAATTTTTCTCGCAGTAACTTTCTCTAACTTAATTTTTCTACATTCAGAAAAAGTTAACTTTTAATTAAAATATGTTGGTCTTTTTAGAAATAGTTTAATTATTTAATAAATTTCCAACTTTTTCCTATAAAATTTATTCCATATCAATGTTAGCACAGTATTCGCAACATAATCGATTCCTACACTTTAAAATATGCCGTACTTTATTTACTCGCAACAACTACTAATTATTTTTTCATAAATTAAAGACATAAATTAGTTAGTTTAATAATATTCTCAATAATTTATTTTCTTTTATATATGAACTATGAACAAAATATATATTAATAATATTCAATAATACGAAATTAAAGACAGAAATAGATTTATATTTTATTTTGTTAAATTTTTTCTAGAGAGATGAACAAAATCTAAAATTTTCAATAAAAAGATGAGAAAAAGTTAAATGCATTGATGTCTTAATTAATTTTTAATTAACTGCAATAATTTTTAACCAGTATTTAATGATTCAAGGAATATATCAATTTTTAATAATCTTATAAACTATAGTGATTGATGTTTAAAGAGTAAAATAAAAGATTTTAATGCTCTGATAAATTACTGAATTCAAACGGCTAGATAATATGATTTTTAGAGATGTAATTTTTTTAAGGGCAATTAAATAATTTGCTAAAGACATTTGTGTAAGTGATTTGGTTAAAAATTGAAGTTACATTAAATTTCCTAATTATTATTTCGAATTGAATTAAGCTTGATAAGCATGTTATTAAATATGCTTATCAACTGTTTAAAATATCATATGTTCTAATGGTGAAGAGAATGAAAATGATCAAAATAAATCCAATCCTTTAAAAATATCATTTATATCTGAAGAATAAATTCAATTTTAAGATTTCCTAATTTATAAAGATATAAGTTTGTAATGAGATTTGACTTCTTAATAACAATAATTTATATGTCGCTCTTTAAATTATTTTTGTTTTTATGCCACTATTTTGAATGTTGGTTAACTTACTCTAAAATGTATTAGATAATATTTTATGTAAATATATTAATTATTCTTTAAAATTTGATTTATGTTTAAATATTAATTATCAGCCCCTTTTAAGGTGCAACTAACTATGATACTTTTACTAATATATCACTTCGTTAGATAACTTCTATCATATTATTATCAATGGGATCAATACATAATATTAATGATGTCAAATTTTTTATTCCAAATAGCATTGGAGCTGTTTTTCATTAATAATGAGACTGTTAATTAAAGGGCTTTATAATTTGTGTTCATTTTGATTAATGTTATTCTCTTTTAAGTAGAATCAATTAAATATGGCATTGATAATGTAGATTCTAATTATTCATATATAATTATAATGTACTTACTAAATAACTATTAAAATTAGCAAATTAGAAAGGCATTTTGGTAAGTAATTTCTAAATTTCTACTCTTTATTCTTTTTTTAAGCTTTTTTTACTCCAAAGAGGATACAAAAGAGTAAAGAAGCATTGATTATTATTGTAAGATTGTAAATTAAAAATTAAATATGGCAATTTTTATTTTCTTATTGCAAGAGATGAAAGGACATTAAATTTAGGAACAAAAGTAGAATATTTTATCAACTATTGATGAAAAAATAATGCCAAAACAATACCAAAATTAAAAAAAGAAGGAATGTATAAAGCAAGATACAAAAAGATCTTCATTTTAAGATCTAAGTGAAATACTTACAGATAGAAAGTAAACTATCTAAAAATATTAATTATACTAGTAAATAGATCAAAATTTATTGTTGGATATTTTAACTGAAGCAGTAATTATTATAAAATTTGAAAAATCAGAAGAACCTCATATTTATAAACCGCGAATTGATTATTAAAATTAAATAAGTAGAGCTATGTTTTAGAAAAACAATTCAGATTTGCTGTAATTTTTTGAAAAAACAACAAGCGAAGTTTTGAGCGATGACTCTCCAGTTAATCCTAGAAACTCATTATTATCTTTTTAAAGTTTCGCATAATAATAATACAAAAATATGAAAAGATCTTCCAAATTTAATCCTTAATAATACTTTGTTACAGAAATCAAGTAAGATTAAAAATCTGTAGGACTCCATTCTGTTTCCCCAAGGTTAAGATCCTTAACAACTTAAGTAAAATCAATCATTTAAATTAGCTTAATACTATTTATAAATGTTTACTTTACGTATATAATACCAAGAAAGTGCGATTTGAAATAAACGGTAAAGTAGAAGCTTTGATAATAGAAACAAATTTTGAGATTGATAACACGAAAAAAACTGTTGAAATGCTTGTCACAATAGGGGGTGAAGATTTACTTCTTGTGATTGCAAGAGATGTTGTGCATAGGAAAAACATAAAGGAGCTTTTTGAAATCAATTAATCTAAATCTAAGATCTTATCTTTTGTAAGCCATGAATTTAGATCACCTTTGAATGTTATGATAAATGTACTTTAAAATATGATGGAGGATACTAATTTAAACAATTCTTTATTGCAGCCTCTCAAAATAGTTTTGGAAAACTCATATTATATGCTAAACTTATCAAATGATTTACTTGATTTAGCATAGATTAAGAATGAAACCTTTAGTTTAAATCTAAAAACTATAGATATCGTATAATTAGGAGAGGAATGCATAAAGATGTTTTAATTATAAGCAGAGCAAAAAAATATAAAGTTAACTGTAAAAACTAATATAAAACCTTTATTTATATACACTGATAAAAATCGATTGAAATAGATAATTATAAATCTTTTAGCAAATGCGATGAAATTCACATCAAAAGGAAGCATTTCAATTAAAATTACATAAAGAGGATTTTTAGTTGATGTTGGAGTTGAAGATACTGGAATTGGAATCTCGTAATAAAATCAAAATAAACTGTTTAAGGCTTTTGGAAAAATTAAAGATAGCGAAAATTAAAAATTAAATGAATAAGGGGTTGGTTTAGGACTTGTAATAAGTAATAAAATAGCACAGTAATTATCTTATGATGCGTAAGGATTAAAAGTTGTTTCTAAAGATGCCACATAATTAGATCATGGCTCATACTTTTACTTAATATTAAAAGTTTAATAATTTCATGCAAAAATAAATTTATCACGGTTGGAGAAAGTCATAATTCAAGAACAAGAGTCACCACTGCTAGATAAGCAAATTTAATTATCATAATTTAGAATGACGTTTAATAATGGTCAACATTCTTTTGCTGATGATTAAAAGTTGATCGATAAAATTAATTGCCAACATATTTTGATTGTTGATGATAGCGTATTTAATTAAAACATTTTAGAAAGGCAAATACAATAATTGTAAATGTATTTAAATCTATTTTAGTACAAAAACTTAAATTGATAAAAATAATAGTGGTATAGAAGCCATAGAATCTGTGAAATCAAAGAAGTGCAATTAAAATTGTTAAGGATATAATACTATATTCATGGATATGGAAATGCCTGGTTTAGATGGATTATAGGCATCTGCTTAAATTTTATAATTTAATGCAAAAATCAAAATATTTATAGTTTCTGGTTATGAAAAATCTCAATTCGATGAAGAAAGTAAAAAAATTGGAATTCAAGAATTTCTAGTAAAACCAATCTCTAAAGATGTCATCTAAAGGGTAATTTTAGAGAATAATTTATGATTGTTAAGTAAATATTGTTAAATTATCAATCATTATAACACTATTTTTATTTATTATCTCCTATTCTCATATTCTCAAGTATTCTATTTAAAAATTACTTTTGATTTAAATCTTTCTAAATTAATTCATCAAATTTAACATTTGAATCTTCAAGAATTTTTTCGTCTTTTAATAATGATTTAAATCTTATATCATACTTACATTTTATTTCTATTCGTTTATACTAGCATTCTAAAATAATAAATTCAAAAAATAATCCTTATCAATTCTAATAATATTAATTTATTTTTTCTATTTCATTGAAACATTACAATTAGATCATTATTTCTCAGAATACTATTCTATAAAAAATATATATATAATTATAGAATTTCAAAATCATATTATTAAATAATGAATTAAAATAACATATTAAAAATATGTATAATCATGATGAATTTAGGAAGGTAAAATATGATTTTCTCATAACATTATTACCTGGTATTAAGTCTATGAGATCGACATATCATGAAATTCTCAATGCTCATAATAACATTTTTGGTGATCTTGGAAATAACTAATTACAAATTTAATTCACAAAAAATGTCCATGACTTTGAGCCTTTTTAAGATGCTGATTCATATGATATTGATAATCTCTTTATAAATGTTTCCATGAATGTCTACGAGAAAATAATGTATGATTACAAATTGATTGTAATCGTCTTTATTTTTTGTGAATAAGAGAAGTTTGATTGGAATAAACTTCATGAATTGGTCGAAGTAATAAAGAACAGATCGTTTAAAAAATTTATTTTAATAGGCATAAAGGACATAGGTGAGCCATATTAAAATCTGTTAAATTATGAAGTATTTAATAAAAATATTTTTTATGAAATTTCAATAAAAAGAGATCATAATAATTATGATTATGTATCTGACTAATTGAAGAACATTTTTTGGGAAATTCGAGATAATTTGATGGATCCCAAAGATATGAGAATCAATTTATAGTAAGAGTATTAAGAAAAGGTTATGAAGATTAAGGTTTTTGATGATTTTTAAAATATCAATGTCATATAATTAGGAGAGGAATGCATAAAGATGTTTTAATTATAAGCAGAGCAAAAAAATATAAATTTAACTTTAAAAACTAATATAAAACCTTTATATATATACACTGATAAAAATCGATTGAAATGGATAATTATTCATCTTTTAGCAAATGCGATGAAATTCACAATAGAAGGAAGCATTTCAATTAAAATTACATAAAGAGGATTCTTAGTTGATGTTGGAGTCGAAGATACTGGAATTGGAATGTCGTAATAAGATCAAAATAGCTTCAATTAGAAATTAGATATAAAGAGGGTTGGATTAGGACTTGTAATTAGTGATAAAATAGCATAACAATTATCATCTGATGGTTAAGGATTAAAAGTTATTGCCAGAGATACTAAACAGAGTTACTTTTATTTGATATTAAAAATTAAATAATTTCATGCAAAAATAAATTCATCAAAGTTATAATAAGTTGAGATTACAGAAAACGAATCTCCTTTGTTTGATAAACATATTTAATTATCATAATTTAGAATGACTTTTAATCACGATCAAAATTCTTTTGCTGATGATTAAAAGTTGATCGATAAAATTAATTGCCAACATATTTTGATTGTTGATGCTAACGTATTTAATTAAAACAGTTTAGAAAGGCAAATACAATAATTGTAAATTTATTTATATCTATTTTAGTACAAAAACTTAAATTGATAAAAATAATAGTGGTATAGAAGCCATAGAATCTGTGAAATCAAAGAAGTGCAATCAAAATTGTTAAGGATATAATACTGTTTTCATGGATATGGAAATGCCTGGTCTAGATGGATTATAGGCATCTGCTTAAATTTTATAATTTAATGCAAAAATCAAAATATTTATAGTTTCTGGTTATGAAAAATCTCAATTCGATGAAGAAAGTAAAAAAATTGGAATTCAAGAATTTCTAGTAAAACCAATCTCTAAAGATGTCATCTAAAGGGTAATTTTAGAGAATAATTTATGATTGTTAAGTAAATATTGTTAAATTATCAATCATTATAACACTATTTTTATTTTCTTTTTAGTATTATGTACTATTTAAATTCGATATTAATTATTTTACTTAATTTAATATCTATTGACTCTTTTAATAGACCTTAAATTCAAATAGGAGGTTTATTGAGGTTTAATAATCATTTGAATCAAATAAATTGCTATTATCTATATAATGCTGCTCATTACTATAATTTTGATCTAAGTATTCCTATATATACGCTAATTTCCTCTGGTTCACAAAGGATTTGTGCTTTTCTCTCATTTCACTTCATAGTAAGTAAAATAATCGGTTTCTTTACACTAGCAAAATGAGATAATTTTATCGATTGTAAATAATATAATAATCATTTAGTATTAGCAATTTAGTGGTTATCATTTTCTTACCCACCTTATTATTCTTAATCCAAAGAAAAATGACTTAAGGGACTTAGCTCTTCCAAAATGTCGTTTTGAATTTGTACCTAAGGAGTAACAGCTTTAGGACCATAAAGTGGAGTTCGAGTAACTATAGATAGTTTCTTACTATCTTGACTTATTAATTTTTAATTAGGACTATTGTAATTTTATAGATATTGGTTAAAGGAATCTTTATTGGGACTTTCTTCAATTTAGGAAGTATTGAATTAAGTTATTTTTTATTATGATTGTTACTTGCCATTATTTTAAAAGAACGGATGTTACAGACATTGCTCAGAAGTATAACGCTACAAGAAATTATAAGCAGTCATTTTGAATCTAGATTACTAATCAATATCTTACAATAGATCCTTTGCATCGTAGTCTAATTATTGATATTTCGGTTTTGAAAAGTCCACTTAAAATTCTTTATTCATTCTCAAAATCTCTTAATGACCATTTCCTACAAATAATCCTTCTCCCAAAAGTAAAATATGAAATATGACACCTGCCGAGAATATGTCACAAGCAGCTGTGTATGGCTAGGTTTTATCAATCAGATTAGCAACTTCTGGAGCCACAAATCCTGGAGTACCACATTTTGGATATAAGTATGGAAAGGCATCTATTTCTACGGAGAGACCGAAATCAGCAATGGTCAAGGTATTCAGATTCCCTTTTTCTCTAAATAATATATTTTCTGGTTTTAAATCTCTATGCATAATTCGTTTCGAATGTATATAATGTAATCCTGATAAAATCTAATACATGATCTTTTATAATTATGAAATAATTACATTCTGAACTTCTTCTCTACTATAAAGACTTACTTTATTTTTCATTTCCTTATACAAACTTCCACCTTAAGCTAAATCCATTATCAAGTATATATTGTTGTCTCCTTCATAAACTTCAATGAGATTTATGAGTGATTTGTGCGGACTTAATATTCTCATGATTTTAATCTCATTTTAGACTGATTACTTAATATAGAACAATAGTGTTACTTCTCCTTATTCGATAGCCTATACTTTCTTTTTATCAATACATTTGGATGCAAATCTTTGATCTGAATGTAAATGCTGTAATTCAAGAACCTAATATAAAAATCAGCTTTTAAATACTAAGGCATAATTTCCCTATCCAATCACTTATTAAGCCATATATTCTTCTTAGACTTTTGCTTAAAAAAAGAGTTTAGAAACATTTTTTTTCAATTCACGAAGTGTTTGATCCTCTCCGAAATATTCAAATTATAAATCGCCACAGTCAAAAATCAGTCCCTTTAATTTTAATGGCTACTCATTTGTGTATCTCCAAATCAATCTATTGGTATTGGTGTTAGAAAATATCCGATCTGTTCGTTTTCTATTGGAATCCTAAGAGTAGAAATAGTTCTAATTTCTACTTTATTTGCGATCACTCTGTCAGAAAAGACATAGAAGTAACGAGTGGATGAACCAAGGAACAATTTTTTGAATAGACGACATTGATATAATTCATCACAAGATTTAGGAAACATTATAATTAATGATTATATCTTAGATCGATGCAGCCAACAACTACAGTTCTTCCTATTTAATTAATAGCAATTCTTCATAAGTCTTCTTCGTGATTTCAAGCTGTTTATTCATCAACGAAGATTGATTTATGGGCACTTTCTTTTTCTTTTTCATTCTAAGTTATTCCTCAGTTTTTTCTAATTTTTGTAAGGCTCCCTTCAATTACTCTTTTATCTAAGGAAATTCCACTAGTTGTTTGTCTTGCAAAGCTATTTTTTGTAAGGATTACTCGAACTAACTTCTAATTACATTGTTATCCTATAATAAATAAGTTGAAATTTACCTCTATTAAACTCAACACTTTATCCTTAGCCTCCTATAATTCTTATTCATACTTATGCTATTCAATAAAAAATTATTCTAATTTAATTTGTAATTCCTTCATCTCTTTGTGTAATTAATTTTACTTCTCCTCATACAATGCTCGCTCTGCTAGCAAGTCAGAACATTAGGTTTTCCAGAAAGATAATTATGATGATAGAATCTCTTCGTCAAAACTAGAATCCTATTTCTTGAGGAGAGTAGAGGATTCATAATTGTCATCAGTTTATGTATGAACATCAAGTTTGAGTTTCTGATCTCCTTCTATCAAATAATTAGATTTCGTGATTAATTAGGATAATTCTAATCCAAGGTTCCTTTTTGGAGTGAAGATTCCACTAAAGTTTCTTCTTTCTTCTCCATCATTAAGAGAGTGCAACATAACTGAGCTGTTTTCCAATTAGGATTATTCTGTTTTATTGTGGATGTTGTGTTCCAAATCTATTATTTCTTATTTCAATTTAAATATTTCTTATTCTCTCAATTTCAATTATCTACTCAAAGATTCATTCTCTGATCTGGCTTTGGAAATATCAAACTCCTATTAGCTTTAGATTTTTTAATTTTATTTTTGTAACTATTTTTGAGAGTCCAATTTTTATTGTAATTAAGTAACTTTGTTAGTTAATTCAATATTCTCTTCTTTCAACTTTGAATTTTACTTCAAGTTTTCCTTGTTTTTAGTTTATTCTTGAAGAGACTCAGACAATTAAGTTTTAAGTTGTTCACAATATTTTTCTAATTTTTGCATCTAGGTGTATTTTCTATATCCTGCCTCCAATTTATTTCTCAAATCTCTAACTATCTCCTCATGCACATCTTTCTCTTATTGTTGGTCGTTTTTTAAGGTTTCTATTATTTATTACATTCCTTTGATATCATCAATTCTATTATGAATGTACTCACAAACTTCACTAACTGAATTTGTTTGTGTAACTTCATAAATTTGATTCAAATCTTCATTCAAAGAATTTATTGTTTTTTATCTTGTTTCTATATCTGCTTGCACTATTTCCATATCTTCCTTCATCTTTTTTTTCTCCATTTCATACTATTCTTTTGAAAGCAGTAATTCTTGATTCAATTTCTAATTTTCATACTCTAATTCTTCGAATTTACGTAACACTTCATCTGATATCTTTGACTCTTGATCTAATGTCAATGAAGATTGCTCTTCTTATATTAATTTTAATAGAACCATTTATGTTTCTTAATCTAGTTGCATCATCGGAGTGACCAATTCACTTGAATATGGAGAATGTATTATAGCTTATAATAGGCTTACCATCTATTATATTTTTAAATATTCATTACCATCTCCAAAATACACTATTCATTTCTATTTTTGACAACCTGGAGAAAATTTGGCTTTTATGGAAGTTTAAGTTTGCTTTCAAATGCATTCCATAATTCCTTAATTTCTTTCATCTACATTTCCCAATTATCATTTTATTCCAATTAAATTTCAATCTCAAAACTAAATAAAGATAATTGATAATACATGTGATATAACATTTATTATAAAGCAATTCCTGAACTTAAATCTGAAAGCTGATTAAGTTTTGGTTGAATAAATTAAAAGGAATTGATCTATTTAGAATGTTATTCTTACTAAATTTAAAATAGAGGAAATTTGCTTTAGTTGTTTACTATTCATATAAAATAATTATTGAATTTTATTTAAAATAAAACTATAAATTATTTATATTCATTTTCAATTAAGGAAAAGTTCGGGGTTTCTCATGTGATAATAGGGTTTTGCAATTTTCATTGATCCATGTAACATCACAAATAAATAAATTGGTCTGATTATAAATCTTATATAAAAAAAGAGTTGATAAAAGAAACTTGACCAATTTTGTTTGATTACTTCCACAATCACAGAGTTTGATGTAGTATTAGAAATAAATATGGCTACTCTCTCAATCACCACTAAGATAAGCATTACTCCGCTAATCAAAAAGACATACAAAAAATCCCTTAATTTTAAATTTATCATACTTAACTAGAAGTTTGACCATACCTAATTTAAGCGGCTAAGTTTGCCACATCAAAGTGCAAAACAAAACAAAAATGATTCCTGTTATTATGATGTGAAGGGCACTCATCCATAATATTTGAGTTTCCCCCTATTTTGTATCTTGCGAGATTTGATTCATTGTGGTTGGTTCAATAAAGGATGACCAAATCAAATCAAAAATTAAAAATACATAAAATATTCCTAATTTAATATAAAGGGCTCTTAATTCTGACTATAAACTCTATTAGATAATATTTTTTACTCTCTCATTTATTTTATGAATTCTAATATATTAATTATTAAAACTGATTCAAATAAAAAATGAATATTTTAAATCAAGGAATATTTATTACCATTATTTCTATGGTTTTTAATCTTTTTAGAAATTTGGTTTATTAGTAATTTTGAAACTATAAATTCTTAGTAATATCGGAACTTCTTTCTTAAACTACCTTGCGTTAAAAAAATTAGAGAAGGAACCTATAGTTTCAAGGATAAAAAGTACTAATGATTTTAAATCATTTTTCGACTTACAATTCAATGCTTATTTCTTTGTTATTTTGTTGGATATTCAATTTTTTATTAATCGTTAGTGTTATATTATTTGCATTAATGAAAAATAATAAAAATTCATATATGAACCAAGATGACGTAACTATTATGGATACTGCAAAGAATTAACATACGTATTCCAATGTTAAATTATTTTTAACAAATAAAATGATTAATGCAAATTTTGTAAAACCTTAAAAAAAAAGACCATAAAGTCAAGCAATTAATAGGGCGTATACATCGAATTCAAATGACAGAAAAACATAAACAGAGCAAAAATCATTTGATCTACATACTTGGGTGGATTTTGAAGATCAAATAAGAAGAATGGCCATAAAAAGTTTTCATTCATCTATTGAACCTAAACCTAAATTATTAAAAAAATCAATCCCCAATCAAAAATAATAATTGTAAGCTTAATTTAAGGAGTTGATTAAGGATGTACTTTAAATGAACTTAAGAAATGATCTTTATAATAAATTATCAAAATTTATTTGATACTTATTTTGTTGTAATTCTATGTTTAAACATTAAAAAACAGAAAAAGCATATGATTTTTGAGGAAGTTAAAAAGATTGTTATTATTTTTGTGTTCAATTTTAATTCTTCTGTTACTTATAAATAATAATTGCTTTATTTTTACTGTTAGATCAATGGAATTCAAAGGATTTTAGAATAAATCATTCAGCAGATATTATTCCCACAAGTGAGACTTTGATTTAAATATGTTTGGAACTTAATTTGATTCTTTATTTGTAATTATACAATTTTAAAAATTATATAATGAGAAATTAAATGTTATTCGAATATTACGAGTTAGTTAAATAAACAAAAATTTGAATTAAATTGAAAACATAATGCAATCGAACAAAGGGCATAAGTTAGATGAATTACTCACATGCTTTATCTGTCTATCAAACCTAACAAATCCTCATATATGTCCATGTTGCTCAAAATTATGCTGTTATTCTTGTATTACAAAATGGTTGACAGAGAATAGGCAGGTTTATAAGTTGTTCTTAATTAGAATAGTGTCCACATTGTAGATCCTCTTTGAGAATTTAATAATTAGTAAATTGTAGGTTTTTAGAGGATATCGTGGCATAAAATGATCCATGTCCCCTCCATAATGCTCAATTATAGTATTATTGTGTCACATGTGCACATCCTATTTGTTCTGAATGTGCAATGTTTTCTGCGCATAAAATGCACGAGTTTGAACATATTTAAAAGGTTTTTGACTCAAAAATCAAAGATGTAAAAACAAAAATGGAAAATGTATAAGAAAAGTTGAAAAATCTTAAAAATTCAGCTGTTATGATTGATGAATTGATGGATGAATTGAATCGTAGTAAAGACGAGAGGGTTTAAGAGATCTAAGCATATACCGAATAACTTCTTTAAAAGTTGGAATAAACGCATACAGCCAGAATGGGCAATCTGTAGATGCAAAGATAGAGATTAAATGAAAAGATTCTAATAGCATCTGCAGAATTGGATACTATATCATAACAGATAAAAGGCTATTAGAAGAGCAAAACCATAATGACAGCACAAGAACTCTTATAAAGAATAGAATAGGTCAATGTTGAACCTGAGCAAATTGGTGGTGTACCTATGAATTTCTAATCAGAAATAACACCTCAATATGTCTGTGATACTTTTGAATTAAACTCTTTTAATCAGAGTGAAGAAATTGTATATTCTGATCACTTAATTACTAATGGAATAAGATGGAGACTCAAGATATATCCACATGGAAATGGAAATGCCAAAAATATTTACATTTCTATATTTTTAGAGATGGATTCAAAATATGCAGAAATCAGAAGATATGAATATAAAATAGAGATGATTAATTAAAAAAATGGTTTATCTGTAATTAGAGAATTTGCTAGTGATTTTGAAGGAGGAGAATGCTGGGGATATAATAGATTCTTTAGAATCGACCTCTTATAGAAAGATGGATATCTGGTGAATGACAAATTATTGTTTAAATACTATGTCAGAGCTCCTAATTATTACACTCAATGTTTGGATATGTAGAGATACATCAAGTAATTGGAATCGTAGGTAAGTATTTAATAGACTACCAGAAAAATAGAATAGTAATCATCAATTTAGAAATTAAAAGAAGAAATAGAATAATATGCAGAGAAAATTGAATAATTAGAATAATCATAACCAAGCAATACTTCAGAAATTTAAGAAAGTGAAGACGATCATTAATTATAATAATAGGATGAAGAAAGCAGTTCATCTAGTAATCATTCAGATTATTATTTTGATGGATAATACTAAGAAATTCCAATTTAATAAGAAAGTTTACCAATAAGAAGAAATCTTATTCAGAAATTTAATTAATCCAGCTTAGTTAACACATCTTAAAATCTAAGAAGTCCATTGTCAGAATTTAGTGAAAATTTATATTCTTGAATTAATTCCTTTATAATATTATAAAATTATTATTATTTTTAAAGAAATTTCATTTCAAGGACAAGACTTATTGTATTTCAAAATTTATGGATACATTATAAATCACTATTTGCATCTTTGGCTTGAAAACCCTAGAGAATATGTTTCAGAATATATTGGAAAAATTTCAGATTAAAATTAGTAATAAAAAAATATCGATGTAATTTTCGAATAAAATCATCATAATACCTAATAAAATTATTAAGTTAAAAGGTAGTTTTAATTCAATAGCAATAAATTAGATAAATAACTTAGAATAAATATACAATAAATAATATTAGAAATTAAAGTCCTCTCAATATTATGATAATAAACAATCAAATTAAATCATCATATTAGATTTTTAATAATAAACTTTGATAAAATCTTAGTAATTGTAAAAATGAATGTCAAAATAATAAAAATATCGTGAGGACATTTAATATTACAACTAATTTAAAAGGATCAATATTCTAAAAATATTGATTAGCTAAGCTATCGAAAATATGTTCATTAAAGAGTATTCTTAATAATAATATAATAGTCTAATTTTTAGCTTTTCTAATAATTGAGTTAAAGTTTAAAATTGTTCTATTTTTCTTGACACTTTTAATCTCTTTTTGCAGAATCTCAGATCACTCTCATACACACAAAAATTAAATGTATTCTATTTAACTATTGCAGGATTTATTAGAGTATTGAATCTTGAAAACACAATGCAAGTGTATTTGGCAAACATACATTATTTTAAATTTCTTAGCAATTGGTTTCTAAGATTCTGATTAAATTAATATATCCACACTTATCAGATAACCAGTTTTAAAAGAGAATAATAAATCATGAATTGAGACTCTTAAGATTTTAAGATATTTAAAATGTAGGAAATATAATAAGAATAATTAGATTATCAAATTAAGGGAGCATGCTTACTATCAATTAGGGTGTTAGAATTGATCTTTGTTAAAGACCTAAGGATTCATAGAGTTAGGAATATACTGATTTAGAATTAGAATGGTCTTATTGGACGTTTTGAATTTTATATTACAAATTAATTTTTTATCGTTTTAAAGCTTTCATATCTAATAAATTGCTCATATTTAATTTGTTGCTCAATAAATTCGATTTTGAAATATAATAAAAAAAGAGAAAATTACAAATGGAAATATTGAGGGATTCAATTAAATTACAGGAGGAGAACAAAATGATGAAAAAGCTTACATTGTTATAACAATAGGTTGGATATCCTTTAGACACTTTAATGAATGATGAGTTTATTCAGAAATTGCCAGAGGAGAGTTTTGTTTGGTAGTTGATCCATCATTATCAATATTTAGGACAATTATCTCTAAGAAGTATGAATTATTAACAGGATAAAGAGCCAATAAGGAAATTATTCTTTAGGAAGAATTATATAAAAATATCACATTTGGGATGTTTGTAGATGAATGCTTTTAAGCAATATTGCATTTCCATTTAGTTATTACTGATTATAAATTCAACTTACATATTATTCAAGATTCTATTAGAACTCTAAATTAGTAGATATAACTGTTGGAAGGTCACGCTTAATTAAAGTTTGATCAACCAAATCGACTATCAATCTGTTACACTAGACATAAAAGTTTAAAAACCGATATTTTCAATCATTATTAGATTAAATATAAAGCAAATCTTAATGGATAGGAATAAAAGTCAATATATGCCAGAGGTGATGATTTGACATGTTCATTTCCTATTTTAGAAGAAAGTAAAACTTTAACAATAGCCGTGTGGGGTAAAAATAAGGAGAATGGAAAAGAATTCAAGGTTCTAAGTAGAATTGAATTGGATCTAACAGAAGTATTGATTTCGTTTCCTTTGTAAAGTTATTCTAAAGAAACAATATAGCCTTGTTTATTGACCCTAGATTATTAGGATGAGTCACCAGAAGCTCCTTTTAATGGAAAAAATCCGATTGAACTTTAGTATAACTTGATTATAAATTATAGATTTTCACTCTCTATGCCTTCAGAGTAGAGAATACAAACGATGAAGGTTCTTAAGTTCAGATAGGAAGATTTTGAAAATCAGATTAGATGTGAAATAGATAACAGGAACTCTTACATTCAATCAATCATTTAGCCTTTTAATGATTTGCTTTATATTCCTGGAGAAGATCTAAAAAATAAAAATGAAGCAGATCCATAGAGATTTTCATGTTCTGCTTGTAAAATCTTCTGATTTTTAAATGTTTAATATAAATTGTTTTAATTTTGTTCATTATATATATGTATTAAATCTGATGAATTCTGCTTAAATTGTAATTGAATTATATACTTTAATTTCCTATAAGGAAAAATTGAGGAAAATTAGAGTTTAAAAATGAACTTCTGTCTAGTATATTAATCAATAAATTAAGTAAAACAATAAAATAAAACACAATGGGTATTCCACTATCAACTATATTTGATTCATGGTTCTAAAAGAAGGAAATGAGAATATTAATGGTCGGCTTGGATGCAGCTGGCAAAACCACTATTTTGTATAAGTTAAAGCTCGGAGAAGTAGTTAGTTCAGTTCCAACTATTGGATTTAATGTGGAGAAAGTTTAATATAAAAATATCAGCTTCACTGTTTGGGATATTGGAGGTTAAGATAAATTAAGATTGTTATGGAGACATTACTTTAATGGAACTTAAGGAATTATTTTTGTCATTGATTCATCAGATAAGGAAAGAATTAATGTAGCCAAAGATGAAATAATGAGATTAATGAGTGATGAGGAATTAAAAGATGCAGCACTCTTAGTTTTAGCAAATAAATTTGATATCTCTCAAGTTACTGTTGATGAATTAATATCCAAACTTGATTTGTAAAACTGTAGAAGGGATTGGTATGTATAAACTACTTGTGCTATTACTGGTGATGGACTTTATCAAGGATTAGATTGGTTATCAAAATAATTCAAAAAAAGAAAAAACTGATTAATATTACACCTGTATTTAATTATTAATTTAATATACATTTAAAACAAGTTATGTTTCCAAATGATTCAATTGATTACAGTCAAAAATGAATAGAGAAAAACATTTAAATAATATTTATTTTCATTTTGATATTAATTTATTTTTATTTAATTAGAGTATTGTTATTTTTCAAACTAATCGCTTCTTCAAATTAAATAGCAATTTCAATTTTTTTGCCTTTACTATTCAATTATAATTATGATAATCTATCTATAAGTATGAATAATCCTGGAATAAATTAACTCACTATTAGTATAATCTATTTTATGTAATTGTCAATCCTTTTATCAAGAACTTGATATAGATGAGAATTATAGAGGAGCAAATAATTGATTTTCCATTTTCTTAAAAAGTACTAAAACTGAATAATTGCATATAACGCTAACAAAATGATATTGTATTCATAACCTTATCTATCAATAAAAATAGAGTTAGAGTGCGATTAATCTTAATAAAAAAAATGTGACATAATATAATTACATATGTGTTATATTTTATTATTAGAAAATTTATATTAATGAAACAAATATAAGACAAGACTTATAAGGAATTTGCTGATATTAAACATCACATTGGTACATTGCAGAGTCAATAACTTTCTGATGAAGAACTATCTCTTCTTTATGAGAGATTGAAATATCAATTTACAAATCTCAATTAACAAGTTGCAGTTACTTAAACTCTAAAGCCAAGTAGTGAGACTTAGCCAATTCATAAGAGGTAAAAAATAAAACGAGATAAACCGTTGATCTAATAATAAGGAAAATCAATAGCACTTCCAAAGATTTTGAAACAACCATCTACAGAGTAAAGACCAAAAAAGACTAAAGGGAAATTAAAATCAGCTCATATTTATTAGGCTAATGTCTTAAATAGAGAATTGAGATTAAACCCATTTTCAGATTTACCAACAATATTGGATGAAGACCTAAATAAAGGAGTCAACAATTTGATTTAATCTGGTTTGATACCAAAGGATGTTGATGTAGGTCCAGCATTTAAGCGAGGAGAAGAATTGCTTTCCATATCATAAGTTTAAGTCTAGAATCCAACAGAGAAAAGCAAGTATTATAACACGGGATATTCAGAGAATCTAACCAAATACAAAGTAGCTCCATAAAAACAAACAGCCAAATAGATAGCTGATTACTCATCCTCTTTTGTTGAGAGACAATCTGTGCCAAGAGAGAAAATACAGTAGATGAAAGTAGTTCGAAAGGCTAAGTATATAATAGAAATTAAAAATGGACATTATGTGCCAGATTTCCATTATCAGATCAGACATCTCATGATTTGGGGAGGAATCATGCATATTATAAAGAAGTTAGAGAAGATTGCATCAGGATAGTTGGATGGTGATAGGATAGCACAATTGGCTTAATCTTAATTCAAGATTCATTTGATTGAGTTGTATGAATGCTACATTTCAAAACCGATAATGGAGAGATTATACATTATAAATAAGAAACAATTTTCTGTTGATAGTGCCATATTGAAAATATAGGCAACTGTCAGAATGTTTGTGGCATCAAGAAAGTACAGGCACCAAAAGAGGATTGTCTAAAAGGTTATTAGAATTTAAAAGGAATTCCGATTAAAATAGACATATGTCTATACAATCAATTAAATTAAAAAGAATATGGGGCAATTGATTAGCACATTAGAGAATAGATAGAAATAATTCTTATTAGAAGATTTGAATCAAAAGAGAATCGAAATTCACATTCCTTCATACTCTATTAAATAATTTCAAAGATTATCAATGAGTCATTTCAAAAGTCGCGAAGGCTTACAATTAACAAGATTGTTTGCTTTAAAAGATCCAAATGTGAGTATAATATACGTGTGCGCACCTTTACAAGAAGAAATAATGGCGTATTTCTATAAATTACTAGAAGTGGCAGGTATAAATCCTGAAGGTAGACTATTCTTTATTCATCCTGAAAATATCAATAGATTCCCATAACATTACTCATTGGCATTATTATTATATCTATCACCAAAGGCCATACATTAAATTTCTGAATTGATCAAAGGATAATTTTCATATATTGTGCCAATGAGAGTAGGAAAAGAGGAGTTTTTGATTGCAGAATATCTAAAAACAAATATATATTCTGGTCCTTATGAATTGATAGAGAAATATTCTAAAAAGTCTGAAGCCTTTGAACTGTTTAGATAATTATCATTTCCTGTGGCTCCAGAATATCATTAGTTTGTTAGTAAAGATGATTTTGTAGATAAATTGACTGTGCTGATTATGAAAAATCTGACAGTATAAAAATGGATGTTTAAAATAGACATTGAATTTAATGGGAGAGGCACAGCATGGTTTAGTTTAGAAGGAGTAAAACAATTTATAGAAATCAAAAAGTTTCCGCATAGTATTGAATTTAAAGTCCTTAGGGAATTAGTTTAAACTGTAAATTAATTGTACATATTTAGTTATTGCCAATAAAAACTGTATTGGCATTTCCTTAGATGTTCACCTTCGAAGAATACTTAGACAATTTTATTAGAAATGGTGGAATAGTGGAGGCTTATCCAAATGCTTAGAAAGTGTAAACAATAAATATCTAAGTGAATCTCGAGAATTAGGGAACTTATTAGATATTGAACACGTCTACAAGCATAGTAATAAAAGAGTAACTATAATACATGAGTATTCATTAGAATGTCTAAAGTGGGTTGCATATATCCTTAGAATGTGCTCAATTTAAATGTGGATTCTCTAATTTAGCCATTAGTAGATGAATTGTATAAATAGAATGTCTTTGGATATTTTACACTTTCTTTGTTATCATTTAATGGAGCCTTCTATACTAAATCTTTGAAGTTCGGAATGGATGAATATATAGGTGCGACAGTATTGTCTACAGCTATGGACACTGATCAGTTCACATATATCCCATTTGTTTATCATCCAGGAATAGCAGAATAGAAATTTAATGATTTATTTATCAAGTGTAGGAAGGAAGGAATATCCTTTGATATTGAGAAGAAGGTGGGAACATTGATATGGTTATCTGATTAGATTGAAAAGGGAGTATTGTCATTGTTATGTTTGGGTGCACCTAAGAAGGCTGTAAAGTTGACTACTGATGCTTTGAATTTCCTGTAATAATTTGGTGGAAACATAATGAAAACTAATAGTCACTAGAAGCAGGACACATTTTACTTTATCGATATAGTTAGTAGATTAAGGTAATTAAATAGTGAAGCTTAACAATGATATTTATATTGTCATGATTATAATTCTAATGTTAATTAAAAAACACGATTTGTTAATTTAAATTATTCGTTTTCCATATTCATTTTGGCTTTCATCAATAATAAACATTCTTTGGACAATCTGTATTGCTCTGTAGTAAATAGGACATTGTCCTCCTTAATTTGACGATAGTTCTCATTGATTTTATCTCTGAAATTCATTTCTATAGTCTTCAGTTCCTATTAATATCTTGAATTAATTGAGGAAATTTCCAGTCTAATTTAGTTGGCTTGGTCTCTCAATTATGCGATATTCTTTCGACTTTCTGCAATATAACTCTAGATTAAATTGGTATTACATTGACATATTTGGTAGGGTGATCATAGACTTCTAAGAAATGAGTTTGAGAGTTGTCATTCTAAAATTAGTCTACTTTGAAACCATATCTAAAGTTATTCACTGTGGGTGTTTGCGTATGGATGGTTGTGAGTCTGAAATCACTTAAGCCTGTAGATCTAAATCTATTCAATTTATGTTATGTTGTTTTGACAACTCTTTAGGTTTAGAAGGGTGTGCCTATTTAGACATTGTTGATACTAGAATCTTAAGATTTAAAATATAACAGTTGTCTAATACTGATTTCAGAACTCATGAATTTAATATTTAATTTAACTAATTATTAGATAAATTTATTAAGTAATTTTGAAATCAATGTTCAGCTATGAATTTATCATTCATCCAAATGCCTTCAACACTATGACTTTAATAATAATAAACTCCAGATCCACAAACTGCGTCATCAATGAATGTTCCTCTAAAATAATTTTAATTTTTAAATCTTAATTCTCCCTTCCCTTATTTCATCCCTTTAGCAACCTCTCCCTTAAAGTATTCCCAATTCGATAAATCCACATGTGTAGTATCATCTAAAGCATCTTCTCTCCACATTTCGATTTCATCCCCTTCAGGAAGATCATTCAAGAATGTTCCCTAAATCAATTTATTCCCCTCCTTAGAAAAAAATATTCCTCTACCTTCTCGCTTTTTTGTTTTTGCATTATATGAACCCACATAGTAACAACCGTTTGTGNATCCAGGAATAGCAGAATAGAAATTTAATGATTTATTTATCAAGTGTAGGAAGGAAGGAATATCCTTTGATATTGAGAAGAAGGTGGGAACATTGATATGGTTATCTGATTAGATTGAAAAGGGAGTATTGTCATTGTTATGTTTGGGTGCACCTAAGAAGGCTGTAAAGTTGACTACTGATGCTTTGAATTTCCTGTAATAATTTGGTGGAAACATAATGAAAACTAATAGTCACTAGAAGCAGGACACATTTTACTTTATCGATATAGTTAGTAGATTAAGGTAATTAAATAGTGAAGCTTAACAATGATATTTATATTGTCATGATTATAATTCTAATGTTAATTAAAAAACACGATTTGTTAATTTAAATTATTCGTTTTCCATATTCATTTTGGCTTTCATCAATAATAAACATTCTTTGGACAATCTGTATTGCTCTGTAGTAAATAGGACATTGTCCTCCTTAATTTGACGATAGTTCTCATTGATTTTATCTCTGAAATTCATTTCTATAGTCTTCAGTTCCTATTAATATCTTGAATTAATTGAGGAAATTTCCAGTCTAATTTAGTTGGCTTGGTCTCTCAATTATGCGATATTCTTTCGACTTTCTGCAATATAACTCTAGATTAAATTGGTATTACATTGACATATTTGGTAGGGTGATCATAGACTTCTAAGAAATGAGTTTGAGAGTTGTCATTCTAAAATTAGTCTACTTTGAAACCATATCTAAAGTTATTCACTGTGGGTGTTTGCGTATGGATGGTTGTGAGTCTGAAATCACTTAAGCCTGTAGATCTAAATCTATTCAATTTATGTTATGTTGTTTTGACAACTCTTTAGGTTTAGAAGGGTGTGCCTATTTAGACATTGTTGATACTAGAATCTTAAGATTTAAAATATAACAGTTGTCTAATACTGATTTCAGAACTCATGAATTTAATATTTAATTTAACTAATTATTAGATAAATTTATTAAGTAATTTTGAAATCAATGTTCAGCTATGAATTTATCATTCATCCAAATGCCTTCAACACTATGACTTTAATAATAATAAACTCCAGATCCACAAACTGCGTCATCAATGAATGTTCCTCTAAAATAATTTTAATTTTTAAATCTTAATTCTCCCTTCCCTTATTTCATCCCTTTAGCAACCTCTCCCTTAAAGTATTCCCAATTCGATAAATCCACATGTGTAGTATCATCTAAAGCATCTTCTCTCCACATTTCGATTTCATCCCCTTCAGGAAGATCATTCAAGAATGTTCCCTAAATCAATTTATTCCCCTCCTTAGAAAAAAATATTCCTCTACCTTCTCGCTTTTTTGTTTTTGCATTATATGAACCCACATAGTAACAACCGTTTGTGTATGGCAAATGACCTTACAATATCTCTACTCTGGGAGCTTTGGGTTATTCTAACACCTTATTATCCGGAGTTCTAATATCTATAATGGATTCTGTAGCATCAGGAGATTAGGCTGTTTTTAAGATCTATTTATTGTACACTACCATCACTGTCTTTAGTTCAGGCAATTTATAAGCCTTGGTGTAATTACTTACGGATATTGATAACTGAATTGGATCTGGTCTACCATATTCATCTGCTTCCAACATGGATCGAAGTAGCCTATCAAAATATAGTGGTAATTTGAATCTAGTAATTATGTCATCCAATAATTCAAAATCAAATCCATCCTACTTGAAAAGAATTTCAGTTTTCTTGAATCCCAAAGAATATACACAAACTAATCCTAATGAAAAAGTATCTGATTTGAAAAGATCATGCTCTGGATGAGTCTTATAATACATTATTGGACTGTAAAAGCTCTTCATTATCTAATTGTGAAATAGAAAAGGATCTGCTAATTTATATACATACTATTATTCAATTGTGTAAACCCTGAAGATTCCCTTTGGATTTATATTATTGTAGTGTTGCTTCTATTATTATAATTTAGCCAAGGCGGCTGATACGTATCCTAACATAGACCAAACCTCAGGAATTGTTAATTTAGTTGAAACAAAATCCTCTAATCTGATTGGAAAGTCAAAGAACATATTAATAGATATGAAGTCACTATCATATTTATGAATCACTATGTTGAATGGATCCTAATCACGTTTAACTAAATATTCTAGTTGATCTCGAATTCTGAAATAACTATCATAGAGTTTGGCTCTAACTAATTTAAATTGTGGATCTCCTGTGTGTTCATATACTTCCATTTCACTAAATTTTAATGCTTCGTTTCTATATGGATATGGAGGTCTGAAATCTTCAGTAAATGCAGCAATATCAGCACTTGTGCATGCTTATCCCATATTATAAAATATTTTATTATTTATTATATAACTTATTTAAGAGACTCCTAATTAATTTGTGATTGAAGATTGAAATTCAACAATAACAACAATCTTATTTTATTTATATATAATAACTCAATAATATATTTATTATGCATCTTGTATAAAAGGAAACAGGTTATTATTCTTGGTTCTATGAATACTCATAAATTTGAAATTCGATCCCATCTAATTTGAATGTACCAGTCTCTCATATTCAGACTACAATCTCTTTTCTGTTGCTTTGTTAGCATTCTTACAAAGTATCTAATTAATATTAGTATATAATAAACTTATAATCTTGCCTAAATTCCCATTTATTCTAACCAGTTACCCTGAGTCATAATTTCTGGAACCTTAATTCCATCTACTTTAAGTGCTGCTTATTCCAATGCCATAAAATTAACATAAGCACTCAAATCGCAATCTCCAGGTTTATTTAAGATATCCTTTTTATCCATTAATTTATGTCGTTGAATAGCTCTAACACTATCAGAAAATGCTCGCTTCTCACCATAATCAATAATAAGTGCTGCTCCACCTACTTTTGCAATTAATTCAGCTAATGAATTAACTATTACTCCACTTTAAGGAGAAATCTCGATTGTGTCGCCTTCTTTTATTAATTTTTTAATTTCTGGAGAGAAATACTTGTCTGGATTTAGAATTTTTTAGACATTTTAATTAGGACCATTTGAGAGTACAAATTTAAGAGTTTTACCATCGTTATCTAATCCTACCAATCTCTCACACCATTGACCATTAGAATACTCAAATATATTGATTGGTAATGCATCAAAAAATTCATGTGCTAATATTAGTACTGGGTCACAATGCTAACCCTCTCTTGTTTCTTCATATAAGAAGTGTTCATACATTTTGAACCACTTTAAATTTACTTCATCACTTTCAAATTTCTCCACTTTTTAGTTGTTGTATTCAAACTTAGGATAGATGTTGCTTTTCTATAATTATTTTAATACTGCTTCCTATTACTTCTTACGCATATAATCACTATATTCCACATATGAATATTGAAGGTTTTCAAGTAAATTGAATTAAGCAAATACTCTCAATATGTTTGAACTCAAAGTACCTAAACCTGGTCCAAATTCTAGAATATGCATTTTTTAATTTGTAGGCCTAAAGTTATTGTCCAAAACACCAATATGTTGGAAGGTATTCAACAACCAAATTCCAATTAACTGTTGATTTATAAGATATTTGATCATACTTCATTAAACATCTATGATATTTCAACAGATGTCACAAAATCTCCATCTTTATTAAATACATCTTATTTCATGTAGTACCCAAACTTTTCATGTAAAAGTGCATGATGCCAAAATCGAGGGAATGAAATGGCTCCTTTTTCAGCTATCTCACTTCTTATGATATTTATTAAACTAGCCTGTTTGATATCAATTTCTTTTCCCACAAAGGAACAGAATTATTTAATTAATTTCATAAATAATAAAAAAAATAATCTTCAATTTTAATTTAGAATCAAATATACTAAAATATCATAATTTCTTGATATGGGAGAAGTTCTTAGGATTTTTGATACCTTTGTATATCTACTGACGGTATTGAAGATGCCAATTGTGCTAGACTATCTTTGAATTAAATATATAATTAATTGCGTACTTCTTAACGAATATACGACTATAAAGCTAATAGAATTATGATACCTCAAAATTCTGAAAGTTTGATTGAATTCTTCCTCAGTAGGGTCCTCTGATTAAGATAGCAATCCACTGAAAATACGAATATTCATCAACTTCTTCTTGTAGACTGTTATTCTTTCTAAAAACTTGACTACTTTCAACTAGTCTCCTAATATCTGATGACAAAGTGCTTGGTGCTTTGTAGCGAAGGTAATTATAGCCTTACAATAATTCTTGGGGATGTTTTTAGTGTCCTTTTATTCTTGACTTGAAAATCCTTTTCGTTTTTGGATACTCAGTTTGATGGGTGGACATTATTAGGTGATTAATTTTGGTGCACTCTATTAGATGTGATGTTATTATTAGATAGCATCCAAAACAGGGACATTCTAAAAATCCATTTTATGTCCACCTAAATGTACCTAACTATTTACTAGAGATCATACCAAGAATTCATTGAATGAATACTATAGGACAAATGGATAGGATGGGAGACTCTTATTTTGTGGGTGAAGTTGAGTCAATTGGAGGTTATGCAAGGCTTTTAGGAATTTACTCACCACTTTTAAATAAGCAGATTGAAAGGATTGAATTTCTAACAAAACCTTCCTCTTACTTTGTTAAGAAACTGTCGGTTTAGAGATACCCATTGGAGTTTGGACATTTTGTTCCTCCTCCTTTACTTTACATTTGCTCATCGAACAAATCTTTTTATATTATACTAACACAATTTATTAATCCTTAATTATCAATAGAAAATTATAATAGAAAGGATACTTTATAAGATTGAAAATATTATTTTTTTTAAATATTAGATTGAATACATCATCATTTAGACTCTCCCATCAAACCATTCGAGTTTACTGTTGATACAAGGCAGCTCTCATTTTTTGATTTTTAAAGCAATTAAATCTCAACTAATGAATTAAAGTAACTTAAAATTTGCACTCAAATCTCAAGTAAATGAAATATATTTATAATTAAATGGAACAACACTCACAAGAAAACCCCTTGTTCGATCTCCTCTACATATTGAGAGGAGCAACTCCTACCCATCCATTCTTATTTCATCATATCTTTCAATACTTCGACAAGGATCAAAAATTAGCAATAAAACTCTGTCGAAAATTGATGAATTATCAAGATTGTAATTAAAAAAATCAAAATGGGCACACACCCCTCTAAATTGCTGTGATTTACAACTAGAAAGCTGCCATACGATATGCTCAATAAGATGGTAGGTTCGATTTTAACGATGAAACATTGATGTCCTTAGCAATCATTCATGCTTACTTTGAAATTGTTGAAATCCTCTTATTAGTAAGAATATTCCCCTTAATATTAGGATGAAGGACTATCAGTAATGCAAGTCAATTTGAGGATCATGAATTCCCAATCAGCAATCAATTTAAAAATTCTAAAAAGGTTTGAAAAACTTGAAATCTAGAAAGCCTTAAATGAGGACACGTCTGAATATTAAGAAATTATAGTCAATCGAATCCCTCAATTTCCGATTCCCAAGACTCCTGGTAAAATTATCATTGAGACTATCAATGAAAGTCTTATACCAACTGCTGAGTGCATAGAAGAAATTAACTAAGAAAGTGAATTAAGAAAGATGAATAGAAATGGAAACTTTAAGAAGCAAAGTTCATGCCAAGAAAATTAAATCTACAAATTAAAACAGAAATAACAAACAATTGAATTATAAGAACATCGAGTTTCTTATTATAATTTATTCAGATGCGAAGATTTTGTCTAATAATTATTCTCCAAGATATTCTAATTTAAATATGTAATCATCTATTCATAATTAAGAGCCATAATTAGATTTAGTGATGTTATTGATTCTCTAGCAAGGCAACCGTGATTGTTATTATAATAATTTAGATAGTCTAATTGAGTAGATGCTGGTACCAATTCCTACTGAATACTCTTATTCCGATTTTGATGAAACAAAGAAAATAGACAATTATTGCAGAGAGTTTAAAAAAGAAATTACAGAAAAGCTAAATGGTTATAAGTAGGTAGATTGTTATAATATTAAAAGTAACTATAAAGGTAGCAGCACCATTTTGATAATCTCAAAGTACAGAACTAATCCAAATTAAAATCTGATGTCTCCTAACAAAATTAAAATTAGGAAGTGTTAATAAATTTCTAAAATTTACTCCTTATTTATAAGGGTTTGTTTTAAATATTATACAAACCTTACATGAATATGGATAGTTGTCTTTTTATTTTAGAATAGTTTGAGTTGATAAATAAATTAGATATGATTCCTCAATGCTAATTAATTACTGCTGATGAGACCATATCGACAAATGTTTAATGATTGTTTATTTATATATATATATAATTACAAGTACTCGATTGAGTTTGTGGAATTAATAGATTTTTAGAGTTATTTGAGTATGATTGATTTGAATGTTTCAATAATATTAATAATAATGAGCGACGATGTGATTGTTAAGAAAATAAAATTAAATATAGGTATTTAATTGAATCTTAATTGATAGGGAGTTATGTGATGCCACAAGATGACTTTAAGATGGATTCTAAATCATTAATGTAAACAGAAGCTCAAAGAATTTTCAATCAATATTCTAATGTGGTTAAGGAAGAGAAGAAATTGTAAGCTTTCAGTCAAATAACATAACAAACAAGCGGGTTTATTAAACGTTTGGAAGAGCATCGTTAGATTTTGAAGACTTAGATAGAATTGCAGTTAAAAATTTGTTAAGGGAATATATTGTTATAACGAGCTTTGAGTGGTGTTGAAATAAAGAAATGAATTATTTTGTATTTTACAAATTATATACTCATGGTATTAATAGTTTTGGTAATTCATCGAATCTGAGGTAGAGATTCAAGATGAGGGGCAAACCTTATATAATTCCAAACCAAAAGAACAGATTTCCAAATTTGGTTCCTTTGATCTTTTTGGTCCACACCATCACTGGTAATTGAATCATCATAAACATGATCATGATTGGAGTGATTTGTTTAAGACTGACTGCTAATGTGTATTCATGTAAAAGAGCAGAAAACAAGAATGTTGCCAATTATGCCTTTTTGACTCCAATGCCAAATTCAAAAATCAATTCTAGATAGACATGTCTATAGAGGAATTCATAGACAGGCCTATTCCAATTTCGATTAAATTCTTCAAAATCTGTTGAATTCCACCAGTCAGTATAAAATAGACGATCTCCAAAGTGAGTGATTTCAGCCCAGAAATTGCAATAATTTTCAAATACCATATTGAAGATGGTGAGACACAAAAATATTAAAGGCAAAGTCATCTAAAAGATGGAATCTGGTAATGAGTGATCCTTGATATTCTAGATGATTGGATAGATGTGATTAGAAACAATCATGTATCCCATAATAAGCATGGCCATGGAATTCATAAATTTGACAATAACATATTTCCATCTGATTTTGCCAGATTGTGGATACTGTGGTTCATACACTAAAACAGGAGTCATGATGAATTGAGTGAAATTCTTGAAATTGATATTGTTTGGATAAGCATAAGGATCTTGAGTCTTGGGACATCCTTAATCGATCCATTCTCTTCTCATTTTGTAATTGGTCATGGTGTAAGAATGCATCTTAAAGAAGAAAACGCAAGATTGAAATGTTACAAAGGCTCCTTGAGGCAAATACCAATCTCTGGTCAACACTAAATAATGAGCGTATACAAACATGCACACTTGACTAATGTGTTGAGTAACAAACATCAGAGTTTTTGGCATGTTCATCATAGCTAAGTATTGTATTAGTAATGCAATGTGACTCCAAGCGTAGAACTTTTAGATGATTATAATTTCATACCAAAGGCCAAGTTACTATACACATGAAGAGATCTCTCCTCATTTGATTATACAAGGAAGTCTCAATGAGTTGTCCTGTCTTATTATATGACATGATTGGGTTGATGATAAAATAATAAAAGCCAACCACATAAAGCATGTTATAAAACCCAACAAACTTTGTGCGATTCAATTCTGACTCCTTATCCATGTCATCCAACAGAGACACTCGATTTACAAAAGCATGTTTCCTTAGATGTTTGATCTTAGCCTATTTATCAGTGTTCTATCCATCAGGAGTGGAAGTCCCTGAATTGATCTTCTCCTCTTCCTCCGAATCTACTTTCACTTTTTGTCTCTTCACCGACATCAGACAATATATATTATATATATTTTAATATGTCAAACCGATACGTAATAGCTGGCGATAATTGGAACTCCAATTAATAGACTGAGCCAAAAATAAATTAGTCCAACCCTTGTGTTCTTTAGGAATCTCAAAGCCATCATTACTGGCACTTGTAACAACATTATGAAAGTCATAAAAGGAGTAAACTATCGTAAAACCGCTATTAAAATTATCTCATGAAGCAATGCTGAAAATGCAAATGTCAGTATCTTTGACCATACACGAGACACTTTCCATTCTTGCAATTACAAATATACGTGAGTATGCAAAAAGGCATATACCACTGTATTCCATTTTGCATTGAATTCCTCAAAGGTTGTTGCATTCCACCTTATATTTTAATTATAATTAATACCAATCATTGTAGAATTCTCTATCCCCAAAATATGTTATTTCAGCCAATAAATTTAAAATGTTTTCAAATGTCAGGAAGAAAAGCAAGATCCAAAATGTAGCCAAAGGGAATATTAACAATATAGTTTACAGTACCTTATCTTAAGTTCCAATTATTGAAGGTTCTATGTGCTTAGCTATTATTACTGCACCAAGTATATTAAAATAAACTATATTAATTAACTTCGCTAAACAATAAACAAATCTTATCTTCTTTGTTTTTGGATAATCGTGATAAAATACCAAAGCAGGAGTAATCATAAAAACAAAGAATTCCCACAATCCAATTGCCCTTTTACAATACTTGATGTATGAAACTTCCTTCATAAATCCAATATTAGCCATTATACCTACAAAGGCTCCAGGTATAAAGCCCAATTAATATTTAATAGTGACCCATGGAAATATCACAAATGGAAGTGATATAAAAAATGCTACCAACAGTTTCTAACCAAATTTATGGGCAAAGTAAACTGTGTATGGATATGTGAATGACTTATTGTTATTATTATTATATACATAAACAGCCCATTTAAGCATTAATATGCCATCCTTACGTATTGCAGATATCGTTGATGAATTAGCAAATAAAGTACCCAACTAATTAAAATAGATTAGATCAAATAGGTAATAGATTCCCAATATGTACACGTAATAATAGAATCCATGCAACTTTGACTTAGATAACACAGAATTAACATCCATGTCGTCTAACTAAGACACACGATGTATATAGGTGTAAGGTTTCATAATGATATTAAAAATATTTCATAATTTCTTTTAAATCTGAATCCAAGAATGCTTGAGATAAGGTTGTTTCAATATATCCACTTTTATTTAGTACTTCCTATAATACTCCTCATAAATATCACAAAACCGGTCATGTGAGTTTTTAATTATATTTTAAAAAACGGCAAGTGCAATTAAGAGAAATCAATAATTTGGCCAGGTTTACATAATATAAACAAATTCATATTATATTGTCTCCAAACTATTAGGTTAACCCAAATAGGCTCTTTTTGGAAAAGGTGGTTAAAGAATTTAGATAAATCAGTTTAAAAAGGGATATTAGCTCTTTATTTGTAACATTATAGAAAATACAAATTATATTTATTAAATAGTCAATCTCCAGTTGTTTAGTAGAATATTAATTAATCTTGCCTTCTTAATTGAAGTTTGCATTCTCTATCACTTACGAGACCTACTTTCTTCAATTCTGTTACTACTTCCTATCCTTATTGTACGACTTCAATAGGAATGCCTAGAAGGTCATTTTTGAACGATCCTAAGATGTTCATTGTGCGATAGCATACCTATTTCACATGCCTCATAAACAAATTAATAGGCAACAGTATCAACTCCAGCACATCTACAATTGATCAAACGCATATGTGGATGAATTTAATAATCACGCAATTAAGGTCTCTATTTCGCATAATCAATACCAACCCAATCAAAGAATTAACTTTAAATTGGACAAATGCGTTCTTTAGGTTATTCAATCTAAGGCTCTTCAAATTCAATTGTGTCTGGATCAATGAATCCCAATTTGTTATAAAAGTTTATGGCTATCTTCACACAATCCCCACTTAAAATTGGCTAGACATTCATTACTTAAGTGACACTTTCAAAATTATGTTTAGTCTATTCTCTCGCAATCCAAATTACTCTCTTTGAATTCGGAGGTAAGACATCAAATTTATACTCACTTCTGTATTTACCATTATATTTGAAAGCAATTGTAATGCTTTTCCCATGAAATCCTCCCATCACTTCTGATATAATGGTTCTATCCCATCTAAATAATTTCTTATTATTGGTACTGTCCACGAAAAAACTTTACTATAAGAAATCACTGTTTTTAAATGAAAGAATGTGCAAATGAGCTTTTATAAATCTGTTATCCAAATCCTCAAGCCATTCCTTCAACGTCTAATGAAATCCTACATACCAGTGTCCTGAAACCAGAATTAAATTTGTAAAATCCGCAATCAAATAAGCTAGAATAGTCCTTCTTACTCTATCTTAACCTTGTTTAATAAAAAGAAATTGAGTTAATTTATCAAAGGCTTCATTGTGCTGAAGGACCCTAGCCACCATCTTTGGTATCGTGGCCTTTTTACTTTCTTTTCGTTGCATTTTATATTAATTTATAAATCATTTCAAACCAATTTGATTATTCACAACATATTTTACATTCCTTTTATTCACACTCATCACCAAATCTCATTTAAAACCATACCATCAGAGAGTCTGAGACTGATTCTTGAGTCATTTGATTTTTAAACTTACAGTGTTTATAGGAAACACTCCTCATAATTATATATGTTTATATCAAATACATTACGAATATTATACATAATAATTAAACATAAATACTCATATAATTAATTTATTAATATGTAAAAAACGATTTTAGCTTTGCTGATTGTTATGTGTACAGCACTCCAAGTGCAAGAGCTACAACAAGCCAATAAATAATTTGATAAACTATCTTAAGACTCTCCTGTGGGAAAATTCTTAATGGATTTGGCTTAAATTCATGCTGAAGTGCAAGGACCATTGGATGATTTAAAAGAGACTATTGAAAAATTTTATGAGAATTTGCAAGATAGCCTCTCTCAATTGGATGGTGAATTTTAATCCAAATAGGCAATCCATCTGAAGTAGTTTAAATAAATCAAATAGGGTTCTTTAAAATTATGAATCTAATTAATAAGATGCTTAAATCGACATTGCTCAATCACAAGATCAATTAGACAATGTATTGTCAAGAAACAAGGAAAACATTGAGAAGAGGTTGAAATAGATCCAATAAAACATCAATGACAATAGATCAAATATTCAAAGAGACAAATTATAAAGAAATCAATAAAAAGATTAAAATGTTGAGCACATCCATGAACATCAATAGGCAACTACATCAATTGACGAGGCATTGTCTCTTGTGTAAGGTTTGAGTAGTGGAAACATTGCTTTTGTCGAAGCACCAATGAAAAAGACTCTGGATTATATTAAATAGAAAGTAAACTCAAAAGAGGAATACGCTCCATTAGTAGATGCTTTGATCAGTTTGTCTGGAACTCAAGATACAAAATAAATCAAAGACTTGTTGAATAAACTGAGAAATTAGATTGTCGATTCAATGATTCAATTGACATCAGATGAAAATGATGCTTAGAAAATGTTTGACGATCGTTACAAGTAATTAGATTCAGAGTTCTCAGTAATTTCATTTCAATACAATAGGAATTCCAAAATCAAGTGAATTAAGCAACCTATGATTTGGCATCTATTTCAGCTAGAATTGATTAAGAGAAGGAATTTACAAAGCAAAGAAAGAGTGATTTAGATATGTACAATAGCTAAATAGGTAATTTTAATTTAATATTTAAGAAATGGAGAACAATAATTTTGCTGCAATCACAGGATTATACAATGAAATTAGGGCTGTTAGATTAAAGGAATTAAAAATTGCTGAAGATGCTAAAAAGTATTATTTGATTTGTTAATATTAGTTTCGCTTATTCATCTTAATTTAGGGAATTGTTACAATCAAAATTGAACAAATGACATTCATATATATAATAAATCATATTAATGTTGGTTTTTGCTCAGAATTCGATTGCTAGGGGGATTGAATTAAATGAATCGACTTTGATGGGGTTCTAATTAGAATTTATTTCTTTGAAGATGTTGGAGTTTGTGGAGTTTCACAAATAACTTCATCATATAATTTAGAGAGTTCTTCGAATTAAGATTTTAGATTCTATTGTTTGAGACGAATCTTTTCAACCAAATTAGGTGAATGAACAATCTAAGAGTTATTATTTGATGGGCTAATTTATTTATGCAAAGTCTTAATTGATTCTGTTTGATCATTAACAATCTATTATAAATTGTAAGTTCTAATTTCATATTATTCTTTTAAATCTTTTAATTGCTTCTCTTTTTAATTAATCATCTTCTGCTATTCTTATGTAAATGCTTCGAATTATGTTAATCTGGCTATAATTTTATCCTTTTCATCCAATTAACAATGCAATTACTCAATTTCTCCTTTTTGAAGGACTTGCAATTTTTAAATAGTCCCCTAAAGTTCCTCAATATCTTTCTATTATTTAGCATTTTACTACTTAAGTATCTCAATTTCCTAATCCCTTTTTTAGCTCTCTTTGTTATCGGAAATAAAATGAGATTGCTGCAATTAAGAAAATACAGAGTGTTAACTCTCATTAACTTCTTCGATTTTAACAAGATTTGACTTTTCGAATTAACTCATAGAATAAGTAAGTTGACTATTCTGCACAGCTGATGTATTGTAAGAGACAGTCTCTTCATCAGGTATTACACTGTTGATCTTCTTCTATAATTGAGAATAAGTCATGAAGTCCCCTTTTTTGATTGGAGAGGTATCAGTTATTTTTGTAGGGTGTTACTCATCTATTTCCTCTTCAGAATTAACTTCACTCATTAATAAATTTTATTTTCTTATTTCATTATGTTTAATTTCTTAAAACTGAATACTATTATTAAACTATCATCAAAAAATATTTGAGCATTATGAATATATATATATGCGTATATGTAGATTTACAAGCTCTAAATTATTTGCTGTTAATATAAATTATAAAATTTTGATTAATGTCGCAATTTGCCTAAAGTCAAAGTAAATAAAGATCAGTAACAAATGTAAATAATGTCTCCTTTGCTGGATCTTAAAATAATAATGTAATTAGGATTTGAAATAGGATTAGCTTAGATACAGCGAGTCTTCATTCTCTCCAATGAAAAATCAAGAGTAAACTAAACCGAAAACATAAAGAGTTTATAAGACATAGACAATGAATTCCGTGCCTATGTAAGGAATTCCCACAATGACAGGGATCCCAAATACATTTACAGTTTAATAAAATTGTGTTGCAGCTCAACCATTGTGCATGAACATTATTGTAGTTTCAAAAGAAGAAATTGAGTTGCCTTGGAGACTTGAATGCGAGTATTTACAATCCCTAATTACTGAGCTTCAAAATAAATAATAAGGCAAATCTGTATAAATTGTAGAGAAGACAATAACGGACAATTCCAGAGTTGAATTGTTAGAATCATAACTCAAAGAATTAAGAAGATAAAACGAATCATTATAGTATGAATTGCATACATCAAAAATAAATTATGAAAGAGAAATACAAAGAATAAATGGCACATTTGAACTTAGGAGTGCTCAAGTTGAAGATATTGCATAAAAAGAAAGTGAATTCTATCTCATCAGAATCAAATTAGAGGATCAAATATCCTAATTGGAAAGCAAAATGAAATAATAAGAATTGTAATTGAGAAGATCATCAGATGAAAATGTTAGATTACAATAAGTAATTAAGTAATTAAAATTATTAATATAGTTCTCGAGAATCTGAAATCAATTCTCTTAGAATCTAAATTACTTCAATTCAATCTAACACTAATACTAGTGAACTAGTTAGAATAAGGGAGCTAGAAACTTAAGTTAGATACTTAAATTCTGAAATTGATAATGTAAATTCAAAGCTCATTAATTCCAATAATGAAAATTAACAATTAAGAATCTAAATCTAAAATCTAGATTACACAACAGATTCAAAAAATAACGAACTGATACTTAAATTAAGGGAGTATGAGAGTAGAGTCACAATGCTTACATCAGAAATAGAGAGGCTTATTTATTCAATCAAATAAAAAGAGACAGAATTGGATGAATGGAAGACTAGATATTAATAATTAGAAATGTCTGGATCTTCTGTCTTCTAAGAAAAAGTAGAATATCTATCTTAAGAAGTAGAAGTTTGGAAATCTAAATTTATCAGAGCAAATCATGAATATAACAGGTGCTAAGAAGAAATCACTATGTTGTAGGCAGAATTAGAATCATTGAGAAAGCAAAGAAAAGTATTATTAATTTTATCCCTAGTAAGAATTAACAATTACATCAAGAGTAGTTACCAAATAAGCGACAACTTAAAGTAGTGGTTATAAACAATACTAATAGTGAATATATTAATGATATTCAATATTAAAAATCAGATTATTATTCATCTTAAACTTAAACATCTGAAACATCTGGGTGTGGTGACTAATAAGGTCTATCGTTTATTCTTTCAAAACATTTAGAAATCTTTGGGTTTGATAATGGCGAAGGATTCATTTAGTCTAATTCATCATAAACACTTCGTATGAAACTATCAAATTTAATTTTTATTTACTTCTTCAATCCATCTGAAGCACTCTAACCAGATTCTGCTACTAAATTTTCGATAAATTCAACAATATTGTTTAATACTTGATCATTCTCAGCCTTCAATGCTAATCTAATACAGTTAGCAAATATTTTATCATGATTTTCAATCTAAACTTCAGCTTTAAATTATAAATCAAGCAACTGTTTTGCTAAATCATTAGCGTACAATAAAACAGTTGGGTCACTCAAACCCAAATAAACATATTCCTTAGTTACTTTAGCAATCTATTCACATGATTCCATATTCTATATCTTAAAATCTGTATTTTGGAAGCACCAATGAAGTAATTCAAAATGACCTAATGGCAAATTTAATAGTTTCTATGTGTTGAGCTATAAAATAATGATGAATTTAATACTAATTCGACCAAATGCAATAATATTTAAAATGAAACTTATTTTACATATTGTGAGTTGATATTCAATTTGAATTTAAAGCTTTTATCAGATGGAATAAAGAAATCATATTCATCCTATTACTCCTGACTAAATAAGGCCCATTATCTTGATTCTTACGATACTTCAAGAATAATCTTTACGAATAGCTCTAATAAAATTTTGCTATCTCCCAACAAATCCACGATGTGAATTAATGATTGAGTCATAAGGATATCTGAATCTATAGGTAAGGAAGCAATTTCTATTCCTTTTGAAAAATGATTGACTTGTGCTTTAAGATCAGAAATAATTCTGTCATTTTCAATGGAAAAGAACTTCTATCCTTGTTAAGGAGACTTAATCAAATTTTAATAATTTGGTGTTTTAATAACTGCTCTAATCATTTCACTAAACAATATAACACAAAGACAACGATTTTGCCACCATCTGTTTTTGGCCAAAGCCATAACATGTCGATCAATTTTGACCTAAGAGTTAGCTTTAGCTGCATTACACAAAATTGCTAAAGCACTTGAACTTAAAGATGTTGAAGCAGATAGAAAATAGATATATCCATATCTTTTCATATCATTCCACAACTCTGATGATTCTTATTCAAATCCTGAAAAGACAGCTAAACATTGCATAAAATGTTCAACTGACAAATTCTATTTCATTGTCTAAATAACTTAATATTTAAACTAAGGTTCTTAGAAGGAGCAAATCATTTAGATAAGAAGCTATTTCTTTTCAAAAAAGACACTTTATTTAATTAGATTACAGATTTCTGGCAAAAAGAATTCCAAAAATAAGGATCTTGTTTTTAATGCATCCTTTTATAATGATCTTGCACCAAATTAATTGACCAAATCAATACAAACATGAACTCTTTAAACTGGTAAATTTTAGATGCATTAAAAAGTAAATTTAAAAAATTTCCAAACTTCATTTGTGTCTTTGAAGATAAAATTTATATATGCTTCCTTCTATGTTATCAATTCCTAAAAAAACCCATTTACAAAATCTTCAGGATATATATCAATTAGATCAATGAAACTCTAAAGAGCAGTACCATTCTATTTAAATTAAACTGTTTGTGCAAATTAAGGAAACTGCTGTCTTTATGTTAGTGCTTCATTTAAAATCTATATACATTTCTATAATTCATACATCATAGATTGATTTATCTAATTATTTCTCTCTGGTTGATGTGGCTTCTCTCTTGTTTTCATCCATTGGTGTTTTTTAAAATGAATCCTGTATTTATCTATCATTATTTGAATTAAGCTTTTCCTATTATTTCTCTAATTACTATTGTTCCTCCTTCAATTTCAATAAACTGCCTTGAACGGGTCTGTAACTGATATTTTTGACTTCAATTTGATAGTTTAGATTTTCCAAATTTTAACTTATCGGTTTGCTTGGAACCCTCATGAAATTGGTTCTTTTAGATGAAACCGACAACGGAGCATGCTTCTCAGAAAGCTATTCTTTTTAGAATTAATCTTCTTATTTCTACTCTTCTTGCAATTTCTCTATTCCTTTTTCTTTTAAAAGGAAAGTCTAAGTATTTTGAGTAGAGGTGGCGAATTCTTTTGAATTCACATAAGATGCCAAAGGAGGATTGATAACCCTTGGTAATATTGATTAAATACTTTCTTTGCGTTAAGAAACTATAAATGCTGACAAGAAAATTGTAAAGTGCGTTCCAATCATGATCTAAAATTTCAGCAAATCCTTTATGATTAGGAATCACTATGTCATTCTTTTTAAAAAAGAGCTCTAATTGTTAATAATTGTTCGATCTTCTTTCATCCTTTTGCGAGTTATCAAAAGAGTGCATCTATACTCTTCCAGGATAATATCGTGAGAATATTTCAGCAATCAAAAAACCATTGCTCAAATCTCTAATTAAGTTATAAACATTATAGTATACTTTCTAGGATCCTTTACGGAATAACTTAAATCAAGTCCTTGAATCCATTTGATGATCTCTCTTGGTAATGCCTTTCCTACAGGTTGAAATGTTTGAGTATTTGTATTAGAACTCATAAATTTTATTAATATATTATTATATAAATAGATTTAGATCTAGAAGTTAATGAAATTATATTGTTTATGTTTCTCAAATATCAGATAATTAATCATATACAATCTCAAAGATTACATCAAAGATATTATTTTTATTAAAGACCAAAAGAAGCAATATTTTATTTATACCAGACTATAAAGGATTTTGGAGTATATAGTTTATATTTCATATTTCTTTATTGAATTAACAAAAATAAAGTAAACTCCTACATGAATTATGTAATATCTTTCGAAATATAATTGGTTGAATAAGTATATATTATTAAAAATTTCACTAAAATATAAAAGTAAACATTCATAGGTTGTACTATTTAATCACTCTTTGAATGGTTGATTTAGATATGGGTTTAACTATAAATTCTTGGATTCCTATCTTTTTACTTTGCTCTTTTAGTTTATTTTCATCATATGCTGAAGTTATAAATATCTTCATCTATTGATTCGAATTTAAAATTTGAGTTGAAGTTTGCATACCATTTAATCCTGGCATTTCCATATCCATAAAGATGGCTGCATAACCTTAACAAGATTCTGAACATTTTTTGGAGTTAATAATTTCTAGTGCATCAGTGCCATTAAAGGCTTTGTCAATTTAGGAACTAGTACTATTTTGGATATATATGATTTTATTACAATTATTTTATTTGCATTTCCAATATTTCTTAATTAAATACATTGTCATCTACTATCAAAATATGTTTACATGCTACTATATTTTCTGAAATTAAATCGTGAACAATAACAGATTCTTAGAAACTCTAATTATCGCTACTAATGACTATTTAATATTATTATTTTTATTAAGATCTTTTGCTATTGAGTTGGATTTCATTCAAGTCTGGAGAATAATCATCCTCTAAATGAATTTGTTCTGGTTTAACTATAGTACACTTATGATGTAGCTATTAAATTTTTAGGGTTAAATAAAAGTAAGAACCGTGTTTTGCTTATGATGTATCTTGAGAAACAACCTTCAATCCAGAGTTATCATACGACAATTATTAGGCTAACTTATTACTAATCAACAACCCCAATCCAACACCTTACTCATTTAAATTTTCAGAAAGTCCTTCTTTAATTTTACCAAATGCTTTAAAAAGCTTACTTAAATTATGCTAGGATATTCCAACACCAGTATCTTCTACTCCAGCATTCACTAATAATCCTTGCTGTACAAATTTGATTGATATGGCTCCTTTTTACGTAAATTTGATCGCATTTGCAATAAGATTCACTAGGATCTGTTTAAGCCTATTTCTATCTGTACTGATTAGTAAGCATTTCACATTCGAAATAACTGTTAGCTTAATATTTTTTAGTTCAGCTTAAAGTTTAAACATCTATAGACACTCCTCTCCTAACTGAGTTAAATTAAAGGTCTTTTAGACTAAACTGAATTGATCTGCTTTTATTTATGCTAAATCCAGTAAATCATTAGCTAAATTTAACATATAGTAACAATTCTCCAAAACAATTGAAATATTCTAACAGATATAATCAAAACTATTTAGTTATTCTTTAAGTCTGCTTAATATATTGATAACTACATTTAATGGAGATCTAAACTCATGGCTAACGAAGGATAAAGTCTTGGATTTCGATTAATTAATTTGAAGTAGATCTTTAATGTTCTTTCTGTGTATAACATCTCTTGCAATTATAAACAATAAATCTTCACTGCCTACCGAGATACTTATTTCTATTGATCTTTTTTAATTTTCAATTTCAAAGCTTGTTTCCACAACAAGCATATTCATATTATCACCAGTTTCTCTTCTAAATCTTTTTGTGCCATATACGTATAACAGACATTTATATACAGTGTTAAGCTAAATCATTTAGGTAATAATACTTAACTAGTCAATGATCTAAATCTTGGAGATTGACTTTATTCAGTGTTTCTTAAAGTCATCTGTTAATCTTAGCAAAAATGTTTAAAAAAATTCAACTTAGAAGATTTAAAATATTTAATTGATTGTTAATTAAGACTTTACAGTGAAAATAAGGAATCTCTTGAATGAAGTGGTGATTCATCCATCAGAATCTCGCAAGACAACTTTTCAAAAAGCGTCAATAAATCATGGTTATTTTTTTGGAAAATTTTTTTGCTAATTTAATTTTAATATTCAATTTTAGGTTTTGAATTAGCATCAATTTTTTCAAATTAGACTATTATAACACCTTCAGAGAGAACATCAAATAATGAACTATAATCTATTGTGGAGAGAGTCTCATTTATCTTAATCTTTTACTACTTGTCTGAGCTTATAAAACTTAAATCCCTAATTATAGTTCTTTTTGGATTTATTTAATGTGAAGATTAGCGAAGAGTTGTATTTTATAACGCCTCGACTATTGTATCTTGAAAGGCATTGTTGCTCTGTTGATAACGCCTTCCCTCCTAAATTGTGTTTTTTTAAGGGAGTAACCACAATAAAAGTAGCATATATAATTTTTGATTTGCAATGACAATGTATTTTTAATTAAATTCATGGGAATAGCTACTATTTAAATTCAATTAATATGAAAAACTCAAAAGAAGTATTATTTAAAAAAAAATCATAATTGCTTTCCACATCTTACTATTAGCCATTTTAGTCTAAAGATTTGTGTAATTATGAGCGATAACAATATAAAAATAATTCTGATAAACATTCTCTATACCAAACATTAATGATTCTACTTAAAATAAAATTAAATCCATTAATATGAGAGCTAACTATAATTCGGTTGTAAAAAAGCTTGTCTTCTTGAAGCATAATAATTCTAATGCTATCTAAACTAACAGATTAATCATCAAAAAATTAACAAATTGATTTCCAAAATCCTGATATAATATTATCATCCTGATAAATTGAAATATCAAAGAAATAATCATTGAAATTTATAGTTTGCGAGAGCTTAATTAGGTTTCTAGCATAGTCAAATTTAAATAGTTTAATATATATATAAGAAATTAAAATTTATTTTTCCATCTAATGCATCAAATTCATTTTAGATGAAAAATTAATTTTAAGGCCATCTAATTGGTGCTCCTAGAACTTAGAATGAAAATTATTAATTGTTTTTACACCATAAATTAATAAACCAAAGCTATTATTAAATATCATTGAAATCCTTCTATTTTTCCTTCTATTCCTCTAGAAACTATTTAAATATAATATTATTATTTATTGTTATAATAAATCATTTACATCAATTTCAACTTACCGATACTTAAGATAATACATTTATGAAATAAAATTTGATTCTGTACTCTCACATTTATTGAGAGACTTACTAATACTTATATTTCCATCTGCAAAGTCTTCACATTGCAATTCAAAGCTTAAATTATTCAAAGTGAAAATAGAGAACTTTTCAAACCTATTGTTCTCAATTATATTTTTATTTATTATTTAATCAATCTTTAATAAACAAGCATTTAGATACTGATAATATTAGATATGTTATTTTTAGGAATAGAATCAACAATCATTTATATTTTGTTGATTCCTATCTTAATAAATTGAGTAAAGAATAATTAATTACACAAAATTTGAAATTCTTAAGAAAATTATTTTTTACTTTTTTTTTAATATATTAAGTTTTGTAATTATTAATAGAGGAATTATTAAGTTGGAAGTTTTCAAACATATTTTAATTTGAGTGAAATATTTATTTTGTAACATATAATCTTATTTATAATCCTGATAATTCACATTTTTGTAAAATAGTTAAGGCATTATTCATCCTCTATTTTACCTTGTTAGTTGGGTCTTAAATAAAGGATTGAACTTTTATTAATGAAGATCAATTCTATTTTCAATATTTTGAGTTGAAATTGACTATGACGATAATAATAAATTTTTAAATCCTCCATCTCTAAACATATTCGAAATTTGATAGCCTTTAGTTTGCTAACTTGGATTCAATACCTTTCTTTGTTATTAGTAATGTAGTCGCAATAGGAGTTCATTTCACAGGAATTAAAAATTGCAAAAATAAAAATATTACTTAAATTTGAATATAATTATACTTAATTTAAATTCTCAATATGATGGCAAATTATCATTCTATTTTATTCATTTATATTTATAAAGCATTATTGAATAAATCAAAATCAACATGGTAAGATGTTATTTAGCTCTTTTTTTTGCTTGATAAGTTCCGTATTTTTATTCACCATTTCCCTTACTTTTTTTGATTTTGGATGGGAAAGATCCCCTAACTGAAGAGACCAATTTTATTGATCTATTGGTTATGGATCATCATTAAAATATGAATACAGCTTATCCTTAATTTAAGATGGCTTTATTGGAAGACTAACCAATTCAGGCTCTGAAATTTGTGTTTGATTGCCTACATTTGAAGTTTGTTATTGGGGGAGCTGTTCAACTTAATCAAAATCATTTTTAATCAAATCAGTGAATTACTATTGGGCAGCAGCCTCCAAATATTTATCTAAGACTGGATCAGATCTAATGTCTTATCCCTATTCCAAAGTATCTGGAAGAGTTGATTATTGACTCTAAGATTCAATTTCTAATTTTAAATGGCAAAGAGATGTGCTTTTGGAGATGGCTAAGTTATACTTTGAAGGGTCCTTGATAATTAGATATGCTTAATTACTTTAATTCTCCTTAGCATTCTTTATTGGACTCTGTGATCTTGCATTTTAAAATCATCAGCAATCATATTTTCTCTCTTGATTTTTTCATCGATAGCAGCAGTCATCATCTATTAGACTTATTTATTACTATCCATTTGTTAAATGAATTATATGTTGTTTTTGATTTACTCCTTTTGCACATGCTATTATTAAATTTATTTAGATTCTTATTTTCCTTCTGCTCCAAACATTTTATTCACATAGGGTTTCATTAACAGAGCTTGAATTTTGTTGGTAAATACAGTATATCTTTCTGATTTAATTGAAGAATAGTGTTCTACAGCTTACTAGATTAATAGATCAGATTACACTATATAATTCTAATAGCTCTTAAATTTCTTCTTTTGAAGCAGCATTAGATTCAACATCTAACTCTAAGTTTAGGACCTTCTCTGCGAAATTTGCTGGAAGTTTAGGCTATTATACTGGCTGTTAAGGTTTATTAAATAACCAAGACATAAAATATAAAATTTAATCAAAGCTTTTGATTAAGTAGTATTTCAATGAATTCTTTTTCCGTAATTTCTCCTTCTGCCTTGCATTCCGTTAGAATCTATTGCCACAGCTCTTCATCAATGCTGCCAATCATAAGTTCAAGTTCTTCTTTTGATATCTTCCCATCATCATTCGCATCGAATATCTTGAAAGCTGCCTTAACTCGTTCAAGGGATACCAATTTTTCTTAATTCATAGCTGCCATCAAGAATTCTAAATTAATAATCGATAATTTACCTGAGAAATCAACTTATCCACTCTAATTGAGATCTACAATTTAAAGAATCTTATTGACTTCCTTAATAGCTAATTCTTTATCCTTTAAAACTAATGCATATCCCTCAATGAGTTCATCCTTTGATAATATCCCATTCTTATCCTGATCCAGAGTTTGGAAGGTCTTAACTAACTCGTCCTATTCCTATTAAGAAGTCATTTAGCATGCGATATAAGAAAGGACAGCCTAAGTAAATATAGATTTAGCCTATTGTGCTATAAAATAGAATTACTTGGAATTTTTACAAATTTTATAACACTATTTAATTGACTTATTCATTTAAATTGTGTTTATCAATCCAGGGATCGTGCAAGGCTTATTTGGCTGAGATTCTTTGATTTGGATTAACTTGAAGCATTTTGGTTATCAAATTTTTAGCTTCTTCTGAGATAAAGCCCCAATCTTCCTCTAAACTAAGTTTGTATTATAAGTTACAATCAAATTTAAATTTGCCCTCGCTCACTTTACGCATAATATCTTTTTCAGTTTTACCTGTAAAAGGAGGATATCCACATAATAGTATGTATAGGATGACACCGCAGGACCAAACATCACATTTTTCATTGTAATCTTATTTTAATACTTCTGGAGCTATATAATAAGCCTAGAAATAAATAGAAATATTACAGTTCCTAGTTTTTTGGTCATCTTCTTTTCAGTATCGTATTTTCTTGAGGTTCCGAAATCGATGACTTTTAATGGTGAATTAGAAGATTCATTAATAAATAAAATATTTTCAGGTTTTAAATCTCTATGAACAATTTTTTATTCGTGACAATAAACAACAGCAAGCAAGATTTATCGAATAAATTCAGCTGCTTTTTTTTCACTGAAATATGTCATGGATTTAATTCGATCAAATAATTCACCCCCTGATAAATATTCAGTTATCAAATAGTAGTTCTATTAATCTTAGTACAATTCGTATAATTTAACAATGTGAGGATGATCTAAATTTTTAAGAATGTTCATTTCTGCAAATAGTCTTTGTTGCTCTTCAACGATCAAAGAACTTTTCTTTAATTGCTTCATGGCTCTGATCATCCCTAAAATCCATCCATTTAATTACCTGTATTTTTATGAGTAACCTTCCAAACCTTTCCATACGCTCCTTGGCCCAAGACCTCCCCAGTTGTGTAATACTTGTGAATACTTCCTTACTTGAGATTCACAAAAACATCAGCTCCTAGCTTTACTGTTCCAATAGAGGATACGGTTAATTTTTTTTTAATCCCGTTCTTTGGCAACGCTATTTTATTGATATACATATATAAATTACTATCAACTTTGCTTTCTGATTATGCAAACACTTTACATAATTACCCATTCTACTCCTCTTTTGGAGTCAGATCTTATGGAGAATCTGCAATAACTTCAAAGTCTTCATATTACTCTTTAATCTCATTAACATTGTCCACTCCAACGAACTAATCGTTGTTTACACTTTTTTTCGATAACGTATGTAAACTCCCTTTCACATCCACTACTATTTCATTAGTTATCAATTTTTATGGAGATGAACAACAGCATTAAGCTCCCATATTATAATAATTTTTTTAATAAACAATTGAAACATCATGATTGTTAATAATTCACCCCATCATTGATTTCCTTAAATATTTCATTGAAAAACTCTTCTTTAATGCATGTGCTGCTCTGAGATCCATCTATTTAGGTATTTAAGTGGGTGTTATTTTCGATTTAATCTGAGATTCCCTTCTCATTTGATCCTAAGCGCGCTTCTCTTTCATCTAGTCTTTCCATTACACATTCCTTTCGTACATAGGTTTTCTTCGATCGAATATATCTTGAGTCGTTTTGAGAATTTTGGGTGAGAAAGTGCATTCCATTAATTCTTACTCGAGTTTCATAGTTTGTGAATCCACATTCAAAGCCCCTTCCTTATTCATATTTCTTGTAGAACGATTCAATTAAGAAACATTTAATCTAGCAGATAGTAGACGAGATGTTTATGATAATTAAGGTTGAAAAGTGCATTTCTTTTTGAATTCCTCTTCCAATTTAAGTGACAAATAGTCTTATTTCTCTTGTTTATGCTTTAAAAAATTTATTCCTGATTGATACATATCACTATTTGGACGAACTCTATGTGATTGAATCTCGTTTTAACTTATTAATTCAGATTCTGAAAAGTATTTTTATTTGATATATTTTTATTTATTCAATGAAGATATGGTGTGTTTCTCATGAAAGTTGGATGTAGACAACAAGCTTAGGCTAGCTTCATCATAAATATTAATATTCATTAATTAAAATATTATAAAAAACAGTTAATTAATTTATCATAATAAACCTACGAATTCATAACAAAAATTATACTTAGCAAAACATTTATTTCTTAGATTTATCCATTACTAAGTTGAAATCCAAAATGTATATATAATATCAAACTTCTTTAATAATTGGTTAGGTGTTAATTGTAGAATAGATCCTCTTTTTTCCTTCTCTTTATTGTGTTCTCTCTCTGTGTATCTCATAGATTGTGTCATAGAATTTTAAACAAGATTTTGATTAGACTTTTAGCACAATTCTGATTTCGAAAGGTAGTCACAAGGATTGCTCTTCAGTAAAGGTTTTGTTCATTTGATCTAGAATGAGAGAAGCTTTTTGATTGTAAATAGTATTAATAAAATTGTCTAACTGATTATTAGATAAATATTTTATTGATAAATTTGCTAGTAAGTGTATTGAATTTAATAACGAATTTTTTATTTTAAAACAGGAATATGTAGTGTGATTCAATCCATTTGATTGTGCTAATATGAAGGTTTTAATTAATTAAGATTAATGACGATTGCTTAATATAAATATTTGGTTTCTTAATTGAGTTGTATTATGAATAATTATATATATTAAATCAAAAAAAAAAAAGAATAAATGACAACTACTCTTCCTTTTATATCGAAGAATAAGAACTAGTAATGATTCCTTATCATAGTAGTGTGGAAATGAAAGCAGTAACTTGGTAAAAGGACTCTCACGGACTATTTGACTATGAAACAAAATCTTTAAGCGTTAAAAAGCATAGAGTCGAGGGATCGTGCAAAGTCTGCAGAGAAGGTTTCACATCTCAAAATATAATTTAGAAAATGAAATAGTTATTTAAGAAGGCAAAAATAAGGATGAAGCACTCTAAGCTCTAACATCCATATAAGCTCAAGGAGGTAATATTATAAAAATATTTCTTAGACCAATATTTTATACAACCAAGCCAAGGCTCAACAGAAAATGACAATTATTTGATTGTTCGTAGTTTAAAAAATGCCGATGGCGTGTAGAAGGTACAAATCTGTTTTACATAATAGGGTTACACATTACAAGAGGGGGACTTGTTGAAATTGGGCAGAGTGGAGTATCACGTTATTGAGATTCGAGATGCCAAAGGATAAATAAGGTCAGTTAAGGACGTTTTCTAATCGGAAGCCAAAATAGCTCCACCATTAGAAGGTGGTGTTGCCAAATAATGCAAAATTTGTTTAATTGAAGAGGAGACTCCAGAAGATCCCTTCATTACACCATGCAAATGCAATGGAAGTTGTGCTTATGTGCATTTCAATTGTCTCAAACACTGGCTCGATAGCAGAGGATATAAAAAAGAGTCTGGTAACACAATTTCTTACAAATGGAAAAAGTAATCTCAATCAATTCTAAAATTGTAGATTAGAATGCGAGGTTTGTTAGGAATTGCTGCCTTAATAAATTAGATTTAAAGGGAAGGTATTGGATTTAGCATCCTTGGAAAGGCCAAATTAACCGTATATTATATTGGAAAATACACAAATTTCTGAAAAGGATAAGAAGGCTCAAAGAGGAATTTATTTGATAAAAGGGACCCCTGATGACTAAGTTAAATTGGGTCGTGGTCATCAATGTGAAATTCGTATATCAGATATCTCAGTGTCAAGACTCCATGCATTTATTAAATATGAAAAAGGCAATTTTATTATAGTTGACAACAACAGTAAGTTTGGTACCTTAGTTCGATTATCAACACCATATCTTATCTGTATGGATAAAATTGCAATCCAAGTATGATTAATGATTTAGAGACTCTTAGGTTGGAAGAACAGTGTTGACATTTGTTATGAAATCTTTTTCAAGTTTAAATGCAAATACTCATGCTGGAACTGCTGCTCAGTACAATGGAGATTAAGGCAAACTCATAACTGGCATTAATAAGACACAAAGCATAAATAGTCAAAAAAAACATGACAAACACTCTGGATTTTGAATTTTATGTTAAATACAATCTACAAATACACTATATACAATCAATAATAACATTTCATTCTATAATCTATAATTAAACTAATGCTTTATTATTTACAAATCATTCACAGTTTATCTATTAATCTCTCGTCTATATTTGATAGTTCAATTGATAAAATAGCAGTAATTAAATTATTATTTTAAGCTGTAGATCTGTATGGACTATATAAAAAGAAATCATAAATAAAGGGGGTTTACCAAAAATAACTAGTTACCTTTATGTTGATTTCCTAATCCTTAAAAGAGTAAATGTCAATAATTTTAAGTCTCACTTTTAATCAGATATTACAATTGGTTATTTATGGATATATAATTTAAGTGAAGCACATTCAACAATTTAAAGACTGAATTACATTTAATAAACATTTTCTTAAAACAGATTTATAAATATAAACTAAATACAGACATAAAAATGAATGGGAATACTTGTATTGTAAAGAGAGTCAAGCTTATTAGGGAATGCTTTAATTTCCTCAAATCCAACCACATTATCTGAATTATTAGTAAATCAGTTAAATTATATCTTATTAAAATCTTTAACTTTAGATACAAATCAAATATTACCTATTAGATTAAATAAACTAAAATCAAATCATTAACCCTTTATTTAATTACTGATGATGGAAATCGCTCATATTTAGTAGTATATACTAATAAAATCATACAAGATAAACTCTGAAATATAATAGCTAATCATATATATCTGAGAATATGTGTCTCCACTATTGTGCAAAAAAGTAAGAGATTTGGAAATGGATATAATTATTCATTACTACAATAAATTGCTCGAATATTTAGCATTTAATAACTAATTTTAACGAATATATATATAAAATTAAATTGCCAAAAATTAATGCAAGAAATTGACTTGTTAAGGTTACATAGAGAAACCCTGAAGTATTTGGAAATCGAAAGTATCTTTAAGCGGTTGACACAAACTTTTATTAATAAAATTTACAATCTTATTAGAGATATCTTTGCGGAGGAGCACAAATTCACCATACAAGTATATTCTTAACTGAAAATAGGAATTACTCAAAATGGCCAACCAAAAAGAAATTCCTCTCAAAGAATTCAAATTGGTCGAGCATTACAAGCTTAATTCATAAATATTCAAGACCAATTTATAAACTATTTTTTCAATAGTTATAGATGATCTCTAAAATACATTCAATAAATAAATTATCATTGAAGAGAGATCTATTCTGGAGCCCAAATTACTCACTTAAATTGACGAAGAATCGCAAATCTGCTTTACTGAAAATTATAATGAAATATCCCAAGAGTACTCGAAAACACACAGAGATGATATTAAAACAGAAGAAGCTCCGTTAGTTAATCATGAATCTAAATAAGTCTAGAAAGTTCCATTGGCTAAATTATTGTCATTTGACAAGATTACTAGTTTATCAGTAGCCAATTCCCCAAGGCATTCTAGAGAAAATAGTTTAACTACCCACACCTTTAGATAATCCAACAAGCCAATATAGCAATTGATGTTAAATTCGAACAATGGATCGAAAAAATAGACAGTGACACAATTAGCCAAAAATAAAAGTTTAGAATTAAAGTCCATTGCCGAAACCTTGATAGCTTAAAGTAAGATCAGTCCAAAAGGAAATCAAACGATGATTTTTAACAATTTGATGTCAAAAATGAATAACCTGAAGGAAAATACATTAAAACCATGAGATAATTATTTACTATAATATAATAATGACTAAAAAGTATTTTTCACCATTAAAAATTATTCTCATTTTTAACGTGCTTAAATTATGTTAAATACATTTCCTGTTCATTCTGATATTAGTTGTCCATCTAAACCTTTTGAGATGTCATTATCTCTTTTAATTTTGGTATCTATAATAACAAATTTAAATTACTAGATCATTTGCTTTTTCAGTATTTTTTTATATTTAAATTTATCCGCCTCCATTCAGACAACCTAATGGACAAGCCATGATTTCAACATATTTATATTTACAAGTTTTCGTTTTGATTTATGAAACCAAATTAGCAATGTTTTTTAAACCAAACACCCTAGCATAAATGCCTTATGATTCCATATTTTCATTGTAGATAGTAATTTCAATAAAATCTTTGTTCTTTCTAATATTCTATTTGACAGTCCAATTAGGCATCATACCGCTTTTTATTATATAATCTAAATAATTATTTGATGATGTGTTATGATATTCTTAATCGTAGATTGCCATAGTTTAAAGTTGAACCTATTGAGGAATGATATTTGCTTTCTGAATGTAATCCTTAACAAATTACTCGATCTCCCTCGTGCTCAAAACTATATTGATATCTTCATTATTCTCTTGTCTAACGGNTACAATCTTATTAGAGATATCTTTGCGGAGGAGCACAAATTCACCATACAAGTATATTCTTAACTGAAAATAGGAATTACTCAAAATGGCCAACCAAAAAGAAATTCCTCTCAAAGAATTCAAATTGGTCGAGCATTACAAGCTTAATTCATAAATATTCAAGACCAATTTATAAACTATTTTTTCAATAGTTATAGATGATCTCTAAAATACATTCAATAAATAAATTATCATTGAAGAGAGATCTATTCTGGAGCCCAAATTACTCACTTAAATTGACGAAGAATCGCAAATCTGCTTTACTGAAAATTATAATGAAATATCCCAAGAGTACTCGAAAACACACAGAGATGATATTAAAACAGAAGAAGCTCCGTTAGTTAATCATGAATCTAAATAAGTCTAGAAAGTTCCATTGGCTAAATTATTGTCATTTGACAAGATTACTAGTTTATCAGTAGCCAATTCCCCAAGGCATTCTAGAGAAAATAGTTTAACTACCCACACCTTTAGATAATCCAACAAGCCAATATAGCAATTGATGTTAAATTCGAACAATGGATCGAAAAAATAGACAGTGACACAATTAGCCAAAAATAAAAGTTTAGAATTAAAGTCCATTGCCGAAACCTTGATAGCTTAAAGTAAGATCAGTCCAAAAGGAAATCAAACGATGATTTTTAACAATTTGATGTCAAAAATGAATAACCTGAAGGAAAATACATTAAAACCATGAGATAATTATTTACTATAATATAATAATGACTAAAAAGTATTTTTCACCATTAAAAATTATTCTCATTTTTAACGTGCTTAAATTATGTTAAATACATTTCCTGTTCATTCTGATATTAGTTGTCCATCTAAACCTTTTGAGATGTCATTATCTCTTTTAATTTTGGTATCTATAATAACAAATTTAAATTACTAGATCATTTGCTTTTTCAGTATTTTTTTATATTTAAATTTATCCGCCTCCATTCAGACAACCTAATGGACAAGCCATGATTTCAACATATTTATATTTACAAGTTTTCGTTTTGATTTATGAAACCAAATTAGCAATGTTTTTTAAACCAAACACCCTAGCATAAATGCCTTATGATTCCATATTTTCATTGTAGATAGTAATTTCAATAAAATCTTTGTTCTTTCTAATATTCTATTTGACAGTCCAATTAGGCATCATACCGCTTTTTATTATATAATCTAAATAATTATTTGATGATGTGTTATGATATTCTTAATCGTAGATTGCCATAGTTTAAAGTTGAACCTATTGAGGAATGATATTTGCTTTCTGAATGTAATCCTTAACAAATTACTCGATCTCCCTCGTGCTCAAAACTATATTGATATCTTCATTATTCTCTTGTCTAACGGCTTCAAGTTTTTTATCGTAACATGGCATAATTGTAGCAATGTAATCATGATTTTTCTTCTAAAGTGCTCCAAAAATTTATTAAGGGCTCTTCACTTTACTCATATGATTAATTATAGATTCATCTAAGGTTTTTTCAGCATAACATACCCATCCTGGACATTCTGAACAAAGTAATGGAGTTAAGTTTGTTTCTTTAAACTCTTTAATTGAGTTATTAATTGCTATTTTCGTATATTCTGCCAAGTCATACAATTTAACATTCATTTCCTGAAATATTTCGTGTAAAATAGAGTGCATTTCTGAATCAGAATAATTCAACACATAAGATAAGGAAGCTCTTGCTTATGGACTTATTCCAATTGCAGGATTTTAATATTTCTTAATTGCTTATAAAAACTCTTCGAGACTTTAAGTTTGGATCAATATAGTTTCTGCAGTAGTTACACATCCGCTGCATGCAAGACAATCTTGTAATGATACTTTAGCCACATTATTCTGATTTTTAATCAAATTAGGTTTTAGTTAAATGGAAGGGTCATCAAGTTGAAGCTTAACATTTTTGATTAAAGGTTTAATGCATTCTTGACTTGGTACAATGTAGTCGCTAACTGAGGAAATTTTGATTGTGGAAGAAAACATTGGTTATGGATTATTAATTAATGGTTTAGAATCAAAGAATATATAATATATTAAATACAATTGTTAGATAGGTATAATTTCATTCAGAAATTTTGTTAATTGGCTCTTTAGTTCCTACAAATAGCTAAGATATCAATAATAAATTAATACCACATCCTAGGGCTTGTTCTTCTCCATTTGGTTTATGCTCCATCTTGATAGGGCACTTGTCCTTACCAGGACATTTAGGGAGTTTCTCTTTAGGTATTTTGGATACATAATCTCCATTACATTATCTCTTATGGCAATCTTCACAAAAGTGAGTTGTACCCCTTTTAGATAAATGGATATGTATACCAACAGAACCACACAGCTATTTAACAACAGAACTTGCATTTGAATTCAATATATTCCTTTCCATGAGTTTAACATGTTTCTCCAACTGGTACATCACAACAATTGGCACAAATCAATTCCTCAGGTTTATATTATTTATCTCCTTCTTCTAATGCTCTTTGACAATCTTTGGCTCCTCCAAAGTAAGGGTTCTTGCATTTAAAGCATTAATAATAACAATAGATAGCCATAGCATACTCTTAGGGTTTCCCATAGAATTATTCCCCCACTTTATTGAGCTTTTCATCTTTATCTCTGTTTTCATATTTCAATCTATCAAGCGACTTCTTCATGACATCTTAAAAGAGTAAATAATATTGATTCACAAGGTTCTAAGGTTAGGATGGTTAGAATTCTAACCAAGAATTACAGAGAGGACACAAACAAAACTTGAAAACTATTCTTGGTCCATTCCATTTCACATCCAATCTTTTAAGAATACAAGTATAATGAAAGATCTATTGTCATAAATAGTTAATACATGGCCACACTTTGATTGGATGACAGGGGCATTCTTTAAACCCTCAACAAAGCAGATATTACAATAATCGTCTCCTTTTTAATCTCCTTTGCAACATTATTCATTTAAACATGTTGAACATATCTATTCATTTTTGAATCCTGGACAAGGATGTCTACAAGCTAGCATTTTATTGCAAGCAAATTAGGCTTTCTCTTAGCATTCCCTTTCCTAACAAATGTCTTATAAGGCTTCAGGGATTTGCAATTGAACATTATGTATAAGTTAATCACAATATCTACAGCATCTAAAGCGTATTGTAAATCAAGATTACTTAGATGCTTTCTTTATTTTGTACTCCTCACAAGTCATACCTAAATGATATGGAACTGCCTTGCATTCTTTACATTGTTCTGTTCTACATTTTTGATTGAAACACATAAATCGATTATTAAGATAATGTTCCACATATTTTCTAAAATTGTTAAAGATTTAAATACGGTTATAATTATTAGTTTGTGACAGGATCTTTTAAAGTTGTAATATGGCTTCCCTTCTCAAAAGCACCCTATTCAGAACAAGCCGAACATTTTACAATGTTGAATTGTCTTTCTACCATAATTGTTGCATATTAATCATGTTTTTCTCTGCCAAGCAATTGCTAAAATATCATTAATAATTACGATCAATTCTTATTCTGCCATTACTTTTTTGCATTGTTGATTTGGACAGAAAAATGCTGTACTATTTTTTGAGTCCTTTTCTATCTATTTCATTAAACAAGGTCTGCAGATCGGTGTAAAGCAATGTTCAAAATATGTAATTATGTCTGCATGGACTTACCTACCACAAACTTTACATTCCTCTAACTTCTATAGGTTTTACATAGATTTGAAAATTTCAACATCATTTTATTTCTATGAATAAGAAGGTTGCTAAATTAATTGACTATTGCTTCTCTATTAGATTGAAGATCCAATTCCAAATTGAGGAGGCTTGTATATAATTGATCGATCCTCCCCCGCCTTTATTAAAGCATCTACTTTCTCTATGAAAATTTAGAACTCACTCTTCAAAGCAAACAAATGTTGTCTTTGCATCTTCTCAACCTAGAGTTGTTCAAACTTTTGAAAAAAAGGAGACGACTGTCTATATATTATGCACTTTCTGATATGGTCTGTCATAATCTGTTGATTCAAAGGAACCGATTCTGAACAAAAACAGACAAAATTGGTTTAAGATGCAAAAGGTTGATCCATTTTTTGTTGATAATTATAAATAATAAATTAATCGGAAATCAAATTTAATAATATCCCTTTTACTCATTCCATCTTCTATACACTTAATCCACTCTACAAAGAGTCATAATCAATTTACCCTTATTACTATTACTATTATTCCTATATAAAATAATAATTATGACAATAAAATAAATATATATATATGCAAAGAATAAAATAAATTCTTTAAATAGATCTAGTGTGTATTAACATGCTCTTTTACAATCTGAGAAAAAATCAAATCTAATAATTTTAGCTAAAATCCATTATAATCATTCATCAAATTCATTCCATAAATATTTATATTTTAATATCATAAAATATTTTATAATTGCATGATTGCCCATGTTAGGTTGATGAGTTTATATGGCCTTAAATAACTGTTTAAAAATTATTAAATTGATTCACAATGGGTAGTTTCTGCATAATTAATTCAATTAAGTAAAGTTTTTGTTCTGTTTTTTAGAAAGCGAAAATTTCATCAAATGCAGCTATGTTATTTCCAGAGAAACAACATCTTCAATGTTTAATAGCGTTAGTTAATTTTTATCTTAAAAGGTTTATAAGAAATTTATAATATATAATGAGTTAGTCAAACAATTTCTTAATTTGAAAGCAATTAACCAACATGAAAAAATATCGATCTTATGTTTTCTAATATTGAATTATGAATTTGTTGATGCCTTTTTGTATTAATATTTCTTTAGTAATTCATAAGTTGTCACTCCTACAATAATCAAATATGTATGGAATCTAGGCATCCCTCTTGCAAGCATCAAAAATAAAAACATGATCAAAATATCACAATATAATTCCATATTCTTATCAATATCTCTTTTATTTTTCTCTTAATAATCATATTAGATAACTATCTTACCAATACCAAAATAACAATATCAATACAATACAATATTCTAAACTAATAAGAATAGCCAAAATGATCGTTGATTAAATACTAACACATCCTCCTATCTAAAACAATGAGGATCATAGTTTGCCGCGCATCTTTTGCGAACCTTACAATGCTTTGCTCTATTGGGTATATTAAATTTGCATATTTTACAATATCACTTATTCATTTCTTATTCAATTATTTAAAATTGATCATTCTCCTCATTTGTACTCATTATGTGGACAGGATTATTTCCAGCTTTAACAAACAAATAGTTTGAATAAAGGAAAAATTAAAAAAAGAGATCTATAACACATCAAAGGATGTTTCATAAAAGCATTTTATTTGAAAATTATCAAATTTTTCCAACAAAAGAAATGCATTGTAAAATAAAATAGTTTTGAAATTAGTCTATGAATTGCTTTATGATTTAAAACAAATTTGTTTATTTACAGGTACCAAAAGATTTAGTATTATTTGGGTTACCTGAGAAAGAACGCTGGGAGAAAAACAAATTTTCTGAAAATCACATTCGCAATTTCCAAGTTAGGCAAAATTAATCAAAAATTAAATTGAATTAATTAAAAAGTTAAGTATTATCAATTGTTTTTTAGTAATGTTTTAATTGAGTTTTCATTCGATAAAATAACTTTCATAAATGATTCATGAGTTAAACAAACTATAAACTCATCTTCAAAATAAAATTTTAAAGAGCTGATATATGTTTTGATGAAGAAGAAATGGTTTATTCTTTGTAATGGATAACTTTAATTTTTGGAATAAGAGATAGTTAAATGAGAAAGTGTTATTTGTCTATATTTAACTTTTTTCTATCTAAATATTATTAAAAAATACATCCTTAATATAATTTAAAGCAACATCTATTGCGACTAAAAAATAGATTTCAATGGTTAAGTCCTTGTATCAGCTTTTTTATTTAGAAGGTATAATTTGTTTCAATTTGGTATTATTTTACTTAGAAAAATAATAAACATATTCTATATTTAATAATTTAGTGTTGGGATATAAAATAATTTTTGAATTCAATACTCTTTATTTTTTCTTTTAAATTAGGAATTCAAACTTTTAGAGTGATTTTTAAGCCTTCATAAGTATATATAAAATTATAACATTTTGTAATTCTATTATAAGTTTATATACAATTTATAATAGAATTATAGTTTATTCTAAGGCTATCTCCTTTTTATTGAGATTAAATAATCATGTAGAATAATTAAATTTAAGGTTCACCTTCAATAGATGAAAAAGCTTTACTTAAAATGATTAATATGGTTTTATCTTACCTTTATTAGTTCTAAAAACAAAAAAATAATAATATGAAAGTTTTGATTTTAGTAGGAGTAACTGGCTCAGGGAAAAGTACAATATTCAATCTCCTTGGTGGGGCTAAATTTAAATTGATATAGAGTGAAGATGGAGTTGAAGAATTAGAATTAGAAGAGATTTCTACAGAATTCTCAATTATGAAAGGAGGAATGTAATCTGTAACTAAAGAACCTAAGTACTATTTTAACGAAGAATTTAATCATTTGCTAATTGATTTTCCAGGATTTTAAGATACTAATGGTGAATTCGACCAAATTATGATATAGATGTTATTTTATAAAATATCCACTCAATCAAAAGTTAAAATATTGTATGTAGTAAGACACCCTGAGCTAGAATTTTAGGAAAGAGGTACAAATTTACAAGAGTTTATTAAAACAACTTTTAAAGAGCAAAGCATTGGAATTGAAAGCTTAACTTTGCTACTAAATGCATTTAATGAAGAAAATTATTCTGACGAATTAGTTAAAACATCAGCAACTGAATAAATACAGGAGTTGTACCATCCTAAGAGAGGTTTGAATATTATAGTTCTTAGAAAAATCAATTCAGAGATTGATATAGCAAAGTAATTTTCTGATGCAAATAGAAGAAAAATATGGGAAGACATAATCAAATCAGAAGAAATAAAATTATAACCAATTTAAATTCTTCATATAGAAAAGATTAGTGCTTATTTAAGCGAAAAAAGTTTCAAATATATAGAAAAAGTTTGGCTATCAATTTAATAAAAATTAACTCAAAATTTATAAAATTCATAGTTTTATAACATACCAAAATTATAGAATTTATGCACTATGTTCAAAGAATTACCCAAAATAACAAAAACTAACTATGCATAATCGTATAGATAATTTGTAGTTGCTTCAAGCGTTATTGCCTAACAATTAGGTTGTTCCGAAGAAGTAAAATACAAAAGCGAAGAATTTTTAAAGATATATTAATTTTTTTAATAATTTTCAGATTTAATAAATGGGTACTCTGAATGTTAGAAACATTCTAAGTTTGCTTAAGATTTATACAATGATATGATAAGGATGATTGAAAATAAAATTGGCTTCCTAAAGGAAAATCAAAAAGTGTAAATTACAATTGCAGAGAAGAATTAAGAAATAAAATTAAAAAATAATGCCTTGGCAAAAGCAGAATGTTAGAGATTATAGAAAGAGCAATACTAAAAATAATCAAGATAATTAAATTTAGAAATTGGGTAGCTATAATAAAAGATAATTTTGTAAAGGAATGCAATAAAAGAGTTAGAAAACTAAACTGATTAGTTAAGGAACAAATATTTTCAACTTTAAAGGCAAAGTGATGAAACTCAAAGAGATCTAGATGAAAAAATTCAGAACTAAATTCACATCAACAATTAAACAGAGGTGAGCTTGAAAAAAAAATAAAAACAATTAAATGACTTAGAAAGAGAACAGTAATAAAAACTAAATGCAATTAAAATTGAGATAGAAGAATAAGAAATAAGGAGAAGAGAGATATTAAAATAAATAGAAGAAGTTGAGAATTTAAGGGATCGATAAAAAGCTATGTTATGTTTAATTCGAGGTTCAAATAACAATTTAACAACTCAAGTAGAACAAAGACAAAATGAAATAACATCATTGAAAGCTGAAATCTCCAGAACACAAACTTATGATAATGGGTGTCAACTCATATGAAAATGTGAGCTTAATACGAATAATTATAAAATATAAATTTATGTTAAAAAATTCCTTTTATGAAAATTCTATTATTTGGACCAATAATCATAATAATGTACTAATATAATGTAATAATTTTTCTTGAAAGGTATTAGTCCTCAAAAAAAAATATTCTTCAAATATTTATTTAAGTTGAAGATCTATGTTAAGAAACGACTAATCTCAACGATATTATCATTGCTTATGCCTCCTAAGGAAACCAGTGAGTAGGAAAAAATTGTCAAAGTGAAAATGAAAAATATAAAGCAATAACCTAAGAATAATAAATAGATTTATATTTTAAAAGAATTAAGGTGAAAAAAAATAATATGTTAGATAATTTTCCTTGTTAAAATATCAAAAAAATTATAACTCATTCAAATCTCTGATTTTTTTATCTCTCAAGTTAATAAGTTTAATTTTTAGTATCTTACAACTTACTTAATAATCTTCTCTTTTATTCCTCAAATTGATTTTATGAATTATCAATTTCCAGTTATTTTTGATATAATTAAGATTAATTTGTTGAATTCTCTTATTATAACCGCCAATTTTTATTACTCAATTTCTCAGATTTAGCTTAACTTTCCTATTATAAATTTGAATAAGATGATTTCCAATTATTTGCCATAACCTACTAATTATTTTTTTAATTAAAAATTGTTGTAAGGTTTTGTTCAGCTATATACTTTGAATTACTTTCGTTTTATACTAATTATTGTGCTGCACATGCCCCTTATGATTCTATTTAAAACTCATATTCTGCTTACTACTTTTATTAAATTGCATTTAATTTTTCACTTTCTACTTATTTTAAATCTTTCTATTTTTCTAAAATTGAAATTTATTGCTTGATGATTTCCAAATTTGCAAAACATGATTTGTATGCTAGCGTTTAATTTATTAAACAATTTTAATAACCAACTATTAAATCTTCGAATTATGAGAAAAAAATAAATATTTTTGAAAACTCACAATCAAGAGAGCAAATATCATTTTAACAATTAAGCTAAGTGGCAATTTATTAAGATAATTTGATAAAATTTGCATATTGAGTGTCAACCTTTGAATTTTAGTTTGAAAGTAAAGTTACTAACTTCTCAAATAAGTCTTTAATAATACGTAACTACCTTTCTTATAGCTTATCAACTTTTTGTTTGCATTAATTATTCAAATTTTCACAAATGCCATTGTACATCTAGTAATTTTTATCACTTAAATACTTTGTAATCTTCTCACTATGCTATAAATTTTTTGGACAGAATTAGATATCTTAAGTTTGAGTTAATTCTTCGATTAACTAATCTCTTTTTTCATTAGAAAAGATTTTTTCTATATCTTAAGGAGATTTACATTTTCTTAAGACTGATATTTATTTGAAATCAGATTTAAAAATTACTTATAGTTATTTTTTTACACTCTCTTTCAGTCCTTAATCAGGCAATTTATCACCATAACAATTAAGCAATAGGCAAATTTTTTCAAGATCAACTTGTTAACCCTAAAACAAAATCTTAATAAAATCTTAAAGGCCTACTCCTCTTTCATTAAATCTAGTTTCAGGGTGTCTAAGAACATAGATTAGTTTGACTTTAGACTTTGAAACAATTTTTAAAAATAACAACTAAATGAGAATTTAATCTAGTTCTCCATTAGGGTCTTTGAATCCAGGGAAATCAATAATTAAGTGATTATGTTTTTCATCAAAATAGTAATTGGGTGCTTTAGTAACTGAAGTCATTCCTCCATTTTATAGAGCAAATTATTCAGAATTTTCTTTTAATATTAGTTATGATCCACTTTTTATTTCCTGCAATTCATAATTCCCTCCACATAAAAAGTTAAACACTGTACTTTTTCCAGCTCCTGTTACTCCAACTAATATTAGAATTTTAGGTTAATCTATCATTTTTTGTTCATATATATTCATTAGCTTTTGGATACTTTTTATTAGCTGTAGAATTTAGGACTCATCTAGCGATCCTTTAGAAATCATTCTATTTTAATATATTTTTGTAAAATATAAGGAAGATTAATAGAGTTAGTTAATTCTATCACAAATATTATAATAATATAGATTTAGAATTAATTAACTTTTATTAAATTATTCATCATATCAATTGGCATGAACTGTTTCTTTCCCTAGCTAAACATTCCACTCTTTTTCTCAGTTTTTCTTAATCCTCTCCTGAGCTCTTGATCAATGCCATCAATTCATCTTTTTTAATTCGTTCCTCATCTACAAGATCAGCTAGTTATTTATGGTTAGCTAGAATTTCATTTAGCTTATTCTCCAACTTTTCATTTTCAGATGCACTTTAACTCTAGAATTTATAAAGATTTTCATTTAATTATTTGATTTCGTTTTCTTTAATCCGTTAATCATTACTAAATTCTTATAATTGTTATTAATAAGTTGAATAATCTTCTTATTTTCTTTTCAATTAACGATTTTTCTCGTCTACTTGTTTTTAATTATTTTATTATAATGTAGTATTTTTCAGGATTAAATTATCTCTTTCATTTTGAATAAGATTCTTACTCGTAATTTAACTCTACAAATCATTTTATGTAGCCTATTGCAGAATTGCTACCTGTTAATAACTCTATTAAGCCTGTAATTTTAAATTAGCTTCTTTTTTTTGTTATTCATCTGCTAGAACCCTGAGTTAGTATTGTTTCATTTTTTCTTATTCCTCATAAAGATTTTGTTGTTATTTTTAAAGAATATCAATTTAACCTTTAACAATCCTCATGGTATTCTCACTCCTCTATTAAGCAAATATGCAATTGTTCCGTATCATTTCAAATCCAGGGATAAATTCAGAGAGTTAAGCAAAAAAATTATATATTGTCATAAAATTTGAGTAATTTTAACATTTTTTATTTTAGAAATTTAAAAGTGCAATTGACTTTTCAAATTAATTAATTAATTCTTAAAACCAATTAACTGTGTCTTTTTATTGATTATTGAGAAAAACTGATATCTATTTTAAGGATTCTTCTAAATTATAAACTTATTCATAGGTTAATTTTTTTAAATTATCATTTAAATTCTTTTCTAACGTTGAACACAATTATTCTAAAATTTATTCACTTTATTCACTCAAATATTGGCCAATTTGTTCACTTTCATGTATATATTGAGGAGAAATAACGAGTGGATGAGATCTTAAAAATTATTAAAACAGGTAACTTCTTTTTTGTGAATTTAAATATTATTCAATTTCTTATTTATTTTTTATTTTTCTAATAACACAAATATTTTGAGGCCTACAATTATAAACCCTTTCTAGTTAACTTTAAACATTCGTGATTAGATTTTCATCTGATAGTTTATCATTATAGCAATTTAACATCAAACATATTTAGGACATATCAAAATTTTCACCTTAAAATGTTTTACTTATAAATTCTTATAACGAAGTTCCTCTATTATTAAATTGAGTTTCGGGGTGTTTAACAACGTATACAATTCTCACATTTGCGGATTTCATTATTTAATAAAATAATAATTATGTTAGAACTTAATCAATCTTTCCATCAGTATCCTAAAATCCTGGGAAATCTATTAATAGTGAATTAAACTATTGTGAAAAGTAATAATTTGGACTCTTTGTGACTGATTTCATTCCTCCTTTTATGAGAGCAAATTGTTATGAATTCTCTTTTATACATAAGCTTTATCTAGGTTCTGGGCCATTCATTTCAAACTCTGCACCACTCAAGAAATTAAATAATGTACTCTTGCCAGCACCCGTTTATCCTATTAAAATAATTACTTATGTTTATTTGGAATTCTAGTCTTTAAACATATTGAATAATTTAGAATGGGTATTAATTATATATAGGAGTTCTTGCTCATTAAATTTGGCTTGCATATTAATAATTATAATAGAAAAGCTCCTATTTCAATATAAATTAAACCTAATTCTATTATGATTATGAAATATATAATTTTTATTTATAGGTTTTAGTTAAATTTATTTTCAAATTGTTTCAAACAAAAAAAATATGTTTTGTTTTTAACCAAAAAAATACATGAATACTAAGAAATTTTAAACTAGAAATAATTCTTTATGCCTAACATGTAACAAAATATCTTATAATAATATCAAATCAAAAACTTAATAAAATGAAAAAATTTTTCACAAAAATTACCTTAATTCTTTGATTAAAATCGTTGTATATATATGGTTTTATCAAATATTAAATAGATAATATATATCTATTTAAGACGGCATAGAATTTATATCACTCAATATCATAATAATGATTTTGCATATTATTTACTCGCTTACCATGAAAACTTATTATTTGATTTAATAGTTAATATAATAAAAAATGAATAATCATATAGATAATATAAATGATTCAAAATTCCTTCCATTTTTAGGTTACCATCACATCATGATCAATATATGGTTTAATTTATTTTGCTTTGGTTCTAAGGGGTTCTAAATTCATTTTCAAAGTTAATAATTTTGATTCGTTAACTGATTTATTAGTCATTGGAACATATTTTATTGATCTTTCAAGTAATTTTGCTTATTGATGTTGTTCTTCAATAAATGATTGTGCTCTGAATCTTTGATTTATTACTTAATATAGATGAACTTTCTTCTTGGCTCTTTAATATTCTTTTTCCCTTTAGCGAAACTCTTTTTCTCTTTCTTCTTAATAATCTCTTAATTTTGATAAGTTTTCTGCAATTTGTATTCTTCTATCTAAAAGGATATCTTGGAGATCAAAAGAGGATTGAGACATTGATTTGGAAGGGTTTCTGTAGAGAGAATTTTGTTATCGTTTGGAATTTGTTTTGGTATTAATAGAAAGCATATAGTTTATTTTATAATATTTTGGTAATAAAATATTTTATTTTTTGAGTGATTACATCTCGACATGTTTTCATTCTCTAAATGTAAGTATATGTTAATTTAAGATGGAGCTCTTAATAATATAAAAATGTGTATTAATATTAATTATATTTAATACAAAATGAAGAAAAGTCTGAGTGCTCTAATTCCAAATAGTTTTATAAAGAAATATTCATTCAGACCACCAGAACCAGCAAAATACACTTTTGAGTTTCGGGATAAGAAATACCATTTTTTTCCAATAATAAATGGACAGAGGAAACAAATATTCAGTTATTATTTACAAATAGATTCTTACGTACTCAAGAATGATAAAATATGTGTTCCAATAATACATTTTTCAGGGTATATAAAAAATATAAGCATAGATTGTAAAATACTAAAACTGAAGTATCACTATCTAAAGAATGCTTGTTTAGTTCTAAATCGTTTTAGTGTGATTTTGAGAAATTAACCCAGAGGAACAGGACGTTAGTAATATTTTCTCATGCTAATGCCAGTGATTTGGGCGATGTCTATTTTTTTGGTGAAAAAATAAGTATAGAATATGGGGTCGATTTCATTGCATATGATTACACAGGTTATGGGATAGGAGTTGGATAATATAAAGTTAGTGAATAGCAAACTTATGATGATTTGTAGAGTGTGGTATCGTTTGCGATTAACAAATTGAACTACTCCCTTAATTAAATTGTATTGTGGGGCTTTTCTTTGGGTTCAGGTCCTGCGATAGAAATAGCCACTCGTTTTGGAGGGTTGGCAGGTTTGATATTGCAGGCTCCGATTGCCTCGATATATAGTTGGTTTGGAGAAGGGGATTATGGAGATTAGGACATGTACGTTAATCATAAGAAAATTAAAAATGTTCAAAGCAACATACTAATAATCCATGGAGATTCAGATAAGATTGTTGGTCATGAGCATAGTGAGAAATTGTACAATACCTATATGCAACATAATGATGGAGGGAAAATTCAATTTATATTGGTAAAGGATGCTGGACATAATGATCTATAGTTTTATATTGAGAGAGGAGAAGATGATTTGGGGGCACAGATACACCACTTTTTGAGGAAGAAAGGTGGAGGAGCATTTAGTGAAATGGAGCATAAATTATTGAATGAAAGTTATTTGAAGGAACACATTCCTGGATAAAATATTTACTAATGCAATTCATTGAGAAAGTTTTCATCTTCCTAAGAAATTCAGATAAAGAAAGCACATAGTTTATTTTCGTTTTGTACTTGTGATTGATATCCATTTATTCTTATTTGTTTCAATAGTATTAGCAAAAATAAATATATAATTTGAAATAATAATGGAAGCAGTGACTTTTGGAGGTGACAATCCTCAACCACGTTTTGGTCACACTATTTGTGTGATAGCCCCTAACAAAATTGCTCTTTTCGGAGGTAGGATATTGTTTAGAGGAAGGTGCTGTTGGGGACACTGGAAAATATATTATAACAGGAGATGTCTATATAGGAGATGTTATTTAGAGAAAATGGAAGAGAATAGAAGCAAGTGGAAGTGTTCCAACAAATAGAGCAGCACATCAGGCATCGGCAATTGAATTGAATTAAATGATCATTTTTGGAGGAGCAGTTGGAGGAGGGGGTTTGGCTGATGATAATTTATTTGTTTTTGAATTACGCGATGACACAGGTACATGGATTACAGTACCAGTGATTGGCACTACTCCTGGCAGAAGGTATGGTCATACTATGGTTCTAATAAAACCGTATTTAATTGTCTTTGGAGGTAATACAGGATAAGAACCTGTAAATGATGTTTGGAGTTTCAATTTGGAGAAATCTCCATATTCATGGTCTAAATTGGAATGCACATCAGAATTGCCTTGTGTTAGAGTCTATCATTCGGCTGCTCTCTGCAATACAGGATCAGCAAATGGAATGATGGTGGCATTTGGAGGTAGAACAAGTGATTAGAGTGCTTTGAATGACACTTGGGGATTGAGAAGACATAGAGATGGAAGATGGGATTGGGTAAGAGCTCCTTATAAAAACTAAAATGAAATACCTACTCAAAGATATTAGCATTCAACTTTATTTTTGGGAACATTGATGTTGGTAATAGGAGGTAGATCAAACTAAGTGGGAGAAATTCTTCCATTTGAAATTTATGATACTGAAACCTCTGAGTGGTATAAATTTCAATCAATCCAGAGGTTCAGACATTCATCATGGTTAGTTGATTAATTTTTATATCTCCATGGTGGATTTGATTCAGATCAACCCAATATTCCTACTGAAGGAATCTTAAGATTAGATCTTAACAAACGATTTGCATAAACTCCATAATTGTTGAGGTAATTGAATACTGTAAGAAATGATAATGCTTTCATGTAATCATTCAATCCTCGTGCTACTCCAAATTTAAGCAATAATAGTACTCAAGAGCAATTTAGAAAAACAAATTAGTAGACTCAGTAGAGAAGTATAATTTATTTTATAAATTTAGACTAATAAAGTTAATAATAGCTTCGTGTTCAAACTGCGAATAACAAAAATGTTAGATTAGCTAATTAAGCTTTGGTGGCCATGGTTTATGGTCCTGAAGAAGATATAACTAATCAAGTTAAGAAGGTGCCTATTGATAAATTGTAGGATGAACACAGGAAATTGGGTGCTGGTTTCCAAGATCCCAATTCCTAAAATAAATCTTAACTTGTTGAATAAATGCTTGCTCCGTTTTTATAAAACTTATTATTGCCTAAAGATTACCAATCTATTCCTCCAAACTCAAATCTTATGACTGGGATTAAAAAAGATTCCATAATTAAGTTGTGTGATGAAGTTTAGAGAATTCTCGAAAAGGAGCCTATCGTCTTAAAACTAAGAAGACCAATCAAAATATATGGAAATTTGAATGGTTAGTATTTAGATCTAATGAGATTCTTTGATCATTTCAAAGCTCCATATGATAATCTTTACAATGGAGACATTGATTCTTAAGATTACTTATTTCTGGGAGACTATATTGACAGAGGCACAAGATCTCTTGAGATAATTCTACTCTTATTCACGCTAAAGGTAAAATACGGAGATCAGATTCACTTATTAAGAGGACATCATGAGGATCCAAAAATTAATAAGATCTTTGGATTCGCTGATGAATGTTTTTTAAAATATGCAGAAGATATCAATGATCCCAATAGTATCTATCAAAGAGTCAACAGAGTATTTTAATACATGCCATTAGCTGCGGTAATAGAGGATAAAATATTTTGTGTTCATGGGGGTATTGGATAGACGATACGTACAATCGATGAAATTGAACTCATTCAAAAACCTCTCCAAATTGTGCACGATCCTGTTACGGTAATTTATTAATAATATAATAATTTTAGTATCAACAGAAGATTGCTTTAGAGTTATTGTGGTCTGATCCCTGTTTAAATGCAGAAGAATTGGAAAATTAACCGAATGTTGAACGAGATCTCTTTTAAAATAAATCTATAATTAGATTTGGGAACAGTAGAATCAACAAATTTCTTTAGGAAAACAATTTGAATATGATAATTAGATCTCATGAACCTACAAATGAAGGATTTGAAAGATTAAACAATAGTGTAATCACTATATTTTCTTGTAGTGATTATGGCAGTTGTGGCAATAAAGGAGGTATTTAAATCATAACAATATTATCCTAGCCATTCTTTCTATAACAAAGCGAGGAGATATCATCCCAAAGGTTATTCCGACTGCAAATATTATCAATGAGGCTAGATGGCTGAATTTAGAAGATGCCGCTTAAAGAACTCAAGGATTTGTCAAATATGTGGACATCAATAATGATGAATTAATTTACAGAAGGAGACCATTTACTCCTTCGAGATAGAAAAGAATTGGATCACAAAAATAATTCAAATGATATTATTCAAGTTATTAGATTAAGAATCTTCTATTTATTATTCTGCATGTTGTATTAGTTTTATTTGCTTGTTCTTTCTATTCACAATATTTGAAATTTATTCATCTTCAGAGATAAAAGTACGAATTTCCTCACAAAGCTATTGTTGAATATGAGAATAAATACATCTTATTTAATGCTTGTCAATTGATTAATCAAATCTAATGCTCGATTCAATTCAACATTTAAGAATTTCTGATCCTCAACCAAATTCATCTTCTTTAAATTCTCTTCATCTACATGATTTAATATTGTATCAATATCTCCCTCCAATTCCTTAATATTTTTATCAAGATTAATGTTCTCCAAATTAATTTCTTTAGCTTCTTATTATATTTAATTTAATTAGTTGTTTATCACTTTCTATTCCTTATTCACAGCCTCCAAATTCTCATTTAATTGTTAATACTAATCATCCAATTAACCTGATTGCTATTATTGTATCTCTTGTTTCATCTATATTTACTATAAATAGTCTCCTTTCTATCTTTATTCCTTATTCAACATATCAACCATTTTTTTTTATTGTAGAATAACTTTCTCTTTTTTTGAAATCTCAAATTCCAAATCCTATCTCGTCTGCTCAAGTTCCTTGTTTTACTTGAAATGCTTATCAAATTCCTTCTCCAATAGTTAATTTTCCTTTTCCAAAGAATTCTTAGTCTCAATCATATCCTTCATAGTAGTCTCCAACTCCTATCTCTCTTGTTGCAATTAATCTTTTTGAAGCATGATTTCATTGGTTTCCTTCTTTAAAATGGCCAACTCATTTTATCGAATCTGAGCTAATTCCAACAATTAAGGATTATTGTTAGGTAGTCGTTAATGCAATTATTCTTGCAAATATTCCAATTCGCTTCTGAGTTGTTTTATTTCATTCAAATCAACTTCAGTTTAGGCTCTTCCTACCTTCTGTATCTTTTATAGCTCCTCCTAACCCTAAGCATAGGCATTCTCAAGTCGAGATAGCTGATTGTGTAAACTTCCAAAATCTATTTGTCTCTGATGGTATTGATACAATTCCCCTTTCAATTAAGCTATGATATTATCTTTCTTCTCACTACTCAATGGTTTTTTGTTTGACATTATTAAAATGTCTGATTAATAAATTAAATCTCTCCAGTGTGCAGCTATAGAAACACAAGCCTATTATGATGTGTATTGGCAAATACCCTCAAAGTAAGCAGCTGCATACAATATGCTTCTCGATAAATTCAACAGTCTTAAGGCAAAGGTTGAGGCTGATTTTGATTTCATTCCACTTCACCCTCAAATATTAGAGATGATAAATTATTTCAATCAAACTCAAACCTCTGAAATCCCACAAATCAAAGAGACCGATCAAACTTTATTCTTAGGACCTCCCTCACGTGATCCCAGTCAACATTACAATAGATCTATTTAGAGAATTTGTTCTCAATTACTAAATGAGAATCTCCTGGAGGATTTGGCTGACTTCACAGTTGAAAAGCAGGTATTCCAGAATCTGAATTACATACTCAAATGTAAGGGCCTAACCACTGTCAACATGTAACCAATTACAATTCCAGTACTTAATAATTATCCCCTCTGGTTTAGTGAAGGATTGGTAAAAACACTCGAAGGCTATTAAAGTGGGAACTTAGTGACTGCAGAAATTGACTTTCTCACAGAATAACAAATAAAATTCGTTCATTCAAGCTTAAAATACAAAGATTCTAAGATAAAATAAAAAAATAGCAATAGAAGCAAAAATGACCAGAATACAGTGTCACCACCTAATAACTTGCCTCAAGTACGTTATTCAGAGATGGAAACTCAGTAATCCTAATCTTAATAGAACTTTTATTCCACACAAATCAAACCTAGAACCAAAAGTATCCTCGTATCCAATTGGTTTCATTTCAAAACTTACACAAATCTAAGACCCAGAGACACTCCAAATTAAATCAAAAGACACAAGGCAGTATCATGTTCCTAAGTAGATCTCCAGACTCCCTTCAGCCCATTAAAGCAGAGTCCCTATAATTTAAAGGCTAGCGTAAAGCCAAGATGGTTTGAGCATATTTATTAAAAATGATACTAAATTCAATTATAAAACATTTCCATAAAATCAACTGAATAAGTCTAAGACATAAGCTCCTAATGAATAATTTTAATAATAAGATATAATCTAGAAATTCTTAATCCAAGAAAATTGGGACAAAAAATCAAAATGATTAATTGAAGAAAATGAAGAAAGAAGATATGTGAGAAATAGAAATTCTAAGATGTTACTTGTTTGGAATTATTTGTAAACTAAAGAATTGAGCTAATAATCACAATCTATTCTTACGCACTTAAATATAAGGAAATATAAAAGATTCCAATAAAGACTTCAAAACCTATTAAAACTGAGGAGAATTAATGGAGCTGTTAAATTTCTGCTTAAAACACTAATTGAAAAAGACATCCATAGTTTCACTGCCTTTTATGATTAATTCTAGTACAAAATCATAGATTTAAACAGTTGATTTAATTCATTTTGCAAATAAAACCAATTTTTTAATAAGTTAGATATATCATTTTTTGATTTATTGAATAAATTTATAGAGGAAAGTCAAGAAATAGTAAATTCTATCTTAGCATTGTTGCTAGTATTTTAAACCTTCTGATAAATACTAAAAGGCATAACTTTAAATATTGAAATATTGATTCATTTTATTTTAATTGTCGTAATTGAAGTTAATAAAGAAGAATTAAATAATTTGAAATTTTATCTAGAAATTAAATTTTTAAAAAGATTATTCAGAGAAAAAAGAAGAATTTTATAAACATAAAGCTTAACTAAGGCTTAGTTTTATTTCAATTTATGGTTTCTGAAGTTTAATTTTAAGAGGAGAATAAGAATATTATTTGATTTATTTCTATAAACAAAAAATTAAAAAACAATTGTTATAATTAATTTTATTCTATTCAGATTCTATGATTAATTCATTGTATGCTGATAAAAATAAAGATAATCATCAGCTATTGTTAATGCTATTCATCCTAAAATATTTAATCTAAATAACTTTAATAATGAATGAAGAATAAAAACCAAATGAGTTTATCTATTTAGATTCTATATATGTTTGATTAACTTTTATTATTTATTCATGGTTAACAAAAATAAGACATTCAAATTTGATAAAACTTAAGTACTATTGGCAATGACTAAAACTGAGAAAACACAGATTAGCAGAATCCAAAATTGAAATTAAAAATTAATTGATATATTCCATCTTAAAATTTAAATTCTATATGAGTAATTTTATTGATAGTTGTATTATTTTAATTTGAATATCATTCAGATGTGCAACAATATTAGCATAGCAGTCATGTTGTCACATCCATAGCCAGTAGTAGTATCGATTGCCAAAGAAGAATCGAGCAAATTTTCAAGTATTAATGGTGGTTCCATTCCCCTGTCTAATCTTTCTCCAATGAATTACATCACTTTATAACTATTCATCGTTTCGAACAATCCATCACAACCGAGAAATAAGAATCTAGACATAGACAGCATATTTTACTTATCATCCTTATTCAATTTTATCTTTCTTATTTCAGGTTCAGCAATAACCATTTGCTAATTGGCTGGTAATGATTCTTATTTGAATTCGAAATCGCCAAAAGCACGTGAGACTGAGAGTGTTCCATTGAGACGGCCTTCTTCATTCACAAATCCTCCTGCAAATCTGATCCTGGCTAATTCATTACAAGGAAGATGATCTTTTGTTAACTCGATAGTTTCATCATCACGCATCAGAAGACAACGAGAGTCTCCTAAATTGGCAACATACAAGGTCTTCTAAACTACCAGGGCCACTACAGCTGTTGAACCAATAAAAGTATCTAAAATGAATATAGGAATAATATGATTACTTTTAGCCACATTATTTTTGATCATCTCATCCAACTATACAAAACTATCATGCAAGGCTTAGGTGTAATCTTCACCAACGAATGTAGGTTGCTGAACCAAAACGTCTAAAAAATTCTCAGCCAAATAATTTGAAATTCCAGCACCACCATGTCCATCAAAAACAGCAAATATCGATACATCTTCTCTAAAATCTACTTTCATTATGTGAGCATCCTCCATTTAAAGTCTCCAACCTATCTTGTTATATTACATACTAACCTTGCATTGACGTAGTATGACATTATAGAATCCCATTGGACTATGAGTCATGTATTTTTTGCGTGATTGGTTACGATAGAAATTAACCCATTATTTATTTTATTTATGCTTTTGGTATCAATTTATTTGCCTTTAGAAGAGAAAATTAGAATCATTTTATAAAAATATTCAATAATTTTATATGTGCTTTATAAGCCAATTGTTTTTAATTACTTAATCATTATTTCAAACCTTTAATCGAATCACCCATCTATCATTTCTTTTACTATAAAAATAGCATACAAGTCATTCTAATTTAGAGAAATTTTGAAATTTATGTTGTTTTTCTAAATATTTTTCTCGAAAAGTTAATTTAAATTAATTCATCAGAGAAAAAAAATAATTATTATGATGATGCAATTAATGATAAATACATAAATTCATTAATTAAATTGAAATACAAATAGCGAATCTCGAAAATCCAATTTGGAGAATAAAAATTAAATCAAAACACTCTATTAAATTTATCATCAAATATGTTTATAATAAAATAAAATAAATTTTAAATGGGAAATGCTTTAAATGATGTTGGTGATAATTATGACTTTAAATTGATATAAAAGGTTTAACATCCAATATTTGGTGAAATAGATATTCTGGAATGTCAAATTTAAGATTTTCCTGATATTGAACAATATATGAGAGTCAAACCTAAATTAAACACCAAGGAATATATCGCTTTCCTTAAGAGATACATCAAACTACAGAATCTTTATAAATATGAACTGAACTCTCCATTTCTAATTTATATATCTAATAATATATTTGAATGCCCTTCACATTCTTTATTTGATGAGATCTAATTGAAAAGATAGCAAGGAACTTAATTTGCTGAGTCAGAATTATGGTATCTAGCGAAGAATTTGATTGCAGGATATTCCATATATCTTTAAATCCCAGAATTGATCAAAACTACATAATTAAATCTACATAATATTTTTATAACTAAAAAAGGCCATATTAAGTTAAGTTTACATATTTAGTTTTTAATAAATACCAATAGCTTTAAGAATCTATATATTGAAGAATCATAATACAGCCATAAGATTAGCAAGGAAATTGGATTGATCTTGCTTGATGCTAGTTGTCTGTCTTTTGAAGACAGTATTAAAGTTATGGATATGTATTACTCCATTGAGTATTCCAATTTTGTTAAGGATATGATAGGTGACACAAAACCATTATAGTATTTTCAAAATTATCAAATGAGTAAGAAGATATCTTAAACCATCTATGGAGAATCTAAATTAAAGAAGACTAAAGCCTTACTTGATTAATAGCTATAATCATTAAAATAGTCATAAATAATTGATACATATCATATTAAGTCGCCTTCAAAAACAGATCCAAATCAATTTGATTAAGTCTCTAAAATTGCGAGCATACCTGAAGTAAATCAAGATTTAGAATAGGATCAAATGAAATCAGAGCAAATTGATTTTTTTTCTGGAAGGAAGTCAACCTAACCAATTCCAAATATTTAATCTGAAATGTACTATCAATCTAAAGGATAATCTTTGCTAATGAATGATTAACAACCCTATATAATTCAATAATAACAAGTCTTAGATTATGCTTATATACCAAATAAATAACTTCTAATTTTATAAAATGATGTATTAAGTGAAAAATTCAATTAGCGATATTGGAATGCAATTGATTAAGCTAAAAGATAAATTTTAATTTATGAATAAAGAAGCAGATAGATATATTGAATAATTAATATAATTATAATACTTGTTCATATTCCCTATATATAAACACATTTTTAAAATAACTTAGATGTTGTATGCTTATGATAGAAAATAAATAAAAATTTACTTTTTATAAAATTAACGATATTATTTGTGATATTAGTTGTAGGGAATAACTTAATTAAATTATTTATTTACCTTCTTATATTTTGAAAATAAAATAATATGTCAACTAAAGAGGATAAACAATATTTTAAGACCGGAATAGTAGGATTTGTGTTCATGTATTCAATGCTTAAATTCGGTCATTACTTCAACAATAATCGAAAGACCAAGAATCAAATAAAAAAATTGAAATCATATCCAATAAAGAATGTTTCCGATGTAGTGAAAGAGGCTTAAAATCAACAGAAATCAAACATCTACTTTATTGAAGGAATTCCTCAATAAGGATCTCTATATTCTACATTTAAAAAAATTCCCGTAATTTTGCGAATTTAATAGAGAACATCACTCTTTTCATGTGATTCCTTCTTGGAGCCACGAATAAAGTTTGATTGGAAGGAGTAAACTTATATTTAAAATATATAGGGCAAGTGTATCATCTGATTATTAAATAGACAAGCCACCATATTTTGCTTTGAAGGATAAATTAACTCAGACTGAAGCCCATGTATCTATAAGAGATGACACAGATGTTTCTGCAGCCTTAATGAGTTTTGGTTTCAAGGATGAAAAACGTTCATTATCATTTGCAGAACACATTGGAAATTATGCAACAATTTTCTACTCTTCCATATTCAGAGTGTTTGGACCTATTGCCCTTACTTAAGTGCTATTTAGGGACAGCTCATTCAAAGGAGTACATATAGGATATAGAGACAATGAATTTGGAATAAAGGCCGACGGATTGTTGTCAGTATTGGGACAAGCAGTATACAATACTGAAACAAAAAAATTTACAATTGAAAATCCATTGGCATTAACCTTGTCTAAGAATAATTATATCTATTAATTGGAAAAGAAGTTGTAAGAGAATGGAGTGGCTATAAACTTTTGGCTAGTTGTGACTTTTCTCAGTGGTTTATATGTTAGTAGAAGGATGTATTTGTATAACAAAAAGCATCCTAAGATATTACAAAAGGTGATTGCATTTTTCAAAAAACATGTATTAAGAAGGGGACAAAAGGTTGAGGGTGACGTTGCAAATATCCAGATAGCGAAGCCATAGGAGAATCTGCCTGATGAAAAGAAGGCATAGGCAAATGAAACAGCAACAGCATTTTAATGAAATATTAGGAAGAATTTTATAAAAAAAAACATTATTTATTATTTGATGTTATAAAAGTGGGCAAACAAATTTAATTTCTTTAGTGGATTCGTTTTGGGTTTCACGATAACTTGGATGATACCTAGGAATGCATTTGATTAGATTGCTATGAAATATTACGATATTGTGGATGAAAATTGACATAATATATAAATTTATGAAAATGCTTTGTTTATGCAAAGAATCACTTATAATTAAAAATAATAATCAATAATTTGTCACAAACTAAATTAAATAATTTTAATTAAGTTTCTTTTAATAATGGAAGAAAAAATAACATCCATAGTGACGGATGATAGAATAGATGAGATCTTTCATCTGAATGCCACTAAAGAGGAATTAATCATAATACTCAATTACATAATAATGGACTATAAGAAGTTCTCGATGACAGATAAAATCTTACTGCAATCATAAAAATTACAGAAATTAGCAATAGAAGAATGTGTAGAAAATCGACATGTGTTTCTGTTCTTGCCAGGAGTAAAGAATTCTATGGACATCAAATCACAAAAGGAAGTCAGATATACATATGAACCAAAAGAAGGAAAGATCTTAAAAGAAAAATATAGGAATGGACGTAAAACTGAATCAACCGAAGTGACTTATGAATAAATCAATAAAATGTTAGGATCTTTCAATCAGGGTACAGGTGCCTTCTTATAAAGCAAACCGAATTTCGCTGAAAGTAGATTTATAGCTCCTCTCTTACCTTAAGAGGAGGTATCAAAAAGAGAGAAGGTCTAAGTGAAAGGAGGATAATTACAATATGTGCAATAGCCCAGAAAAAATAGACCTGCTTTTAAAAATTATACTGCAGAAGAAGTCTCGAAACATAATAAACCAGGAGATGTATGGACTGTGTTGAATGGCAAGGTTTACGACGTCTCTCTCTACTTAGACTATCATCCAGGGGGAGTCGAAAAGCTGATGCTTGGAGCTGGAAAAGACTGTACTAAATTATTTAATTAATTCCATTCTTGGGTCAATGGACATGCATTTTTGGAATAGGACTACATTGGCAACTTAAAATATTGATTATTATATAATATAATGCTATATAAATTTCAATAAAGGCAATAAATACCTAAAAACATAGCAACAATAACTGCAGCAATAAATAGTTTTGTTTTTAACGCTCTACTTTCCTGATCTTCTTTGACTTGTTTTGCCTTGACTTTTAATAAATGAATTTACTGTTCTTTTCAAGCCTTCTGCATCTTTAACCAAGGGTTTAGTGTTTTGGACTAAAATCTATATTTAGTCGTCTCTTGCTAAGATTTCGTCTAACAGCATTACAATGATGGATTACCTAAAGTCAGAGACATTTGATTAGCCACATCTATCAACTGGTCTTTTAACCTGACTATTTCTTCATTCTCTGGATTACTGTTATAATGATCCTGGTCAACGGCATAATAATATTGATACTATCTTGATTCTCAAGCACTCTTTAAATTAGTCTTGCATCCCATAATTAACTGCTTTTTTTCTAATATTTTCACTGTATTTCTAACAAAACAATTCTTTAATTTCTTCTAAAAATGCAAAGGCAGTATATTTTGGCAATAATGCGTCTGCCAAACATAAGTAAGTGAAATCATTTTAATTGATATAATGAATCTTATAACTAGTATTCGATCCAAATGTACTCATTACTTTTTATCATAAACATATGTTAATCGAGTGTCTTGTTATAGTTTTTCAAATAGCTTATTTGCTATTGATGGGAAGTTACTGGATTTACTTTCATAATCAACAAGGATTACATCCTTTCCCCTTACAATGACGGCATAAATCAAGGACATAGAAATTTTAAAATTATTTAATAATGAATATTCGAGGATTCAAGTTCTTAGTGGAAGCCACAATCATAAATGTTTAGATAAGCGTTCAGTTTAATTGTAAAATATAGGTCATTCTAAAAAGAGGTATACCATTTCATTCTTAATTAATTCAAAAAGGGTCGTAAAAATTGGAAACGCAACCTACGTATGAATTGTAGAAAGGAATTGCCATAATCAACGAGTCATTGAATTGCACTATTTCAGTCAATTTGGGTGCAGATGGAAAATTCGAAGAAAAAAAAACTCAAATAATTGTCATTCTGGTCACTGATAAAGGATAAAAGAATGCTGGAATGCATAACATGAATTTATCGCAATATCTCAATCAACAATAGTTTGGTATGAGGATATTCACTTAAAATAATTAGAATTTTAAGAAGTCTTGCCATTAGAAAAATGCCCAGATAAAAATGCTAAAGTTGTAGTTAACTTTAAAATTAAACAGATAGGAGAAATAGATTAGGAGTAATATTAAAAGCATAACCTAGATTGGAAACTACAGATCAGTCTCTTGACACTTCCTAGGTTTCAATTTAAACACCGAAAAAGATGATATAGGAACCAAAGAATGACAATAGTGGTATAATAAGATAAATTATATTAGACAAAAAGAATCAAGATTCTGATCTAAATAATTAGATTTAAAAACTTAAATTGAAATTGAATGACATGGTTGATAAGGAACTTCATCAAGAGAGTATACTAAATTATGAATAACAATTGCAAGAATAAAATGCTAAGCTAAAAACCATCATTAATGAAAACACGATGATTCATGCCCAATTAAAAGCGAAGTCTTTTGTTATTGATTAATAAACTAATGAGATTGCTTAGTTGAAATCAAAATTAAATGAATATGAACTTGAGAACTAAGAAAATTACAAAACTCAAATAAACATTTTGAATGAAAAAAATATGAAATTAGAAAACTTAGTCATTGAACTAAAATAAGAAATAAATAATTTTAATGCTATTATCTAGGAAACACAAAAGGAATCCTTTAATTCTAATGAAAACAACTAAATTGAACAATTAAATGAGGAAATTGAAGCCTTGAAAAAGTAGGTTAAGGAAAAGAATGAACAAATCTAAAATCTAAAAAATCTAACTTCAGGAACAATTATGGCATTATAATAGAGAAATGAGGCTTTGGAAAAACGATTGAATGAATAAAAAGATGTAGTAGAAAAACTAAAAAATCAAGACGTATTTTTACAATTTAGAATTAGTAAGCAATTAAAGCCATTTCTAGCAATGACTCAAGTATCTTAGTTGAAGAACTGTAGTCTGCTTTGACCACTAAGAAACAGGATATTGAGACTTTACAATAGAAGTACGAATAGGAATTGGCAAAGAAGGAAGAAATTGTATAGAATTTATAACATAAATTGGAAGAATCAATGAGAAAGGAACTTGATACTAGTAAAACAAGTTAGGATTCTAAAAATTAAGCGTATTAATTAGAGAAATAAATTGAAGTGTCAACAAATCAGTAAGATAAATCCAAAGTAGAACAACAAATGGCTAGGCTAAGAAGTCAAGTCCAATAATGGCAATCCAAATGGGAAAGCAACCTAAAAGTACTTAGCGATTACAATAATGAAGTCTAACAAATGCAAAGACAAATTGCCGATGTCCCATCTTTCATTGACGATCAAAAGGAACTTCCCGATCAGTTACTATCATTGAAAAGAGCAATATAGAGCAAGCTTTAAGGCTATTAATAGTCATAAATCTCCTTAGAGTAGAAGGTTCAACAGTTGTAATAAGAGTTGGAAATTTGTTAATATAAATTGAAATTGGAACAAAGTTAATAAGTAATATAATAATATGTATGGAGTGTTCTGATTCCTAATTCCAAGAGTAGATGCATGCATACAGTGAGGAAATCTAGCGATTAAACTCAGCACTTTAACAGTAAAATAATATAATACATACTTTAGGCAGACGGAAGAATTAAAATAATTGCGTGAATAATCTGAACAGTAAAAGCAATCAGAGTTGGATTTGTCCAAATAACTTGAGGAGACTAAATCATAGTTGAATACGGTTAGGTAAAACATGATGAAATGTAAATAATAATTGGCTGAGGCATTGCAGGAGAAAGTATTATTATAGGCTAAAATGGCAGAACAGCAAAAATCGATTAAAGAAAAGAATTCAGAAATTCAAAAGAGCTAAGAATTGATTGCAGAACTTGAATAATATAATATTCAAATGGAGGAGACTATAACCACGACTCTTGATTAATATAAAATACAAAACCAGTAGACTAAACAATCCTATGAAAAAGAGAAAAAGTGGAGACAAGAACTCTAAGAATAAATAAAGGCACTCAAAGAGGAATTATCAAAACTTCAATAAGGATTAGGTTCACAATAGAAGTAAAAGAAAGAAATGAAATAATAATGCAATTGTCAAGAATAATTAAAATAAAATCAACATTATATTGAAGAATTATAATAACAAATAGCAGAATTATAATTATATAAATTGGAACAAGGAATATAAAGAAATAGCATTGCGTAAATAAGAACAAGTACCTATGCAAGTAGAAGAGATTCTTTAATTCAATTGTAAATAGAAGACATAAATAAAAAAGACGATGCTTTTGTTAGTTAAAGAAATATTTAATAAAATGAAATTGGAAGAATTAAGGAACTTGAAGAATATATAAATCATTTAACAAATGAGAAAATTAAAGTCTCCAAAGATTATCAAACTGAATTAGAAAGAGTACTCTCGGCAAATGATGAATTAGATAAAAAATGCATAAAGTTGTTATAAGAATTAGAACTGAGTAAAATAAAGATTGGAGATATATTCAATGCAGCAATTGAAATTGGAGGAACTCCATTGGTTGACAAACTTTAGATTGCATTCGGTATAGAAGAAGAATGAATATATATATAATTAATGATTCAATAAATAGTCATACCCAAATCAATTTATTCAAGGAAGGCTCTTATTTTCTCATCATCAACATAAAACCAAATTCTAAAATGAGTCAAATAACAGGCATCTCAGATGAGGCTTTTGATGTTAATATTGCAGCACCTACAAAGGATGGAGAAGCTAATGCTGAATTATGTGATTTTGTTGCTTAGACTTTAGGAGTTAAGAAAACAGTTATCTAAGTGTAAAAAGGAGGTAAGGGAAGAAACAAGCTAATTGAAATCGAGAGCATGTTTAAGGATATAAATGAATTTTACGAAAAACTAAAATAAGGATTGTGAAAATTATAGAAATAATTTTGCCCAAAATATAACTTTCAAAAATAATTTTTACTATTTTAGTTTTACATGGAATCCTAATGTAGCAATTTGTTATTAAGTGAGTAACGTATTTGTAATATGTTTTTGATTAATATTTCATTATTATTATTAAATACCGCCAATTTATAATGAGCACAATAAGTAGAGAGGAATATGCTAAGAAAATGAGATTAGCTTTATCAGACAACCATATCTGTAAACCTGATGGATCTGTTAATCACCAATATTTCTTGGTCAAAAAAGGCTAATATTGGGGAGAGGAGAAAATATAATTCTTAATTGAGCAATTAGAAAAAGTTGGGGTTGGAAATTGGAAGTTAATGTAAAAGGGACTTTTAGAATAAACTGTAAAGTTATTAAATAGATTTGTAGAGTGATATTGAATTGGAGTTAAGGACCTGCTTATTATTTAAAACTACAGATATTTAACCATATATGGATAAAAAATTTACAAAAAATGAAATCGAATCAATCGCCTAATAAAACTTAGAAAAAGCCTAGTAATTAAGCAAATTGAAATATGGAGTATTCGTTGTTTGATATCATTTATATATTAAGAAATATACGATGTTTTAATTTACTTTTCATTTCTTTGCATACTTTACTTTGAGTTGGCATTCAGGAGTAATTTTAAAATTGCTTAGTCCTTTCAAAGCTACAGTGGCTTGGTCATCATTTTAATATTCAACAAAGGCCAAGCCTCTTGCGCTTATTAACTTAATTAATGAATATCCAGGATATTGTCTAAATAACTCTGATAACATAATTTCGGTGACAAATGGTGGTAATGATTCTATCAATAACACATTATTAACTTCTCCTTAATTGAAAACAGTATTGTTATTCAATTTGTCTTCTAATTTTTTTTATTTTCTTTCTTTGGCCAAATCTGTTGGCAAAGTTGGTTGCAATTCTTTTTATTATTTCTATTTGTAATAAAATTTGCCTTCCATTCTATCAAAGATTACGCTCTTCTTGTATGCAAATTCAATAATCTAATATAATAGGCAAAAATACTAGTGGTTTGTCATAGACTATCATTCCAGACAAGGCTGATTTGGCATTGGTGGCATAAGTAATATTTTAAAACACAATAAATGCTTGACCTCTTAATTTTTATGTTTTTTTCATTACAATCTATAAGACTTCTCCGAATTAGGAAAAGAGAATGTATAACACAAATTTTAAGTCTTCCAATTTAATTTTATCATTCAATCCACTTACATAAAGGGTTTCTTTGGGTGCTGAGTCCTAATTAATTTGTTAAGCAGGATGAAGATAAGGCTAATTCATTAATAAAATCAAATTTATATAAATATTATAAAGCATTTACTTTTATTAGTCAAAATCTCTTAAGAACCAGAATTTTAGATCTAGTAAATTTATTACATTATACTTGTCTTATGATTGGGATATTTGTAATCGATTAAGACCAAGAAATTACATGTTTGCAACTAATGAAGAAGTTCTGTTCCAATTAATCGAATTAAGAAGCAATTTCATTGCAAGAGTCTAACTATACTTATATCTTCTTAATTATATCAGCAAATAAGTTCTCATTATGTTAGACATATCATTTGAATTACAATATGGAAGAGTCATTTAGATTTTTCTGATTCTCAAGCAAATCTTAGTTTATGAGGAGCTAATTTTGAAATTTTCTGATGGCTTAACTTTGCTTTTAGAACATAGAATTTCTATTTATGTAGTACTTGAAGAACCAACTTAATTTTAATAGATTATTAGTATATTTGAATGATTATATCAATAATTTGAATCCCAATTTTAATCTCTTGCTTTTTCCTTTTTATAGGGTACACCTATTGAATTGATTTCCTTTGATGCCAATTTATTATGAATAACAGCAGACTGGATATCTTTCTCTTGAATCATCCTAGATTTCTTGGGTAAGAAAGGAGGCTTGAGTTCTTTATCCATTAATTTGTCCTAAGTCAATATAAATCAAAAGTACCCAGTCAAATTTATCAAACCAAGTATTGGCCTTAAGAGAAGCATAGCCTCCACCTAAACGGGCTTCTGGTGTTTTTGATAGCAATTGTTCTATAAATTTCTTAGCTTTCTTATCCTTCATAAAAGTTGGGAATGTAATTGTCTTTTTTTGAATTTCTTCATAAATTTCATAAGGATCGTCAGCATCCTCTGCATACGGGACTCCACCACACATGAATTCATACAAGCACACTCCGATGGACCAAAGATCAACAGAAAATGTATATCCCTTGCCTGTAATAATTTCTGGAGCCATATAATGTGGAGTTCCAATAATAGTATATGTTCTAATTGATTTCTAATTCAAAAACTTTGCTGTTCCCATATCGATCATTCTTAGATAACCCTATTGGTTGATAATTAATTGGATACCTTCTCATCAACCATAATATTTTCTGGTTTGATATCTCTGTAAATAATTTATAATTTATGCAAATATTCTACGCATATCAATAATGACCCAATATAAAATTGGGAATCACTCGTAGTCAGCAATCCTATTTCTCTGATGGCATCAAAAAGTTCCATTCCCTTAATAAATTCTACCAAGAAATAAATGTAATTCTGATCCTTCATACTTTTGTAAAATTGCATCAAGAATGGGAAGTTGATGGTTGACAAAACTTGTTTTTCTTACTAATTTTATATAACAGTTTCATTACAGCTAAATGCCTTTCTAGATGTTGTTCAACAATCTGAGCCTTGCTAATACATTTCAAAGCGTATAATTTTTCATCTTATGCTGTTCTCACCAAATAGACATTTCCAAATTATCCCTATCCTAATTTCTTGATGCAAATCAAATTATCTAATTTTAAATTTGAATAATCCTTCTTTTAATATACATTAGTCCTATTTAGATACTTTTATTCGTGTGAATTTTCATTCTTTTAGATCATCTACTCTACACTACCTCCGATCATATCGAAGAACATTTTAATTTCAAATTCTGCAATGATAGATTCATCAGTTTAGACTTAAATTGTTTCAGTGAGTTTATTGTCTTAACCCTAGGATTTCAAAAACTATTCTCCAAAGATTTTGCCTTTACCCAATACTAATTTTTTTGAGGGAATCTATAGACCTTATAATTACGAAATAAAGTGTTACTGTCGCTATTTCTCCTTCTAAGATTATATAAACCTTAGTGCAAGGCTGTCCTGCTTTAATAATCATTTCATTCTTCTCATAATGCACCTGTCTAATGTTTTAGAGAATCTTCTCAATCTGAATTGAAGTTAGCTTTCCCAACAAAGGACTCTGTTACAAGGCCCATTTTTAAGTGTTAATATACTTAACAGTCTATATTTTTTAACCCAATATTCTCTGGATGTCATCCTTTGACAAGGAGAGACATCTCACTTCTTCCTCAGCTGCCTTAACAGTAGCAGCTCTTTAACAACTTTAATACAAGGCAGCTTCACCAAAGGATTCTCCAGCACTCATCTAAGATACTTCTTTGTCTCCCTTGATGATGGCCACCTTTCCCTTTTTGATTATATAAAATGAGTTGGCCACATCACCTTCAGACACTATGATTTCTCCCTTCTTAAAAACAGAAGTAATTAAAACACTAGAGATTGCGTCTCTTTATTCTTCGGTTAAAAAGGCTTTAATATTAATTCATCATTATTACAAAAAAATTCAACTTTTTTCATGAATTCTCTATTTTCTTCATAACTTCTCTGATTCTGTTACTCGACCACCTTCCTAAAAGTGTTTCGATCTATGGCCCAGAATGCACAATCTAGTTAATTGGTGAAAGTATGTACCTCCTATGGCTTTGACACTAGCACTCCTGGGTGCATTGTAGAGCATGGCCAACTCACCAAAAGCATCTCCACTTTTAAGAGTTTTTTTGAGTTCACCATTAATTATGATTTGACACTGTCCTCTCTCAATCAAAAAGTATGAACTGGCCATGTCTCCTTGCTTGAATACAAATTGACCGTCAGGGACAGTACAATAAAACATTTAATCAACCACGTATTCTATATCACTCTAAGGCACAGATTTAAAGATGAAATGCTCATTGAAGGCATTTAACATCAACTAATAGTCGAATGGGGATTTTCTCTTATCAAGTTTCTTGACGTTTTCAAATATTTCCACTGTGTCTGAGACTGCATTAATCTTTGCCTATTTCTTTTTATCACCACGTTTTAGCTAAGGTAAATATATGGAGGAGAGTACTTCAATCTGTTACACTTCTTAAATCTGTTAATCTTCGTCTCCATCATCATCATTTTATTTATGAGTTGTCTTTTTGGACACTGTGGTTCCATTCTGTTGAGGAATAGTGATGCTTTCCCCTTTTTTATTCACGTTCTCATTCCTGCCTGATATGAGCTCCATGTTCTCAGAAGTATATTATTAACAACGACATGCATTTCCCATTTTTTAAATAAAATACAATAAAAAATCAAAATTTGTTACACTTTATGAAACATAGTTCCTGTATTTACAATTCCCACGTTCAGAATTACTTGCTAAACAATAATTCCAATCTTATATAAAAACGATATTTAAATTTAAGATTTTGATATTCACATCTTATCACAAATTATAAATAAGATTTTCTTTCAATATAATATTCAGAATTGCACTAATTAGTTATTCATTGCGTATTCTAATTCAAGAGGCTGACTCTCTTACAGAAGTGCCTGTTTTATAAACATATTAATAAACAAGTTATTTGATACTACTATATTAATGAATAAAATTCCAAATTAGAAATTATCGATGAAATAAACAGCTACATTTAACTTAGTTATAAAATTGGCCTCATCAGCAACCTTGCAAAATCTTGTTTGATACAGACAATAAATGGGGTTATTAATCACATATTTAATGCAACACAAATTGAAAGTACTCAATAAAATGGGCTGTTTACAGATCAACAACAGAGAAGTGTTGAGAATGGAGATGATATTACGATTGTTTATAAAAAACAACAATAAATTTTAATTTGCATATAATTATAATAAAAATAATAAATGTATTTTAGAAAGGAGAGAGTGAAACTCCATGGCAAAACAAACTTTGAATATCGTTCTTTGGGTAGAAAAAGACCTGATGATGTGGAAAGATTAGAGTTTCTGTCTACTGCAAGGGAACAAAAATTTGACGAAGTAATTGCAAAGCGATTAGCAGCTACAATCCAAAATCCTCTATCTCAATCTTAAGAATTTTATAACAGTGCGCATAAAACTATAAAACAACATCCACAAATAAGCAGGCCTAGGTAAAACATATAAAATAAGAAGATTTGCGCATCTGGAGGAGAAACCTAGACGGAAACCAGTTTGGGTTGGGGATTCATATTTAGTATACACAGATGTTGATGGAAGAGAAGAATAAAGATCTAGTCAATATAGATCGTATTCAAGTAATAGTATTTTGGTATGTCAGCTACGCAGAAAGCTGATCTTGCCTAGGCCAAAAGAGATGAGCATGGCTAAGCCATACAAGAAACCTAATTAGTGGGAATGGAGGAATATGCTAAGAACACATTGGAGGGCAAGGTCGATTTAACAAAAGTGAAGGAAATTAGAAGAGCAATCAGGAGAAGATATGCAAATCGTAAGAATTTTTAGAAGATATTTACACTTTGGGATGAGGAGGGGAAGGGCAAGGTTACAGTCAAGAACATTTATCATATGATTAAGAAACTAGGCTTAAACATGAATTTAGACGAAGTTCGAGTTTTGGTAGCAAGTGCTGATGAGGATTATAGTGGAGATTTGAATCTAGACGAATTCATGAATTTGATATTCAATGATAATGAGGCCTTGAATGTTGATTTGGGAAAACTGAAGACTCTGAATGGAGAGTAGGAGTAATTGCTATTAGAAGGTGAGGATGATTAGATACAGGATGTGTTGAGGGAGAAAATGCAAGTGCAGGTTGAAAATAGATAATTCAATTAATTGAGTTTGATATTGAAGAATAAGCTATCTCAGTTGAATAATTCATTTTAGGAGTTGGATCCCTCCAAATAGGGACATGTCAATTTCGAGAGATTTAGTGAAGCTATTTAGAAGTAATTCATTATATTGAGAGTAGATTACAAATATCTGAAAAGATTGTTAATGATGATATAATCAAGAAGTTTTATGATAAATTTAAGAAGGATGAATATTAAATTGATTATCGGAACTTCCTGAAACATTTGAAGGAATTCGAATTACAAAGTCAATATGTGTAGAAGGAAGAAAAGAAACAGAAACCAGTTATGACAATCTCATTGAATCCTTTGTAAGAGGAAGAGAAGGTGCATATTTTCGATTGCACCAAAATCAATTCTCATCACTTAAATAATCTGAGATAAAGAGCAACAAGAATGGTTAAGGTATTGTAACGATATCTGCCTGAAAAAAACTAATTTGTTGATAAGATTCTGAATCCCCTCAACTAGCAATACATAAATGCACCTGATCTCACAAATCAATTACAATCTTATCTATCTAATTGTGGAGAGAAGATTGACACTAAAGATCTCGGGGCTTTACTCTCCATAATTCAATATAATAATTTGTAAGTTCCCAAAGACATGGTGGGTTTTTATGTTTATGAAGAAGGAGACGATGACTTCTATGAGAGATGCTCTTAGAAGCGAAAAGGTCCAGCGCCTTTAAACAAGGCTGTAGAATTGACTCTGCCTGCTCAAGAAACTCAAAAATCTTCATTCTATGATCCAGGATTCGGATTATCATCTTTATCTAATAAGTTTTCACCTGAAATGGGTCAAATGTTGTAAAAAGTAGAGTAATGTATCTTTAAAGCCAGTGCTCGGCAATATGATGTCTATAATTCATTTGATAAGGATAAGGATGGTAAAACTTAATTCAATAATAGGTTACATATCGCATGAGGATCTAAAAAAGAAACTCTAAGAGTTGCATATTTTATCGAATAATGAGGAATAATTGCTCATCCATTATCTGGATCCAGAAATGAAGGGTTCAGTCAATTTTCAGGAGTTCTCATCCAAACTGTATCCTGGAATGACCTTATACGATAGCAAGGGATGTGTAGGAGTAGTGCCTTCTCTATATCCTGCCAAAGAAAGAAATGAAAATATGAAGACTAAATTGCCTCAAATAACACGTTCCTTTGAAGATACCTCATCTAGTATGTAATTATTGAAGGGGGCAACTCGTTTTGGAGCAACTCCATAACATAAAAATACCTTTTTAAATGTTCAAAGGCCTCCTTAGGATTCTGCTCTTTTTTAAAATGAAGATGGAAGATTTGAGAAGAATGCTCGTTTAAGGTATTTGAGGGAAGATCAAGAGAAGGAGAAGAATATTTATGAGAATAAATTGAATAGAATTCGAAAGCATTAGAATGAAATTCAGGAGAGAATCGAATAGAACTATTAATAGTCAGTGATAAAGGATAATGAAAAGTGTAAGGCCAAGGGACTAGCAGCTTGGAGTTATGAATAAAGAGCGCATATGCAAAACGAATGGAAATGATAAATATATATATATATTCTTAATGCATTTTAATATTATTTGATATAGATTGAATAATAAGATTACACCTAATTCTATCTTCAAATGGCTACGATTAAAAATACTAGAATGATAGATGTAAGTATCCCTTGATAAATGTCAGTTATTGAAGGTGTGTTGATTACCTACGATTTGACACACTTTTCACATTAAGAAGTAGCTGTGTTCCATTAATAAGTAAAAAGACTCTTAGAGTAACATCTACTTTATGCAAGCTTGTATGGTTCTTCTTCAACGCACTCGCTTTGGGTTTTCTAAATACACACAGTAATTAAGGTTTCATCGAAGTTCAGAATTGGAGAACAGTCTGTACTGTTACTGCACGTAATGGATTTGCAAGTTGTTACTTCTGTGTTGTTTTATTTAGTATAGTCAAAATAGCACACTTTAGATTTCTTAGAACATGCAGTAAAACTATCATTGGCATCTTCACATTTAGACATCAACGAACAATTTTGGCCATCAAAGATACATATGCCATCAAGTCCATCAGATTCACATGCTGTTTAGGTAGTATAATCAGAACATTTTTGTTTTTAAAGACATTTAACGCCATCTGAGATACAGCCAGACTTTAATTTAGAACAAGCTGCAGTTGTTCTTTCTTGATAATCGACACAATCTTTAACTCTACACAATTTAGTACCAGAGGGTCTATTTAAGGGGAAAGTAAAAATGCATGGTCCATCTATGCCCTCGTAACAGGACTATTCAAGATAGTCAGAACAATTTGATTTACTCATGCATTTAGTTCCATCGGTGGTACAATTTAGTTTGGAATTGAATGATGAACAATATTCGTATGTCATTTGTGAGACTAAGGGAACATCAGGACATGACTATAGTCTGCATTCAGCTTATTCTGAGGATTAATCCCAAAAACAAGAGCCATCCTTTCCATCTGAGCTACAAGCGATTTTGGTTAAATAAGATGAGCAATTTCCAATTTGTATGCATTTTACACCATCAGACGTACAAGTATTTGAGTAATATTAACAGTCTTCTTTAGTGCTTCCAAAAATATCAGAACATTATTAAAATACTTGACATCTTTGCATTTGATCTGATTACCCGATTACCCATCCACAAACTCCATCTGTACCAGTGTTACAACTAATAGTATTAGTGTATTGAGCACATTTGGATAAGGGCATGCAATTTTCACCATTACTAGTGCATAGCTTAGAATAGACTTAGCATTCTGCAAATGTGGTTTTACTGATGTCTGAACATTGTGAATATGTCATGCAAGTATTGGTTTAAGTAATCCAAAGACAGGGACGACCTTAATAATCTTTTGTGCATTTAGATTTGATGTTAAGATTTTCACAAGCATATTGTTTGCGAGTGCAACCATTACCAGCTGTTATGCATTCAGATGATATTTATTAGCAAACTGAATCTTCAGTATAAGATATAGGTGCATCTTCACACACTTTGTCTCTGCAGCTATTAATTTCCCAAACACACTTCTTTAAATATCCTAAGGAAATGGCAGTTAGACATGTTTGTTTGTTCATGTATTTGTTACATTGATTGATTTCAATGCAACCATTTCCTGTAGTTGTACAATTAGAATTCAAGGCCTAACAATTTTCGTGTTTTTTTAATAGAACACTTGCATCTGAACAGACCCATTCTCTGCACTTTTGAGTTACAAAATTCCAACTACATTTCATATTGGCATTATTCAAACATTAAGAATACTTAGTGATTTGTTAACATAATTTTGTGTTATTTAGGCATCCATCAATATACTAGCAATCAGATCTTATCTTACACAAAGATTTCGAGACTAACATTTCACATTTATCACTATCAGCACATCCATACCCTGTCGTTTTACATCCAGATTTAAACTGATTGCATTTTTCATCTGTATTATAATTATTTGGTGCATCTGAGCATAACAGTTTTTGACATTATTAAATAGTATGATCAATTCCTTTGCATGGTTTATCCAAAGCATCAAATAGGATACAAGTATTAGCACTTCCATAGAATTAAGAGCAATTACGTTTTGTCAGACATTGGAACCCATCACTAACACACCCTTCCAAAAATGAATTACACACTACATCATTGGTACCTCTTGACAAATGATTACACTCTCTATTTATGCATCTGGTGCTACTGGTTGCATCACCGTCATTCCAACATGGCTTAGTACCTTTTTCTCCTTTGAATCTACTACACAATGCTTAAGTTCCATAATAACTAGAACATGGTTGTGTATCTTCGATGCATCCAACTCCTTTACTGATACAACCTGGCATGAATTTATTACAATCAGAGTCAAGAATAGCCTTGGTATTGTCAGAACATAGTCTATCTCTGCAAGTTTGAATTTCAACAAGACTATCTGAATAGCACAATCTTCCATTTCCCTTGAATTAAGAACATGTTTAAAGATTCCCAATATAACTGGAGCAGGGTTCCAAAGAAGAAATACAACCTTTGCCATTGGTTACACACCCATCCATAAATGAGTTACACTCAATATCTGTAGTAGATTGTTGATCATGGAAACATTCTCTAACTGAACATCTTGTAGTTACATTCGATCCTCTGCATTTCTTTCCATTACCTACAAATTTCAAGCAACTGGATTAAGTGCCTTAGTAAGTGTTACACGTTTATGCTGATTCTGTGCATCCTCTACCAGTAGTCACACACCCCTTTAAAAATAGATCGCATTGAACATCATTCACAGCTGTCTAATTATCTGAACATCTTCTGGTTCTACATGTCATATTAGTGTTTTTTAGATCCTAGAAACAACTCTCACCACTTAGTGTAGTCACATTTATACATTATTACCTGTTGTATCCAATATATTGAGAGCAATAGGTCTAAATATTTATGCATTTGATTCCATCATATGTACAACTTGGAATGTACTTGCCATCAACAGTTTTACCAATATACTATTAACACACGTCTAAACTATAAAGATTTTATCTATTAGAACATTCCTTTAATATGCAATTATTATCCATTCCTTAATTATTTCTGATATCATACCAACATTAATTATTGCTAGCATCAGTTAATTAAGTACATAACTAATTAGAACCTATGTATTGATTGCAGTTCGCTGTTGCTTAAATACATCTAGTCCCATTATATCTACATGAAGGTAGATGCTTTTTACAATTTTCTTATGAAGCATCCTTGATGTAATCATCACATGATGCATTAATGCAAATACTACCCAGATCTTAATACCAACAAGACAGATTGGTTTTAGTTGTAACTTATGAACAGGCATCTTTGGAAAATCCAATATATTGAGAACATGTATCTTTTGCATCTTAGCACTTAATTCCATAATACCTACAAGTACTCAGATGATTAACACAATCCTCAGCAGAATAGAATGGCAGAGTATCTTAACAAGTTCTATTCACACAGGTTGAACTTGCTTCCTTGAACCAACAGTACTCCCCCTTTTTGTTAGTGACTACCTAACAAGCACTCAGAGTGAAATTAACATACCCAGTGCAGTTATCCTATTCATCCACACACTTACTGTCACCATCAAATCTGCATGTCTTTAGATGATTTCTACAAGCTGAATCTGAAATAGACTCCACTTCATCACTACATTGTCTATCTTAACATGGATCATTGTTATCTTCAGATTTCCAACAACCAGGTAAGAATCTACACTCACTCAGACTCAATGTTTTATAATCACTGCAACTGCTCTATTTCTTAGCACACTTCGATCCAGTATAAATACAACTGGAATCGTGTTATTAACAAATCTCACTTGAATACTCTGTCAATACTTCTGCACATGTTCTTTCCTTACACTTCCCGTTACTATCAAACCAACAACCTTTCTATGCTTTATTTCTTGCATCCTTGCATCCCTATTCAGAAAACCCACTGTATGTTGAACAACTATCTTAAACCTCTTCACACTTATCAATTCCATTGAAAATGCAGTTATTTCTATAAGACGTGCAATCCTGTTATGATTTAACATTTTGTGCATCCTTACACTTACGATTAGAGCAATATAAATTTATCTCCCCAATTGTACATAAATCCCCATCTACATTAACCAATATTTGGCATTATTCTTATGAGTATCCATAATAATAATCACAACTATCTTATTTTTCTATGCATTTTCCACCATCAAAAGCACAACTATGTAGATATTCTTCGCATTCCTTCAAAGACAATGGGTTTTGTACATCTGAACACTTGCGATCCTCACAATAGTCTATTCTTACACATTGTAATCCATTTCCCCTGTATTTTGAACATTTATCCTCATCCCCTTAATAAGTATCACAAGGTAACTCTGCATCTTGACACCCCTTCTCATTGAATACACACCCTTACAAGAACTTATTACATTCCTAATCATTCTACGCATCGACATTGTGACTACATTATTTATCTGCGCATTAACCTGAAAATCCTTACTCATACCAACATTTCTTTCCATTCCCAACAAATTTAGAACAATCATCTATTGAATTTCCAAAATATTATGTGCATGGAGCTGTTGATGCTATACATCCAACTCCCTTGGTTACACATCCAGATTTAAACAAATTACATTCATAATCTTCCAATGCTCCCTAATTGTCATAGCATTCCAAAGGACGACAGTTTCCGACTTCTCCTAGATTTTGTGAACATTTGCTATTCAAAGCATAACACTATTAGGAATTTCCATAAAATTCATTACATTCTGCATTTTAATTAACGCATCCATACTTGCCATTAAATTTGCATCCCTCTAAACTCTTATCACAATCTTACTGGGATTGAGCAGATAAAATATCTTAACACACCATTGAACGGCATTATTAAGTAGCAGAATTGTAAACACATGGAATTTTACCATTATTGCCTTTGTAATATGTGCAAGTATCTTCATCTCCAAAGTAATCTTCACAAGGAGCTGAGACATCCACACATCCCTAACCATTAGCAACACATTTCTATAGAAAATATTAGCATTCTGTATTGGTCCTGTATTCCAAGCCAGCATGTTTGCATTATTTGTCAACACAAGTTAAACCATCCCAGAAACATTCAACATTGGATGAATGTCTTAGACACATTCCCTTAGTCGGAAAATACTAACATTGATTTGTCACACACTATTCAGTCCATTAGCATTTATCACTTGCCAAACAAGTTATCTACTATACAGTGTTAGGACAAGTGTCACTCTAGACACACTTGGTTCCATTACTTAAACAATATGATTGAACATTCTTGCATTCTTCATTAGTTTTAAATTTGCCATTCTCACAAGCATTAATTGCACAATATCCATCTGATCCTTATGCACACTTACCATCTATTCCTACGTACTTCTTGCATTTTTCAGCATCCCCCTTATATTTATTACAATTCATCAACAATGTAGTACATTCAACACCATTAGAAATGCAATTATATTAATAATCTCCACATTCACTATTGGTTGAAAATTGGGCATCCGAACAAACCTTGGCACTACATTATTAAGATTCCTCATAACTTGGACTAGTGCATTTTCCATCTGCCCCTATTCTTCTTTCACATTCAGATCTAAGACCTCTATACGAACTACAATTCAATAGGATGGTAACACAACCAATCCCTGTTGTTTTGCACTTAGATGAATATGATTTACATTCTTCATCAGTGGAATATTTATTTGGTGCATTTTCGCATACTCTTGCTTAACATTTTCCCTTGATTCCTTCTTCACACTTACCCGTATTTCCTATGTACTTCAAACACTAATCACTATCTCCTGTGTAGGTGGTACAGGATTTCAATGCCTAATCCGTACATCCGATTCCGGTAGTTCTACACCCTTTTCTAAAGGATTGACATTATTGGTCTGTATAATATGTCAATGGAGCACTGGCACAATCCTTAGATTAGCATTTATCATTCTTTGATTCGCATTAACCATCACTTCCAATCATGCCATCGCAATCTTTGGCATAATAATAGCAATTCACTCTTTTAGTTACACATCCTCTCCCGCTTGTGACACATCCATTGATAAAAGAATTACAAGCTTCGTCATTATTCAGATACTCAGGAGCTTCTTCGCATCTCTAATCTCTGCAAGCAGTTTTTTCCCAAACGCATTTCTTTGATCCTGAGGAACTTGTCACTGTACTACACAAAGGTTCGCTTTCATTCAAAGAGCATTCCCTTGGTATGATACACTATATTCCATCACTTGTACATTACATACTTACCTATTAACATTCAATATGAGTTGTATAGACATAGCTAGTGCACCCACTAAATTGAATGCATTTTTTATTGTAGTATGCACAACCCAGTCTGTTTATACAAACCTCTTGTGTCAAATCTTTGCAATAAACACTCTCTGGTTCAGTCTCGCTTATTGGCTCATCCACTCTCTCTGCACAAGAGTTGCTCTTCCATTGGCATTTGACATTTTATTAACAATCATTCTCTGATTTCAAATCCGTACATGAACAGACCTCTGAAACCTTGATTTTGCAGTGAACTGATAACATGAAACTCAGCAGAAATAAGTGATACAAACTATTACTCATTCAATTTAAATTAATATTTATGAAAAGAAGAATTGTGTAAATATTGGGGGTCCACGGCTATCCTCAATTCATTTCAGAACAATTCCAGTAGCACTATCAAAAACTCTTGTTTGTGTAATCTTAATTGTACAATTAGAGACCATCAGAAAATCCATTGCATTTACAAAATCAACTTACTCTGTGTATATTTCAAAATTATCACTAATTCTAATTGTTGAAGAATTCCATTCGAATCTTAGAACACTCATAGATCCCTCATTACGTAATAGGGATCGCGTGTCCCCCTGTTGATGACACCCAAGAATAGGAAGTAAATATATCATTCCAATAGTATCTACAATTCAATGTTATTCTCATCGACTCATTCTCATTGTAATTTTGTGAATTGGAAGAAATAAACCAAGACAAGCCAATAGATTTAGCTGAATTGAAGGATTTCAAAAATTCATAAAAATGCTGTATTATTTCTTGAATTTTATATAAATTTAATTTTTGTTTCAAATGGACCTAGAAAAATACTTAGCGCAATTCCCGAATTCAAATACAAACCTGAATAAGTTCATCTAAAAGGATAGCCTCAATCTACAATGCACCTACATCCCACCTGTGGCTATGCTCCATAAACCACAACAGAAAATAGATTTCTCAGATGTTATGAATTTACTGCAAAATTATCAAAATTATAATACACGCGAATTTCGATAAAGTCATCTTGATTTCGACGAGAAAACTTGTACTTGTTTTATTTTAATTCAGTCTATGTCACTATTCATGATGAAAAGAAATCTATTTTGAAGGATGGAGACGATAATGCAATTATTATTATTAATTCTTAAAATATCATTACAGTTGGAATTGTAGATTCGTTTTCAAAGTGTAAAAAATAATTCCTCTAAACCTTATATCTTTTTGATAAATTGAAAAATGATAATTATAAGTAATTGTTTTGATCCAATATGTTATTATTATTATTCAGTTGATGACATATAGTTTATGACTCTATTATGATATTAACTAATTACTATCTGATAGGCATGGTTATTTAATATCTATATTAATGGTTTATATTGTTGTAGCTACTTTAAATTAGGTATTATGATATAAAATCTATTCACAGACTTTAATTAATATCTTTTTCATATTATAAAATGAGGTTAATTTTAGCATTTTGTCATTGTAAAAGGATTTGGCTAAATTTAGAATGAATCTTTCGATTTTTAAAGTTATTTTATACATGATATAGTTCCTTTATTCTCTTCTTTGCTTTTGATATTTGCATATTCATGTATGTTTTATACTTTCCATTTACTAGCTTCAGTTGCCTTTGATAAAAATATATCAGTTTAAGTCTTTTAAGTATGGTGACAGACTGAGGGAGTGTAGATTAAGTCTAAAGGGAGGGGGAATCGATGAATTTTCTTTATTCAATAAGTGAGTTTGTATTATATATTAATAAATTCCCAAAATATTATGTTGGGAAATTTGGGTGTATAAATATGCAGAACAACTAGTAGCCAGTTGCCTGCATAGGATCTCGATTAGTCCTACATCATTTAAAGGCATGTAGGATAAGGAAAATACGGGTGATTTAATACTCTATTAAGTAGATAGGTCTTTAAGGCTCAAAACAAATTGAATAAGTAGATTGTTGCCTTAAAAAAAATAAAGCAAGAGAAAGAGGCCAATGGAGTAAAATCTATTTAAGTAATTAGTTTCCGCGAACGGCAATGAGAGAAATTCATTTGCTTTCATCAATGAAGCATGAAAATATTGTGGGTTTCAAGGAAGTTATTGTTCAATCTAGTAAGGAAAAAGCAGTAATTATGTATAGAGAGCACTTTTCTGGTTTTGGAATACATGGACACAGACTTGCATAATCTTTTGTAGAGGCGAATAGTATTTGGTTTGGATTAAGTTCGATGTTTGATGTATTAAATACTAGATGCTCTTACTTATCTGCATTCTAGGAATGTTTACCATAGGGATTTGAAGCGTATCCACAACTATATTTTAAAGCTAATAACATACTATACAACGATAAGGGATAAGTAAAGATTTGCGACTTTGGAATGGCCAATGAATATTCAAAAAAGAGACCATAAACCAAGCGAATATTGGTTCCCCAATACAGAGCTCCTGAAATCTACTTGGGCGGTGTATTTTGCTTCGTATTTAACAAAAATAGCAGTACGATTGTTCGGTTGATGTGTGGTCAGCTGGCATCCTCTTTCTTGAGCTAATAGTAAAACAAAGTCCCTTTGTGTTGGCAAAATCAGAATTTCAATGCTTTGCTAAAATAATAGATCTTTGTGGAACTCCTACGGAAGGTTTGAATTTTATTTTTTCTTTTATGGTGATTGGTCAGATGTGAATTCACTTCCACATTACCATGAATACATCAAAGGACCCAAAGAAAGAACACTGCGAAAGTACTTGCACGCTCAATCAAGTGCCCCGCCTTAACTAATCGATCTTATTGATAGAATGCTGACTCTGAATCCAGCAAAGAGAATCAAAGCCTAAGAAGCATTGAAACACTAATACTTCGAAAACAGGATCTTTGTCATGTGATTTATTATATCCCTTAAGGCAGGATGCCCAGAATAGAATAGGATGCACAGCCGCCAAAGGACCCTCCCATTCAAAAGAAGGTAAAACAGGAGCAACAACAACCTTTATTACAGGGTATCAAAATTAATAAATGTATGTGATTATATATTATATCTATATAAATATTAAGTCAATTAAGGATTTTTTATTAATGACCTTTTTAGTTAGGCTAATTCCCAAGATACACGATTACAAACATCTTTTATTATATAATAAATATATATAAAATAATCAATAATTGTCTTCTTCATCCTTGTAATCAGGAAAGTCTTCCTCATCTGCATTGGGAAATTCCTCAATGTTGTCTATTAGTTTTGGAACTTCAAAACAAAAAATATCCTTAATCAAAATAAATACGTTTTCATCAAAATCTTTTATTGGTTGAATAAATTCTATTTTGATTCCATCCTCATTATACTCAGCTTCCAAACTTGTGTGTGGTTGACTTGGTTCTCTCTCATTTTGATAAGACAAAGTCTTAAACAATTTGGGATCTATCACAATATACTCAGTTGAATAATTATTCATAAAGCCCTTGAAGAGATCCTCTTTGAACCCATCAGTATTAAATGCACCTTATGGATATTTTTTCATGTATTTGTGTGAGTAATCTTTTAATTTAGATTCAAAACTTATGACCTTCTAAGCAGTAGTTTGAACAGTACTCAATTTGTGACCGACTCCTGCAAATATTAAATTGGGTTTTACCTCTATTTTGTTCTTCTTTGCCATCCTATTTATATATGCTAACTCCCATTTTTTCCACTTGATCGAGGATGATCAATTCATCATCCATAAGATCTTTAGAAATTTGGATGTCCTATGACAATCCAATTGAACTCTAAGATTTCTCAGCAATTCTAACATACTCCTCAATAGCCCCTATTATTCTTGTATCAATTCTAGCGATCTCGCTTGTATTGATATCAGAATATCCTTTGATGTAGAGTCTGGTATTTATGAAATTTACAAGAACTTCATTGTTCTTAAGAAAATGATTGTATAACTCTTTGAATTGTTTGACCTCATTAAGTGGCATTTTGAGCAACCTCTCAATCAGGATGACAATCAAAATGTATGAGTTATAATACAAATTGAGCATAGTAAACAATAGCAATTAATAGACGTACTGATTCAATCGGTATTTTAATAAGCCATTTCTATCGTGTATAGATATCTAATATTTAGATATGATTGTTACATCAAGTATTTAATCAAATAATTGTTATCCTTTATTGAATTCTTCGAAAATATTTTCAGCAGATTATTACTTAAAATAGTTCTTCTTCTCTTCCTTGGGAGTGTTGAAACTTGATTTCTTGATTGAGTACAAGGCAGCCTTCTTCTTCAAATAGAGGTAATACTTTCTAATAAATGAATCCATGGATAGACTTTCTATTAGGTTTATAAAAGAATTACTATATTTGGGATCTCGTTCAACATAGTTTTCTACATAATTGATATTCATATCTGCAATGTCTGAGACAAAGAACCTATACTCGATGCACCTGTCTAAGATGATTAAGTTTTTTATGATGTAATTCCAATAGATTTTAGATTGCGATGATTCCAATTTGGCCAAGATCGTTGTGAATCCTACTTGAGGACGTGTTTCAGGATCCTTGCCAGAAAGTGTAAGCATTATGGCTAATAATTTGTAAAAGGAATACCCTCGATGTCACTTTCATTTGGATAATAATAATCCCCTTTATAAGTAGCTGATAATCTAGCTTTTTCGAATGTTGAAGTACCTCCAAACTGTACTATATTACGAACTAAATTAGTAATCATTTTATAAATGAAATAATTTAGAATATATTTCTTAATAATCATTGCTCTAATCAATCCATCCTTCTCCATCTACTAGACCCTATTACTTTCCATAAACATTTGCTTAATGCTGGTCAATCAATACTTAAGTTATCACCAATATTTTAATATTCAAAAATTGGACAACGTGATGAGATACTTGAAATGGATAGCCATGTACGCTTAGTTATCTCAAAGTTGTTCGCAATAGCAGATATGTGCTCAACTTATACTGCTCACTGAACTTGACTTGTTTATCAAGACAATAATTGTGATTGGATCTTCAATTAATTCAATCTTACAACCTAATATTTTTGAGTTTTACTTGACTATTCCCTACATGATTTTGATCTTGGGAGTGATGCTATACGATTATTGGAATAATAATCAAGAAAAACAAAATAGTAACATTCAACTCTAATAAACTAAGTTTATCAATCTTAAATAATAGTCAAATTAATTTGATAGACAGTCTTCTTAACTATAGATCCAAGAAAATGCACTCAAGTCTCCTGATTTAGAATGCTAAGATCAGTAAAATAGTCCTATGGTTCTTGATATGCAATGCAATGAGGAAGAAGATGTCCTAGCACACATGTATTAATGTCTATTACCCATCATTTAGGGCATGGATTCACAATTAATCTATTTTAGTCTATAATTAGAATTTTGAGATTACCTACTAGAACTTTTACTTAGGAAAACTTAATAATCTCCAAAGTAAAGGGATGAACCACGATTATGAGCAAGTCTTTCTAGAATCTGTCATAGAAATCGGAAGTAGGGAAGTCAATGATTTATTTGGGAATTCAGAATTAGACTTGGACTAAGAAGAGTATTATTTCATTCTAATATAACATAAATTAGTTCCTTGATTTTAGACAGCACTGTACATAGTAGATACAAGATTAAGGGTGGATTACACAAAATAAGGTAGATGATAGCTGCATTATTTAGCAATTACTAAAAGTATGACTATATTATTAAATTTTAAGATGGAAATTCTTTACTTTTACTCTCTTCAAAATAAAAAGCAACGAACTTGATTTCAGGAATATTCAGATTAAGGTGTTGGTTACTGAAGTGAAGTCTAAGCTTTATACACTCTTTATGTTTGAGGCTATGCAAAAGGTGTCTTCAAAAAGAGTATTGGATGAGCCACTTCAATTTTAAAATGTTTTCTAAACCTTTCTATCTGAATCCAACAATTACATCAATGTCATACATTTATTGCTTCTTCTATGTTCACATGAACATGAAAAGAATGCAGGTAAAATTTCAAAAGAATATTTAAAACAAATGAGAATGAGCACATAAAAGTTTATGATTTTTCTTGGGACCATGAAGGATCTGACTCTGTAACTTACAAACCAATTGATTTTCAGAAATTCGACATTCAAACTTGCTGACATCCTGGATGAACTCTAACTCATTTATGAAGATTGCTTAAAAATTAAGGAAATATCAATCGTTCCAATTATAGATACTGATATGATAGTTTTCAATGATTCGGATCGTGTAAAATCTATATATAATATTTAGACCAAGCAAATTCTGAAATGTCTTTTCGAAATTGCTATTAAATACACTGTTGCTTCAAAAATTAGAATTGATATTCATCAGGTATCACCAAACAATTATCAATTCTAAATAAAAGACATTCCCTTCAAGGAAGAAAGCCAAAAGTCTTAATATCAAGCAGTCCTAAAAAACACAGCCTAGTTAATGAAAACCAACTGCAAGGATTTTGACATGAGTAATCTATTGGAATTACAAGTATCTGCAATTCTAGCCTTCTTACTTTCTGGATCTCTTCGTAAATCTTTGGAATTGAGCTTGGATAGTCACTTCCAAGGCACTTTCACATTTACTGTTGAATCACTTCCAATCAACACTAAACATGGTTATCTTGCTTAACAAATCAAACCTAAACGTGCATTTGAAACATCACTCTCCATGCTATTGGCCTAAGCGTAAGACAGTTCCCATTACAAGAATGAAGAATCTAAATACATGTCTTTCACTTAGATTTCAAAACAGTACTCGCTAAAACCTGATGTCCCATTTGATTTATAAAGTGCTCATTTCTCGCAAATATCCAAAATCAAATAGGAGTCTCCCCAAATCAAACCCTTAGGTTCATAAGCTCAAAGCAATTCAGGTGGAACCTACAAAATATAGGATTCCCTGTTTCCAAAAAGTTTGAACACCAATAACCCATCAAAAGTCATCAAGAGTGATTCTGCAGTCAATGAATCTTCCAAGCCTATGACTAGTGCTTTGGATTTTGGAGAAAGCACCAATCCAAATATCGATCCTCCAGAGTTAAGTCCTAAGTTTCTACATTCAGTGATCAAGTTCAAATTAACTAATCAATGTTGTTCAAAGGTCATAATTGCAGACAACGATTATTTGAATGTTTCCGTTCTTTAAATCCTGCTCAATAAATACGAAGTCAAATCTGATAAAGCCTTTACTCAGTAATAAACTCTTTAGTTGATTAAAAGCAAGTCTCTTAATCCCTGCAGATGCAAAAACAGCTCCTATTTATTATATTTTATTGATGCCTCCTTACCAGTATGTATTTATACCTATATAGCAATCAGCTGTGGATTTGATAAAGGAGATAAAACAACTGTTTAAATCTTTGCAAGTAGACAAAGGCTTCATCATTGCCATGGCTAGTTATAGTGATATGGATTTGAAGTTGAGTTGTTTCAACTCTGGAATCGATTACTTCATCACTAAACCTTTCGATTTGTTTGAGTTAACTGCTATTCTTTAGTATATATAATTTTGAAACAAATATAACGAGCAATTTGGTTTCTATCAATTTTATAATTATTACACACTCCATCTTTAAAACTCAAATGTACAAAGACCTTGACATCAATGAATTAGAGAAGCTAAAGAAGGAGGAGGCCATGTTGTCTCTGAGAAAAGCCACAACCAATATAAAGGTGACTTATTGTTATTCACCAATAGGAAAGGTTTGGATAATCTAATTATGATATTCTGGACGAGGAGTTTAAATCGAAAACTATTGGGTTAGTTACTAGGGAAGAATTTAAAAGAAAGAGAGAAAATATTGATAGGATCTATGTTTAAGATCTTAAAATTAAATAAGAAGAGGAGGAGAAAAAGAAGTTGGAGTTAAAGCAAAAGAGGAAATAAGAATATAAATTGAAAACTACACTTTTAAGCTTTGATTAAGAATAGCAAGAGATGAATGAGAAGAGAAACTATGGAAAGGATATTAGTGTAGATACCTTATATCTACCAGACATGAATAGAGAAAAGAAAATTGAAGAGCTCACTAAAATATTCACTGGTATGTCTACTTTGATCTTATTAGGCACTAGATGAATATTAGAAAAATATGGAGTTTTAAAAGGATTAACTTATTGACATTATATTTTAGTATTGGGATGCTTAAACTTGTACTCGAACTTTAAGAATCAGAAAAAATACATCAATTAAAGAATTTTTGGAATTGGCAAGAAAAGAGATTATAAGAGATTTCGGATTTGTATGAATCAAACACTTAGTTTATTTAGTTGACTGAGTTTAGTCCTGATGATTTACTTTTTGTAGCCAATGCAATGATTTTGCCTCACAAACTTAGTTTTCATGAGATTATCGCTTATAAAGTTAAGAATCGATCGGGAAAACCAATATTTTCCTTTGAATAGAGGAAGGTAATCAGAATATTATTTATTTGATATGTGTAGGTTCAGGCTAAAGGCAATGAATATGAAGTAGAAGTCGAAAATTCAACGACTTGTAGGATTATTGAAAAATTCAGATATGAAAAAATAAAACATATCTATCCTTGTTCCAAATGGGAAGTTGTTGATATTAATAAGTACTAATGAAAACTATGATGAGTGATTATTAAATTTAATGAATAAATTTTTACTAATGTCTTCTGAGCAATAACATTAACAAACGAAATTGCATAAATTGCAAAATTATTATCATTAATTCGAAAAGGCTGAAATAACTGGAACTTAATTGAAATCTCAATTATAAACCAATTTAAAAAATAAGATGGAATCCAAATTTAGAAAACATCATTCATTAAGTAGATCCATCATATACAGATTTTGTTCGATCAATCTATAAAACTAATAAGTATGTACCCAAATAAACAACACCGTAATTGACTGAATAAATCAATTATCCTAAGAAAATAAGAACAGAACATATGTATTTTATTAATAAATTAAAATAGAGGGCATGTAGATTTACTTAAATGGGATTGAATGATGAGTAACTTAAATATTTTTAAATACTTACTTATATCAATATTCCTATTTATTATTATTGATAATTATTTAAAAGTTCGTTTCCAATAAAACAGATAGGTTATCTAAAGTGGTTTATTGTTTTTTTTTATTTTCAACTTATAAAAATAAATGAAAAATCATTACACTCCAAAAAGTTCAGAAAGATATGGTAAACCCACTTAGCCAATTAGACATTCACTTCCAGTTGGACTATTCTCAAGTCAGAATTCTCTATTTGCTTCCATCCTTAATGTAAAAAACAGAGAGAAAAATAGTATAAGTCAAAAACAAAAGAATTCTTCAACTCGTTTTGAAATAGCTACATAAAGAGCTGAAACACCCAACAATCAAAATCCATCCATGCCATTTACGACGAAATATCATCTGAGTAGTCAACCACAAAAACAAAAAAAGAAATCTAATTTAATAAATAAGGAATCGTTTTAATCAAAAATATCAAATCTTCTCTGCTAAAATAAAAGTGCAGATTTTGATAATCTGAGTTCTTAAATTAAAGAAGGAGATGATTAAGAAATGAATAGAATTTTCAATAATCTAAAATGCGTGAGTCAATAAATCAATTGTATAAAGCCTAATCAATTATCTCAATAAATTTTATCTTCATGGCAAAAAGTGTTAACTTCCAATTGCGAAAAAATGATTGAATTTAATTAATAGAAAAAGAAATCCGAATTGGGATGCCCACCATTAATTAAAAGTGATAGTTCATCATCCCAATTGTTCTCTGCCTCAGGTCTCAATCTTGAAAAGTTGTTGGCAGAAGAACGAAAAAACCGTCTTATGGTTGAGGAACAGACTAGCAAAATAATATCAAGTCAGGAATCTGAAATTAAATCATATGTATGTATTTCTTCCTATTCTTAAGATCGAGAAAATCAAATAATTAGAATAGAGGTTAATCGAAAAGAATTCTTGGCAAAAATGATTATAAGAAAAAGGATGTGTATAATAATATTATTCCTCTATTTAATTTAATTTGAAACATTAATATCTATAGCTAACATTTATGTCGAAAATTTAAAAACAAAATACTGTACAACTTAATTTATAGAATGTTTAACAGTTTATTCCTACCCAATAAAATTAAGTTGGACCATAAATCGGAAGCAATTCTCCTAAACCTCCATTATACTCAAAATCAAACAAATCACCAAAAGGAGATAGCTCATTTAGAGTAATTTCACCAAAAATAATAATTAACCAAAATAATTCATAAAGATCAATAAGCAAGAGTAGTAGTCCGATAGAAAAGCAAATGTCTGAACCTGATAAACTTCATTACTTTGAAAATCAAAATGACGCAGTAATTGAGGATAATTAAATAAATGCTCCAGATGTCTTATAAATACATCAGATAAAGTAAAAACTCATTAATATGGGCGATGAAATATCAAGTTTTCATCTAGTTGACATTAATTTAAAGGTTCTCAAAAAATGGCAAAATCAATTATTACAAGAAACCAAAGCGATGATAAAGTTAAATAAAAATGTCATTAATTTATCACAAACCAAAATAATCTCCCCAAGGCCAAATTAGGTGAAAAAGGTTTCAAGTGATGAATTATTAGAGAAATTATAAACTGAATAAAAAAAACGATTAGATGCAGAGGAATAAAGTGGTAGAATACTCTAAGATTAAGAGAAATATATTTAAGTTCTGGTAACCTTTTTGTAAAATTATATTAGAATGAAAAACTATTTCAACTTGAATAATAGTATTCAAAAAAGAAAGTCTGAAGTATGTGAAACACTAAATTTTGTCTACATAATGATAAATTTTATTTTATAAAATAAGTCTCAAAAATGAATAAACTAGAATAGAAAGCTGTCCATTCTTTACTTCAACTAGCAAAAGAAGAAGAAACACGAAGTTAAAGAAATTGGGAACCTCAATCTCCAAAGCAAAATGATTTTATCTCCCCTCAACCAAAGAGTATTAATTAGCATAGAAAAAATATAAGAATGATTCAAAATCAGAAAGCAAGATAAAAGTCTTCAATAGAGATCAATCAAGATGATGATTAATAACTTTTACCACCTTCACAAAAAGAAAATTCACTGTAATAATTAATTGAAGAGTACATGAAATAAATTCGACATACTCAAAGGTAACTTGAATCGATACACCAATCAAAATTTGATTTGAAATCTGGCTGGGTTAATTTTAGTTCAATAATTCTCGAAAACAAGGCAAAAGTTACAAAAAAAAAACACTAAAGGTCTTCATTAGAATTGCAAATAAAAGAAAATAATCAACAAAAAGTATAACAACAATAAATACAAAAAAAGACACCGCTTCGAAAAGTATTACTTAATGATTCTTTCTTTTTGCCAAAATTGAAGTCAACATATCTAAAATGATTCATTTTATATTTCAAGTTTACTCAAATCCCTTTCTTTTCCTCCTCCCATTATTTATTATCTAATGGACATGTATTTTTTGTTTTAAGCCATTATCTTATGCAATGTTCATGATAAGCATGCCCGCATTTTCCTTATTGAGTATTACAATTCTCTTTTGGATCCTTTCCTTCACATTCAATACATTTTTCCATTATATGATTTTTACAAATAGCGCAATGTTCAACCTTCAAGCTCCAAGCTAATACTCAAAATGTTTATATACACCAAAAAGCAACAGGATACCACTTTTTAATCTCAAATCTTCCTTTCTCCTCCTATTACATTATTTATTAATAAAATATTTAAAATATAGTCTCTAAATAATACTTGTTTCTGACAAACTTATTCTTTAATAAGACATTGTTTTTAATTTATACACTCATTTCTTCATAATGATTTTAATACATGCTCTATGGTATCAAATGCCGAATTAAGTTCTGCTTCATTTATTATTAAGGGCGGAGTTAATCTAATACATGATATCAAGTATCTACCTCATGATAGTTTTATGAGTAGGTTTACAAAGAAGTCCTTCTTTTGCCAACTTCAAACAGAAATCCCATGCAACATCTCCTTTTCCATCTTAAAATTAAATGGCTCCCATTAATCCCCTGCTTCTAATTTGAGTGACATTGCTGTATTTCTTTAATGCAACTAATCTTTTCTCCATAACTTTGCCTAGACTATGAGCATTTTCAATCATTTTTTCTTCTTATAAAACTTCCAAGGCTTTAATGCATAGACTGGCTGCCAAAGGATTACCACCATAAGTGGATCCATGTTCTCCAGGTTTGATTTGTAACATAATTTAATCATCAGCCAAAACAGCAGATATAGGATAGAATCCTCCTGATAATGCCTTTCCCAATAAGACCATATCAGGTCTCACATTTTCCTATTGAAATATTTCTAGCATTTTATACATGTTCAACAGCTAACATTTTTCCTGTTCTGCCTAAGCCTGTTTAGATTTCATCAACGATCATCAAAACATTGTATTTATCACACAACGATCTTACTTATTTCAAATAATTTGAGTCAGGTATTATAACTCCATTTTCACCTTGTATAGCTTCAAAGAAGATGGCAGCATAATTTGGACTAGCTTTAAACTTAGATTCAATTGCATCAAGACTACATAATAATTTAATTTTACTTGTTGTAATCAACAAGATCAAAGTTTAATCCTCCAAAAGGCCCAAATTTATTATATCTTTCAGGATCATCACTACTTCCACATGCAGCGATTGTTCTACCCCAAAAATTGCCATTTGCAAATAGAACTCTTGCTTAATTTTCAGGAACCTTCTTTACATTGTATGCCCATCTTCTTGCAAATTTAACTGCTGATTCTCCTGCTTCCACTCCTGAATTCATAAACAACACTTTATCATATTTGAATAATTAGGTAATATATTTTTCAGCCTCTCCTAATTTATTGTTATAAAATCTATTGTTATTTTTATTTTTACGCTCTAGAAGTTAAAGTCAATTAAGAGGCTTATTTAACTAATTCTTAATAGATCTTGTCATGACAGTGTCCTTGATTGACTGCTGAATATGCTGCTAAAAAATCCATATATTTCTTTCCTTCTTAATCCCAAACATAAATTCCCTTTCCTCTTGAAATCACCACAGGCAATGGATGATAATTATGACATCCATATTGATTTTCTAATTGTACAAAGTATTAACTATTTTTAACCTGTGAGAACTTCCCAATCGATTTGAAGATAAGATTTTTCATTGAATAAATTAATACGTAATATTATTTTTGATAATAAAATTTCACAAATTAATATTTAATAGTCATAATATGTGATCCTAATTGTAATTGACTAATTTTTTCTTATCTTCAATGTACAGGGCTAGAATTTCCAATCCTTAAATTGGGAAAATGGAATTTGTAATCTCATTAGGTGGAAGCAAGTATAAAATGCTATTTCCAATATATGCAACTCCAATCTTGTTCTTTTCAGAAAAATAATCTATATATTCTTAAAAGGCATTATTCTAATGATAATGCTTATATTAAAATACCTAATTGTAATCTGATGGACACAGTATGAATTTGAAAGCCTCGTTTGCTGATTTTTTTGCATCAGTAAAGTTTCCCTTATAATTCACTTAAATTTGAGGTGCCATTGCAATAGGTGCCTAGGAATATCTTAAAATAAAATTACTTCAGGTTCTTAGCATTTGGCATCCACTCCAACCTTATGACTCTTGCTTCTAAACATAAATCCACTCCAAAAAGTATCCCAATCCTATCTTTACTGTTGTTATTATTATTGTTATTGTTATTATTATTATTATTGTTATTATTATTGTTATTGTTGTTATTATTGATTAGTATCAAAGTTTAAGAATCCATCAAGAATTTCTTAATTGCCATTTGGATTGGGCTTTATTTTATATTCTTGTTCCTAAGGATACATTTATTGTTAAGGAATATTAAATTAAATTGGATCTACATATTGATGCTACATCCTTCGTTCCTGTTTAGGCATAATAAATTGTTCTATTGGCTATTTGTACATGACTTGTTATGGAATGAAGAGTGGTTAATAACTAGGTTAAAATGGTTGAGTGATTGTAGGCATAATCATCATTTTGTTCTGTATTGGTTATTGAGGAATCATTTGGATTGGTTAATATTACTGCATTTATTATTGAGGTTACATTGGCATCTTGGGGAGGGATACAATTCCCACTTCACATTTTGAATCACCAAGAAGATCTACCAAATGTTATTATAGGTAGTTTCTTATTTATAGGGCTTGTTTTGTGTCTCTGAATTGTAGAAGGGTGTAGGACTTATAGTTTGGATCTTGTTGAACGTAATTCCAAAGGAGAGGTCTGCATTATTGATTCTAACATATCTTTTATGTAATGATTTAAAAAATTACTTCAAACAAAAATGCATGATCAACTTTTTTATTTAAATTAGGAGGAAAAAATATAAATAATACTGATGAAAGTTTAGAATGTTACTCATTTGATAAACTAAAATTCTAATAAAATTTACTTATTGCCAACAATATTGTGTCTTTTTATAGGGTCAGAAAAATAAATTTTTATTTAAGTAGAAAATTATTATTAAATACTATCCATTTTTTAATAAGCAGAAATAGCTTAATCTATCTAAATTCAAATAAAAAAAGTTTATACAGTAAAAAATTTTATATAACTGTTAAATATATTATGCTTATTAGGATACAGATCAATCCTCTCTATAGAGCCAAATTACGAGAAAATCTATAATTTTCACATTCTATTACCTATCGAATCTTCAATTCATCATAATTCTTGGATATTCCACTAACAAACAATTCTCTAACGTAAAGTTGAATTTATATCTTTGGAGACGGCTCCAAAGGAGTAATAGGTCCATTTGTTAATACTTATTTATTTTTCTCTTAAGATCTGGAACGAGAACGAGATTTGCATTTAGTAATAGCTTATTTATCAATTTAAGGTTTCACAGTCCAATCTCCAATTCTGCCTTCTTGAATTGCCTTATCAGCTGCATCATTATCAGCAAAGGCAATAAAAGCATAGCATGAAATATGTAAAGGTAATCCTTTTGTGAATTAACTCCAATACCTGTAGGTGTTTTTCTGATGATCCTAATGTCGATAATGTTTCCGTAAACTTAAAAGGTTTGTTGTAATTATTAAGTTGTGACATTTAAAGGTAAGTTAGAGACATGGATTTTTTATCTAGCAGAAATAGGTTGAGCAGGGTTTGGAACAGGTAAAGGATATTATGTAGGCGAATTTTGAAATTGAGGAGAAACTAAAGTATTATTGAGCATAGAAAATTTAAAAATATTAATATCATTTTTGATATTTTAAGCTTCCTCTTAAATTCAGGAATAACTAACATAAATTTAAAATTATAAAAGAAAGTCAACGAAAGTAGTCGGTTCATTTGTTTTTAATGAGAATAATATCTCTTTATTTAATGTATACATATATAAAAATAAATTAAATGAATAACAACGACGAAATTATATAGAAGTTGGATGTGATTGTAGCAAATTACATAAATTAACGGGATCATAATGGTTAACTGCTCACTGAAAAATATTCAGAGACTTACATATATTCTTTAGTTCAGAAACATTTATTTGACTATGAAGCAATTTTTACAGCTTCTCAAAAATCTGTCATTGATGTCTTTGATTTTATAACTTCCCTATTAAAAGTAAGTTTGCAGCTATCCAAAAATAGTTTACTTCAGAACCCATAGAAGATACCTTATTCATTATAGTGTAAGCCATAGATTTTTTCAAAGCAATCTGTGAAGAATATCAAACTTACACCATCAAATTCTCCGACCTCTCAAGTTACCTTTGCAAATACAATCCAAACTTGGATGATGTAAATATCCAATCTGATTTTAATAGAAGGACGTCCCACTACAAAATAGAACTATAACTTATCATAAATATCCTCCTCTGAAATAATTCAATAAACCACAAAGTAGATAAGTGAGAAGCATTGATTTAGAGGCACCAATCATTCTTGGAACTCTAGGTCATTACATAAAAAGGATCAATAAAGATAAGGTATACATAGATTCCCAGAAAAACTAAAACAGTTCTATATTAAGAATGTAATATTAGGAATCAGAACTAAAAATCCTAATCCTCCATCAATATAGTGATTTTATTAGTATCTACAATCCTGATTGCACGTTGTAAAGTAGATTGAGACCCAAGGCTTAACAATTGAGAAATATCATCCATGATTTCTGTTGGTCTGAGGAACAATAACGAATAGGTATAGTGTTTAAAGATGCATGGATCTGTTTCATGGATTAGAGTGACTAATTTGAATTGGAAAAGTACTTTACAACAAAAGTAGATCAACATAGAATCTATTATGTCCAAAGTAAATGGATGACTGTAAGTAGTGATTCAAAGATATCAATTTGGAATTTGGAAACTGAGAACAGCAACGTTATATTTCATGATCAAATCAAGAATGTTGTAAATATAGTTGAAATAACATATTTATAATTAGTGTGCATTGCTTGTTAAGATAAATTGACCATGTGGGATCTTTGGGAATAAAACAAGCCTAAATTGCTTTTTAAATTATAAGTCAATCACAGTAGATTGAACAACATTGTTTTCTTTTAAGAATATCACTTAATCATAACGTCTGGCTTTGATACTAAAGTTAATCTCTATTAATTGCATAAAAAATATAATGATGGAGATTATGTTGGCTAATTGGAAGGTCATAACGCTATAGTTACGGCAATCTAATGTATAGAGAAATCTCCAATTGTTATAACTACTGATGATCGATTGATTGTGAAATTATGGGATATCAGAATTATGAAATGCATACAATCTTTTGATTTAGAAATGAGATAATCTATCAATTACATCACCGTAATGTAGAACCTATCAAGCGTATGTTTTGCTACGAATCGACTAATTATAATGGCTTTTGAAGGTCACAATAAAAATCTCACCTAAGCTAAACCTTAAAAATAGAAAACTTTACATTTATTTCCTAAATAGGTGGAATTAAATGCAATAAAACAATAATTGATGGTTTCAACAAACAGAGATATCCGAATAATCAATTTATCTAATGGATAAACTGATACCATAATAAAGGCTATGATTGGCCAAACAGATGATATGATCAGTTAATTTAAACGTATTATATGTCAATATTCAAAGCAATTCAATAGCATAAAAAGATTATACTTGGAACAACAAAGGGGCTTATTAAAATATTTGATATCTACTCTGGGGATATAATTAAAGAATACTAGAATAACAGTAATAAAATCACTCATCTATCTATTGATTATCAAAATAGAATAATTTCTACATCGTCACTGGATGGTTAGATACATATTTATAAAGAAAATAATTTAAATTTAGAATCCTTGAGGAAAGCTGAATATGCCCATAACGGTATTGATTATTGCTATGTTTCTTTGTTCCACGATCTGATTATTACAGCTGGTGTTGACATAGTATGTTTATGGAATTTGGAATTTACAAAGCCAGTCTCTACAATTAGGACTGAATCAGCTCCAAAAGGTGTATATATTTTGGATGGTTATCGGATAATTATTATTGGGTGTAAAATAAATACATACTTTCTCCAATTTGAAAAGAAAGAAGATTAATATTTTTATCAACAAATAGGATTCATTCCATAAAGTTGTTGTGCTTTCACTGATAAAAACGGCACTGTACTTTTAGGATCTAGAAGAGGCTTGATTTGCAAACTTCAGTTTAACACGACTAAATGCTAAAAAGTATAATTTCATCCATTTAGATAAAATTGGGAAGACTATAATGTAGGAATCAATAATCATAAAGTCACTAGATTTGTTATCAACACTACTTAGGAAATGAATTTAGATTAATAATTTGAGGCTCATAAAAAAAGAATTCAACATATAGATTTTATTTCATTGGAGGGAGATAATGTATTAAAGGAAGTTTAATCTAAAGTAATAACAACATCCAAAGATGGTTTTTTGAAGATTTTTGATTATCCATCATTTCAATTGATGTGTGCTTTGAATGTTAACCATGTTTTACCACTAAAATGGTCGATTACAATTGATGAACAAGAAAATCTGAAATTTAAAGTAGCTTTTGCATTAAAAGTAATTCATTTTATTAGATCATAACCTAATCTTACCATTAGTCATTTAAGAATGCTAGAACCTAACTCAATATTTAAAAATTTATTGAGTCAAAAGAAATTCTTTAAATAAAACACAAATGAAGACAAAGTTCAATTGTTATAAGATTTTTATGAACCTAGAGATTTAGTATTTCAAAAAGTTAAGGGATTCTATAAAAATGAATTATAAGGACTTTCCTTGAAATAAATCGAAGAGAAGAAGAAAACCATGCTTCAAGCTAAGATGTTTGAGAAAGATTATAATGAGTAGAACTTCCAATCAGAATAGAAGCAAAACGAAGATTTGGGAAATAAAGAATTTAAAAGTTGGTAGTAATTCCTTAATCCAAATTTCAGGAAAAATGGAGTCTAAGGAGAAATAGAATAGATTGAAAGATTGCATATGGTTCATCAATTTGAAAAACGATTAGATCAAGTCTTGACGAAAGAAGATGATACTAACATTAAGCCCAATGCATCAGGGAGAAGGTACTCAAAAACAAAGCAAGAAATCTAAAATAAAAGTGCAAACAAATCGTCAAGGTTTAGATCCACTCTTCCCTTCTTTCAATATGCAAGCGAAAGAAAATTGGCATCGATTCCTGCATCAACTGACACCTCTCAAAGATCGACTCATATAGGATATGATACTATAAGAGATGAATATTCTAAAAAAAGGTTCTAACGTGTTTAGTTTTTGACTTAAAATATTGGTTAGCTGATTTCAGATTTGGATTAGAATTAAAAAAAGTAAGGATTGGAAATAGGAGAAAACGCCATGAGAAAGACTAGTGGATAAGTGTTTAATTAAATTGTTAATAATTTGAATGACAAATTGAGGGATTCAAAGTTCAAGAAATATTCTAGAAGTATGGGTAAACACGATCTAGAAGGAATTTTGAGTGATCCTCATCTTAAATCTTTGCATTCTAAGCAATCTTTAAGGAGATTGCCATGATTTCAGAATTAAATTAATTGTAATTTATCTCTTTATGAATATGATAAATCTTTCCCATTATCATTTAAAACATCAATTTATTTCATCTTAATTTTTAAAAAGAAATAAAAACTATTTAATATATATTTTATTAGATTCAAATGGGTGTCACTTGTTCGTGTCAACAGAAAATTGAAGATGATTATTATCTAGAGGATCCCCCTGTAAACGAGGCCACTTAATAGCAAAGTGCTGATCTTCTCCAAAATGCGGATAAGAACGAAGGAAAGGAATAAGATCAATAAAAAGAACAATAAACTGTAGACATAGATCCAATTCAACTTAAATCATATGAGATTGAGGACAATTGTCCCTAAGGTCTCTAACCACTTACATTTTAGGCCTAACAAGAATTTATTGATCAATATCCTGCTATTGTGAAAAAACAACTTTAGAAATTACCAAGGCTTGAAATTAAGGCTACTCTTACTCCTAATTATAAAAGAATACCTCTAATAGATACTCCGTAATAACTCTATCTAAATAACTAGTTATTTATTATTAAATGGAGATGTTTATGTAGGATAATGGGCTGAAGGAAAACCCTTTGGTTTAGGCAAAATATATTATCTTGATCACCAAGTCTACGAGGGTCAAGTGATAGATGGAATTCCTAATGGAGAAGGCAGAAAAATATTCAAAGATGGCTCTTTTTACACTGGTATTAAACAAACTATAATTCAAAAGGGTAATTTAAAATGGGTGAAATAAGTGGAAAGGGTAAGTTTACAAGATAAGATGGTTTCAAGTATGATGGTGATTTCTTATGTGGAAGACCAGATGGAAAAGGAATTGAAACATGGCCAGACGGCACTAATTATTAAGGTTAATATAAATTAGGTAAGAAAAATGGATAAGGATCCTTTACCTGGAGTAACAGGAAGAATAAGAAAACTGGCAAATTAGAAAGCTATACTGGTTTATTTAAAAATGATGTATTTCATGGACCAGGAAGATATGAATGGTAGGATGGAAGAATCTATGATGGAGAGTGGGTAGAAGGAAGAATGGAAGGAAAGGGAGAGTTCATATGGCCAGGTATATATAAATAATTGATTAAATCCTTTTTAGACAAGAGAAAATATACAGGAAATTATTTAAAAGACATAAAATCAGGTTTTGGAGAATTAGAATGGCCAGATGGAAAAAAATTGTCAGGTCAATGGAGAATGGGTAAACTAAATGGGGTTGTTACACTTACAATCAAAGGCAAAATTAAGGAAGGCGAAACTGAACCAGAACCAGACAAAACCTTTTTATCTGAATGGGAAGATGGCAAAAGAATAAAATGGTTAGATAATCAAAAACCTAGTGGGATACATAGTAACATTAGTTAGTTAAGAAATTTTGATGAACACCAGCCTCTATAAAACACAAGTTAAATTATAAAATCCCAAAATAGATAAGATGAGCAATCAAACAATAAGGATTCCTTATTGAATAATTCTAAGACGTAACAATAAAATACAATTTTTTAATAAAATGCAGAAATCAAGTTAGAGTAACAATAATAATAATAATAACAATAATAACAATAACAATAACAATAATAGTAATAACAATAATAATAATAACAATATTAGTAATCGTTTTAACAATAATAATAATAAAATTAGATTAATGAAAATTAAAATAATGAATATATGAAATAACATCAATAGGAAAATGTCAGCTCAAACGTAGATGATAATTAATTTTAATAATTTATTGATAACAATCAAAAAAACTAAAATGAAAATGCATTAATAAAGAATTTTGATGATCAATAACAAGAAGCTTAAAAAGAGAAAACTGATTTATGATAGCATTCTATATTTGATAGTAAATTTGCCAAATTTTGTAGTATTTAATATTTGATCTTTTTCAAACCTAAATTACTGGAAGATAAATAATTTAATAAATTTAATATATTTTTTAAATGAAGAAATATCATTTTAAATTGCATTTTATAATCAAGATATGCTTTATGTTTTGACTTTATTAGTCGGTCTCCTCGGGGTCTTTTTGGAATCACTGTTTGCTTGGGTTCTCATTCTTATATTTCTTTTAAATGGCATTAATAAGTTTGATTTTTCATCATATTATTTTGAATAAAATTATTAAACAAAAGATTTCATAGCATCATCATCAACTGAATTTAATTATTAGGTTTATGCATTAGTTGGAGTAAATAAATATTATGTTGAGTTGAATTCTTCAGCTAAATCCATCTTTTGATGATTCAACTTCAAAAGTGACAGCACCTCAGGTTTTTGCTTAATCTTTTCTAAATCTTGTCCTAAAGGAGCTTATTATTGCAAGGCCATGATGAAATTAGCTTCCTTTTCTATATTACTTATTGTTCCCATCCTTCTGAAAGTTCTAGCAGTATTTACTTTATGACTATTTTCTGTTTTAAATTTAATGTCTTCTTTAACAATAGGATCGAAATTAATGTGCATCAAATCTTATTTGGATCCTTATCTACTTAAATAATCTACAAGAGCATAGAACTTCATATCACCAAATTCAAAGTATTTCTTAGGTTTTGATTAACTCTCTCGTAGTTCTTATGAAATTTATTTTACTCTTTGTAAATAACTTTTACTAAAAACATCCAATTTTGGAGGTTTTAAGGAATCTGCATACTTTTTGACGGCTAACATTTTTTGTAGCAACATGGCATTTTTCTTTTTCTCATATTCATTGTATTATTTAAGGATGGCCATTTCGGCAGGTGTAAATTTTTCATTCAAATCTGTATAAAATAAATATGTTACCTGCTGATTCTTTATAACCAACACCCAAATCATATTTCATAAGGAAACCATGCTGCCAACCTTTTTCTCCCAATAATTTGTCTGGCAATATTTTTAATATTTTATGTCCTGGTGGTCCGATAAAGGATTATGTTTAATCGATCTAATTTAATGTGACCCTACTTTGCAGAACTGTTTTCGACAATATTTTCTAGCAGAATTCTTATCACAGCCTTCCTCACGTAATTTAAGGTACATCATGGCGTTGCTATTGTAGGATGCATGAATACGAGTGCACATAAAAATTATATTAATGATTAATGAAATCATCATAATGAAGAAAGAATAATAATTACGATTAACAATATACAAAAGTAGATAACAGTATTAAACTGATAAGAGAATTAGCTATATTTTTAGCTGTTTTCAAAATAATTTATATTTATATGTATTTTTAATATGATAATCTGTTAAGAAAATGCAAATATTTTTTTATGTTACACAAAATTAAAGATGCAGACCAGATCGATTTATTAGTTCTTCATATCAAATTAATTAATAATTACATAAAGAAACAAGTATGTTTGCTATTTGTGAACCCTTCTTATCATTAGACCTGAATTATTAATAAAGTTACAAACTCGAGATGGTACAATTTTGTGCTATTACATTATACATTATGCTAATATAAAGTTTTAAAGATATAATTTATATTTATAATTAAAAATTATATGCCACCCAAAAAGGAAGAGAGAAAACCGCTGGAACCCATGTTTCCAGAAATCCCCTTATTTTATGAATATATCGATTATTCAAATGAATAAATGGAATAGCTGAATGAATATCTGAATTACTTCAAGCCAGAACTCAGTGCCATGATGAAAAATAATATATTTGACAATATGGAAATACTATGTCAAACAATAGGAATAGCTCGACATCCATCCTTTATATTGCCAACTCAAATGATAGACCTAAACGATTTCGATGAAAATACAAAATTTAGGAACCCTGAAGAACTAGATGGAGATCAAGTGCCTTAAATGATTCAAATAAATTCTGTAATTTTGATTATATATGGTGACATAGATAAAAATTGATCTATTTACATTAAGATTACTGGATTATTGTGCAGGTGTTAGTGGGTTGACAACAATCAAAATGTCAAATAATGGTTTAACAGCTAGGTAATACTAATAGATTGCAGCAATAATAAATAATCCTGAAAACAAAGTTAAAAAGTTGTTTATTGATTGGCAGCAAGTTAACGAAAACTTCTTATAGCAAGTGCAGCAGATCGAATTTTTAACATTAAGATCTTGCTAACTAAGTATAAATTTAACCTCGATAATGATTAGCAAATTAGCAAATTCAAACTTTAACTTTGAATGTCCAAAATTTAAAATGTTTGGATTTATACGATAATAAATTATCAAAGGAAGCTTTGAACTTGATAGGAAAAATGTTGGGTTAAAATAGCTTAATGGAATTTCTTGGTTTAGCTAAGAATGGAATACAATCCTTTGAGGACTTATAAGGAATTACTTAGAGTATAGGGAGATTCCAGATGAGTCAAGAAGAGTATGACGAGTATAAGACAAAAGAAAAGGAGAGAGATGCTATCATTGAACGAAATAAGAAAGTAAAGAAAAAAGGAACCGAAGAACTTGTGCCTTACTTAGAACCAATTCAGTAGATAGACAATAATTGGTATGTGATCAAGAACTCAAGATTGTGGTTGATAAATCTATCAATGAATTAGATTGATGATTAATCGAGAGATGCTATAGAGAAATTCTTACTATAAACAGGAGAAAACTTTTAATTGGTGTTGATGGGCAACAGATTCGATGATTAGAAGGCATTGTAGAAAACAAAAAAGAAGTTTGGAAAGAAATTAGTATTATGATTTTATTTATTTTAACTCAATGAAATCAACAAAGGCCAGACAAGTTACAAATTCATCTCTAATTGAAACTACACTGAACAATTAGAGTATTTCTTCTCGTAAGGTTGTTAAATTGCCATACTTATACACAAAGCATAATCAAGTTCTCTCTACATCAAGGAAACTCCTATTAGAAGAGAATTCTGTGACTATTCAGTTAAATACTTAGAAAAAAGAGTTGCTAAAACTGATTTATGATAGATAATTAGATGAAGCTATAGATAGTAAATCATTCTTACAATAGTGTAGCAACAAGGAAATTGGTTTAGTAATGTATAGCCTATGATCTGAATATATTCGGTAAATCACTTCATATACTGGCAGATATGTATATATCCAACAGAGAATTTGCCAATGGCTTATATATTTACAATGTACTTAGAGTTTTGGCCGACGTTTAAAACAATTAAACTCTAAAAATTGATGCTCTAATTTAAATGGGGGATTTGTGTAAACTATAATAATAGTATCAACTCAGTAAGATATTTCTGAAGAAAGCTCTCTAATATGTTTGGTATTTGAATGACACTGAAAATGAAGCAACAATATATGATTATTTTGGGGTTCTTTATTACGTTTAAGGAGAATTAAGATTGGCAAAAGAATATCATGACAGAGCCATGAATTTTATAAAAGAATCTAGTGATAGTGCAGCACGTAAACATGGAATAGAGTATGTTAAGAGTTACATTAAAAGAATTAATTATTAATCTCAAGTCATGAATAATATGGTATTGTCTAAATTAGGATTGATCTAAGGAAATGAAACAGAAATTAAATTAAATACGCTATTAGATTTCAATATTTTGACAGAATAAATTTTGTAGGATTATGAATTTCAAGTGGAAATGTCAACACCAAATAGGCCTCAAAGATGTATAACTAAGAATGGAGTACTTCAAAATGATGTTGACATGTTTGAAAATGTAAAAGAATTGCATGAAAGACAAAAGAAAAGAAAATTTTTTGAAAAAAAAATACCAGTAATGCATCTAACAAGATCTGTATTTAAATAAACTATTGAAGAGTAACTTGAATAGCGTATGAAAACAGATAAATAAAAAAATGTATATGTATAATCTTTTCATTAGTCTGTTGACGAATTTAAGAAGTAGTTACAGAAATTTCATACTTATAAAAACTTTCCTGAAAAGTTAGAAAAGGTCAACATAAATCATCTCTCTCCAAATAGAAATCTAATCGGTTTCAAATATAGTTTTAAACCTATGCGACATTCATTGCTAGATTTATTTGGTGAGATTGAGTAATATATGTATTTACATTCAACTTGATTTTTTATATATTACCATTAATTACTTCATAAATAATTTTTGTTCATATTTTGAATTAATAGCAATAATTTGAAATAGTTTAATCAATTTTATAATTGAACATTCCCTCTATTCTCTATAATATACTTAATTGATTTGAATTCTCTCTCATTCTTTTGATTTTTATTCAGTTTGAATAAGGATGTAATCTAGAAAATGAATGAGTGTCTAATATATTAAATATTTAATTTTGGATATGAGAAGATTAATTGTCAACCAAACAAGAAGCAAGACAGTTGCAGCTCGTCCAAGTGCTAATTTGGATAGGATCAATAAATGGTTGTAAACTCTTACTGCTAAAGCCAATACATTAGAGAGCAGATTTTACACATCATAATTAAGTTCCTTGTTTAATTTTTATTCAAAACCTACCACAGGTGCAGCTCAAGTAATAGCCTTAATTCAATGATAGGAAATTGATTGGAATTACTGGAAAGAATAAATCACAACCGAAGGATTAGTTGATAAGGTGTAAAAGGGTCATGAGACTCTCCTTAATAAAGAATTTGATGTCGAACGTATTTGTCATCAAGTTGTTTCCAGTTAAAGCAAAGAATTAGAAGACTTAGAAAATGAGCTTACTTTCCACAGCGCTGTTTGGAGCAATTACTATTTGGATTAACATTTGGCTTTATTAGATTTAGAGTAATATGGAGACAGAAACGATTACGTCAGTACTCTTCTTAAATTTATGCATAGTTCATGAGGATTACGATTTCTATCCTGGATTAGAAGCAGATTTAGAAGAATTGACAGAAACTCATAATTGGATTCCAGGATCAAAGGATGACATCAATTTGAAGGGTTACATGGTATCCCAATTCTAATGGGGCAAGAAGATCATCTCATTCTATAGACATCCTTGTGATGACTTCAAAGCAGCAAGAGGTACCAAAAATATCTTGGGTAGATGAGATTTATACATGCAAAATATTTTAAAACAATACAATATTTATCTAATTAAGAAGAAACAAATTTCAATTAAGGTTTATTTGCTCAAGTACTTTAATCAAATTAGCATTTGCCCTTAAAAAGATATTTTTTTTACTCATTCTTTATTTTTGAATCTGAAGTAACTCAATTATATTAATTCACTTGTTATTTGTGTCTTCAATAGATTAACTTTGATATTTAGAAGAATTGAAATAGGAATAATTTGTTTATTAACTAATATTTCGCTTGCATATTCTATTGTACTTTAGTTTTAAGTTTATTTATTTCAAATATAGTGATGCATTTGCATAGTATAATTATAAATATATTTTCAATAGAATGATAATTATAATTTATACAATTATCATTTAAAATCCAATTAGTTCTTCAAATCATAAATCATAATAAATCAATAAGAAGAAATTGCTTTCAAATATGATCTATAAAGATGAAAATTCTATGATTCTGATCAAAAATTTGGTAAATCATTTAACTTTCTATGGAATTCTGCAAAAATTTTATAATAAATTGAATTAATTATGTCATTTCTATTTCCTATCATATTCGATTGGATAATTTTCATCTTAACAAATGAAGACTTGAATTTCATTATTTTAACCCTGCACTTTTGAACTATTTAAGTAGATTTAGTAAGGATATTCAGGATTATTTTCCAATACGGTTTCTACTAATGTACCTTTAGGAGCAGTAATAATAAATAAAGTTTCACCTTTATGATCAATTTATTAACTTTTGGAGAGCTCCTTAAAGTCCTCTTAGGTTAGAAATGTGTATTTAGCGATTTCTGGTTCTGTCTAAAACTTCTCTTAGAGATTTTTTTATAAGTGCTCTATCCAAAAATCGTATGTTTTTTCTTCATTTTATAGTTATTCTAATTCTTATTTAATCTATTAGAGCTCTGTTTCCAGTTATGGATTATCGGTGGCACCTACCCATTTAATTTTGTTTTTTGAGATTTTTTCAATGTAACCTATTCCCTCTAATACATTTGTTATATCGTATATTCTTCTCTTCTGAACTCCTAAATCGTTGACAGCCATATTCAAATCAATTGTAAGATCATTTGAATTTTGGATAAGTTCAACAAATTTTTTAGTTAAGACGGATAAAGAATTATCATGTCGTGTTTTTAGCTTTCCACTACTCTTTAATTCTTCATCATTAGATTCATTGAAGGAATCCTCATCATTAGAGTACTCTTGTTGTCTAATTTTGTTATCCGATTCCAATTTGATTTATTTTCGCTTCGAATTCATGCAATTATTAATTAATTTTTCACGATTTAAGAAGCTCTAATATATATCTTCTTTTAAAATCAAACAAATAACTAAGTGAAAATATTTGAGTAATCCATCAAATAAATCTGGAGGATTAAGACTAAATTGCTTACACTTATAATATTATGAACTTATAAATCTATAATTTTAATACTATTTTACAAATTGAATAAAAACTCAAGGCATATTATTTTACTTTTTTCAAACCAACGAACGAGTATTAAATTAGGGTAAACATACAGATATTCTGACTATTTTTCAATGGCAAATTACTTTTTAAGGCTTCTATTATTCAAATAATAATATGTCACTAATAAACAAGTAAATAAATGATATTTTTAATATAACTTAAATATGGAAAATTAAAATTTATCCACTTCCTATAACTATCTTTTTATTGTAGAATTTATTATCATTCATCATTATCAAATCATTTTCATTTATTTTAGTTTTTACAATTAACTGCAATGTTCTTCGGGTAACATAAATATTATATTATGATCTCAATAAATATAGAGGTTTAGGAAATCAACTAGAATTTCAATTCTCAAATTCTAGATATAAGCGATACACTTTTTGAATGTCTGGAACTATAACCAGAATGGGAAGCGAATAATAGCATTTAGTCAATATCAACTATGACAGATCATTGCTTTTTAATTATATTAGGTGTAATATAAATTGATAAATATATAGTATGTTAAATATATAGTAAAAATTATTTTACAAAATAATGATGAATTTATATTTAAAAATTATTTAAATTTGATAATCAAGATATAAAGTGAAATGAATATTTTGAGTAGATGGTTGCAGTTTTTCATTTAGAAGAGATGACTTGAATTATAATATTTTATGATTTTTTTAATCAAGTGTATTTAATATTTAATAATAAATATCATGATCCATCTATTGAGCATCATCTTGATAATGAACCAAGCTAAATGCTAAGTGACACTTAACATGAGTGAGAATTAAAATTGGACAGCTAATTTCGGAACATCAAGAAATATTAGTTTTTAGATTACATCCCTTCCTAATAAGTATTGTTACGTTACGATAGAGCTATAAGATAGGGATCCTAATTTTTTATTAGTTGCAGACTATTAAGTTAAACCAAATCCTGGGTTATTTCCAATATATAAATAAGGAGAAAAAATTGATAGAGTAAGGTAAAAATTTCTATTCTATTTAGTTAACTGGAAAATAGAAGAACTAGATTTCTAAAGTTGCAAAGAAACAGAGGAATTATCTATATTTCTTGTCTTACTAATAAATAGAATAATTCATTTAAAATAATAATCACAGCCAAAGATTAAGATCAATGTGACAACGAATGTAGTTTCAATGGGTTTTGCTAGGTAATAATATTGTAATAAAAGAGTAAAGGATGTGTTTGTTTAAGTTCTTTTATTGGGAATGATTGTCATCAATTATCTGAGGAGATAGTTCCAAGATCTATAAAACTTGTGGAATTTATTAATACTAATACAATAAAGTACTTCTCGGTTGATCTCTATCATTCATTAGGAAACGATTTGAGGCTGGACTTTGCAGTACTTATAGTTATTTGAAACCTAGGCTGATTGTGACGATTGCTTAACTATTTAGATTTATAAAACTAAAGCTCTTATGAGTCCAAAGGATGGTAAAAATGGCAAATATAGTTAATTATTTAATATCACAGGTGGACATGGAACAGTTTTAGCTTAAATTCCCATTAATTTGCCAGAATCATAAAGATTTCTTTGGTTTGCTGTTTTCAAATCAGAGTCTTATTAAGATAATAGTCATTTATAAATTGGATTTAATTACCCCTCTTAATCCGCTGAGGATGACGGCTAAGATAGTGCGATGTTAGCCTCCATTATTATCCCATGTGTTATTGGGCCAATATTGTTGTTTTATTTTATAATGATGGTAATAAAAAGGTATAGAAATCCAAGTAATCAAATTTTTCCAGTGACAATTAATGATTATGACATATATGATAGTACTTAGGAACGCAGATATCAGATGCCTACTGAGTATTTTGGTGGGAACCGCAATTCTTAACCTAGCAGAATTTAATAATATTAATAACATCATCAAAGAGATAGAACCAATATTTCTTTGAATCTAGAAACTTATATTAATAACCACAATTCCCAACAAAATAGAAATAACATTTCTTACAACTTTGATTCAAGGCCTTCTAGAAATTACCTCCCCATATACGCAGGCAATTAACCCCAGTCATAAAGAAATTAATAAAGCATTAATTAAAATAATAATTCTAATCGATAAAGGAATTAAGTTCTATCTTTGTCCCAAGAAAGGTAGCTTTTAAGGATTTAACCATCTGCGCCAATAAGACCTCCACAAAAAACCAATTAAATTGATTAATGTAGTATTTGCTTGTCAGAGCTTACAAATCAAAATGCGGTGACAACTACTTGTGGGTATAATAAATTATTAATGTAGTCATAAATTCCATCTAAACTGCATTCAATAATGGTTTGCATAATAAAGAAATTGCCCTAACTGCAGAAGACCTACAAGTTTACAACCAAATAATTGATATTTCTGTGTTTAAAATGTATTATTCTTAGATATTGTTAATTCTATAAAGAAAATCTTTAATTTTATTTCAATTTTGGTTTTAGCTAGAATATGGTTCCACAACTTACTATCAACTAAACCATATAAAATATGGAAATTAATTGGAGAGATTGATCAAAATATAAATATTAAGTATTAAAAATTAGTTCTGTCATTTAAATGGGCTAAGTCCAAAAAATGTCGTTAATTAATTTTAACTCATATCATCAAGAATAATTGTGTTCAAATCCACTTAGATGAGGAGTTTCAAACTTTTTAATAACTACTTTTAGTATTAACAAGTTAAATAATTGCAATTTTAATAATATGTTAAGACTCGCATATAGAATAAGATTTAGGTTAATATAAACGAAAACAAATTATTATTTTTGTTAAAATAAGAAAAAATTAATAGATGAACTCAATTTTGATGGAGATGGATCAATATTCAGCTCGTGTCGCCAATGAGGATTAAGCTCTTATGAGTAGGAGAGGTGATTAGGAATAAAGAAAGGTGGAATTTTTCCAACGCTGTTTATAGGACCGGAAAATTTACACAGATCTTTCTCAATCGGAAAAATACATATTTGGTGATAAGGCCATTTATATGGGCAAAATGAAATTAGAATAGAGATTGTAAGATATTGATGAAGTATTTCTACCTTTTGACAATATTGATTTGGATGAAAAGGAGCGCAACGAAAAAATGAAAGAGCTATCGAAATCTTCTTAATCAGACAATTAAAGAATTGATATTAGTAAGAGAAATAAGTAGCTTCAAAATTTTTGGTTAGTATTAAGTCCAGATAGCAGTTTGAAATTGTTATGGGACTTTTTTTGTATGATTTTAATTCTCTATGAAATCATAACAATACCAATAAGAATAAGTTTTGACATTGAGGTAAGTGCTGAATTTGGCTATGTGATAACAGCAGCATTTCTATTTGATATAATCTTAACTTTCAATACAGCAGTCTATTTGAATGGAAATATCAATTATACCTACAAGGCAATAGCTGTCGACTATTTCAAGTTGTGGTTTTGGATAGATGTTGTGGCATCATTTCCATATGACATGGTATTCAATGCTGCATTGATAGGAGAGGCTGGAGATGAAGTGAATGAGTCATCTGACAATTTAAAGAAGAGTACTCAAATTTTAAGAGTGTTGAAATTCTTTCGATTTGTTAAAGTCATTCGGTTATTGAGATTGGCGAAATTGAAGGCCATAATGGATAAAATAGAGGATTATTTTTCTGATAGTTCTATAATTTAGACGATCGGAAGTTTTCTTAAGCTCTGTGCGTTTGTTTTATTTTGGTCTCATTGGCTAGGGTGTATTTTCCATTTTATAGGTCAAAGCGAGGACACATCGTACAATTGGCTCTCAATTTATGGGTTGTATGATGAACCTTGGGAAATTAGATATGTGAATTCTGTCTATTGGGCTGTAACAACCATGATTACTGTAGGTTATGGCGATCTCTCTCCATAGACACCATTAGAAAGACTATTTGGAGTGTTCTTTCTTCTCATTGCTTGTGGTGTATTCTCATTCACTATGAACACCATAGGAAACACGATGCAATAACTAAGTTAGAAGCAAGATTAATATCAGAAGAGGATATCTGAAATAAATATCTACATGGCTAAGGTCAAGATTCCGAAGCAATTATAGAATAAGGTTAGAAGGTATTTATAGTACATTTGGGATTCTCATCGGAGTACAAATTTAGAATCCATTTGCTCAAATCTCTCGTTATCTCTAAAATACGAGTTTACAATTTAAGTAAATGGAACTATATTGGCTAGTTATAAATTGTTGTGTGAGACATTTTCAAGGAAATTAATCATAGAATTAACACAGATTCTAAAGGAGCAAACGATATAGCCTGATGAATATGTGTTTCTAGAAGATGAACCTAAGAATGAGTAAATTCTCTATTTCATTTAAGAAGGTCAAATAAACATTGTGTTAATTAAGACAAGACAAATTGTGGCCAGATTAAGCAATAAGTAAATCTTTGGCGAGATCAGTTTCTTTGGGAATATAGGTAGAACAGCATCTGCTAAAAGCAATGGATTTACTGATGCATTTGTGTTGAGAAGACAAGATTTTGTGGGCTTGTTAGATAAATTCCCAGAAGATAGAGAAAGATTTAATTTTATAAATGAGGAAGTCAATAAACAATAATTGTAGGTGTTGAATATTCATTGTTATGCTTGTGATTTACCAGGACATGTTATAAGGGATTGTCCCTCCTTACATTTTGTGGTCGATTTATATGTGTATTAAAAGACCAAAATCAGATGTATCAAGGCTATAATGAAGGATTTTGTAAGGAAAGATCGAATGAATTATAATGCTTTGAAAAACAGACAAGAACTAGAAAAAGTAGCTAAAAATCTACAGATGAATATACCAACGCATAAATTTTTGATTGAAGAATGCAATGTGGATGATCAGTTATCATAGGCAGTGGAAGATTAATCGATAAAGAAGGGATTCAAATTGAAGTCCAAGTTTAAAGAAGATAGGAATAGGAGAAGAAATTGGGAACAGACATTCAAGAAATCTGCATAATAGATACAGTAGATCTAGATTAAACAATCAGAAATATTTAGCATCACCAAAAATATGTCTTAAGCATTATTGTCCTCTCATCCCAGTGGTGAAACAAGTCTGAGTCACATTCCAATTAATTAGTTCAAATCTCCAAATGAGAGTTCGGAAGATAGTGATAGTGGCACTATTCAATAAAAGATGGAGGACATAAGGGCTGATTATTAGATATTCAAATAAGAAGTGGATAAGTACAATGGGAGTCATCAATTGGAGATCAAGAAAAGCTTTGTGTTGTTGAACGAATTCGAATGCGGCTGTGATTTCAACATATTTTATCCTCACAACAATCTCTCCGTTGTGTTGAAAGAATTTCACAGGTATCAATTAGGTAACTCTGTAAAACCCAAAATTGATACTGAATACGATACCAATGTATTTCAAGAATATATGGAATATTACGTTATTGACATTGAAGATGTGAAAAGATTTAAATTGGAAGTGAAACCATCTCAAATCAAACAATTTCTACCTTTCACAGAACTTCTTCAATAATCATACAATCGTTAAGTAATCATATTTAATATTCTATCCTAGAAAAAAAAGAACTATGGCTTGTTAAGACAACCAAAAAGATCCTTAAAATAAATTGCTAGAGCTATAATTTTGGCAAGAAAATTTAAGTGATCAATTATATTTATAAAATTATAATTATTATTAACCGATATGAAAAATATGAGAGATTCTGTTAATCCTGAAGTCCGAGAATTCATCAAATAATTCACCTCATCTCAATAAGAACTTAGACTCAACAAATAAACCAGTACTGACTAAAGCACATCCACAATAGTCTAAAGTGACATTAAGTCAGATCACGTAAAAGTCAAAGAAGTATTCTTCAAATTGCCCCCATAAGAAAACACAGAGAATAAATAACCATATCTTAAAATATCAAAGACACCAGCTGCATCTTCCTTCACAACTTCTCTCTCGAGTATGGATCAAGATAGATACACTGAGGTTATTGTTCAGAAAGTCGTGGAAGAACTAGAACGAAGGAACTATTGTAAGAAAAAGCCTTTATTGAGCATATAACAAAATACTATATAAATGAGTATCTCACCAAAAAGCGAATAAGAATACTTGGATGATGACTCCTTCATACGTTAGATGTACCAAACCTAATTATTCATTTAAGCTAGCAAACTTTGTTGAGTCCCAATCAAACACCCAAGAAGGTTTAAATAAGAGCCTTTGAATGTTTTGACTCGAGATAAAAGAAGGTTCAAGCTCAAAAGGACTAAAGATTGCAAAAGTAAAGAGAAACCTAAGAACTCACTAAGTTAGTGGATGAATTCAAATCTTTTCTACTTAGAACAAGGTCTTCAGGCAGATTTTGATTCTTAACTTTCAAATACCAATTTTACTTATATATATTAAATCATAAATATATTATTTTATTAATATGTCTCTCCTTCTTTTGAATGCTAGCAATAGAATTGCTTAGGGATTTTTGAAAGTAGCTGCAGAAAGTGGTAAATATGAAAAGATCATATGTGCTGACATTTTCCCTACTTATTTCACTGTCCAAAGACTCCTCAAATTTAAGTCATCATTATCAGCAAACATCGAATTGTTCAAAATCGGAGATCGCCAAGATTTACACGATGTAATCAAATAAGCCAACAATGTTCTATATGTCAGTCACGATTATTACTAAACCACAGCATCCAAAAAGAATTTATTAGTCGCTACCTTAGATTTGGTCAAAAATAGAAACTATAAGACTGTTGCTTATGTTGCACCAGTGGAACATGATCATCAAGAAGAAATCGATGAATGGAAGCATCTAGAAGTAGAAGGACGTCGTTTCATTCCTTAATTAGTTGGCATCAGATCTGACATTACCTTTGGACCAAATAGCACTTTCACTAATAAATTAGCATCAAGAATTTATAATGGTGAAAGCATCTACTTCCAAAACACTGGACAATCATGTGCTCCCATCTTCACTGGTGATTTAGAATCAATTGTGGCTTAAGTTCTAGCAGGATCACATGCAGGAAAATTACTCTTAGCTAAGGGACACAAACACATTGATTTCAAATCTATTATTCATCTGATTGAGGATAGTCTTGGATCTGCATACAAAGCCAATTTAAATCAATCTTTCATTGAAAAAGTACAAATAATATTTTAAGTATTTAGATCATTCATCCCACTAATAATTGCATCGTAGGTTAATAATTATATTGTCCATCATATATCAATCTAACTAAGTTAATAGCAAACTATAAAGCATTGGAAAACACTGGATATGATTAAGTTGTTGGCGATAAATTAGTTGATATTGAAGAATATCATAAGAATAATAAAACAGTAGTTGATCAATCATTGAAAGCTGATTATTAACTAAGTTATTTAATTGGATGAATAAATGATGATCTAAATTCATATTAAAAAAATAAATAATTAAATTAATAGGAGTTCTTGTTTCTTTGATAAAATATTATTTTAATTGATGTGTATTCGTTATTAAATCGTTCTTGATCTTTTCACATTATTGTAAATTCAATAACTTTGTCTTTAGAGAATTGATATTATACAAGAGAAAAGAAATAGATAGAATATTCATTCTTTGCTTGTGTGTAGGAAAAAATAGTAATTGATAAATCATCAATCACAAAAGATAGATATGTTATTTTTAGAAAATTTATGAAATATGTGAAAATTAAACAAAATGAATTTACTTTGAGGTTATGATCACTAAATTAAATAATGTTTAATTAGGGATGAAATATGTAAAATAAATGGTTTCGTAATTCTATTAAATATTCTAATAGAATTTGATTAAATGACATTTACGATTTTTAAGGTTTAAATTCTATTAAAATTCTAGTATAATTTTAAAATGGATCAAAATGATTCAGATGATCAAGAGTCAATCCTAATGAATTTAATAGGAAAATTTTAAAAATTGATTGCTCAATTTGATGATAATAATAAAAAAAGAAATATATCTGTGGTTTTACTAGTTGGGTTAACAGGATCTGGAAAAAGCACTATTTTCAATTTCTTAAGCGGAGCAGATTTTACAATTGATGAAAACAAAGAATTGCTGATAAAGAATCCGTCAAATAGATATTCTAAAATGATTGGAGGAATGAATTCAATCACAAAAGAACCAAATTTTTATCATAATTATGAAAATAACCATTTAATTATTGATTTTCCAGGATTTCAAGATACAAGTGGAGATTGGGATCGATTATTGTTTGAGCTTTTATTTCATAAGATTGCTACTTCAGGTCCAATAAAAATTATTTATGTAATAAAAAATCCTGAAAATAATTTGCCTAATAGAGGCTCAGATCTTTAAGAATTTATTAAACAAGTATTCTTGAAAGGAAACGATAATATTCAAAAATTTAATTTATTATTAAATTGTTATTTAGAAGATTTATCCGAGGAAAAACTACAAAATAAAATAAAAGATGATCTAAATTCTGTTAATTTATCATAATAAATTGATAAAATTCTTGTAGTAAGAAAGGCTAAAAAGATTGATCAATTATAACTTATTTTCAATGATTAATAACGATAAATATTGTTGCAATAGATTAAATAAATGCAGCCTATTACAATCCAACCATAAAAACTTCCTAAAAGTGAAATTATTAGTGATTATTTAAGAACTACAACACTAAAAACAATCGAAAAATATGGGAATATATTATGTGATGTTTTCGATAACTCGTATACAAAATTATCAGAATCATAAAGTAAGAAAACTGAATAAGAAATGTAACAGTTATTATAAGTAATCAAAAAAGACAATTAGGAATCCCCTCTGAATTGGTATATCAATTTTATTTCTATTTGTGAAGAATTAGCACAAAATCTTTCATCCAAATGTGATATTATGAATTCTAGTAATAATTTCAAAGAGATATTTGTATACTTTTCATAATTTTCCGATCTTATCAAAGGATATGAAGAAATGACTATTATGAAGTCTATTGCTAAAGATTAATTAAGAAAGATAGAAAAAATAATAAGTACAAGACTAGAGTTTTTAGAAAAAGCATAACAGGATAGAGCAAAAATTATTGAAATTGAAAATCAATAATCTTAATTACAACAAACCATGGATGATTATAGATCTTAAATATATACACTTGAAAATACGCTAGATACATCAAATAATAATTATTCAAAAGAAATAAGCTGCCTTAAATTATAGTTAGAGTTAGCTATAAACTCACACAAAAATTTAAATATAGAATAAATGAAAGAGTTAGAAAGGTAGAATTAGAGATAAAAAGAAGATATATAATAATTATAGTAATAGATTAGAGATATGAATAAAACAGAAGAATATTAGCAGACAATTAGAAATTAACGGGACAGAATAAATAATATGGAATAAAAGATTAAAGACTTAGAAAATAGATCAAGAGGAGATGGTGGTTCAGGTTGTTAGCTGATTTGATTCGCTTTTATTTTTATATTTAAACTATGATGTAAATTATAAATAAAATAGATTGAATTAAAGTCATCTTTTTTGAAAATAAATAGTAATTAAGATTATACATATCTTGTGATTTTTCTTATCTGCCGTTAATTTATAAAAAATAATTAGTATGAAACTTTACATTCAATATACTAAATTTTTGTTCTTTTAACTTAGATTTTAAGTAAATTAGAACTATGATGAATTTTCAACTTCTCTATTAATCGAAATGAATAATTGAATCTTTTTATTTGATAGATTTATAATGAACCAAAAGTAATGAGTGATTTCTTAAATTATTAGCAATTCTATTTAAATATATTTTATATAAATATACAATTAATCAAAACAAATATATAAATTAGAATTAATTTTGCTTAATGTAATAGTAGAAAGGCAAAACCTCCTTTTAAATGGAATGCTAACGGAAACATTTCATAAAGGATAAACTATATCATCTTCTTTTAGATGAGAATTGCATCAGAATGTCCGAGGTAAGATAACATCCACCTAAAAGAGACAGTCAATTTTCAAGACTCTAAGTATCTCCTTGAATTAAATTTTGAAAATTTAATATATTGGAGGACAGAGCACAGTTTAATAGTTGCATTTGGTATCAAGTATAATAAAGCACTCAAATGGTTTCATGGTAACAGCTCTGATTTATTACATCTGTATAAATAATTAAGTGGAAAGGTGTTCTTTGGGAATATTTCATCAATTTATGAGAGCAAAGAAATATTAGGTTCTGGAGCCTCATCAAAAGTATATAGAGTATGTAATAAACTAACGCATCGAGAATTTGCTTCGAAATGCATTCGTAAAGACTATATTTATAGGAGAGAAGATAAAGACAGATATGTAACAATTTATGTGATTTAGAATCGCATGATTTAAGAGATTGAATTAATGAGAAAATTGGACCATGAAACCATTGTTAAAATTATTGATATTTTCGAAGGAGAAAAGTCGTTCTATATCATTCTTGAATTATTATAGGGTGAGTCTCTGCATTCGTTTTCGAAAAAACACTCATTAACACTCACATAGATTAGATAGATAATAAATGTATTAATTTTTTCATTTGATAGAGATGCTTATAAGCATTATGCTATTTGGACATAAATAACATAATTCATAGAGATTTGAAATTGGAAAACCTAGTATTGAACGAGCAGGGGAAAGTTGAGTCTGTAAAGGTTATTGATTTTGGTCTTGCAATATACACGTCATGTCCTTATAGATAACTGTGTGGAACTCCTGGATATATAGCTCCAGAGATGTTTATTGAAAAATATCCATACACTACTAAAGTAGACATTTTTAGTTTAGGAGCTATATTCTTTAAACTATTGTGTAAGAAATCCTTATTTAGTGGCAATACAAGTGATGAGATATTAGAAAACAATAAGAAGTTCTTGTGCAATAATTATTTAAAAAATTGTTCAGATGAAACTATTGATTTGATAAAATAAATGCTTTAAAGAGATCCTAATAAAAGAATCTCGGCCTCTTAGGCTTTGCAGCATCCATTCTTTGGTGAAAAATTTACTGGTATTGATTTTAAAAAGTATAGGAGAATAAGGAATTGCAGAAGAAAGTCCTCATGAAATTGTAAGAATGTTTCCGCTTACGAAACCTATGTAAGTCATCAATTCAAATGATAATATTCCTGATATTAAGATTTAAGCTATTCGAGGAAGTTAATAAAGCTTTGAGCAAAGTTTGGGATCCAATTATTTTCCATCCTTTGATGATGATATTAATCGACTTAGAAAATAGAGCGATCATATTATTGAATGACTTTATCAAATCAAAACTTAAAAATCATAATAGTTTATAAAATAAATTTATGAAGAATAATTCACTATCAATTTTTATTATCTTAACAAATTCGTAAATAATTTATTCATATCTCAATAATTCAAATACTCATTAAATTGTAAATAAGTGTATTTTTAGTTTCATAATTAAGTTATATTATATAATACTAGCCTAAATATTTTGTGTTATAGGTATTATCATTATATAAAGAGTAAATTGTTGTTAAATAATAATTTATCATAAATCAGTAATAATTTTGTCATTAATTTACTTAATGTAGGATGAAATAGTATTTTAAATGCTGAGGTTTCTTTGTTTTAGTTATCGAAAGAGAGATTATTAGTTAAATTTTGGTTAGTAAATACATGGTAGAAGAGTTTTGGTAACTATTTCAGTTTGTCTTATTTGATGACATCTCATAACAGAATTGTCTCTTGAAGTTGCTTAAATTTCTTCTAAAATCCTTTAGGTTTTTGCTGGAGATTCATTTGGTGATTATGTGTCAAAATGATGTATAGATTGTTTCGATAAAATTACTTTTTCTTATGTATTTGATTCACTTCTTTGAACACTCTTAAAATTCAATCTCTTTGGAGGATTGGAAGTTGATTTTTTCTTATCGATTTCCTTTCCCACACAAAAGATCCTTAAATTCGTTTATCTTTTGATGGTAAATTCTAAGGCCATTCTTGTTACGTCAATTAGATGCTGTAACAAAATCAAAAAAATGGTTTGTTTGCTCTGATTATATATTTCATTTTATAACTGATCTGCTTTTGATGGTAGCCCGTAGTATAGATAGAGTTCAATAACAGTTTTAGTGGTTGACGCCAACGTCGGTTCTAGATTGAGCAACTTAATATTATTAAAGTCATCAAACCTCAAAATTAACTGCGATTATTTTAAGAGTGAATTTGATGGCCTCCTGGAATTGTAGTAGATCATTCTAATTAAGTTTCTTAGCTTAATATAATTGGTTCATGGAATCGGTTTCGATTATCTATCTAATCTTCTCCCTATACTCAGAAAATCAAATTTTGGAGCATACTTATTTACTTAATTTGCACCTAGTTGTTCTATAAATTGCGAATATCCTGTGCTCGTTCTCTTAGCAAGTCCATAACATTCATTATTAAAAAAATTAATTATAAATTAAACACATACCCTCTGATTAATCTAATATAAAGAAATGAGCATTGATTTTTAGAATAATTATATTTATTTAATAAATGAGTAGAGGTACCAATCTCTTTGCAGCATCTTCAATATCAGCAATTATTTGGATTATTACACTATTCTTATCAACTGGATATGTGAAGTATTTAAAATCGTAAAATTAGTGAGGTTGCTAAATCAATGCCAACATATGCCTTGATTTTATATTTCTCTTATGCACTGTTTAAAGTAGGGGGAGATTTGTCACAATTGAAGGATTATCCTGAAGAAGCTGAATCATTATAAAAGGAGGTTGAGGAAGCTAAGCGATTTTACAAAGAGAAGGGATTAAAATTGTGAAAAATTAAATATGCATATATATTTTTATAAATTTAATGCATCCCTTTCCGAATTATTAACCCAAGCTATCCTTCTATATAATCAATGAAATACTCAGACTTTTTATAGCCATCCAATTTGTGTTGGTATTTTTTAGGGTTTTTCTAAGAAATTAAGAGACCTTTTTTTTGTCTGATTGTTTTAATGGTTGTATGATGATACTTACTTATTATCAAAAAGTATTGAACTAAAGTAAATTATTAGAACTATTGCCTTGCATTAGTAACAATGTTTTATGACTTCTCTTTGATATATTTGAATGTTATATTCTTTTTGTGGTTTGTTTAATATCATCTGCCCTTTTTCATAGATGAGAACAGGAACTTCACTCTGATGTTGGTATAATTATAAATCAACCTTAGATTTTCTCTACTGTGCTCTATGTTTGTGAATCGATAATGTTATTTCAAGCATATAAAGAGTATAAAGGAATAATTTATGATATTAATCAGGCCTAGTTAGAACAAATTGAATAAGAAGAGTAACCAAATCTAGACTTTGAGATTCCGTCTTCAATATAAGAGTAATCTTTCTATCTAATTAGAAATAATTAATTATAAGAAGAATAAAGAATTGGAAGTTAATAGATTATAGGATATTTTGGAGTTGGCTAACCAATTTAAGAAAGAACAAATAACTAAAGATAAGAATAGATTTAATAATAATAGGGATGATATAACTTTTATTAATATATTTTTAAATATTTTTAGATCCTAAAATTTATTTGAAAGATAATTATTTTTGATATTTAACAATCTAAATTGAGTAAATTTAATAATTTTTATTTTATAAATTAGTTTAGAATATAATAAGTATATGAAAGAAAATATAAAATGGTTAGGTTAAAATATGTTTTTTCCTCAAATGTAATAATACACTTAAGGTATACATCCCGTTATATGGAGTGAACCTGTATTATGATAATTGAAAAATAATAGAATTACTTAGTAATATTAATGGAACTTAAGCGTAAAAGCAATATTTAAAAAGATTTTCGTTTTTCTCTAATTATGTTTGAAGCCACGCCAAAATTCAATTTTGGACCATTTGCATTAAGTCTATTAGTGTTTTCTAGGCTTTAATTATTTATGTAAGTAGTAAAGGTTGTGTGTAAAATGTTTAATATTTTATCATTTAGTGTTTAATGTGAAAAAGGAAACAATTCAATAGTTAATAAGCAAATTTTTCTAATGTATAGGAGAATTTTCCATTCTACAAACAGGAGTTATGTTTATAATACTTTCAAATTTTGATTTACGAAACAATAGTAAGCCTAATGACAATATATTAGAAATAAAGATATTGATGATTCATAGTATGCAGAATAATCTTGCATATGGAAATAAATCTTATAATCAAAATTATTGATATAATGGATCTATTTGATATAAGTGGATTCAGTAGTTTGGAAAATTGATAGATTAGGACAATTTAGAATTTTCATGTGAATGATTAAGGTATCTAGAATTATTCATTAGGTTGGTAGGAATATATATATGTTAATTTGTGTATATTAATAATTGTGATAGTGAGAATAGTCGTAATTTACTAAGGGATGGTGAACTTTAAGCAATAACTCAGAGTATTTCCCGGATAGGATTTGAGTGAATAAGAATTTCATTAGAATATTAAGTTGAGGTGTATTTTATCACTGGCATAACATGAGATAATAAAGAGATATGTGATAAAATTTATTTACACTATTTATATTAAAATGATCCGCCCACGTTATGAAAGTTCGAAGGACCATCCTTTGTAGACAGATGTGGCCTGTTTCTTAATGGTCATTGAGATTCAACGATTATTAGATGAAAATACTCAATTGAAAGTGGAAATGCAGGAGATCTTGGCAAGACAACTTGACAGGGCTAATTATGAACAATAGATTAAAGATCTGATGGAACGTCTTCGTTAATTGCAAGGGTATGTTGGATTTGTAATCACTTTAGTTTGGTAGCAGATCTTACAAAGGAAAATAAGTAGCTTAAATAACGATAAGCTGATTAGGATGCGGAACTAGCAGATTTGAAATAATTTGTTGAAGAAAATAATCTCGAGGAGAAGTAGGAATAACAAGAAGCGGTTGCCAAAGAATTAGATGATCTCAAAGATTAATTAGAAAGAGATCAAAAAGATAGGGTATGATATATACTTATTTCATAGGATGATCAAAAGGCTTTTTACGAAGGTCTGCTTGCAGATAAAGATGATTTGATAGCTGAACTCAGAAGACAATTAAAAGATGCTGATGAGAAATTCAATAATTATCGTAGAGAAAAGGAGTAGATAATTAAGGAGAAAGATTATGATATCAAGAACAAGGAAAGAGAGATCAAGGACTTATTAAGGAGATTAGCTGAGTTTGAGGGAAAATTACAAGGTAAAAGACCTGATGAAATTCAGCGAGATATGGATCGTCTAAAAAAGGAATTGGCTGACAAGGACAAGGAGATTGACAAATTAAAGAAGAAATTAGGAGATCTAGAAGCTTAATTAGCTCTATTAAAACAATAATTATAGGATGCTAAGGATAAGCTCAAAGATGCTTTGTCTTAATTGGCAGAAGCAAAGAATTAGGCAACTTAGGCAGCCAAAGACAATGATGCTAAGAATTAAAGGAGAATCAGGGAACTAGAATAATTGGTTGAGTAATTGAAGGCTGAAATTGACAGATTAAATGCATTGATAGATAAATTGAATTAAGATGTTGCATCTGGAATCGAGAGAGAAAAACAATTGAATGATAATTTACAAAGTAACATCAATATTCTAAATTAGAACAACTAAGTGATAATGGATCTGTGTCTGCTGCCAAATAGAATCGACAAGCCAAATAAGCAGAGCAAGCCTAATAGTAATTAGCCTAGGCTTCTTAAAAGTTAAAGGATACTGAAAAGGATAACAATGAACTCAAAAAGAAATCGAATGAATTGGATAGGTAATTGGAGGAAGCTAAAAAATTAATTAAATAATTATAGGATGAGATTGCAGCCTTAAAAGAAAAATTATTATTGTCTTAAACTGAAAATGATGATCTCAGAAATCAATTAAACGACTTACAGGATTAATTGACTGAAGCCTTGTTGGATAAGGATTATCTTTAGAAATCTCTAAAAGATTAAGAAGATGAACTCAACAGAGTCAATGATTAAATATAAGATCTGAATAATGAGAAAGAATAAGCACAAGCTGCTGCTTTGGAGGCTAAATAATAACTTCAAGATATTGCAGATGAAAAAGCTTAGGAGGATGCTGACAAAGAAAAGGATTAAGATAGATTAAATGATTTGGAAGATAAGATAGCTGAACTTGAAGATTAAATTGAAGACTTGGAGAAAACAAGGAATCGTTTACTTAATCAAATTTAAGATTTAATTGATAAACTTCACGATGAAAGAGAATTGTGTGAATATTATCACAAACTCTGTTCTGATTAAGAACATCAAAATAAATTACTATAAGATTAAGAAAATAAATTAAAAGAGTAAGTCTAAAAATTGAACAATGATATTGAGTAGATGGAAGAAGATCATGAGGAGGCTTAGAAAAGACTTGTCGAGTTGGCTTCAGAATAAGAAGCTCTTAAGGAATTAGCTGCTTCTAATTAAGATAATGTTATTGATAAAGAAGCCTATGATAATTTGTTGAATTAATTGGATGAAAAAAATAAAGAAATTGAGGATTTAAATGAATTATTAAGAAGATATGAATAATAATTCAAAATGTTAAGAGCTGAGTTAGCAAGAGTGAATTTAGCTTAACTAAAAGAAAAAAAGAATAAATAAGACACTGAAGCTCTATTAACAAAAATCATGATTATGTAGGCTGAAAATGAACGTTTACAATAGGCTGCAAAACAATTACAATCTCAAGCTGCTTCACCAGAAGTCTTGAAGAGGACTGGAAGTTAAGGTAACGATCCTGCTTAAGGAAAGTTGGAGTCATTATAAAGGGAAAATCTCAAACTTGAAGATCAAGTTAGTGAATATGAAAATAAGATTGCTCTATTGACTATGGAATTGAAGAGGTTGAAAGATTAAAAGTAATTTCATATTTAATCATCCTTAGGCCTGAAATTCTTCCAATCAAATCTAGTGGTGGTAGTGATGAACAACAACTTTAATTATAAGTTCAATAATTATAATAGCAAGTTTAATAATTATAGAATGGAGGATTATTGTAATCAAATGGATAACCCATATCAAAAGAGGATAGAAGATTATCTGATTTGTTATGCTTAGTGACAATCATGGCTGCTGAAATAGAGAACCTTAGAAGCCTCGTTGCCTTGCATTGAGATGAATAAATATAAGATACATTATTAATATTTTTGAGTATACCTCACTCCTCGTAAAAGAATTAGGGAACCACACCCTAGTTTATTGTTGTTGAATTGTCACTAAATTCTTGATTGAATGTCGGTTCTTCAAATTGGAATTCATCAGTCTCAAATTTTCCATTGGCTCCATAATAACTTAGGCAACTTTGATTAGGTGTTAAAGCTTGGTCTTAATTTATAGTAAATACCAATCGTATACGGTTTGTCATATTCAATCTTAATTGCCTTTGTGAAATACAATTTGCCAATATGATTGACAAATTCCATGTCTTTCTTAATAACAAACATATCTTAGTAAATTATTTTTTTGCTAATTATTAAAATGTGATAATACCTATTCAGGTTTGATCCTTCAAATACCTGCACTTAAAAAGTTAACTCCTAATCTGGCCAAGTAGTAATTTCATATAATCCTACGCCTGAAAGCCAAATATCATGTTTCCTTTTAGATCTTAAACAAATGGCATCAGTTTCTTTCAAATTCCATTATTCGTAAGTCAATTGATATCTGTTTTGACTGCTCAATATCTTAACTTATTTTTTAATTGGGTTTTGACAAGTTTCAAATAATTTTTTCAAATCATTCAAACACTAATAAAGAGATTTATAAATTGATTACTTTCTCTAACCAATATTTACTCTCTCTTTCAATAACCTCAGCTGTTTTTATGAGTTTTTATGCTTGTTGATTTACTTCGGTATCTCTTAATATCCATAGCTATCCATCACATGTTTTGAGAAGAGGTTCAATCTTCTCAATCGCCTATTCTATCTACACTTTTGTTAATTTTTCCATATTCAACATTGATATGGATTTTTCAAATGCATCTCCTACAAATAAATCAGCCTCCAAATCAAGTAACTTAATTTATTTCTCTATTTCTCTTTCTAGTTTGTTGAGGATTTCCTTAATTTCAATTAAGTTTTATCTAAAGGTCTGTTTAATTTTATGATGCTTTCCAAATATTTCATTTCCCTTATTATGCAACTCTTATTAATTCTTCGGATTATTGGCTTTATTGAGACTTTGAATGATAGTTTTAAGAGGGAATACATTCTTAACATGGTCTTAATGAGACTTTAATAAACAAAATGAACATATCAATCCTTTTTGTTAGCAATCAACTTCTAAACAAAATAAATTAAGAGGATTATCTAAATGTTCCTTTTCTTCGCAAAATAAAGTTTACATTTTATTATTTAATATTAAAATTATTAAATAAAGATAAAGATTACACAACATCTAGAAAGACTTATATAAATGTACATATAAATATAAATATAAATATAAATATAAAATCAATTTAGAAAAATAATTTTACCTTAATTTGAAAGAATAAGAACAAATAATTATAATAATCAAATTGAAAATTGATATAATGATATTTTATTAATCTTACTATCTCTAAATTAATAATGTTGATAGTAAGAAGAATCATCATTTTAAATATAGAAGTTTATCAGATTCATTAAATTTTTTGTGATCTTGCGTCATAATTTAGTTATCATACATATAGCAATAATAAGTTATTTAAACCATCGAATAAATGAAGAGATGATTATATGAGACACTCTAGATAGGGATGAATATTGGAATAGTTTGAAATCTCAAGGAACTACTGATCTTTATAGGAAAATTTTGGTTTGAATGATATAATATAATAATTAAAACTTTTGGAGATAAATATTATTTTATTGAGTGATTTATGAAATTAGTCAGATTTCTTATGAAACTCAAAAATGAGTAGGTGATTGTGGAATTGAAGAATGGCACAGTTGTTTTGGGCACTATAACTGGAGTAGATGTAAGAATGAATACTCATTTGAGCAAAGTGAAATTGACATTGAAAGGCAAGAATCCTGTGGGATTAGATTAATTAACAATAAGAGGTTTAGAAAACGATAATTAATTGAATAGGAAATAATATAAGATATTTCCACTTATCCGAGAATTTGTAGATAGACAATCTATTGGTGGATGAATCAATATCTAAATCTAAAAAGGTGAAAGCAGGAATGGAAAAGAACGATCCAAATTTTAAGAGAAAGAAGAAGAACAAGGTCACTCGTTTACCAAGAAGATGAATATGCATTAAATTATACATCAAATAAATATAAAGTTTATATAAGCATTTGTAGCAATTCAAAATAATATTACATAACATAAAATTAATATATAATTTATGTAAGAAGTACTTTAGGAGGAATAAAATCTTTCAGAATCTTAGGATAGCTAACTTAAAGGCCAAAATTATAGGATACCTAAGCAAACCCTTGTGTAGATAGTGAGTGCAGCTTAGGAGAGAGCATTGGCAGAAGAGATTGAGGAACTCGAAAAAATTGAGGGTATGGAGACCATTGAAAGAGGATTACAAACAAGTTTTGAGAGGGGATTAAAGGGAAATGACTTTAAAGAGAGAGAACTGTTTTACGGCAGTAATCAAAAACCTAATGAAATTTCAAACACTTACTTTAATATTGTCTTACAGTATTTCGAAGTTAAAAATTAGTATATTTGTAGGATTACATGATACGAGCATTATTGGTGGCTTCGATATTGTCTATTGTAATAGGAGTCTTAACTGCAGATGAGGATTGTCGTTCATACGCTTGGATAGAAGGATTTGCATTATTTATGGCAATTTTCATTTGCTGTAATGTGGCAGCAATAAATGTATAAATATGTGCAATAGTTAGAATTATTAGAAGGAAAAATAATTAGAAAGTTTCAATAAGAAAACAACAAGTCAATAGATGGTAACAGTGTTGAGAGATGGAAAACTGACAGTATTAGATTCTAGTAGGATTCTGGTTGGAGATATAATTTAATTGTAAGAAGGCATGCAAATTCCAGTAGATGGCTTTGTTATTGAAGCAGATGGATTGAAAGTTGATGTATATTCTACTTATATAATGTAAAAAGGAAAGTGCAATAACCGGTGAGACTCAGTTAATAAAGAAAAATACTTATGTGGAATGTAAATAGAAGAAAGACGAATTATGGGATGAAAAGAATTCTTTGTACAAGTATGATATTCCTTCTCCAGTCTTGTTGAGTGGTTCAACAATATAGTATGGGGAGGGTAAAATGGTAGTGGCAGTAGTGGGAGAGGCAAGTTGTATTGGTAAGATCTCAACTTTTGAAGAAAAAGAAGAACAGTAGTCTATTTTAAGGGCAAAATTAGAAGGGGTTAGTTAAGGTGTTGGTTTCTATGGAGTGATATTTTCAGGATTAATATTTGTTGTCTTGTTATTTAGATTTATATTTTAGAGAATTAAAGAAGATTCATTTGAAAAGTAACATATTAATGAACTGCTAAATTTGATTATTGCTTCAATTAGTGTAGTTATAATTGCAATTCCTGATAGTTTCCCATTTGCTATAACAATTTGTTTGGCATATTCTATTAGAGGAATGTTAAAAGACAATATTCTAGTAACAAAGTTAGCTGCCTTTGAAATTTCTGGAAACATAGACATGATTTGCACTGATAAGACTGGAATATTAACACAGAATAAAATGACTGTAGTCAAGATCTGGAATGATGAAGCCATGGAAGTTGATGTTTATAGCAATAATTTAAACTTAAGTAAATATTTACCAACTGAAATGCATGAATTATTTATTTAATCATCCATAGTCAATGGAGATGCTGAGATAAGACCTTAGGAAAGAGGAAGTCTAACAGAAGTGGCCTTGATTTAATTTGCTGAAAAATGTGGTATCAATTATCAAAGGGAAAGAGATTTACATCAAACAACCTTGACACTACCATTTTCAAGTTAGAGAAAAAGGAGAACAAGTATTATAGGAGGCAAAAGACTAGTTATTCATGGAAGTTCAGAAATTATTCTATAAAGTTGCAATTAATTCTATTCTAAATCGAAGGGAGTCATCCCTATTGATTCTACTCTTCGAAAAAAAATTGAGGATGACTTAACATTAATGGGCTATTAAGCTTTAAGAACTTTAGCTTTTGCATACAAAGATTTGAATGGAGATGAAGATCTTGTCAGCAAAAACCAAAGGGAAGTATATGACATCGAGGAGAAAGATCTTACTCTGATTGCTATTGTTGGAATTAAGGATATTTTAAGAGCAGAAATACCATAAGCTATTAGAAGTCTTTAAACTGCTGGGATAACAGTAAAAATGATTACTGGAGACAATAAAATCATATCCAGAGCTATTGCAGAAGAAAGTAGGATCTTAATTAATAAAAATAAATCTCTTGTTTTAGAAGGACCTGATTTCATTGAAAGAGTTGGTAGGTTAGTGTGTAAAAGATGTCAAACACCAAATTGTGATTGTCCAAGAGATCCATAAACTGCAAAAGCATTACGCAAATAAATGAGAGTAGAAACTATTCAAAAGTAGGAAGAATTTGATAACATTTATCCATAGTTAGATGTGTTGGCTAGAAGCAGACCTGAAGATATGTATACTTTTGTATTAGGTCTTTAAGAACGAGGACATGTTGTAGCTGTAACTGGAGAAGGTACTAACGTCGGTAATTTATGCATTTTAATATTATTATAGCTCCTACTTTAAGCAAGGCTGATGTAGGTATTGCCCTTGGCATCTCAGCAACTGAAATAGCAAAGAAAAGTGCCTCCATCATATTATTAGATGACAACTTTTCTTCGATTGTGAAATTGATTTTGTGGGGTAGGAATATTTAAGATTCAATCAAGAAATTGATTCAATTTCAATTAACAGCTATTATTGTTATAGTAATTATGACTCTAATATCTTCTATTTTAATTAAACAAGAACTCTTTAAACCCATATAGTTGCTTTGGATTAACTTAATAATAGATTCCTTTGCATCTCTAGCCCTTGCCACAGAAGCTCCTTCTCCAAATATATTAAGAAGGAAAAGTCAACATAAAAACGAGCACATTATAAGTTCCAAAATGTTCAAACACATTTTAGGATAGGCCACTTATCAAATCATCATAATATCAATACTGTTGTTTTATGCCCATACTTTTGTTCCTGAATTTAAGGGTGAAGAAGATGAATAATTATACTAGATGGGTAAATTGCAATTCAAATATTCGAATACTTACTTCGACCAGAATAGCAAGCTATACACCTGTCCTGATTATGAAGATTATTGTAATCTTATCTCTTACAGCACAGAATATAATGTAAATGGAACAGAAAACTACTACGCTTTTTATAAAAAAACCTATATTTCCTCTAGGTAGTTTACTTTTATTTTTAACACTTTTGTAATGATGCAGTTATTCAATTTTTTTAATGCTAGAAGAATCAAGGATGAGCTGAATATTTTCTAAGGAGTATTTTAGAATATAGTATTTTTAATTGCATTTTTTGGAATCCTTGTATTATAAATTCTTATTGTTACTTATGGGGGAATAGTGTTTCACTGCTATTCCTTTAATGGGCTTCGCATTGAATAATGGTATATAAACTTATAGATATTTAGGTTAATTTGCATATATTTTGGACTAGGAGGATTGGCTGTTAGGTCAATACTAATACTAATTCCAGATTCAATCCTGGAATTTTTTACAGGAAATGCTTTTAAAAAGATTCATAAATAGTAAACTCATTATCAAGTTATAGAAGTTTAAAATTTGAAGAATTAAGCTTAAGAGAATTGATCATATAAAATAATTTTAATTAAATAATCTAAATATACGAAATTATAATGCAGGAAGTCAATGAAAGAAAAATGTCAACAATCGCAAAGAATGATAATGTTTTGGATTTAGTTAAGTTAGTTCAAATGAACTAGAAGCTATTAACTTTTAGACAATGAATAAATTCGGATATTAGAATAACATCCAAAAATATAAATGGTTTCAAAGTACTAAATCAAAAAATCGCAGTTTCTATCGACACAGAACTCCTATGATGATCATCATTTTTGGTGCCCCAAGCATAGGAAAATCTCTATTAGCAAATTACTTAGCAGAAAGGCTTAATATCTCAAATGTCTTGCACACTGATATTGTTGAAATGGTTATGAGGAGTATAAATCCAGAACAATTCACTTATGATGAAAATCAGGATTTCATTACAAAGTTTAAGAAGGTAAAAGAATTAGAATTAATTAAGAGAATTGCAGATTGATCAGAAGAGGAATTTCAACTGATATATCTAAATTTTTATCTGAGGGGAAAGCAGTCATTATTGAAGGAAGTGCAGCAATGCCAGAATATTATTTAGAAGCTATTGATCAATAAGATCCCGAGGATGATCAACAATAATTTCAATTAATTGCAAGTTTCACTTAAAATGATATTAAACTCAAAAAACCTCAAAGAAAGGATTTGATACTTTTTAATCATTAGAAAAAATTAAACACACAATTTAAAATCATCTTCCCATAACCAGATTTAGATGTTGAAAATTAATAATAAATTTAAAAATAATTAAATTTATGTAAAGATTTGGATAAAATTGTAAATCTTTGATAAATTCAATTAGGATTAATCTCATTCTATGATTTTAGGTTTCTTGCCAATCTTATCTAGAAATGACCACTTACATAATATTAAAAATAACACGAGTAAGAAGATACCAAAAGACTAAATAGAAGAAAAATTAAACTAATTTCAATCTATTCAAAATGAACTATTAAAATAAAGAAGCAAATGCATTCTCTTACCTATAAATTGACACCATTTAGAAGAAACTCTAGTAATATGTATATATACTATAGGAGGACACCATGCATGATATCATATTATAAAAAATATTAGATCAATCCACTTGATTTTTAAGGTGAAATTGTTATTTATATATATTAAATACCAAAATAGTTATTACAAAAATGCTTTCACTCGAATTTAGAAACTGCCAAATCTTCTGAACTGTCTTCTTGCCTTATTTATAATCCATTAATAGAATTAAAACTATCATCAGTTATCTTACTTTTAATTTCAGGAGCATCAATTTACTCTTCTATTTCATTGACTGTTTGATTTGGACTAAAATTTTACTCAAGCTGTTGACTGCTTAAATAAAATTACTCATTTGTGCTTCCTTATTGTTAATTCTATGATTATTATGAAGATAATCGATGATTATAAGATGACAATCCTAGGGGTCTAGTAAAAGTGCTTGAAAACTTTCCGTATTTTGTTTGATATTCAGAATTATCACCTTCGTAATACAAATCTTTAACACCTTGACTGACTTAAGAATATTTATAACCGAACTCATTATCAGTCTTGCTATCATCAAACTGTTCATGAGAAAAATGGCTGCCATTTTAGAATTCTTGAGTATGTCGAAGAAAACTCTACACAGCTTTCTTTTGTAACTAGGTTTAGGCTGTAAATTTGTTTGAACTAGATTTTGCATAAACAGGAGGTTTATTTATATTAACTTCTTCGATCACTTATAAACCAGTTGCCAATTTAATTGTTTTCTCTAGCAAGCATTCCTAAGAGAGCTACTTAGTTAGATTTCCACCAACTTATGATAACTTTTTAGATCTATTTGATGATATCTAAGATAATTGTCCTTTTGAATTTAAGGCTTAATTTTGGTTGAAAGTCTAATTGTGAATTGGTAATGATTGTAAAGGTTATTGTTATGATAAGCTTTTAGCTTGGAATTGATTTTTTTAATTTGATGATTATTTCTGGTGTGATAGTTGTGTTCTTTTTGGATTTTAATTTAAATTTAAAGTTTATGACTTTGTTTTTAGTCCTGAATGTGAATTTTTTTGTTATTCTTAACCGGTCGAGTATTTTTACTTGCTCTAGTTTTTTTTACTATCAGATTCTGTTTATATTATTTTTTCTTGAGAATTTGATATTGTAGATAGGCGTCTTTGTTATGAAGAACCAAATTGATTTTTTCTTATTTCTGTCTTCTCTGATTAGGCTCTTGTGCTGTTAGGCAATAGTTCTAATATTCGCTTCTCACAAATCTTCTAAATTAAGCACTGTCCATCACTAAAATAGGAAATTAGTATACTTAATATTATTAGTCTAAGTACCCTCATAGATCTTCTTTAATCTACAAAGAGAATGAATACTCAACATTCTGAATTAAAGTTCTGTGTCCTTAAAGAAACTTTCAATATCAAACGAAAGACTGATCCATTTATTTGTTAGTATAAATGCACTTGAGATCTTGACTTCGTCTAACTTTTTGCTATAGGCTTGTTGCAAATTAGGACTGACTACTATTCTGAAATACTTGAATCTATAAAAATTAGAGAATTACCTCTTATTTATTGGAAAGCTCAAGTATAAATTTTAGTTTTTCAATCAAATACATTTGAATGTATATTTTAGAACCTTTAATTTACACGTCATTGGAATTATGGTAGGTGAATAAATTAGAAGGTCCAACTTTTAGAACAAAACCTCTATATGAATATTAATTTATACTTTTGGTTGTTTTATCAAATATAACATTTTCAGATTATTGAGACTTCAGTTCTATCTATATAGATGCATCTTACCTCTACAATCAAACAAAGTATTCTCTTGGTTTATCTTTGGTAAGTGAATCATTAGTACAACTGTAAATATTATATTTAATAAATCATAAAACTAATTAATGCAAAAAAGAGTTAGCGACATTACTACTTTAAAAATTCGAACCACCAATCCAAACGGTTTTCATAAATCATAACTTTTTTAGACATCTCTCAAAGTGACCAGCCTTTCTTTAACCAGAGACTCGATCAAACAAGAGATAATATTCAAATTCCATAATCCGTTTAGGAGATCCTCTTCCCTAACTTTTAATTAAGATCTTTGACATCTGTAATCGCCTTGTTGCTTACCTTAAATTATATATGTCAATACATCTATTACAAAGTTTCAGGATACAAATATTTTGGATGTGTATTATATGAATTGGGTGCATTTTACGCAGCAGATGTGATTTATGAATGTACTAATCATTTGGAATTAAGATGAGTACTATAGGTACATAACTGGGACCTTATATTTTGGGAGTATCTACAATGCTATCATTTTTGTGATTACATTCACAATGTAAGCCTATACTTTAGAATATTTATTGGGAAAGTTTGTTTTTTTTATATATTTAAATGCAGGAATCTATGGTTTAGTGTTCTCAGCCTTGATTTATAAAAATTCTATCACCACAGGAAATTGCGGAATAATTTTTACAGTCTTAGTTATCTATGGGTCTAGCCTAATTAAGAAATATTAAGAGATGGAAAATGCCAAAGCCACTTTAGGCCTTTTTTTAATACTTTTAATTTTAAACTTTTTAACCATTTTAGAAACTCAAAATACTAATATTGCCATAGTGACTGGTGGAATAATTAATGGAATTGGGATATCGACTTTTATTCATTTTCGTAATATAAATGAAAAATCAAAAAAAGTTACCTATATTATATTATTTGTAATTTATTCTGTTGAAATAATGCTGTTTGGATTGTTGCAGAATGTAGATGTTGATAAAATATTCAAAATTAATTTATTTTGTTGATGTATAATTTAATTCTAAGAATTAATCTATTTTCTAAAATAGTATCTGTAATATCATTATTTATATAATAATTAAAAATAAAAATGGATAACTCAGAAACAAAAGAAAATCAAGAAAAATAATTTATTTGTATTGACCCAAAATGCGATTAATAAAATAGATTATTCAAATCGAAAAATGAGAATCATCCTCATAAGTCTCACGATCATTAATTATACTCTGAATTCTAAAAACTAATTCGTGCATAATTTCCATAATAAATTAGAGAATAAATCAATCAATAATTTAGCAAGGATGAATTGATCAAAGCAATCCAAACGAGATCAGTATAAATGCATGAGTCTGTTAAAAATTTTGAAGAAAATCTAATTAAGTATATGTAACTCATTATGAATCATTAGAACTATCGAAGCATATGATATTTTGGGGGCTGATAAAGCTTCTATTAATCAAACTTTAAGTTAATTAAATGAACAGAATCCTCCACAACAACTTAATATTTAAGGATTAATGCATGTGCTAAAATTCAATAAATTGGGTCCCCAAAAGGTTTTGGAAAAATGGAAAAGGGAAAACGAAATCATCCTCAAAGAACTTAGTACTTAAGCAGATGCAGCCTTAAAAACTCTAGGGAATGTAACCATTTCAAGTTATATGCACATTTAACATTTATAAAGCCCATTGATTTTATAAAAGTAATTCCTAATTTTATATGTAGAATGCACTTTGCTTGGAGTTAAAACTATAAGGCAAGTTCTATTACAATTAGAGAAGATGCAGCATATGAGAAAGGCAATTCAATGGGATTGATTTGTATCCAATAGATTTTGGAAAAAGATTAAGTGCAAAGTCTCACTATTGATGTTAAAGAAAGAGCTGGAGTATCATAAATTTGAATAAATAGAATCTTTACATAGGAGTTGTAGATATGAATGAGAGAAAGTAAAGAGGTAGAAAAGCATTCAGTTTCCATGATTGGAATGAATCAGGACATGGATTATATCTGCTTTATCATGGAGGATGTAGAAGAATCTCTTTATATTAGATGTTTTTAGTTCGAATGATCCATCAATAAATAGTAAAAAGGCTGGCTTTACGTTTGATTAAAGCGACAAGATTATCCTAACTTGGAATGGCCCTGAGCATGCTGTCACTATTCTTAAGGTAGGAAGCAGTCATGTAATAATCAAAAACATTATATAAGCAATTTACATTCAAAGTTAATCCTGATGGATAATATCATTTTGCGGCAGGTTTGTTCAAATGTGAGATAAGATTGCTTGAATGATTAATTTAATTCTAATGATTAAATAAATATAAAAGAAAACATTTTATAAATTCACCACTAAAAATGTTTTATTAACAAAATAGTAAGGACTTATTTAAAATTTAATCAATTTGAAATGAATATAAAAAGATTCAATCTTTAGATAGCTAATTTCAAAGAATCATAATGTAGGATTTATTTTTTTGTAATCCTTGATAATTATGTAGATTACAGATAACTGATAAGATTTAATTTGGCTTATTCTGAAGCTATCTTGGAGTTCTTTATGCACTTATTATAATGAAAAGAAAATTGAATTATTATAGAGTATCGAAATTAATTAATTTATAAATTTGTATATATAATATGGCTGACGACTACGATGAAGAATTTGGAGAGGTGCAATATTTAAAAAAATAGTTAGCTTGGATTGGTGATTGGTGATTTCAATATTCCATCAAGAGCATCTGATTTGCCCCCTTAATTCAAGGATCTTTTAGTCCCCAATAAAGTGTAATATGTATTTTGCACAGGAAACATTGGGAATAGAGAAACTACAGATTGGGTAAAGACATTATCTGGAAATACCCATTTCGTCAAAGGGGACTTCGATGAGTCTAAAGATATTCCTGAAACAAAAATCATATAGATTGGTTCATGGAAATTAGCTTTGGTTCATGGTCATCAAGTAATACTAAAAAAATCATCTATTAGATTATCCCTGCTGGAGATGATGAATCATTATACACATTCTTGAAAGAGATGGAAGCAGATGTGCTTATTACAGGATTTACTGGTGTTGCTAAAGTTTCGGCTGTGGAGAAAAAATATATAATTAATCCTGGATCAGTCACAGGTGGTTTTAATGGATAATAATAGTAAAATAAAGATAATATTTAGATCTATTCCATCATTTTTAATTTTAGAATTTAAAAAGGAAAAAATTTAAGTTTTTATTTATACTCTAGATGGAGAAGTAAAAATAGATAAGCAAGAGTTACCATTATAGAAATGAATCAATTAAATTAAGTATCATTAATATTTTATTATAACCAATGACCTTCTTCTTTAAAATCAAGCTTTTCTTTAACTTTCTAAAATCTTTGCTATCAATCTCTTATGAATAACCTAATTTTTACTGTTAATCTTAGAGAAGTTGGTAAATATCTTTTTTTTATTTTTTGATTATTGTTGAACTCGCTAACAGATTCTTAAATTTTATATGATCCAACTTAGAATAAGAAATTTGAGATCTAGCAAAAATATTTAAATTATTTATGCATTTTATATATAATTAACTTTGATGGAAACTGAGAATTTAAAAATAAAACTTGAAATGATTTAATCCTGTGGTCTATGTTTTATTAATTGTATCCTTTCAAATAGTAATTCTTTTCCATTTGATACCCTGTGTGATGATAATGGGGTTTCAAATAAGAAATAGGACAACCAAAACACAAATCCTTGCCTTAATGAACTTTGAATTCCCCAAAATCCCTCATCTAGTTTATAAAATTGAGACTTAATGATCAAGAAAAAAACAATCTAATTCTAAGTGGTATTTTAATTAAACTGCTACAATTACAAATCTCACAATATTATTAATCAAGAATAACCATGAGCCATTAATAAACACTTTTTGCATTTATTAAAATATCTTCATTTGCTTATATATTATAAATTAGAGAGTGACATCGTTATAAGTAAAATAAATCAAAAATATTAATAATCCGCAAAAACCATAAATGATAACCTTTGATCCTTTTTTTTTTATTTTAGTTACTAAAGTTTTGTGAAAAGACTAAAATTTAATTTATTTGTTTAATTCCTAGTAGTTGAGGTAGTCTATTTTTTTCTAGTTGAATTTGCTCTTTGAAAACTGGTTGTTCTTGATGATTTATTTTAGTCATAACAATCATCTGCGCCTGTATTTTCTTACGGTTAATTTTCATTTATAGAACAATTATGAAAGTTTGTTGCATCCATCAGTTAAAGGGATGCTCTTTTTTTGTTCTAAACCCTAGGTTTAAAGTGATTGAGTTAATTAAAATCTTAACTTCTATCAAGGGATTAAGCACATGATTTCAACTCCGTTTAATATAGTTTTTTTAACCTTAAGTATGAATTTTAAGAGTTATGAGAACATATTAGACTCTTTGAAATAAAAACTTATTCAGCATCTGCTGAGATTTTGTCAGTTATAGAATTTGGTTTGGATCTATCACTTATAAAAGACTTAAGCCTGTTTATTCTTGAAAATAAACTTAATCTTGTTTTATTTTCTTCTTCGATTTTATATTACTTTAATGACTAATTTTAATCTTATCCTTGTTCTTCCAGGTCTCTAAAAGTTTCAGCCATTGTGTGTCTTCGAGATTCCCTCAAGTTAGAGTTGAAATATTATATTTTATTAATCATTTCTTTCTCAAATGATTCTGATATTTCATAACATCTTGGATAAACATATGGTTTTAAACTCATTTTCCTTTTTTAAGATTTTGTTTTACCAGAGTTCATTTTAATTGATCTCAGTTATAATAAAATTTATATATACAATTAATAAAATGTGAGAAATTAGTTATTAAAGTTTTTAAAGATACAAAGAATTTTTACAATTTTGATATACAGTAAAAAATAACTTCATATAATAAATTGATGGTAAACAGAATTAAGATTGTATAAATTGCCTCTATTATTAGAATCATCATTCAATTTCTTTAAGTATTTTGTCGCCTTCATCTAAAGCTCTTTACAAATTTTCCTTTAACCCTTTGAGAAATGATTTGAAACATACAACTACAGATTTAAATGTTGACTATGCTTTATCCTAAGTTGCTCTGAGCGGTTTCTACACCTTTTTGATTCTTTTAGGTGCCTATTTGTTATTTTACTTTGACTTGAATTTTTTCTTGATCTTCTTCATTATTGTGTTTGCTTTGGCCATTTTTGCTTTAGAAGATCCTATCATTATAATATCTGGGCTCTCATGAGATTTTCTCTCTTCAGTATTTTATGTTTTAAGAGATGGAGCCCTTTTTTTAGATTTAGGCGGTCTTCCTCCTTTTATTTTTGTACTAACACGAATTCTATGTTAAGTTATTGTTGGTTTATTATTTTCGAGCCGATCATTATCACTTTCGATATGTGATTATGTTAAGAGATCGATCTCTAAGTCTTCAGATATCATATATTAATAAATGGGTTCTAATATCTTTAATGTATTTATAGTAAAAAGAGAAAAAAGCATGAAAAAAATTGGTAATAATAATTATTAACAATTAATATGAGTCCCATTAACTGGAAATATTCAATCTAACTCTTTGCTGAGTTAGAAATTTTAATTCATAATCTCAACGTCTACTAAAGATTCGACTTTAATCCAAAAGTCTGAGTTAGTAATTTAAATTATATTAACCACTCATTTAATTATATTATTTTTATCAGCAAAAATAAATTTATTCTTTTCTAAATTTTATTTTTTAGCTATTTAATATTATGTATGGTTTCTCCTCTTAAATAACTTGGAATTTAATTCTCTATTTGAAATTCTAGATCAAATTTTAATATATATATTTCAATTCTAACGACATGTAAATTTAATTTTTCCTAGAAATTATTTATATTCCAATAAAATAATATTGGATATTTTATCAAATTTTTATCCTTTTTTATTAACAATTGCTTGAGAGATTTATCTCTTTTTTTCCTTAATATTATAGAATTTTTCAATAAACTATAAATTTAAGAATTAAAACTCACTGATTTGATATTATTAGCCACTTTGGATTTGATTTATCTTATTTGCTATTAAAGATTTTAAGATGAAAAATGTGTTATAGAGATAGAAAACGAATCATTCCGCGACAAATAAAAATAATTTATTACATATTGTTGATATTTTTGGATAAGATATCATTGAAAGGTCAAAAATGGCGCAATAAATTGATCATTCAGACTTATACTTAGAAAACAAATTCAATTAATTTCTGCAAAAGCAAAAGTCTTAGAAATAATAAAGTTAGAACTACAAGGAAATACAACTAATATTACTTAAAGGAAAAAAAACATATCATAAAAGTTTAACAGAGAAGATTAACCTTATAGAGTGGTTAGTTATTAGCAATTTTTAGATTTTTTGAATTTCTTAAAACATGATAATTTAAGAATACTTAGAATGGCCTAAGTGAGCTGCTTTTTGTATCCTCCTAATAAAATAATAATGAAGTTATTGGAGTAATCAAAAATATAATACATACATCTTTGAATACTAAATTAATTTTTGTAGAATGAGTTAATGATTATAATATATTAAAATAATAATGATACTTTACAACTCTCTTTTAACTTCTATCAGTTCATTTAACTATTAAATATTGCTAGATAAATACCTTTATTAGTTTAATTACTGTATTTATGTTTATAAGAGAGAATTTTTGTTAAATAATTCTATTAATTTCCTATTTAAAACGCTAATCCCATCACTATATTACTGCCTATTATCTTCCAGTGTTTTAATATAATGTTTCAATTAAATAATTTCTTTTTCGTTTTCTTAAGTAGAACATAGGTCTTAACTCTATTTTCTTGATTATTTTAATTCCTAATCATGTTAAAGCTTTTTGAGAATTTATATAACAGGCTAAGTAGCTTGATTTAAGAGAACTAATTATTTGTTTTCTTCAAAATCATCTTAGTTTTCCTTCAATAACTATTCCATCGTTTAGACAAAGTGAGCGGTTTTTTCATTCAACTTTTGCTCCTAATTTTCTAGTTTCGACTATAGCTCATCAACTTATGTTTTTAGTTAATTACATTCGTTTTCCAAAAGTTCTTTGTCTTTTTCAAATTTTGTTATTAATATTTCTTACTTACTTAATTATTCTTATGCAGCTAATAATTCCTATCTTTATTGAGCTAATTCTAATCCTTGTTTCTCAAAAATTTCATTTTCTTTATTAAATCTTTCTTAGGACTGTTGATTTGTTGAATTCAGTTGTTCATCTTTTTTTTCAACTAACTTATCTAGAGTTTCAGAGGATTTTAAATTAGATTGATTTTGAATCTTATTTAATTAGTCAGCTAATTATAAATTCAATTTCTAAAGATTATCCTTCTCCTCATTTAATAATAATAATTATGATTAAAGTTCTGTTATTTGTTATTTATAATTTTAAATTTCTTCTAATTATGGTGAATTTTCCTCGCCTTAAGCCCCGAAAAGGGTTATCTATTATTCATCATTATTAAGGTTGTGACCTTACTTTTATTTTTTCTCAACAACGTCATCATCTTTATCTAAATCAAGTTGATTTTCTAATTTTGGACTTTACTCTTATAAAATACCATCTCTTTACATTTCCAAGAGTAAATATTAATTTAATAATTTGTTATATTTCTCTTTTTGCTTTTAAATTTCCTCATCTAATTATTTTTCATGATCTTTCTTTATATCATCTTACTTTTTATTTAATCCATCATTTAATTCTTCTAAAGCTAAATGTTCAGACAATAATGAATTAAATTTATTTTTAATTGTTTCGAGTTCATTCTTATCTACTAACAAATCTTAATTTTTATTGACTGAATTCAAAGCATCAATAGCTTTTTCGCATTCTTCTTACAATTTCAAATGTTCATTCAACAAATTATTGAATAGATCCTTTGCTTTTAATTTTTCTTCTTCTAATTATTATCTGAATTCTTTTCTTAGTTGCTTTTCTTATTCGTTAATTAAATCTCCTACATTTAACAAATGAAGATGTTCCTCTAATAGATTGTTATATTTATTTTTATAATATTCTTCAGAGCTTGGTTCTATCTTCAATGGCTCAGTAGTGGGTTCAGTTTTTACTATTTATTATGGTTCAGCTTATGCTGTTTTTTCTAAAAGGTTTTTCATATTTTCTAGTTCTTATTTTAATTATGAATTTTAGTTTTCTAACCAATGTAACTAATCAAGAAGTGATTTCACTTATTCTTAGTTTTATTAATTATGTATTTATTCTTTTTCTTTATTTTCATTTGCAATTTCCGATTATTTCTAAATAACATCATCATCTTTATCTAAGTCAAGTTGATTTTCTAATTTTGGACTTTACTCTTATAAAATACCATCCCTTTACATTTCCAAGAGTAAATATTAATTTAATAATTTGTTATATTTCTCTTTTTGCTTTTAAATTTCCTCATCTAATTATTTTTCATGATCTTTCTTTATATCATCTTACTTTTTATTTAATCCATCATTTAATTCTTCTAAGGCTAAATGTTCAGACAATAATGAGTTAAATTTATTTTTGATTGTTTCGAGTTCATTCTTATCTACTAACAAATCTTAATTTTTATTGACTGAATTCAAAGCATCAATAGCTTTTTCGCATTCTTCCTACAATTTCAAATGTTCATTCAACAAATTATTGAATAGATCTTTTGCTTTTAATTTTTCTTCTTCTAATTATTATCTGAATTCTTTTCTTAGTTGCTTTTCTTATTCGTTAATTAAATCTCCTACATTTAACAAATGAAGATGTTCTTCTAATAGATTATTATATTTATTTTTATAATAGTCTTCAGTACTTTTGTCAATTTATTCTTAATTTGATTGTTATTTACTTGGTTCTTTTTCCTCTGTCTCAATATTTTCCATCAGTTACCTACTATTGTTATTAAGTTTAATTGCTTCTAGTTCTTATTTTAATTATGAATTTTAGTTTTCTAACCAATTTAACTAATCAAGAAGTTATTTCACCTATTCTTAGTTTTATACATTATGTATTTATTCTTTTTCTTTATTTTCATTTGCAATTTCCGATTATTTCTAAATAACGTCATCATCTTTATCTAAGTCAAGTTGATTTTCTAATTTTGGACTTTACTCTTATAAAATACCATCCCTTTACATTTCCAAGAGTAAATATTAATTTAATAATTTGTTATATTTCTCTTTTTGCTTTTAAATTTCCTCATCTAATTATTTTTCATGATCTTTCTTTATATCATCTTACTTTTTATTTAATCCATCATTTAATTCTTCTAAGGCTAAATGTTCAGACAATAATGAGTTAAATTTATTTTTGATTGTTTCGAGTTCATTCTTATCTACTAACAAATCTTAATTTTTATTGACTGAATTCAAAGCATCAATAGCTTTTTCGCATTCTTCTTACAATTTCAAATGTTCATTCAACAAATTATTGAATAGATCTTTTGCTTTTAATTTTTCTTCTTCTAATTATTATCTGAATTCTTTTCTTAGTTGCTTTTCTTATTCGTTAATTAAATCTCCTACATTTAACAAATGAAGATGTTCTTCTAATAGATTATTATATTTATTTTTATAATAGTCTTCAGTACTTTTGTCAATTTATTCTTAATTTGATTGTTATTTACTTGGTTCTTTTTCCTCTGTCTCAATATTTTCCATCAGTTACCTACTATTGTTATTAAGTTTAATTGCTTCTAGTTCTTATTTTAATTATGAATTTTAGTTTTCTAACCAATTTAACTAATCAAGAAGTTATTTCACCTATTCTTAGTTTTATACATTATGTATTTATTCTTTTTCTTTATTTTCATTTGCAATTTCCGATTATTTCTAAATAACGTCATCATCTTTATCTAAGTCAAGTTGATTTTCTAATTTTGGACTTTACTCTTATAAAATACCATCCCTTTACATTTCCAAGAGTAAATATTAATTTAATAATTTGTTATATTTCTCTTTTTGCTTTTAAATTTCCTCATCTAATTATTTTTCATGATCTTTCTTTATATCATCTTACTTTTTATTTAATCCATCATTTAATTCTTCTAAGGCTAAATGTTCAGACAATAATGAGTTAAATTTATTTTTGATTGTTTCGAGTTCATTCTTATCTACTAACAAATCTTAATTTTTATTGACTGAATTCAAAGCATCAATAGCTTTTTCGCATTCTTCTTACAATTTCAAATGTTCATTCAACAAATTATTGAATAGATCTTTTGCTTTTAATTTTTCTTCTTCTAATTATTATCTGAATTCTTTTCTTAGTTGCTTTTCTTATTCGTTAATTAAATCTCCTACATTTAACAAATGAAGATGTTCTTCTAATAGATTATTATATTTATTTTTATAATAGTCTTCAGTACTTTTGTCAATTTATTCTTAATTTGATTGTTATTTACTTGGTTCTTTTTCCTCTGTCTCAATATTTTCCATCAGTTACCTACTATTGTTATTAAGTTTAATTGCTTCTAGTTCTTATTTTAATTATGAATTTTAGTTTTCTAACCAATTTAACTAATCAAGAAGTTATTTCACCTATTCTTAGTTTTATACATTATGTATTTATTCTTTTTCTTTATTTTCATTTGCAATTTCCGATTATTTCTAAATAACGTCATCATCTTTATCTAAGTCAAGTTGATTTTCTAATTTTGGACTTTACTCTTATAAAATACCATCCCTTTACATTTCCAAGAGTAAATATTAATTTAATAATTTGTTATATTTCTCTTTTTGCTTTTAAATTTCCTCATCTAATTATTTTTCATGATCTTTCTTTATATCATCTTACTTTTTATTTAATCCATCATTTAATTCTTCTAAGGCTAAATGTTCAGACAATAATGAGTTAAATTTATTTTTGATTGTTTCGAGTTCATTCTTATCTACTAACAAATCTTAATTTTTATTGACTGAATTCAAAGCATCTATAGCTCTTTCGCATTCTTCTTACAATTTCAAATGTTCATTCAACAAATTATTGAATAGATCTTTTGCTTTTAATTTTTCTTCTTCTAATTATTATCTGAATTCTTTTCTTAGTTGCTTTTCTTATTCGTTAATTAAATCTCCTACATTTAACAAATGAAGATGTTCCTCTAATAGATTGTTATATTTATTTTTATAATATTCTTCAGAGCTTGGTTCTATCTTCAATGGCTCAATAGTGGGTTCAGTTTTTACTATTTATTATGGTTCAGCTTATGCTGTTTTTTCTAAAAGGTTTTTCATATTTTCTAGTTCATATTTTAGTTATGAATTTTAGTTTTCTAACTAATTTAACTAATCGAGAAGTTATTTCACCTATTCTTAGTTTTATACATTATGCATTTAATCTTTTTCTTTATTTTCATTTGCAATTTCCGATTATTTCTAAATAACGTCATCATCTTTATCTAAGTCAAGTTGATTTTCTAATTTTGGACTTTACTCTTATAAAATACCATCCCTTTACATTTCCAAGAGTAAATATTAATTTAATAATTTGTTATATTTCTCTTTTTGCTTTTAAATTTCCTCATCTAATTATTTTTCATGATCTTTCTTTATATCATCTTACTTTTTATTTAATCCATCATTTAATTCTTCTAAGGCTAAATGTTCAGACAATAATGAGTTAAATTTATTTTTGATTGTTTCGAGTTCATTCTTATCTACTAACAAATCTTAATTTTTATTGACTGAATTCAAAGCATCTATAGCTCTTTCGCATTCTTCTTACAATTTCAAATGTTCATTCAACAAATTATTGAATAGATCTTTTGCTTTTAATTTTTCTTCTTCTAATTATTATCTGAATTCTTTTCTTAGTTGCTTTTCTTATTCGTTAATTAAATCTCCTACATTTAACAAATGAAGATGTTCTTCTAATAGATTATTATATTTATTTTTATAATAGTCTTCAGTACTTTTGTCAATTTATTCTTAATTTGATTGTTATTTACTTGGTTCTTTTTCCTCTGTCTCAATATTTTCCATCAGTTACCTACTATTGTTATTAAGTTTAATTGCTTCTAGTTCTTATTTTAATTATGAATTTTAGTTTTCTAACCAATTTAACTAATCAAGAAGTTATTTCACCTATTCTTAGTTTTATACATTATGTATTTATTCTTTTTCTTTATTTTCATTTGCAATTTCCGATTATTTCTAAATAACATCATCATCTTTATCTAAGTCAAGTTGATTTTCTAATTTTGGACTTTACTCTTATAAAATACCATCCCTTTACATTTCCAAGAGTAAATATTAATTTAATAATTTGTTATATTTCTCTTTTTGCTTTTAAATTTCCTCATCTAATTATTTTTCATGATCTTTCTTTATATCATCTTACTTTTTATTTAATCCATCATTTAATTCTTCTAAGGCTAAATGTTCAGACAATAATGAGTTAAATTTATTTTTGATTGTTTCGAGTTCATTCTTATCTACTAACAAATCTTAATTTTTATTGACTGAATTCAAAGCATCAATAGCTTTTTCGCATTCTTCCTACAATTTCAAATGTTCATTCAACAAATTATTGAATAGATCTTTTGCTTTTAATTTTTCTTCTTCTAATTATTATCTGAATTCTTTTCTTAGTTGCTTTTCTTATTCGTTAATTAAATCTCCTACATTTAACAAATGAAGATGTTCCTCTAATAGATTGTTATATTTATTTTTATAATATTCTTCAGAGCTTGGTTCTATCTTCAATGGCTCAGTAGTGGGTTCAGTTTTTACTATTTATTATGGTTCAGCTTATGCTGTTTTTTCTAAAAGGTTTTTCATATTTTCTAGTTCTTATTTTAATTATGAATTTTAGTTTTCTAACCAATGTAACTAATCAAGAAGTGATTTCACTTATTCTTAGTTTTATTAATTATGTATTTATTCTTTTTCTTTATTTTCATTTGCAATTTCCGATTATTTCTAAATAACATCATCATCTTTATCTAAGTCAAGTTGATTTTCTAATTTTGGACTTTACTCTTATAAAATACCATCCCTTTACATTTCCAAGAGTAAATATTAATTTAATAATTTGTTATATTTCTCTTTTTGCTTTTAAATTTCCTCATCTAATTATTTTTCATGATCTTTCTTTATATCATCTTACTTTTTATTTAATCCATCATTTAATTCTTCTAAGGCTAAATGTTCAGACAATAATGAGTTAAATTTATTTTTGATTGTTTCGAGTTCATTCTTATCTACTAACAAATCTTAATTTTTATTGACTGAATTCAAAGCATCAATAGCTTTTTCGCATTCTTCCTACAATTTCAAATGTTCATTCAACAAATTATTGAATAGATCTTTTGCTTTTAATTTTTCTTCTTCTAATTATTATCTGAATTCTTTTCTTAGTTGCTTTTCTTATTCGTTAATTAAATCTCCTACATTTAACAAATGAAGATGTTCTTCTAATAGATTATTATATTTATTTTTATAATAATCTTAATTGGTTTTAACATCTTATTTTTCTTTTTAATCTTTAGAAGGATTCAAATTATCTTTTTATTATTGTAATTCATTCTTTAAAACTTATATTTATTCTTATAGCTATTTCAAATCAATATCTTATTCATCAATCTTTTTTAAACTTTGTAGATTTATTTCTTTTTATTTTTACAATCTCTATAAAGCATTTTCAAGTTAATTTTCCAATTTTTTAATTGTGAAAAGAAGTTTGAATTATTTTGCTAGCATTTTTTCATTTGCTTTTTATAGTTTCTATAAATCTTTTTAGGCAACGCTGCCAGTTTCAACTTATTAAGGTTCCATATTTTCTACTCCATCGTCAGTTTATTATTCATAGTAGTTTTAATTATCAATAAGATCCTAGACTATTGCTTTTTATTTTGATAGTCTTCTCACTAATTAATCATTTTCTCTATCTTTTTAAAACATTTGGCACAATAATTTAAATATTTTGGCAAGATATTTTTTATTTTAAATCTCTAACCTTTGATTTTCCAATTTTGAGTTTTCATTTTAATTTTGATTTTGGAGATCTTCTTTTTATTCTGGTTGTTTTTATAATAAATCCATCTAAGAATTTTTTTCTTCCTCATTAGAGCTTTCAACTAATTATTGTAATTATGCATTCTTTTGTAATAGTTTTCTTGATAATTCCTCATTTGCTTTATTTTAAATATTTAAATTGCTAGTAAGAATAAATAGTTTTGCTAAAAGTTTGCCGTTTTTTAATTTTAATTAATGTGAACTATTTTATATTTTTGAAAATTCTTCTATTATTGCATTTTATTTAACTAGCCTATCATTTAATTATTTATTTTCTTTGTTCTATTTTTACAGCAAAAATGATAACCTAAATAATTTGGATAAAGCTTTAACATTTTGGTTCTTAATCTTCAAGAATTCATTGCTGTTAAATATTTCTGGTTATTTTTCTGGATTTATTTCAGATGCAGCTTGAAGTGAAATTTCCTAATGATTTAACTCCGGTTCCAATTTTATTTAAGCATCCTAATTTTTTTCTTCCATTAATTCATCATTAATGGCTTTTTATTTATTTAATCTTTCATTTAATTAAATTAATTCTTTATCTTTTTTCTTTTGATTACTCAAAATTCTAAATAACTTTGCAAGCAATTTATTATATTTTTATTTCCAAATAGAAATTTCATTTTAATGTTTAATCTATTATTCTTATGATTCAGAGTTAGGTTAAATATTTTGATTCTCTTTATTTTGAAAATTGGATTATTCCTAAACTTCTTAAACTTCTTAATTTGGAGCTTGTTCTTATGTTAATGTGTCAATAATTGCTTGTAATTTTGTTAATCTTTATTCTAGCAATTGAATTTAATTATTTTTTCTGGTAAATCCGCTCATAACTCTGAATAATTTGACTAATAATTTGTTATTTTAATTCTTGAGTCTAACGTTCTCTTACTCATTAACATTTTACAGTTCCATTTATTAATCTGTTGAATGTTTATCATTTTCTAATTTTTCATCAATAATGTTAATATTTTCAGCTTAAGGTTATTAATTCTCTTAACTTTAAGATTCAATAATTGCTTTATACTTAGATAGTCTTTCGTTTAAATTTTCTATCAGTTTATTTTATTTATTAAATTTACTCATAATCATGAATAATTTAGCAGCCATCTTATTAATCTTTTGATTTCTTAAAGCATCATTCTATTGTTCGATTTCATTTGAATTAAACTCCTATTAGGGTTGTTCAGCCTAATTATTTTATAAATTATAGTTTGGTTCTTTTTCTTATTCCTCAATCTAATTTGTATTTATACTATTTTCGTGAATCTAATTATTTAATTCCTCAATTTATGCTTTTTATTTCTAAATTCTCTGCAATAATGACTCAATTTCATTATTTTTTTTATTTAATAAAAACATAGTTCTAAATAATTTACCCTAAAGTCTTTAATTTTAATTTTTTATTTTCAATTAATCATAGTCAACATCTTTGTTCTCTACTTCCAAGTTAATTTATTTATTATTTTATTAGTCATCTATTATTAATTATTCTTATTCAGATTATTCCTCTTCTTATTCTTTAGGCTCAGTAGTGATTGCATCATTTATGGCTTATTATTTTTTAAGTCTTTCGTTTAAATTTTATACTTCATCTTCTTATATTTTTAATTTGGTCATTATTCTTAAAATTTTTGATAATAATTTTTAATTTTAAGTCTTAAGCTTTAAAATCTCATTTTTTTATTCCTATTAATTATCTTAGATTTAGTGTTGTTATTCATGCACAGTTTCTACTTCTTTTTATTGTTATTCTTCTTCATTTATTTTTGGTTATTATTCACTATTCTTTTAATTTTCAATTAATTCTTAATTTATTGCTTTTTATTTCTCAATTCTTTCTTCTAATTATGAAATAATAGCATCCTTTTATTTTTGTTTGGTTAATATTCTGAAAATTTTTCCTAATAACTTTTAATTTCTTTATTTTTATTTTACTAATTCTTCCTTTATGTTTTAATGAGTATCTTACTCATTTTCAGCTTGCTATTCAATTTATGGTTTGTTATCTTATGGAATTGGATCAGATGAATTTTCTTTTTCTGTATTTTCATTTTTTTAATTTTCTAATAATTCATTAATGATGCCTTTTTGTTTTTTTAATTTATCTTCTAAATCAGAATTCAATTTTTCGATTTACATCAGCTTTCCTACTAAAATAAATTTACTTCTTAAATTCTTACTATTCTTATTCTTTATTAAATTCAACTCTTACATTAACTACGAATTTTTTACTTCTAATTATTCATTATTTTAAATTAATCTTTCAATTAAAGCTTCTTGTTCCTGATTACTTTCACTTGGATTTGATTTGGGTATTTATTTATATTTTTATTCTAATTCTTCTTATTTTTATTTTTATTATTTGATTATTTAATCTTAATCAGAAATCTGTTTCTCTGCATCATGTAATTGAGATAATAATTTATCATTGTCGAGTTTCAATTTTTCATTTTGTTCTTCTAAATCTTAAATCATTTATTAGAGGTCTTAATCATTTTACTCAACTTAATTATTTTATTGTTACTATAGAGATTGAATTTCTTTTTTCAAATCATTAATTTGTACATTGGCTTACTTTAATTTTTCCTCTAATTCTCTTTATTTTATTGTATTATTTTCTTTATTTCTGGGGGTTGAGTCCTTTTACGAATATTTTAATGCTATTTCTAAATCATTTATTTTGATTTCTTAATCCTTTATGTGCAACTCGAGTTCTTCTATTTTCAATTTATCATTATTCTCTTACTCTAAAATGGCATTAAGTTCGGTGTTTTTCGAATTATATTTGTTTATCCAGTCCTAAATTTCTCCCTCTTAAGATTTAACTTTATTTTCTAATTTTTTAATTGCATCATTTAAAAGTGAATTTTCTTTAGCCTTTCTATTATTTTCATCTTCTAAAGTTTATTTCTATTCCAAAGCTTCTGTATATTTAGATTTCAAATTCGAAAAATCATCGCTTAATTGATTGAACTACTAGATAAACTCTTCTCCTCCATTGCTGGGAGCGTTGCATAATTCAATCAAGTCATTTTATAGATTTAAATTTACTTCTAAAGGTTTTGAAGCCAATTATTCAAATAATTTTAAATTTTCAGCTCTCAAATCTTAATTATTTTTTTGAATTGTATCAATTTAATCTTAAAATCTTTTTTTTTCATTTTCAAGCTCATCTAAATTGTTCTTTAACACTATAATGATTCCTTCCAATGAATTGATTTTATTTTAATCATCCTTTCTTTAATTTTCCATTTCCTCCTTTAATTCTAAAAGACTCTCAATTTTATCATAAGCAACTAAATGTAATTTGATTAGTTACTTGCATAATAATTATCAACTTCATCTTTATTCTTTTGGAGCTATGAATATTTATTTTTCCAGTCTGAAATTTCTTGTTGATGAGAATTAATTGTTTCATCATATTCACTTATTTCTTCTTACAACTCTTGAATTTATTTTTTCAAGCCTTCAATGAGAGCAGAGCTAAATAACGTGACAATGATACTTTTCATTAATTAAATTATTTTAAGGTTCAATTATTTTTTAAGGTGATTACTATTTTTTTTGGATTGTCTTTTCCTCCATTAATTTTTTTTAGAGCTCTTATTTTTCCTTTAATAAAAGTGAATTTTATGTTTAAAGTTGCTCTATTTATTTATCTTTTTGATCATTTTCATTCCAAGCTTCATTGAGATCATGTGTTAATTATTTAATATCCATTTTAAGATTTTCAATTTCAGCCAAAAATTACTTTTCTTTTTAACTCATTTCAAGTTCTAAAGCAAGTATTTCTCGCTGTTTGATCTGATCTTGGGTCAATTTGTCATTATCAATTTTTTAAGATCTATTGCTATGTATTGATGATCTGTGGATTCCTGGTCCTTCTGTTCTTTTTAGGATTTCATCAGTTTGCTTTTTATATTTTTCTTTTTCTTCCTACAATTTTTCAAGTCTCTGGCTTAACACTAAGTTAGTATCTTTATTAATTTTTGCCTCTCTCATGCTTCGTTCCAATGCTTATGACTGTTCAATTTTCAGTTCTGACTTTACTTTTTATATCTGAGTATCAATTTACTAAGAAAATCACATGATAATCATACTTTAATTCCTATTGGTGCTTGTCCTTAATTTGCTTATTAGATACTTCTCATAATAAAAACGCAAATAAAAAATAATTAAAAACTAGAAAACTTAACAAACGATTAAAATCCCAAAATACAAAGCATTATTTATTCCGTTATGGATTAATGAAATCATTAAGCTATTCTAAAGCAAGTTCTTATCCCTACTCTTGATAGCTCAATAATTTTTAGAATGGGGTCCATTATAATTTATAACATAATTATATATACAATAAATTATTAATTTATAAAATGAATGAACATTATTTCATTGTATCACAATAAATAATCAATTTATTTTGCTACTCAGAGGAGATCAAATAAATCAAGAAATAAATCATTCTTGTGCTTTATATTCTTTTATTCCCTTTGTTTATCTAAATTTTACTTCATTTTTATATCCAAAATGATTATAATCAAATTAAATTTGTTTTTATCAAATTCATTTATTATTAAATATATGTCAATAAAAACAAAAATTCACTTTTTTCTAAATGATTTCTAAGTGGATATTTTATCCCCCAACAATCCTCAATATTTTGAGTATTTTTTTATAAAATAAATACCTTTGATTAAAGAGATATAAAGCATTATTCCAAAATCACATTTTGAGTTAGGTAGATTCAATAAATTACATAAATGAATAAATTTATATACATTCATTCTATAGGTTACTAAAATCGAGTAATATTATATTATGTCAGATAATACTCTTTTATATTATAAATAACTTTTAATATTATTATAATTATTTGTTAAAATGAGTGTCTCTTCGAATTAATAAGTATATGAAGAACTTATGGTATTAATATTAGTTTTCTATGCAAGGATAAAATCAAAAACAATTCAGAGATAAGAGAGAAATTTGACAGCAGAACCTAAAGTGGATTATTAGATAAAGACTATGCTCACGAAGTCTTGATAGATTGGAGTGATTTACTAAATTATGATCTGAGTGATGCTATAACTTATTTTGATCTCGATAATCCTGACATTCCCCCGGAAGAGATCAGGTAGCACTTAGATTTTGACAGTTTCATTAATCTCGTCAACAAATGGCTATAGAAGCAATTATTGCAAACATCTCCCAAGTAGAAACAAAGTACAAACTAAGACCAATACTGGTTTAAGAGTGAACCTGGAACACTCAATACAGAACAGAGTGATTTAAAGCATTAGGAGTAATTAATAAAAGCAATTTTTGAGACGCAAGAAGCCAAGACAAAAAAGGTATTTAACGAATACGCAATGATGAGTGATCAGAACGATACAATTAGTAAATAAGATTTCCCTCTATTGCTTAAAAATTTGTTATATCAACATAATGCATCAATATATGAGAAAAGTGGCTAAGAAGATTACTTCATGAGAAGTAATTCTTATGGAAATTTGAATAATTTTTTAAGGGATGATTAAATTAATTACCAATAATTCAAGGATGCAGCAATTCAGTTCATAAAAGGAAATCAAGATTTAATTCTTTTGGATCACGAATAAATTAGTAAGAAAAAAGAGAAATAGCAGCCTCAACATCCCCCAAATTTAGAAGAAGAACTCTTACAATAAATAGAAAAGTATTAACAGATTTTATAAACAACTGAACCTGAAATTGAGAAATAGGTTCTCAGAAATATGATAACAACTTTGGTCCGTTAGCTGGATTTAATAAGAGACAACACTATGAAGTTTGATGAAACTCAAATAAATTCCACCATCAAACCTAAAGCTAATTTATAGGTCTCATTCTCAGGAATAGTTAGACCTGAGAAAAGAGCAAAAACAAAGGAAGAGATTGAAATTGGAAAAAGAGACAACCAAATACTGGAAATATTTCTCTTTTTTGCGAAATAACAATATGTCAATGGAGTTGCATATGAATTTGATAGATACACTAAAGAAGCTTAAAGTTTAAGTTTAGGTATGTTCTTATACTTTTGTAAATGTTTTAATTTGATTGAAACTCATGTAAGAAAACCTAATGAAGAAAATTTATTAGAAAGAAAAAAAAGAGGTGAAGAAGTCAATATTACTCGATTGAATCAAACAATAGTCAATAAAAGTTTGTTAGAAGAGGAGAAATAAGTAGAATAAGCTTCAACAATAATGTCTCCAAAATAAAAACCTCCTACTGTTCCAGTCGATATTCAAAAAGTTGAAAACTTGCCTCGAAAGAATAAATATTCTCATGTGCCTTCAAAATTTGAGTAAATTTATATCTCTACGTATTAGGTGGTGGAATGATGAGTTAAAGTTTGATAAATACTACAATCCTAATCAAAACCCTTTGCCTCAACAAATCTTAGATGACATGAAATTTTTAACCAAAGAGGAAATCAAGAGTTTGTTCAAAAGAAGTGCCTTCGGTAAAGATGTAAGATAATGAATTTAAATAGCTCGATTTTGATGAATTCAAATGTTTGTTAGGGTTTATGGCCAATCTCATGTTCAAATAAAATGGAGAAAGACATCCTCATGCCTATTAATTGATATTAAGATTGATGTACATAGATTATCCAGAAGAATATAGAAAAAGATTACTCCCCATCAAAATACCATTTAATTGCAAAGAGAAAATAGGTTTCAGATAACTTCCAGGTTATGAACACCATGAATATAAAGGAAGATAATTATCTTAATAAGAAAAATAGCAACTCTAAAAATTAAAACAAGAAAGAGAAAATTAATTAAGAGAGAGACTTACTGAAAATCCTAATTAAAGCATTAGATCCATAGGATCGATAGGGTCCCAATCCATAGCCAATTTACCATATAATAAACAATAAGGCAGATTCTTAAATGGAAGAATAGATTTGGATAGAGAAAAAGTTTCATGGGCGAAACTTGAAAATTTAAATCCCAATGACTTAAGTGGTCATGGCAGAAATTTCAAGCCTTAAGATTTGATAGATGAATTCGAAGATGAAGAAGACAGGTAAATCTCTTCGTTATAAATTCTAGATTCTTCTTAAAAGAGTTCTCTCTGGAAGATGAAAAAAGAAATCAACTAAAACCTGAAGAAGTTTAAAAAAATCTAGAGAAATATGGTGCTTATAAGCCTCCCAAGAGACCTACTTAAAAACACTAAATGAGTCAACCTTAACTCTTAAACCAGAGATATGAGTAAAAGAGTGTAGACATGAAAAATTAGTACTTGTAACGCGCTAATCAAATTTAGTAATTACAAAATAAAAAAGAGTAACAACTACTCTAAAAAATTAACAAAAAATATAAAATTTGATTATTTTAAAATCATTATAAGTATTATATCTTAAGGTGAAGTAAATATATTAAGATAATTGTTTTATAATTCTAATATTTAAATGTTATAATTTCTTTTTCAAAATACTTATTGTGTACCAGCCTTGCAAACTCCACAAGTATTTCCAGCTCCTAATCTTATGAATCCATTTTCTCCCCATGATGTTCCCCAAGTATTTTTAAGACTCCATACTCCATCATTTGATACTCCGATTAACAATGCATTATGGTTTAAAGAACTTCCACACTTCGTTAAAATACCACTAAAATTTAAAAAAGACTATTACCTGCTATAAAATTACCAAGAGGTTGCATCAACTGCTACAGTGACTGTTGAATTAGACAAAGCTTTAATTAGATCATCACAATTGCTTACAGTGATGTAACTTGAGATGCGGAATGTTCTTGAAACATTTTTGCAGACTCCGCTAGTTTAAGTTGTTGGATAATCTTTTTCATAGGCTAAACCTTTGTCCTTTACATAATTTAATGTGCTTGAAATAAAACCACCTTAGCATCCTTAATTACCATAAGATCCTGAACAATCAATGAGATCTTGTTAGGATAATGGATTATAATTATTATTAATAATTTTATTATTTGAATCCAAAAGATCCAATACATTAAAGATATATCCAGCACATTATCCTTAGTTTCTAACAATTCCAGCATATTTAGACCAATCAATTGCTTGATTTAAATTCTACTCATCTTTGAATAATTATTATGTTTGTTTATTAGAAACTTAATGATCATAATGTAAATATTTAATTGAGAATTCTTCCGATGTTAGATCAGCAAATTCATTAATTTACAATACAAAGTCATTTTGTTTTTAGTTTGTCTCCTCAATTAATTTAACATTTTTCTCGAACACTTGTCTTCTATATCTAGAAACAATCAAAATTTATATACTCTTGTTCAAGCACTGAGTAATATTATTTATTATATTTCAACATCCAAGAGTTATGATCATTAGCCAAAGGGGTAGCACTTTCATATTATAAAACCATCGCGCTTAAGAGAAGAACAGTTCCTAAAATTATAGAAGATTTTGAAGCCATATTTATATTAATGATGTAATTAAAAAGGTTCCCTCAGATTAAATATATATAAATGACATTAAGAATCTCTTTTAGATCTAGGAAAATATATTAATATTTAAAATGTTTGGTTGTTTCAATCAATTAAATAAATTTTCTATGTAATCTCTCTACTCTGTAATAAATAATTTAAGTCTTATTGTTTAGAATATAATTCATATATTGGATAGTAATATTAAATTTAAATTGTGAGAATCATTTCCTTTTAAAATAATCTGTTTTCTAGAAATTGCATAGTAATCACAAAAAAAATTTCTAAATTGTTGTTTTCTAAGCAGCCATTTTGAATAATGCATTTTTAAAATCTTAATTTACTCAGCTCCTATATTTTCTCCATCTACGAATAAGGATATTTAAATATTTATTGTCTTAATCTATTTCATCTAAAAGCTACTCTGCTACCTTGGAATTCTCTTAATAAAAATAAAATCTTAATAGTTTTATTTTATAATTTTACACTCTAATTTTCTCCTTATGTAAATAAATCCAATTCCAAAATTGATATTTCTCATCTCCTATCATTTTATGGATGGATGAATTTCTTATTTTAAGAACTTAACTTATCTTATCTGATTCCACAAAATCTTCATGAATATTTGAGATGACAATTTTATCCTCTTCTTTGCATTTATTTCCCTAATTTTATCTGATTGGTTATCTTATTAACATATAAGCCACCTATTTATGATGCTTTATAAAATTGCTTACATCAATCTCCATTAGAGTCAACTTTGGATTTCTATTTTATATCTCTTACTGTAATAAAACTTCCCATTATATTATTATATTAATTTATGAATTACCCTTTTAATCCGTCCCCCTCCTATTCATTCAGTGTTGCTAAGAAGTACCTATGTCTTAATTCATAGAATTCAATCCCACTTTTTGTTGCCTTAAATTAGCATGGGACCAGGCCACTATGACCTTAAGACTGAGAAGAAGGGAGGGACCCTGAATTTTGGATCATACAGCTAGCGCAAGATGGTATTGGCTTAGGATGCCTTAATTCCAGGACCACTTCATTATACAATTAATACTTATAGAAGTTAAGGTGTTTCATTTGCGAATTCAAATAAACCCATAAATAAGCCATCTCTAAGTCCTGGGCCAGGGTATTTTTACACAAAATTAGGCAATATCTACCAATAGACGAACCTCATAGTAGACTTGGAGGATCTATTTCAAGGACTTCCAGAAAGGAAACCTTTGATAATAAAATTCCAGGAGCTGGTCAATATCCTATTAAATCAACTTTGAACACTCTAGGCTTTAAATTTAAATAATTACATAAAAGAGCCAGGACGGATAATATGAGTCCTGGTCCTGGGTCTTATTCAATCTAGTATGATTCATTGAATCATGGTGTCAAAATGCATAATTCAAAAAGAACTTGGTCTTATGTTTTGAAAACCGAGACTCCAGGTCCGGGAACCTACTAAAAAGAAAGTTTCATTCAAAATAGGTCCTCTTCTAAACATTCAAAAGCTTCATCAAAGGAGCAATCGAAAATTTTGAAAAAATGCTTCTCTTAACATGAATCAAAGTAATCTAATAAAATTGGAAAAATGAGTTCTTCCAAAGGCAATTTTGATTCTCATGGAAGTTTAACGACAAGATCGAAATTCAAGTCTAATCATACAAGCCAATAATAAAATATCAGTGATTCATATAATAGAATGAGGGAATACGGTAAATTAAAAGTAACTTTTACAAAATAAGTAAGAAAAGAGGAATTCCTAGATGAATTATCAACTCCAAATGCGAGAAAAGTAAGCAGATCTCCAGGTCCTGCTATGTATGCTGATACTAAGTTCAAACCGAATACAAAGTTGGGGTTTATGCCAGCCTCAAGAAAAGGAGAGACATTCAAACCAAAAGAAGGACCTGGAGTTGGAGAGTATTCTAAAATAATTCCTTTTGGTAAGATATACAGTAAGCATATAACTCCAAAGAGATAATTTTTTAAATTCAAAGATCTTAATTAATTTGATTTTGACTAATGACTAATTCTATATTGATACTAATATTATTAAAATTAATGTAAGCCTAAGTTCAATTAAAGTGGAGTGATTTGTAAAAAAATGAGAAAGAGAATATCCTTAGAAATAATGATGAATGTAAAGATTGAATTATTAGCTTATTAGAACCTAAGCTGGCATACTTAGAAGATAATGTTTAAAAAGTAAATAGAATCAGATTTACTTAAGGTCCAAATAACATGTCTAATTTCATGATCGGTTTATGCGATAAGAGAATTCGCTAGGAAAGAGGAATGATATTCTAGGATAAGTCATTTGTTGGACATGGCACATATCTGCTTTATTCAGTGAGTAGCTATAATTCATGTAAGTGTATAATTAATTAAAGTCTTGTTTAGTCATTGGGATTTAGAGAGCAATTATAATGAAGGAGGGTTTGTTTTACATCCAAATGAGGAAGAGGAAGTTTCATTCGATTTGGAGAAAAGAATATTGAAAATAGTAGATGTCAAGAAACCAGAGAGAAAAGTCGAGTTTAAAACAGAACATCACAACCTAGAGGACTTGCATCTTTGTGTAGTAATCCTAGATGGGGAACTGACATTTCAGATATGATTAATTATATATCATTATTTTTAAGTATCTAAACAACTTGTATCAACATACGACTCTCTTTTAACACAACCTAAGGCAACTAATAATTTCTGCATGAATGTTTCATTTCTTTATTTTACTGTTTATGATCTGATCTCTTTTTTTTAAGATTCTGAATGTCTACTACGACGATATTGTTATTTGTAATCTTAAACAGAATTTTCAGTTTGAGATTAGAATGCTACATTTTACCTTATAAAAGATTGTTGGGAAGAAGCAGTAGATTTAGAGAAATACTGATTTTCTGAATGCATAGTATTTCCGTTGACTCTGACTCTATTTTATTGGTTCGGTATCTTTTCCAATTCGAATTCATTTTTGTTGAGCCATCTGTGATTCAAAATCTATTTCATAGTTAATCTATCTTTTTATTGATACTTGATAAGACTCGTTATGAGATCCTTAACATCCGAACTCAAACTATTATCCAGTATTTAGTAATTGATTTTAACAATATTGTTGCATTTTTCAATGTCATTTTTCCCTTTGAAAGGTGCTTCTCCATGTAGTAATTCGTAGAGTAGAATTCCTAAACACCAGATGTCCAGAGTGTGATCATGAGGTCTATCTTCAATCATCTCAGGGGCCATGTAATCTATTGTTCCGCAGAAAGTGCTTCTCTTTTTTGAACCCAAATTTTCAGCTGACCATCCGAAATCGCAAATCTTGACAGTGTCAGTGATATCCAATAATATATTTTCAGGCTACATATGAAAAATAATGAGTTACTTTGAGGTCTCTATGAATTATATTTTGTTGATGCAAATAATCAATTCCTAAACAAGTTTACTTAAAGAATTTAAGAGCCTCGATTTCATTCAATTTTCCTCTCCTCTTTAATAGTTGGAATAGGGATCCATGTTCTGCATACTCCAAGATGAGGTACACTTTGTCTTTGTCCTCGAAATAATGGAATAGTTAAGTAATATTGGGATGATTCAACTTCCTCTGTATTCGAATTTCTCGCTTAAGATTTTCAATCGAACAGTACTCAAAAATCTCTTTCTTGTTCATCTACAATTGATAATCAAAGGTACTATCTTCATTGCATGTAATTATCCATTGGTTCTATCCTTCACCAACCTTACAGCTCCAAAACTGCCTTTGCCAAGTTGTGGATAATCATATATGAGTTCAAACTCTTCCGGACTTCTTTTCATTTGTCTCAAAGTTGACACCTTGTCACTATAGGCTATTTCCTATGAATTTAACATGTTTTAGGGTATACATTGGTTTTTGTGTCCAGAAGTCCTTACATAATAACTCAATTTACCAATCAATGTCTCGACATCTTTGAGAACAATAATAGGCATGTTTACAGAAGGGACAATAAACCCTATATTTTGGAATTGGAACCATTTAGGTGCCAGCCAAATTATACTGACAGTATCGTGAACTGCAAACGTTCATCAAATAATATATTAATATTATGTAATATTCTCAATCAATATAGAAGTATAGGAAATCTACTAGTTCGCCAATCTTAAGATCCCAGAGTCTCCCAGCAATAAATGAATTGAAATTTGCAATGAGAACCAGAGCAGGGAGCGATTAATAGCATTCAGTCAAGATCAACTAGGACAGTTTTATTGCTTGTCGATTGTATGAGGAATAATAATGATAGTAATGGCTATTAATTCTTTGCTATTTGTGATGGTCATGGTTAAAATGGGCATCTAGTCTCATAATACCTAAAGAAAAACATCCCAAGTATTATTTATGAGAATTAGTCATTCTAAGAAACTATCTAAAAGACATGTCCTTAAATTCAGAGGGTATCAATTAGGCTATAATTCGATCATTCTTAAAAATCAATAAAGAACTACATCAGAGCAATATAGATACCAATTTGGCAGGATCCACTCTAGTATCAATATTGATAAAGGACTAACAAGTACATTGTGCAATCTAATTCCATAGATATTTTGTGCTAATGTTGGTGATTCAAGAGCAATTATTTGTCAAAAAGTCAATACGTGGATGGCCATTTAAATAAGTGTTGATCATAAGCCTAATAATGCAAAAGAAAGAGCTAGAATTATCAACTCTGATGGCAGGATATCTCAAAGGAAAACTTTAGAAGGACATCCTGCTGGTCCAGAAAGAGTGTATCTCTCATTTTCAGACACTCCAGGACTAGCAATGACAAGAAGTTTTGGGGATAAAATAGCAGCAAAAGTAGGAGTAATAGCAGAACCAGGTATCGCTGTTTATATTATAGGAAAGAGATATTAGAATTTCGGAGAACTAAGGCTCACAAGTTTATAGTACTTGCCTCCGATGGAGTTTGGGATTAACTATCTAATGACGAAGTTATGGGTTTGATTCTGCCATATTACAAAGATAAATAAGTTGAATTGGCCACTGAACGGATAGTGAGGGAAGCATTTAATAGATGGAAGCAGTTCTCCATTCTAAGAGATGATATAACTTGCATTGTAATATTTTTATGATTTAATCTAATCATTTGTATTATATATTTAATAATTAATACCATGTTCTATGTGTTGAGCATCATCTTGGTTATGAACTTCGCTAAAAGTCAAATTTTAGTGGACTTTAGTGAAAATGACTATTGGACAACTCTTTTTAATACATCAAGCCCAATTACTTTTAAAGTAACTTCTCTAAAGGAGGAGTATTGTTACGTTAAGATCGAGTTATTCTCTAAGGATCCTACTTTTTTATTGATGGCAGATTATAAAATTAGACCGAATATCAATTTGATTTCTTAGTATAAATAAGGAGAAAAGATTGACAGAATAAGGTTAGAATGAAATTGATTTTAGTCAACTTGAAAATAGAGGAACTAGATTCCTAAAGTTGAAGGGAAAACTTGGAACAATATATATAACAACTACAGCTGATAATATATATAATTAATATTAGATTACAATCACTGGTAATAATGAAGATTAATGTGACAATGAATGTAATTATGGTGGTGTTTGCAAAGTAGAAATTATTGTGACTTTAGAGTGACGGTTGTTTTTGCCAGAGTTCATTCATTGGGAATGATTGTCATCAATCAGCAGTGGAATTACCGTCAGGCTCTGAGAGAGATGTAGATTTTCTGGTTGACGAAACAATTAAGTTCTTCTCAATTGATCTCTCTTATTTAATTGGATAAAAATTGAAGCTGGAATTCGAAGTACTTATCGTTATTATTGATATATAGACTGATTGTGACGATTGCTTAACTATTATTATTTATAAGACTAAAGCTCTTTTGGGACCAGAAGATTCTTTAAATAGCAATTATACTTACTTATTTTACATTACTGATGGGTCTAGTACTATTTAAACTTATGTACCACAAACTTTGGCAGCTTCATAGTAAATTCTATATCTTGCTGTCTCCAAATAATATTCTATTTATGAAACTCCTCATTTATCAATTAAATGTAACTATTTCTCTGAATCAAATGATGATGATGATTCAACTGATTATAGTAATAAATTACTATATATCATCATCCCAACCGTTTTTGGGTCGATACTGTGTTTTATCATTATAGGATGTCTATTAAGAAGGAAGAGGACCTATACAAGTCAAGCTGCCTAGGTTGCATAAGATCCATTTTCTTAATAGACTAGAAATGGAAATGCTTAAGACCCTTTTTCTTAGTAAAATAGAATGGTAGCTTTTCATAATCCTATATAATAATAATATCCTCAATAAAAATTTCCAGTTTCCTAGTTTCTTTGGTAGAAGGATGATAATAATAATGATGATAACGATAAATGTATTATCTGCTTGATGTCACTCAATCATTATAATAATCAGACAATCAAGATTAGATGCGGGTATATACAATTATTAAAGTTAGTCATGTATTCCACAGAAATTGCATCGTAGAATGGTGTTAAAAACAAATATCATCAAAAAAGGATCACTAAAGCGATTGCCCTTATTGTAGATAACCTATGAATCTAAATGAAATTTTTTGATGCATCCGTATTCAATAATTTATAATCAATTTATTTTATTATTATTATTATGCCATTCGAAGATAACTTAGAAATTAATTCTTCTTAAATCTTAAGTAAATTTATTAATAAATTTATCATATAAGGATGTTCATATTAATTTCACTATTATCCTACTGTGTTTCCCAAATAATTGAAGTTAAGTTTATTCAATCAAAATGGGAAGGTGAGTTTCAAAGTTCACCCAATAATACATATAGAATTACCTAAATAGAATAGTAAAAGTATTTTACACAATTGACGTAAGTCTTGATGAGAAAAATCAAGATTTTATGTTGTTAGCTAACAAGTATCAGCCAATATCAAGCCCTTTTTCTTCGAATCTCAAAGATGGAGAGAATATTGATTTGACCAAGTATCTATTTTTTTTAAATATTCCGCAGCCTCTATGAAAACAGGCTAGAGAGATTTCTCGTAATCTAATCAGCTTCTGGCTACACATATATTACAACTATCAGCAACATTGAGGGTAGAACCTACAAGATTGTAATTAAAAAGATCCAAGTTGGATGTTTGATGGATGCTAAAACAAATGCAATAAATAAGGATATTGTTATGTATTATTAAAACTATTTTAGAACTATAAATGTTATTGTGAATAAGGATATATAGGATTAGATTGCAAATACTTTGCTACAGAAATGAAAGATTCAGATTTATTTTAACCAAATTTCACTAGAGGAAATGATTTTGCTTTAATGTCATTTCCCATAAATCTATTTTATGAAGGCTAAAAATATATTTTCAAATTTCAAGTAATTTTAACACAGATTTATGTGATTTGTATGAAGTTTCTAAAAACAAAGAATTACAATTTAATATCCTAGTGCATGAGACAATGGACATGTATTAAAAGATAAAATTTGGAATTAAACCTATTAATCCAAATATTTTCTTGTAAGATTTAGAGGTCTTGTTTATTCCTTGGGGTAGGCTAAAGGAGAAAAAAGTTTAAGATAGAGCTTCTAATTAAATTCCAATATACATTATTATATTCTTTTGTTGCTTATTAGTTGTAGCAGTTTGTAAAGGAGTTTGGAAAAAAAAAACATAAAATACTTCTATTAATTAGCCTAGCCCTTAGTAAATCAACTCAGAAGAAGAATGTAGCATTTGCTTAGCCTTTCTCAATTCTGCTTAGTATCTATCAACTGTATGCAAGTAAGATTTATCAATTATCTATAGCCATTCATTTCATAACTAATGTATAGATTTATGGTTGTAGAAGGGAAGTAATAAATGCCCAATTTGTAGGTCGCTACTTATTTCTAATGAAGAAAATATCACAAATTGAAGACGGATACAATTTGACTGCCAAAATTAATGGGTTATGTAATCTTGATTATTAATTTTATATTCAAATAATTTCTTAATGATTGATACTCATTGTCTTTTATCAAACTTTTCTAACTTTGCTTCTTTTTCCTTAAATTCTCTTCTATCTTTTTCGTATTATTTTTCATTAAACATTTAACATTCCTAAAATTCAGGCACCTTAGATAACTTATTTTGAATCTACTTAAGATTTTGTTCTTAATTAAATTCAATATAAATATATTTATAATGGATCATCCTAAAAGCTGATAATTCGTATGATTATTTCAAATTATTGATAATGTTATCAAAAGCAGACTTTTAAAATTATTATCTTTAATTCTTTTATATTTATACGTTTCTTCGATCTTCCTCTGGAAACTTAATGTAAATGATATATTTTTAATTTAATTTAATATCTTCAGCAGTGTTCAAATTAATACTGTAATTGCTTTTAAACTAATTTAATTTACTCTTTTAATTTTATAATTCTTGTTGTGTAAAGTCTTTCGTCAAATTTATAAATATGAATCCAGTCATATAAGCATCAAACCCAGCTGTATGATATAAATTTTGATCTAATTCCACATCAATTTAAATATAATCCGTATTACTTTTGATAAATTCTGCTAAATTTTCAATAGACGTTGAAGTTTCTAATTTCCCTCTAATTTTCTCTAATGGTTAAGCCGATTGAATGATATATTTAGTATCATAGATAGGGGGCCAATTCCTAGCAATATCTTCCTTAAATTCTTCCCAAGATATTGGAGGACATTATACAAAATGACTATAACAAAACATGACATCTGCAAAGCAATTGTGTCCTACCAAATACTTTTTGGAATTCAAAATACATTCCCAAATCTAATAGAATCCTGTTTTTGTTTGAAATCTATCTGCTTTAAACTTTTATCTTTCATCATCCTTAGCCTATCTCTCCGCATTTGTTAATTTTGTGATTTTCATCTCTCCTTTTAACAAAGACTCTCCAAACATATTCTTCTAATAAGCCTCCAAATAAGTATATATGACTTTTCTTTGATACCCGTTGGTTGTTTCTATCGTTGTCTATTTATCCTCTGATTTATTGAATTTTTCAAGTTTATCAATTAAATCTTGGATCTATCGTATAAATTCTATGTCTTACGGTTTTCTTATCTGCTGCCTTGACATCATCTAAGATTTTTTCAAATTGAGTCTTCAATTCCTCCTAATCCAATTATTGGAAGTCCTTGTTATAATCCTCCTACAGCTTTTAATATTGTGCCCTATTTAAATAGCCAATTCCCTTATTAATCCACCTATTCCAATCCATGCCGTGTTCACTATTAAAAAATATTGCCCCTACTTACAAACCCACGAAGTCATCTAAACTAATAATTATATTATTTTCTACTCCTAAGGGAATAAATAGAATGTATAGGGATACGCCTCATACCCTTTTTATGATTTAATGAATATGCACAACCCAAATTGAATGATATTATATTTCATACTTACTTTTCGAGCCTATTTGTCATTAAAAATACCTTTAAATATCTTTCGAAGGGTAATTCTTCAAATGTGTCCTAATAATCCCCTTTGATTCCAGTTAACTCAAGATCAAAGCCTAGAAAATGGCAATGCTTTATCTGCTCCATTATTGTTTATTTGTGTTACTCGAAATTATCAAGGTCGATAAACATTCTTAATATTTACTATATTAATTATATGAAATCATTTCTTAAACAATATCTAAACAATCCCCTTCTTTTTATCAGCAGGTTTTACTGCTAATTCATCCAGAATTTCTTCCTTTTCTTTTTCTGAGAATTCCAAAAATTAAAACAATGTATTAAGTATGGCCTCTGCTAAATCATAATTTAAGTTTTTGGGCCCACAAGCTGTTAAAAACTTCTTCAAACAATCTCGTAAATGAGCCTTAGCATGAATAGCTTGAGGATCAACAGCAGTCTTTTGCATAGCCATCATCTTATGTTTGTACTATGATACATCTTAATAATTACATCTCTGGCCAAATTATTTAATTGCAACATCTATTCTTCCTTTGCAGCTATTCTTTCTAACAAAGTTTAAAACTTGGCAATAATTTTCACATTTTCATCATTGGCTGCCTCTAATTTTGATTTCAAAATATTAACTTCTTCAGTATGTGAAAGTTATTACTTATTTGAAGTTGAATTCTAAAGAATAATTAATGTCACTTACTTCTTTCTTATTTTTATCGTTATTCACAATAGCAGATATATCAATATCACCAATAAACCCACTGATGTCATTCTCATTGATTTCCACCTAATGTTCATTCGATGAAAAACTTAAATCTTCATTTTTCTCTTCTTTGATATTACTCAAAGCTGTTTTTATTGGCAACTTAGCCTTCATTAATTAAATATCCTTTTGGTATGCCAACAAACTGTTCTGCTCCTATTGGGATAATTTAAGCTAAAAATGATGTCAATTTATTACATAATTCTAAGCATAAAATACAGCCTATTAATTTCTTAGATACTCATCCATTAAAGACTATAAACATTAATAATAAGTAAACTTTCTCTCACATTACTTCTCATGTTGAGATTTAAATTATCTTAAATAGTCTAATATATTATCTTAATTAAATAATGCCTTTATTTCATTTAATACGAATTAACTTTGATTTGAATCAGTCTATAATTTAGTAATCTCAATTTATTTTGTTTCAACTGCATTCGTTAAAACAGAATTTTAACTCTTTAACTATGATATTTCTTGATTTTTTTCTTCAATTAATTTGAAGTGCTCATTTTCTCTTATAGAATTTTGATTTCTCATATTTTCAAGTTCACTTTTTAAATTCTAAATCTCCGTATCCTTTTATGATAGATGTTTAATTCCTTCATTATCCTTTCGACTTTAAATACTGTTCTCCTAGTCTTTTAAGGCCTCAATTTCATTTTACAATGCTAAAATTTCACCATCTTTATCTGCGAACAATTTCATGGCTTCATTTTCCCTCTTACTATAACCGGCTATATCTATCTCTTTCTAAACTAAGGTTTCCTTCTATTGCTCTAGTTGCTTCCTCAAAGCCGAAATTTATGAATTTAAATTTTCAATTTAAATATTCAACCTTTTTTGTTCTTTTGATAGCAGGGCTTCTGAGTCCTTTAATTATTAATCTAATTGCTATTGTGATTATTCTTTTTATGCTAAATTTTCATTCAAAAGTGCTACCTTATTATCTAGCTCTATTTTTTTCGTATTCAATTCTGATTTACTTTCAATTTCTTATTATAATTCTAATTTTAATTGTTATATCTCTAACTATTAAGAATTAGCCGATAAAGATAATTGATTATTCTGTTCTTTAATTTTCTCGTAGTCTGTCTTTTATTATGCCATCAACTCATCATGATCTTAACTCAGTTAATTATTTTATTACAACAACTTTTATTCTTAGGCTTAACTTTCTTATATAGAATGTGTCATTTGATCTTCCTTCACTTTCAGATCACTTTCTAGTTATTATATTTTCTATTCTAGATGATTTATCTACTCTTATAAAGATGCTATAAGTTTATTTTATGCTTAATTTGCTTCATTTTTATTCGTGATTTAAACTTGATTTTCAACTAATTCTTTATTGTTTTTTTTCAATTCTAGTATCTCGTTATTCAAAGTAGTTATTCTCTCTTAAGATTCATGATATTTCTGATTTAATTAACTGTAGTTCTGTGCATCTTGATTAATTTACAATTAAAATTTCTTATTATTTTACTCTAATTCGTGATGTGAATGTTGCAAAGTACTTAATTCTTGTTAAATTTACTAAACGCTCTATGTCTTTTCTTGAATTTAACTCTCAAGCATAGTATTTTGTGATTGCAATTATTGTATCTTATTGTTTATTTTTTCCATCTCCTTACTTTGTTACAAAAGCTTATTTTCCTTTTCATTTAATTCTAAGTTTTTTTTTTTAATCGTTTAATCTAAATCATTAATAATATCAGTATTATTTGTTATTATAATTTCTTTAGCCTCTAAATTCTTCTCTAACTCAAGTTTGAGATCATTTAAACGATTATTCTCAATTTTCATTTATTTAATTTCATTCACCTATTAATCAATTAGATTGGATCTTTCTGTCAAATCATCTCTTAATTTGGAACATCTTTCCTATTCTTTATTCAATAATGATTGTATTTCATTAATCTTGGATTCTTGCAACTATTTCTTTTATTCCTATTCATTTATTATTTATTCTAAATTCTATATCTAATGCTGATCATTTTATACTCTTTAATCCAAACTCTAAATTTATTATTTTAACTCATTATTCAAATTTTCAAAATTTGTTATCTACTTATTCAAATTATTTATCTACACTTGCTAATTATTTAGATCTTATTCTTTAATTTGATTATGTAGAAGCTAAGTCTATAAATCTAGTGATTTTTCATTAAGTTCATTTGATAGATTTGATATTTTGAATTCTTGTTGCTAAGACAATTAATTTAATTATTCAATCTAATTTTAAAATTGTTATAATGATTATATATCCTAAGCCTTTTATTATTCAGAAAGAATTTAATATTTTTATTCTGATTCTCCAAGTTTCAACTCCAGTTTTTCAATAGTTTATTTGAATTTATCTGATTATTCTATTAAATTACCTATCTAAGTCAGTAACTTCTGAGTTTCTGAAGATTACTAAATCACATTCTTAATTAGTTCTGTTTCTCTTACAACCAATTCTGAACTAAATTATGCCTTAGTTTCTTCAAGTTGCTAATCATTTTTGATATTAGTAATTGCTAGTTGTTTATTCAAATCTGTTATTGAATTCAACTATTCATTCAACATTTATGAGAGCTTGATCTTCTCTTTATTGGCTAGATCCTATGATTAAATTTATTATTATATTTAAGAATTCAATTCCTAAATTTATAATTCTTGTTTCTTAAGAATTTCTCTATTGTGATTTTCTGCAGTTTTAAGAATTTCAATTTCTTATTGAAGACGTGATTAGTTATCACTTTAATTTTATTATAATTTGTCAATTTAATCTGATAGTTAAATATTCTTTTAAGTCAGATCTTAATTTATTGTCATAAGCTCTTCATTTTCTTAATGTTGTGAGTTTAACTCTTCAATTTTTAATTGATTTTCCTTTAAAAAGTTCTATCTTTCTATTTAAATTTCTCTCTGCAAATCTGAAATTCTGGTCTCCAGTTATTAAATTAAATCTTGGGCAGAACTTAATTCAGATTCTACATCATTGGCTCTATTTTAAGTATTTTCAAGCAATATTTATTTTTGATTCAACAAAATTTACAATTTCTCAGTTTCCTCTAATTCCAATGTCAATCGTTGTATTTTATCAACTTATTACTTTTTTTCATCCTCAAAATCTTACTTCATTTTTTTTATCGACAATTCCAATTAGTAAATTTGATTTTAATAAATTCCTTGTTAATCAGTAATAGCTACTTCCTCTTTTTATTTTAACACCATTTATTCTTCTAATTTTTTTAACTTATTCTACAATTCTTAATTTTCAAGCTTCAATTTTTGATGTTATTATTCAAATAAAAGGCTTTACTGCTTTTACTACTATACATGATCTTTCTTCTAATTCTATAACATTTCTATTTCATGTTACTTCCCTTATATGATTTAATCCTTGAAATTCAAAGATTCCTATAACTTTGAAATGGTCTAATTAAGAGTAGATACTTGTTTCTCATGGTGATGGATTGCCCTTTCCTGAACTTATATCTTTTAATTCAACCCTTGAAGATCCTTTACCTATTATTACAATTATGTAATTTCTTAAGTCTTATTTTTTAACATCTTATCCTTACTAGTAATTTAATCTTATTACTCATTGTTAACCTTTGTTAAATCTCTTATCTATTACTCAAAATTAGACAAACTCTTATTCAAAGAATCAATCTATGATTTCAAATGACCTTAAATAGTTGTCTACTCTACACTTTTGCTTCTGAGTTGTTCAGGAGTGTCATTCAATATCCTACTATTACTTTCATATTATTAGATTATTTAATCCTTACTTTGTATTGTGTTATCCAAAATATGAAGCTATTCTGTGTGTTCCTGCTCAAGCCTTTTGATTTAATTCTTTAGATTGTTTATTTCTTCCTCATAATTTAACAATTTAACTTCCTATTACTTGTATGCGATTTAAGCTTATTATAAATCGTTCTCCAATTGTTTAATCAATTGCTGTTAGGTTTCTAATTCTTATTAAGATGCAAGATCTAATTGGAAGAGTATTTATTGTTCTGAATTTCTATTTTCGAAGTCCTCTTTTTGTGTCTATAGGGATTGAACAATTTATTTATTCATCAATTGATCTCGCTAATATTAGTCAAAGAGTTCTTAGTAAGATTGCTTTAGATCATTGTATTTTTATTTTATATCCTGTAATTTTAGTTGATTCTATCCATTTTCTCTTTCTTTCTCCTCCTTTTCAGCCTTGAGTTTGGATATTTATTAATTGAGTTGTTCGACTTCAGAGGTATAATCTCTAGAGCTGTGTCTAAGTAGAGGATAGAAAATTATAAATACATATTCTGTTTTTATTTGAGATCAACTATTTCTTAACTTAGGGATTTCAACTTTTAACTTGAATCATCTTTATAATTTTTATACTCAGAATTTACTTCAGTTTTTTATTTCTGTACTAACTAATTAGAATATAGTTACATTGCTTTTAGTTTTCAACAGCTTTGGAGAATTGGAGTTTAAGTAATTTATTTTCGTTTTCGAATTATTTAACTTTTTTTAACTGATTCTATATAATTTCGTTTTATTCCTCAATTTGTTATTTTAAATTCATTATTTCGTTGTCCTTTTCTACCAAAAGTTCTTAAAATTAGTTCATCTAAATTTCTATTAATTTATTCTGATTGCTCTTAGAGTCAAGACTTGATTGTGATTCCACCATAGGATTCTTTTGTTTAAATCTATCATTATCTGAATAAACATCTTGAGGCCTTTGAGAATTTTACAATTAATTAGAAAATTACTTATTTGAAAATTCTAATTATTGTTTTTTATTTTACAGTTTATTTACTTTAGCCTCTAACTTAGTGATTACTGCAAATAAGTTTTTATTTTTTATATTCAAGTCTTTATTCTAAATTTCTTACTAACGTAATTGAGTATTGATTTCAATAATTTTATTATGATCTTACTCTCTGCTCTAGAGACTGCTAGCAATTATTTAATACAGCTATTCAAAAGATTGAGGATAACTGTTTTGATGTTTCTCAACCAATGAGTAGAGTTTATTGAGTTCATCCTTCTTGAATAATTGATTGATGTTTGTATTGTTGAGTTGATGAATAGAAATTTGTGCCGCTTAACAAATTTGATTGATTATGTTGTGCATATTGTTCCATCCCATAATAATCTCTCTGATATCTTTGAGTACCTGCATTTATAGTTTTTGTGAAGATCGCTAATTTATTAATTTCTTGGCATTAATTGATATGATTGACAGCTCTTAAAGAATTTCAGTCAGCAAATCATCCGCCCTATACGTCAAAGGTGGGTCATACCTTATTTATTCAGTTTTGCGAGTGCCCTTGTCATCCATGCGTTTTAACAATTTGTCCAAAGGCTGTGTTGAAAATTAAAAGTTATCACCACTCATCCTACTCTAAAGTAGATTCGATTTAAGCACTGATATTTCCTTCTCGATTTACTAATGACTATCTTTCAGCATATTAAATCTAAGAGATGAGCCTAACAGCCTATCAGAATCCTAATCTTGGTGCTTCGTAGTATATGAATCAATAAGAAAATTTTACGAATTGCGAGGACCATAAATCCCTGGAGATATAATCTATCTCAAAGGTTGGGGCGAACTTATTCCAGGTTAAGGAGAATAAAATGCTGTCTAAGTATTTTATCTGCTTTATTTTTGCATTATTCAAATTATAAATAAATTATAATAACAATTAAATACATTACTACTAGATTATTTTATCCACCTTTAATACTATTAAATAGGAATTCTAATTGCAAATTAATTATTATATAAAAATATAAGAATATGGAATCTCTAAACAATTGATAGTTGAAAAATACATTCTGAAAATCTGAAATATCCCAGTCTTTTTGATTTAGACTAACAAAATTTCTTACTTTATACAAAAACATATAAATGTAATTAATATTTTATGTATATTTGCTCATTGTATTTTCTTTCTCTCTTCCAACAATTTGGCATTTCTAACTCTTGAAAAGAATTTAAGAACTTCATCAACTAAAACTACAGGTGCAGATACTCCAATGATTAGAATCCTAAAATTATATTAAATAAGAAAGGTACCAATCTTATATGGATAATGGTACAGTGTTAAAGATGTTTTCAAATAATGGTACATAGCAGATCATGCAATGGAGAGTCATTGATCCACAAATAGCCAAAATCAAATATGGATTTGCAAATAATCCAACTTTTAATAATGATCCATCCTAGAAAGAACTTAATAAATAATTGTACTTCAGATAAGGCATTCAAGGCATTGAACATCTCGATAACAACAAGAACAGATAGACTTAGAGTTGATGCCTTTTGTTTACCCCAAGAGAAATACAAGCATGGATCCTTAGAGAAATCATATTTGTCAAAGTTAGCAACTTTGAATCCTTCCCAATGATGGCATTCAGCCCAATTTCTCAATTAATGGAATGTGACAACTGGATGTCCATCTCCAGCCCATTCATATCCCAAATAATAGTACACGAAAACGAAGACTGTGGCTAAACCAACATAAGTTCCAACAACACAATATCTAACAAATACAAATTCAGTGATGATTGGTTCATCGTGTTTTCTTGGTGGTTTTTACATGACATCAGGATCAGGTGGATTGAATGATAAAGCAGTAGCAGGGAGACCATCAGTGACTAAATTGACCCAGAGTAATTAGATTGAATTGAATCCATCAGGAATACCCAAGGCTGAGGATGTGAAAATGGAAACGACTTCACCAATGTTTGATGAAATCATGTATCTAATAAATCCTTTCATATTTTAATAGATAGCTCTTCCTTCTTCAACAGCTCTTACAATAGTAGCAAAGTTATCATCTGCCAATATCATATCTGATGCTTCTTTTGCAACTTCAGTACCAGAGATACCCATAGCAATACCAATACTAGCTTATTTTAAGGCAGGTGCATCATTGACACCATCACCTGTCATTGCAGCAATCTGATTCAATTAACTAGTTAATAATTTGACTAATTCTCTTTTGTGGGATGGATCGGTTCTTGAGAATACTAATCCACTTGGTCTACCAATGACTTATTCAAGCACTTTCTTTTATTTTTCTTCTCCCATTGTTGAAAATTCTAATCCTGTGAATGAATGAGTTGGGAATTAGGATTGGTTATGTAGAATACCAATTTACATAGCAATAGATTATGCTGTTTCTTTGATATCACCAGTAATCATGATAACTGAAATACCAGCTTCCCTGCATTTTTCAATTGATCTCTTGACTTCTGGTCTTGGCGGATCTTATAAGGCAACAACACCAATAATAATTGGTTTATTTTCCAAGTCCTTATAGTTATTTGTGTCAATCAATTAATTGTGAGCTGGATGCTTTGGTCCATCATAATCACTCAATTAACCACATTCCTCTTATACACAGATGGCCAATGTTCTTAATCCCTTTTCAGCTAAATTCTTAACAATTGATAATAGTTAATTCTTATCTTAAGCTTTCAATGGAACAACTTCTCCATTTGAGTTCAAAATAAAGTTAGATTTTTCTAATAAATAATCTGGAGCTCCCTTAATGAATAAGACGTTTCCTTTTTCATTTTTGGAACTGACCAAAACTGACATACTTTTTCTATCTCTAGTGAATTCTAAGGTGGCTCTCTTTGTGAATTCATTAACAATCTTATCATTATATTATTATGGAGCGTCTAAGATGGGTTTTCCATTAAATGATTTATCATATTTTCCAATCTTTTCAACTAATACTTTCAAGGCAGCTTCAGTTGGTAGTCCATTTCTTTAGACTCTTCCTTTATCAGCATATAATTTGGATTCATTGCATAATGCCATAGATTGGCATAATCTGGTAAGATTTCCAGCTAAACCATTTCCTTTAACTAACTTAGCATCTAAACCATCAATTTTTCCTTCTGGATGATAGGATGTACCTTCAACAGGAAATACAGTAATTGATGATGCTTCTTATCCTGATAAGAGTACCATTTCTTTAACACACATCTCATTTGTTGTCAAAGTACCAGTTTTGTCTGAGCAAATGATTGTTGTGCATCCCAAGGTCTAAACTTTTGGTAATTTACGAACAATCGCCTTTTATTTGGCCATTCTTCTAGCTCCCAAAGCTAAGCAAGTTGTGATGACAGCTGGTAATCCTTCTGGAATAGCAGCAACTGCCAATGCAACAGCTACTTTGAAATAATACAATGCTCCCATAATAGTTCCACCATAGGCAGGATCAGAGAAGTTACCAATGTTCATAACCCAACAGATGATGCAAATGTATGTTACATATTTAGCTAGCTTATCTCCAAATTCATCTAATCTTTTTGATAAGGGATCATCATCCTCTTATTTCTCTTTTGCTGCATCTTGAACTTCCTTCTAAATCTTTCCGATTTCTGTTCTCATTCCAGTGTTACAAACAATACCAATGGCTGTACCATTTGATACTAACGTTCCTGAAAATAAGAAATTTATCTTATCTTAGACAGCAGCCTTATCTTTTTGAATAGGATCGGTTGTCTTATTTACAGGATTAACCTCTCCTGTTAGAATTGACTATGATAATACTTAGTTTAGCATACTTAATCTGTTTTCAATGTAATTGTTTTCAAATCCACCATTCTCAAATCCGCTGGAATTCTATCTCCTTATTTGATTTCTACTATGTCTCCTATAACTAAGTCTTTTGCTTCAATTTATCCCCAATTTTTGTCTCTTAATACTAAGGCATGAGGTGATTACAAATCTTTAAGAGCCTAAAAGATATAACACGTTATAATACTTCTATTGCTCTCTCTGCATCCAAGTCTTACCAGATACCTACGGCAGCATTCAATATCAAAATTGTGAAGATTACGCATGGTTCAACCCAAGGAGGCACTGCATGAGACTCTTCATGATCTTCGAATTGTGAAATCACAAAGGAAATCACAGCAGCCAGTAATAATATCCTTACTAAGTTGTCCTCAAATTGTTCTTTAATCTTTTCCCATATACTCTCCTTTTCTTCCTTCTCTAATTCATTTGGACCGTATTTTGCCAGTCTTGCTTGAGCTTCACCTAAGGTCAAACCCCTAACTATTTCTATTTCAATTACGTTTATAAGTTTGTTTAGACTGCATTCACTACTTTTTCAACAGGGAACGTGTGGAATGGCTATGTCAAATCGATCTCTGCCATTAATAAAAAATAAATAATATATGATAATCTGCTAAATCTTTATTTGCTAAATAATGCATTTTATTAATAACTATTTCTTTATCATAATCATCGGTTAGAGAATGGATAAATTTAACAACGATGTGTTTAATTAATTTTCAAGATCATGTATAACACTTTTGCAACTAATTTTTTAAATTTAATTTACAAAACAATTATAAATTTTAGAGAGCATTTAAATTGTTTTATAGAATTTAAAATATCTAATGAGAATTAAATTCATTCTAGGATTCCTTCAAAAAAGTCACCCCTTGGACTTGCCAAATCAACCAATCTGTTACTCCTTGCTATTGAAAGTGGTTCTTTCTAAAAAAACTGAAACATTGCATTTTATGGTGATTGCAACTCACACATTTAATTACATTTCTTTAACTTTGGCAGTTAAATCTGATGCAATTCTTAATCCAAAATTTCAGAATTTATTACCTCTTCATCCAAATTATACTGTGACATTATCTCTTCACATTAAATTTGGAAATTGAGATTGTTTTATTTGATTGTGGATAGAAGTGATGCTTAGAGTGAAGTGCTATACTCACTTATTTAATCAAAAAAAGGATGTTAAAGAGCCTTTCTAGCACTTGTTCTAAGCTTTGGATCTTTCCTTAACAATTAATTTAGTAAATTCTCATTAAAATATGATTAATTAATTACAATTGAATCCTCTGTAATATAATGTTGATCCATGGGCAATTTTAAATCAATTTCACATTTTTTATTAGCTCTCAAGACTTCATCAAATGAGTTGCCATTGAAGATGCTCCTTCCAGTCAGAAGCTTATACAATATACACCCACAACTAAAGACATCTACCTTTGTAGTGTATTTGCTGCTCACACTGGTAGTTAAGACTTCAGGAGCTACATACCCTGGAGTTCCACATTTTGGAAATAAATATCTTGAAGTGATTGTGATAATAGAATACTTATCCAAAGTTTCAATTGTAGCCAATCCAAAATCGACAAGGACAAGGGTGAAATAATCATTCCTCTTGGCGAACATCATGTTGTCAGGCTTTAAATCTCTATGGATAATCTAAATTATCTTTTGAAATTACCTTATGGGAATGCAGTAAAGCCACACTTTATAGTAATTTCGCAATTATTACTTTAATGTTTTGAATTGGTAAGCGCTTATCATGGAGACCCTAAATGTTTAGAAAAACCTTTTAGATACCTTTGCTCTGTCTATTTCTTCGCTTAAACTTTGTCCCTCTAAATATTCGGTCACTAAGTAATAGGTATGATCTCCTTCATAGATCTCCCTTAAAATCAGAAAGTTGGATGAATAGCCAGATATAATTTTTAGGATAGACACTTCCATATTATAGGCTTCCTAAATTGTTTTAAATGAAAATGATTACTAATCCTGAACCTTTATCGGTTTAATTTAAAAATGATTTCTCAATAGCTTTGATCGCATAGACTTTTGAATTAATAACATTCTAAGCGCTGTATACCTAAATATTTCAAAATTATTTTACTTTTGCTGAACTGCCTTTTCCAATTTGTAAAAGGGGTATATAAGTATCCCCAATTCCTTCGTATGTTACTTTTAAATTTAAGATTTCCTTGAATCTATGATACTATTACGTTGTACCGAAGCAAGTCTAATGGGTCAGCACACAAAGTCTTAAATTTGTTTTAGTAAGGAAAAACGAAGGACTATAAAATCACTCCATCTTTTAACTTTTTCAAGTTCCAATTGATCTTTGTTGAAAGTTTTAATTAGATTTTATATTTCGGGGACTAAGTATCTTTAGACTAAACATTTTTCATAATTATTTTTTACACTGCCAATTGTAAAATACTCTTAGAACACAGTTACATAATATTGTTTATCTCGAAAAAAATGTTTACGAATTCCAACAAATTACAATTTAGCGTCTTTGTATTCAATATAATCCATTTTGAGTGTGATATACAACTAATTAATTTTAACAAAAGAATTATAATAAATAAAACAAAAATATAATTTTCCTTACTTTCAATAAAAATATCTTTTTTCAACTCTGAAAGCAGAACTATTTTGATCGAAAGCAGAACTTCTAACCTTCATTGGATGCTAAACTCCTTGGTTTAGATTATTCTATTTAAAAGGGGACTCTGTGTATTAAGATTTAGCAGTAAACTTAGAATTGGAAAAACGACTAGAATCCGATACTATGCTAACTCTAGTTGATTCTTGACCTATCGAATTACACTTAATAGGAGTTAATTCAAGGGAATTCTTACTTTGTTTACATTTCAACATTTTTATGACCCAATCCGAATTCAACACTTGCTATATATTAATTCGCCTTTAATGAGCTAACATTTATTGAAACAACTATAAACACTCTTTAGAGACTTTCTCATTGAATTTAATCGATTGCTTATTGCATATTTTTTCATTCAACTCTTCCTTCTATTTGGCTCTAAATAATAATTCACCTTGTAACATATACTATAAAGTATAAATGATTTGACATTACATATAACAGTATCCCCAAAGCCCAAATGTCAACGCCTTTATCATGTTTTTCCTTTTTGATTACTTCTGGAGGCATATATTCAGTAGTACCACAAGAACACGGTTTGGCTTTGCCACCATTTGGCAAGAAGATTGACCAATTGAAATCGCAAACTTTTACATTGCTATTTTACAATAAAATATTATCAGCTTTTATGTCTCTATGAACTATATCTTTTTCATGCAAATACAAGATAGCTTGGGCTATTTAATAAAAATAATGGAAGGCCTCTTCTTCAGTAAATTTTTATTTTTTTTTAATCAATTCCTCTAAGGTTCCTTATCCACAATACTCTAACACTATATATATATTTTCTCTGTCTTCAAAATGCTCGATATATTCCACAATATTTTTATGTTTACATCCTTATAAATAATTTAATTCATTTAATATGTGCTAAGTCGCAAAAATTTGTTTCATATAGCTTTTCGAAATCTATATATGTTAAATAATTACTATTTTCATTGCGAATTTCTTCTTGTTAACAGAATCCAATACTAATTTAACCTTCCCATAAGTTCCACTTCCTAACTCAATCTAAAGAACTTCGTATTTATCTTTTAGTAATTTCTTTTGAGGAGCAATTGTTGAAGGTTAAGGAGGCAAGGGATAAAACTGATATTAATGCATTCTCAAAGAAAAATAAATATATATAAATATTAATTAGATGTCTTAGCTCCCAAAACCTTGTTAACTAATCCTCCTAATATGTCTAAACTTTATTTAAAGAAGAGATTTTACTTAAACGATATTTTTTAAAAAACACTTGATTTAAATCAATAAGTTCTGTTTCAAAACTTAAAGGTAATTTATAAAATGCTAATTTTAAGTAGTATTAATAAATTTAATTTATGAAAATAATTATCAAAACCTTAAGTGGGTAAACTTTTGAACTTGAAGTACAGCCAACAGATTCAGTAACTCTGATTTTCAAATTAGGTTCTAAATATCAAAGAAAAAATTGAAAAGGTTAAATTATTCGAAATCGCATAATAAAAACTTTTAAGAAAAGGAACTCTTTTAGTTGATGATTAAACTGTTGGAGATTTGGGAATTTAAGAGAAAGACTTTCTTGTTGTAATGGTCAACGTGAAAGTAATTCATTCTATTTTATTGAGTAGAAAGGTCCTCCTCAACAATAACCTGTTTAATAATAGGTTCAATAGCCCCCTTAACAACCACAACAGGTTTAACCTTAGCAACCTATTGAAGTGCCAAAACCACTAAATAACCCAACTTCTACTAATATGGTTATTGGTTCAGAGTATGATTAAGCCATCCAAAATTTGATTTAAATGGGATTTGCTAAATCTGAATGTGAAGCAGCTATGAAGGCTGCATTTAATAATCAGAATAGAGCTATTGAATACTTATTAAATGTAATGAAATAATTTGCGATAAAAGGGTATACCTGTAGTTGATCAACCTCCTCCGCAGCCAGCTTTGAATACCAATTAGGTAGACTAAAATACATTGCAATTGTTGAGAGAATAATTTATGTAAAATCCATAAGCAGTTCTTGAGTCACTACAATAATTGTAATAAACAAACCCATAATTATATTAAGTAAAAAATAATTATATTTGAATTAGTAAATATAATAAAATCCTGAAACTTTAATCTAGTTGCTGATGGGAGCTGGTTAGGGTGAAGGAGATGAGATCGAAACAGAAATTACATAAGAAGAAGAATAACAACTCAATTAATTGATGATGATGGGGTTCTCAAAGGAAGATGCATAAGAAGGATTTTTGGCTTGTGATAAAAATGTAGAGACAGCAGCTTCCTATTTATTTGAAAAACAAGCAAGAGGGGATTTGTTAAGTAAAAATTAAATACATTTGAGGCCAACACTATGAAAGAGAGGAGAATAATCCTGAAAACTATAATGATGAAGGATATGAAGGTGAGGAAGATGATCAAGATGATGATGATTAATATTATTGAATTTATATGTATATATTTTTAATTTGACTCACATATTTCTTTTTAAGAATCTTTAATATGTAATTATCTAAGATTCAGAAATTTCCATATAATCGTTTACTCTTGGCTAATGGTTGATTAGAAATAAAGAAAAACTAAAACGTCAAATCTCATATAAAATAGTTAAAAATTTTATTCTAATTATTATATTACTATACATATTAAATGATTGTCATTTCAAAATGATGTCGACATTATCATGGGCACCCTTCAAAAGCATTTGACCTTAAAAATCAAGCACATTCTATTTTTTGGCTGCTCTCAATGTACCAACGAGTGCCATAGAATATTGATATAGAATACTTCATAATATTGCTAAGTTTTTTCGTCATTGAATAGCACTCCAAATTTAACAACATATTTTCCTTCTGCATTCTTTGTACCTAAACGTTGAATATCTTTCTTTAACTCTTCTATTTCCTCTTAAATTTTCTCTTACATAAATTAATTATTTAATAATATCACTCATTTAATAACATTTGGATAAAGGAGCATAATCATATATAAGTTTAAGGATGTATATATAAAATTAGCAAATATAATTCTCAACTAGATGATTTGCTTATTAATGTTGGAGTATAGATCTTCCAATAGAATGTAATCGCCAAAAGAGCTCCAATCCATGGTCCCATAACAAACATTAATAAGTTAATCATCTGACTCCATCTACCATAATAAATACCGTAAAACAATTGCAGTCTATGTTTATTCAAAAATTTACCCAAATGCAGCTGCAGGATTAAATAAACTATTGCCCATGGTGGCAGTATACCTATAATGTAGTTATCAAATTCTTACTATCTTGCTACAAAATATATTATACTAATGAAAGCTGTTGATTGTATTTAAGTTGTGGTAATTTTAGTGTTTTCTGCTGTTTAAATTTATACGAATGTAAAGAATATAACCGAGCCTGCAATTTCTGACATTAATGTTCCAAAGACTTAGTGAGTAGGCAGTCTAGAATTGATAATATTAAATACGATTCATAATAAGGCAAATGATTACTGTTTGCGAATAAAGGCATAAATAACATTCCTGCAACCAGACTTGCTAGAATTTGAGATCCAATATAATATATAGTCTTTTTTTTAGTGATAGCTCCATCTATGAATCCAACTAATGTGCAAATCGGATTGAAGTATCCTCCACTTAGACGACCAAACAATGTTAGACTAATGAAATAGACAAGAGATAATCCAAAATTATTTCTACATAAATTTTGCTATCATATTTACTCAGCAGCTAAAGCTCCATAAATTACCAACAAAGTGCCGACTGTCTCGAAGACTACTATGTTAGAGATTTAGGCCGCTTCTTTTTCCTTTGAATCCTCTGGATTGGCTTAGAATTGATTTACTGTAGGTTCCATATTATTTCAATATAATTAATTCAATATAATCAATTTAATTTATTTCTAGTTAGATTTTGCATCATTTATTTTTACGACTAAGACATCATCCCTTTTGTTAACTATGATATTAATTGCTTATTATATGTGCATAATATACTTATTATTCTTAATTTACTCTTTTATTTTCAATACATTCAGCTAACATCACTTTGATGCATCTCCATATTTATTTAAGATTAGGCAGTTGATCTGCTGTGAAATAATCAGGAGGGGAGCAAGAAACTACTAAATCTTATAAACACGAAATAAATTTATTTTGCTCCTTTAGTTTCTATTTCTGTTCGTTTATTTTGATTAAGCAAAGTGAATGCAACTTTGGTTCAAATATGTTTTCCTTATTTATCAATCCAATCTCATTAAACACTTATGACACAAATGTTTATAATCTTTGGATATTTGCAAAATTGCCAACCATCTTTTCGAGCATTTCAACTTAGTGTTGCAGCTTTTATATTTATTCTTCCTATTTCTTGATCAATTCATTTTAATCATTATTCAGAGACACTTCATGCACTGAAGAGTAATTCATGTTCTGAAATTGCAGCATATCTATATCTTCTGATTTGGAACTCTTGTGTTGTCGAAATGGTTGGAGACGTGGAGATTATAATGTTTTAAAAGAGTCATAATTATCGTATGTTTTACATCTCATTTTGAATTATTGAATTTAAAACTATTTGTTATTATTATTATTATTTTAACAATTAAATCATCATAAAGAATATAATATATTAGTACCATTCACTCTATCTGATCTGATTGATCTATTCTTCAAATCTAAGTTTGCATCCGCATCTCTATTAATTAATTATTTTTTAAGTTATAATGCCACGGCTAATTGTTAAGAAGAATATCCTAAATTTAATTACTGAAGCTCAATTAAAGATAGTATTCGAATAAAAGGTAAATTGTTGATGTTAAAGTTAGTTTCAAAGGCAATAAGAATAGAAGGTTGTGTTTTATTGGCTATAAGCATCAATCAGATTCAATCAATGCAAAAGAACATTTTGATAAAACATTTGTAATGATGTATAAAAACTTAGTTGAATTTCGTTAAAACTGTTGATGACCCTGTTTTACCGAGAGCTTGGTAAAGACACTCCTGGAACATCGTCATACTAAAAAAATTCACAATATCTCAGAACCAATAGTCTTAAAATGGTGAAAAAGAATAAAGAATAAGAAGTAGAGGTAGAAGTGGAATAAGACAGACAACACAAGAACCCCCATAAAATGAAGAAATTTTTAGAGTTCTTATATTTAATGTAGACTAATAAAAACCAATTAGAGATATCTTGGTAAGATAATTAAGTAGATGAGGTAATTGAAAAGAAAAAAATAGACATAATAAATGTAAATGAAAGATTTCATAAAATACCTTTTACAAGAACGGAGTAGGAATTGAGAAACTGTATTTGAAAAATATTGAACAGTTCTAGCTTAATGATACCAAAATATGAGGAGGGGCGATCCTAGATTTTTGTTATGTTAATATCAATTACCTGAGGAAGCTGCGAGAGCATTTACAGAATTGGATAACAAGATTGTGTTGGGGAGAATCTTTCTTTTTATACCTGCGTTTAAAGAGGATAAGGAAGAATAATTTAAAATAGGAATAATAATTAAACAAAGAGAAAATCATTTCCCAAGAAAAAAATCTTCATACAAAAAGTTTAAGAAATAATAAATGCTTGAGACTTACTTAATGATACTACATCATAGATTACTTTTTCTTAATCCTATTACGATTATTGAAGGAATTTGTAAAATATACTCTTTTTGGTTAAAAAAGAATCTTATCTGAAGAAAACAATGATGTGGCTGTTAAGTTGGCCTAAATGGAAACCTAAGTTATATAAGAAACTAAAGTGTGGCTTAAGAGTATTAGTTTGAATATAGATTTTCTTAAAGTTGAAAAGAATTAATGTGAAAGTTCAAATGCTACCATTTTTGTAAAGAAGATTTAATTTTAGAGTCAATGAAATAGATTTAAATCAACTTTTTTCAAGATTTGGTTTTCCTAACTCTAAAGTAGTATGCAAGACGATAAACAGGCTACTAATCGTTTATAGTTCCATTCTATTTTTAGAATGGGCTCCAATAACTTTAATGGGGGAAATGACAAAAAACAATGAAATAAATCAATAAATTGAGGAATAAGAATATGAACTAAATCTAATTCTTATTGTCAAGAATCTTAATTTTAGTATAACTGAAAAAATTTCCTAAACTTTATGTCCTCCAAAAGTAAATGATTTAAAAGCCACTCTCATTCATAAAGAAGAGTGCAAAACAGCCATACGATTAAAATAATATGATTTTCAATGATCATTTATTGTAACTAAGTTAAATTAACAAAAGCTAAAGCAACTTATGAATTCATTATATTTTAATTGGTTGGAAATAGAGCCTACAAAAAACTTTTAATCAAAAATTTACACTTTGATGCATATGCCTAAGAATTGAGAAGGTTGGTCAAATAATACTGTGAACTTAAAAAATTAAGCCTTCCTAAAAACTTGAGAGTAGCATAAGAGAAATTTTGAATTTGCTGGATTTCTCCTGGGTCTCTACAAAATACACACTTTTACATTAAAAGATTAGTTATTGAATATTCAAAAAGAATGATGTTATTTTCTTGTATATTGTTTTATTTTTATTTGTCATAATAAATGTAAAAGCCATCGTAAAAGCAATTACTTTCATAACATTCAAAACTAAGAGTAAAAAGTAGCTCCAGATACCCAATTGTGTTGAATAATTTTTCTTTCCAAAATCAAATAGCTTATTATTGAATAGGTACTCAATATTTATTTCAAATACTTGACTGTATAATTTTCTCTATAGAATCATTAATTAAAAAAAATGAAAATATAGAGATCTGAAGACGATCTATCCTCTAAATTACAAGAAGATGGAGTTAACTAATCAGCAGATAATTTGAGTGATGAAGGAGAATTAGAGAAGAGCACATTGCATTATACTTGGTTTGTAAGGACATTTGGACCAATGAAAAAAGGATCTCTTCGATAGTCGGTTATTGCGCTTATGTGTGCCGCAATGGGTTCGGGTATGCTATCCTTTCCGTGTAAAATATATTTTCCTAAAATTCATAGCAAATCCTGTTTAATCTGGATTAATAAATTGTATTATACTTATGATTATCTGTGCATTATTATCCAGATTCTCTATGTAGATATTAATGAAATGTGCATTCAAGTATGATTAGCGCTCATATGCAGAATTAGTCAAATTTGCTTTAGGGCCAAGTATGTAAAAATTTTATTCTGTGGATGTTATTTGTTATACTTTCGGAGCAATTGTTTGTTATTAAATTTTGTTCGTATAACTGGTTTGGTAGGTTTTGTTAAAGTTTAACTTTGATGAATCATATAAGGATCAAGTCAGATATATTGGTGGATCAATATTTATGATTATAAACTTCCCAATCAGTATGATGAAAGACTTATATTCCTTAAGATATTTCACTCATTTATAAATCTTAATTATAGCATATATTCTTGTGACAATTGTAATTTATTTCTTTATTAATGTTTCAAATACTTTTGATTCAGATAAGATAGTATATTTTGATTTTAACATTTAATTAACTAGTACATTTGCAGCAACTTTTTTTGGTTATATTTGCCACTAGTTAATATTTCCAATAAGATCTGAATTAAAAAGATCAACATTGAAGAGAATGTCCAAAATATTTAATAGAGCCATCGCTTCAGAAGCTATAATTTATTTAACTTTAATGATTTTTGGATACTTAAGCTTTTTTGATAAGACAGAAAAAATTATTATAGATAATTATGACGATATCCCATTTACATTGGCCAAAGCCTTATTTGCTTTTATTATGTTTTTCGCAGTTCCAATCAACTTAAACCCTTCTAGGTTGACAGTTTTACAATTGATTGATAAGGAAAAAAGTTGGAAGGCTTATGTTATTTGTACAGTAGTTTTATAATATACAACAGGAGTTATTGCAATGATATATCCAAATGTAAAGTAATTTATTTTTTTTAATTAGGGCAATTTTTGGTTTGCTAGGAGGGATTTTTGGTATGATTATGGTTATAGTCCTACCCTGTGCATTGTATATTACTTTAGAATTAAAGGAAGGAAAAAAGTGGTCAGATTCCAATATAATAGTTACATTATTGATAGGGATTGTTGCAGGAATTTCTGGTTTCACAGGAGCAATAGTCAGCTAGATTTATTCATGATGAGATAGAATAATATAAAAATATTCAAGTAAATGATTCCTAGAATCTAATTCTTCTTCAAGAACATAATTTTTTTAATTATGAATTAATTTCGTATAAGTTCATGTTGTTATGAAGAGAAAAAAAACTAAGTTTTGTAATATCACTTCAGTGATTAATATTAATGTGGTTAATAACAAATTTTCTAAAGAAATAATTCTTGAAATTCATAAAATAAAGTGTGTTTCAACTCATTAAAAGATTCTGAAATACAATCTCATTAATTGTCAATCAATTTGGAAAATCAAATAGAAGAAAATCAATGAGTAACAAATTATTAACAAAATTTTCATCACTGGTTTTGCCTAAGAATCCATGAAATTTAATCTCAAGTAATTAAATGCTGAATTTATGATTTCGGATTAAGATCAAAATGAATAATAGAAATTTTGCTTGTGTAATTATTCCAACTAAATCCAAGTATAGACTTTGCTTATACTACCACTCCTTTATTTTTTTAGGGTATTTTATAACTTTACCAAATAATTAAATTATCTATTAAGCAAAATTAATACTTGCTCAAATTTAAAAATTTATATAGTCAAGAATAGCTCAATCATTTATAATGTTAATCATGTATCAGGTTTAAGAAAATTAACAAGCAATAATTCTCATTGAATTAATAAAGGCTATTTAAAGGAAATTTATGACAAGTGTGAATTTGAATAGCACTACTGTTGTTGATTCAGTACTTTAGAGAAATGGCTATTTATTTTGATTTTATATTGTAGGAAATTTTTCATTCTGGCTGAGATTTAATTTCTTGTTTTTCCCCTCTCAAAATAATTGTGATTCAAGTCTAAACCAAACAAATGTTCTTCATCCCTTATTGTATTTTATAGCTGCCTAATTTACCTATAATAATAAACTGTTGAACTAGATTAGGTATTTTTAACTCAGTTTTTTTGTTAAAATGATATTTTGCAATATTTAATATGGATATTTACAATTCATTATTCTGTTAAAGATTAGATTCTACTTTCTATTGTTGGGATTATGTGAAAATATCAAATAAGTATTTAATGACTTCAATAAGCAAAAGTGAACAAAAATGAATATTCGATTAATTTAAATGTTTGGATCAACAAAATAGCATATTTTAATATCAATAGTAGTATTTTAAAAATAAATTTAATAATTATAATAATACAACATAATTATAAAATGTATCCAAAAAATGATAAAAAATTAATATCTTTAATTTCATTAACTCAAAGCCATAAGAAGAAAGGTATTTAATTCATTAATTAAAATATCATATATTAATGGCAGAATACGTCACGAGAATTCCTCCAAACTAATTCATTCATGTTTTGGATTAAAATACAAACACAGCAAGGTAATGATATTCCAAGAAAAATTTTAGGCTTGAAGTTGGCCCACATACTTTCATTCGAAAGGAGCATGAAAGTATTATAGAAGGTCCAAGCAAAATGATTAGTTTACCACCTAAGACTTATTGCAAGATTTAGAATCCAATCCTAAGAGATAATAAAAATTCGCCAGTCAAGAATGCTTATGGAGAAGTTGAAATTTAAAGGGGGGAAATAGAGTTCAGAACAGCTGATGATTATCCAGACCCTTTTCCTTTGTTCCCTGGTAATGTTTAAACATAACAACAATTTAGGGGAAAAATTGGAAGGCAAAGTAGAAACATTACTTATTGTCTAACAGAATACAGCATTGAGGTTAGTTGCCATCAGGGATTTCGTTGCAGATGGAAAATAGAAATAGGCTGGAGAAGAATGGTATTTTTTTCATTTAAACATAATTTAGGCAACGCAACGGACCATTTACTTACTATCCAAGAGCAGAAGAGTAGATAGTCGAAATTGTAAAGGCAGAGGTCATTAAGCCAAATTAGGCTTTAAAACTAAAGGCAACATAAACATTTATTGATAAAAATGGCAAGGAAAGAAGAGCAGGGTAATTAGAGATTTTATCTTTATATTAGATAAGAATGGCTCATCAGAACGACAGGTTCTTATTTGCCAGACACATTCGAAAGAGTATCTGAAGTAGTAAGAGGAGTAGTACTTACAGACAAAGTGTGCGTTCATCTAAGAGCACTTAATGAGTTCACTGATGTTTATGGTATATAGAGAAAACCTGGAAATGAGTGGATTGTCACTAATAAGTAAGCATAAGTTCATATCACGGATGTCTATGAATAACTAGTTGCTGTTGAATAAGCTATTACTCTTGGATCAAGAAATTATTGTATTATTCTTAATCCTTATAATCCAAAACTCTAATAAAATGATTGGGGAATTCAAGTGTTGATCAAAGGAGAGACAACTTTCTTTTTACAACCAGGAGAAGAATTATTAGGGGGCAAAATCGAGGATGTATGGAATTTTACTAAAATAAGATTGTTATATTAGGCGAAGAAGAAGCTCTTTTGGTTTAGGCCATTTACGACCATTCCGAAGATGACGGACAATTCAGAAAAGCTGGTTAGAGATGGATCATTAGAGGCCCTAGAGAATACATTCCAGGAGTTAAAATCAAGGTGATAGAAAAGAGAAGAGCCATTCCTTTGGATGCAAACGAAGGTATCTATGTCAGAGACAATCGTACTGGAGAAGTCAAAGAGTAATATTCTTCATTTCATTTCTAGAATCAAAGGAAAAACCTATCTTTTGGAAGCACATGAATCCTTATGGGAGAAGCACTTACCTGAAAATGTTGAAATTCTCGTTTAAAGAGCTTCAACTGGATAACCATACGTTCCTCCGTCAGTGTAAGCATCTGGAAAAATCGCTTATAATTTTGAATCAGAATAACTCAAGCCAAGGGACAAAACCAAAATCATTTCATTCAAAGCACCCCACAATTCTGCCATCCAATTATATGACTACAAACTCAAGAAGTCAAGAGTAGTTTTTGGACCAGATCTTGTGATGCTTGGACCTGATGAATAATTTACAGTCATTAAATTATCAGGTGGAAAGCCTAAGGCTGAAAACCTCATCCAAACCTTAACTTTAAGTTTAGGCCCCGATTTTATGACTGATTAATTGATTGTAGAGACAAGCGACCATGCAAAATTAAAACTAACTCTCAGTTATAATTGGCATTTTAAAGTAAATAAGGATGATCCTAATGATGCTTAAAAATTATTTGGAGTTAAAGATTTTGTTGGCGATGCTTGTAAATCAATTGCTTCTAGAGTAAGAGGAGCAGTTTCTTCTATTACATTTGAGGATTTTCATAACAACTCTAGCGTCAAAATTAGGGAAGCTGTTTTTGGAAAGGAAGGAAATGAAATTAGAACATCATACACCTTTGAAGCCAACAATTTAGTCATTACATCTGTGGATATTTAAGGCTAAGAGATCACAGATGAAGCAACTAGAAGGTAATTGAGTCAGAGTATCAATTTGGCAATAGAAATCAGTTCAAAGAGTTAAGAAATGCAATCTAGACATTAAGCTTCAAAGTTAGAATAAGAAGCTAAAGGGCAATTAGGGAGATAAAAACTCCTTGATTAAGCTAAGGCAGAAGAAACAAAAATCGAGTTATTAAAACAATAAGCATAGAGTGCCAAAGTTAGAGCAGAAGGAGAGGCTGTAGCTAGAGCAATAGCTGAAACTATGGAAAAGAAGATCAAAGCCGAAGCAGAAGTCAACTAAGCTGAGCTAAGATCTAAAGCTTTGTAAATTGAATAAGAAGCTTTGTTAGAACAACAAAGATAAGAATAAGAGGCAGAGTTAAATTATCAGAGAGTAATAATATTAAATGTTATGTTTAGTAACTTATTGAATTGGAAATCAAAAAAGCAAAAGAATTATCCGATATTGAGATAAAGAAATTCAAGCAATAAATCTAAGCTATTGGAAAAGAAACTATAATAGCTATGGCTAAAGCTGGACCAGAAACTAAAGCTAAATTATTAGGAGGGTTAGGACTTAAAGGATTCTTGGTTACAGATGGCAAAAATCCTATTAACCTATTTAATACAGCCAACGGATTTATTGGGGAAAATCTAAAATGATTTATCATTAAAGATCATAAATATCATAATTTGCTATTCTGCTTAATCTAGTTTCAGTATTATTTATTAAATAATGAAATAAAGCAAGTCGAAAATATAGCGATAAAAAGACAAATTTTTTCAAATTCAAGTAATTGAGCAATCAAACCATACTTTTCTAATGATTTGCCATCAAGATATTAAAACCTAAACTATATCTAGATACTAAAATATAGCGGAGATACTTTACATTCACTGAAGGGTACTTCAATAGTTCCTAGAATTTAATTTTAAAACTTATGTGTTATTTTTCTTTTTAAAAACCCGAATTCAATTTAGTTGATCCATCTAAATAATTTAATTCTTGATTTATTTCTTCAAAATTACACAAACAGAATATTTTACCATTCACTATCTAATTAGCTTTGTGATAATAAGCTGATAAACCAGATAAGTGATCATTTTCCATCATAATCTTAAATGATGCAATCTAAAATATTTTGGAGTATCAATATAAAAATCAGATTAATTTCGCTGCCCTATTTATAATCTTAATTGTTTTAGTTCTTTATTTATAATTTTTCCCTTCTAAGAGTTTCAGAAGAGTAAGATTATAAACTTTTTGGTACATGTTGATGGTTGAATTAAAGATAGTTTTAGATTAATTAGATGAACAGTTATCAACACTAAATTATTGTTTTATAACTGATACCTCTAATCAGAAACTTAAATTTGGAAGTAAATGATTTTTTCCGTTCAATTAATAATTCTAGGAAATACGAATTATGAATAATGTTTAAAGTTACTAACATTAGTTCTTAATATTTTTAGGTTAATTAAATAGTTTTAAAAATACGTTCAATTTTAGCAATCTACAGATTAGGACCTTTCTTATTACAAATATTTTAAAATTGTATTTTCTTATTCCAAATTATTTTTGTTAAAAATCATCTTGAATAGTTCAACTAATTTTTCTCCTATTTTCCATTAATGCTAATGAATTTTTTTTTTATTCAAGTTCTTTTATTTTATATATTAATTTCTTATCTTGAGTTGCAATTAAACAATACTAGTGAGTTAGATTTTTCCATACTTATTCAAGAATTTCCTATCTATTTTAGAAATTTATATTTATTTCAACTGAATGTCTATTTAAAACAAATAAATCACCTTTTCTTAATTTTATATTAATGTTATATTATTGTCTATTTTTATTGTATTGATTTTATTTTTCTCGAATGATTTAGGTAAAAAATCATTGATTTGCTATAATTCATTTCTTAACTCAATATTCGATTATCTTAGTTTGGTGTAGTCTTTTTGGAATCTCTGCCTCATTAGGTTTTAGTGACATCAAATTTTAATGAAAAGATAATTTATTGAAAAAGATATCATTAACTAACTAATTATATTAAATCGCAACATATGCAAATTATGAAAAAAAGTAGAATAAGTTGACTGGATTTAAAAAACACAATAGTTCTGGCAGTATCATATACACAACCAATAACAATAAAATTTACAATAGCTAATTTTTTAGAATTTATTAAGATGTAAGAATCTAGTAGATGTTCAGAGAGCCATTAAGGGATATTGGGATATTGTATAATATTATGTATCATTAATCTCAGATAATTTCTTATTAATAGATTCTAAATTAGGATATAAACTTATATTTCTTGCAAGACTTAAAAATTGTTTATGTTTAGATTAAATTTTAATCTATAAAGGGAAATTACAAAATATTTTAAATATACATAACCATTAATTTTTTTATAATTTTAAATAACATTATTTATCAGATAAATCTTGTATCACATTTGATTTCTTCGCTTTCAAGTATCATATTGCTTAATTTACTACAATACTAAAATATCACACTTTTTTAGAAAATAATGGCGCTCATTAATTAAACCAAGTAATATCAGTGGTATAAGAATAATTTACAAAATAAACGTTTTGAAAATTATTAGCCAAGTATTAGAAAATATTTATTTAATATTTTACATTAGGAAGATTGAGTATCATTTAAATACTGTATTGAGATAAACTTAATCGCGAGTTAGAGTAAAAATTGAATAGAAAAGGAATAATGTTTACAACAAACTTCAAATTACTTACAACGAGAATCGATAATTGCAGAAAAAGAAGATGTAGGAAATGGTGGACACTAAAATCCTAAGATTGATTCATCCAAAGTTTTTCAAGCATTTGGAGTTAACAATTACAAACACTTTCTCACTAATATTCAAATTATCTGAAATCCTTAGACTGAATTGTTCAAATACTGTGTGATGATATCGAAGAGAAAATATTGTTTTTTTGTGAGTATAAATAGAAAATATATTAAACTAAATGATAAATGTTCAAGCATAAAGTTGTAAAATCTACTTTCTCTTATTTATTTGTATATGCGAAAACTCAAAGGGGGGAGAGGTAAAAAGAGATTTAATTTTTATTTACAGTGTAAAAAGTTATATCAATAATAGAGATTCAATATTAAAAAAATTAATGAATTAGAAAGGCACCGCTAAGGTTGTGTTCATTTCGGGTAAGATAATGATATTGGACATAAAGACAACAATCTTAAAGTTGAATATTTTAATGCAGAATTATCAAATGAACTTCATTCTAATATAGTGCTTTTGGGAACTTACCTTATATATATACACATTAAAGATCTTTTGTGATGGAAGGTTTCGCTATTGTAGAAAAAACTTAGAAATTTTAAGATTTTCATTATGAATTAGATATATAATTTATATTTTAAGAGGGAGCAGATTGCATGTATAGTGAAACATTCTTTTCAAATTAGATATTTTTAAAAGATTTGACTTAATCAAGAAAAAAAGATGGTCTTTAGACGATTCTCATGTGAAAATATCTCTTTCTCAGTTGAAGAATTCTGCAATCAAGCATTATAGATATTCCTTTTACATATAACAAAATTATTATTATAATTTTTAATACAACAATAAACTTGAATGAAATTATATATATAAATGGATTTTCATAATTATCAACTTAGACATACATAATGATAGCAAATCCTCCATTTATAATCCACAATTTCTCCCACGGAGGTAATAAGGGAGAATAGAAGTAGAGGAGAAAAGGTAGGAAGTGGAGGAGCAATTATTGGAGGAGGACAAATGTTTACTAGAAAATTGTCAATTTGATTTTAAATTCACTAGTATATGAGGGTGTAACTTACATTTACGTAATAATAAATTTAATTAATTCTATAAATTTATTGTCTACACAGTTTGTTATTTTTTTAACATTATCCATTATGTCTATGAATATCCAATCTTGAGTAATTTTTTAATTTCATAATGAATTAATAAAATTGTACTAGTTGATTGATTATCGTAGTGTAGATAATAATTAATTTCTAAAAAAAACAGCTTGAGGGAAAATAACATAGTTCTTATCTTAATGATTAATAACTGTTTCTTATATGCAAAATTATTATTGAAAGTAGCTCCTTTAGATGTTATTCATATAGAGCTGATTTAAGATTATTGTTAGGGATGGAGATGATCTCTAAATCTTATTAGGGTTTAGAATACTTATTGAGTAATTTTAATGTAATAGTTTAAATTATTTATTGGATTAAGTTTATTCTTTTTTGAAATGTTATCTTTGTTATAAATCTATAATTATCATTTTAAGACACAACCTGTTTNGAAAATATTGTTTTTTTGTGAGTATAAATAGAAAATATATTAAACTAAATGATAAATGTTCAAGCATAAAGTTGTAAAATCTACTTTCTCTTATTTATTTGTATATGCGAAAACTCAAAGGGGGGAGAGGTAAAAAGAGATTTAATTTTTATTTACAGTGTAAAAAGTTATATCAATAATAGAGATTCAATATTAAAAAAATTAATGAATTAGAAAGGCACCGCTAAGGTTGTGTTCATTTCGGGTAAGATAATGATATTGGACATAAAGACAACAATCTTAAAGTTGAATATTTTAATGCAGAATTATCAAATGAACTTCATTCTAATATAGTGCTTTTGGGAACTTACCTTATATATATACACATTAAAGATCTTTTGTGATGGAAGGTTTCGCTATTGTAGAAAAAACTTAGAAATTTTAAGATTTTCATTATGAATTAGATATATAATTTATATTTTAAGAGGGAGCAGATTGCATGTATAGTGAAACATTCTTTTCAAATTAGATATTTTTAAAAGATTTGACTTAATCAAGAAAAAAAGATGGTCTTTAGACGATTCTCATGTGAAAATATCTCTTTCTCAGTTGAAGAATTCTGCAATCAAGCATTATAGATATTCCTTTTACATATAACAAAATTATTATTATAATTTTTAATACAACAATAAACTTGAATGAAATTATATATATAAATGGATTTTCATAATTATCAACTTAGACATACATAATGATAGCAAATCCTCCATTTATAATCCACAATTTCTCCCACGGAGGTAATAAGGGAGAATAGAAGTAGAGGAGAAAAGGTAGGAAGTGGAGGAGCAATTATTGGAGGAGGACAAATGTTTACTAGAAAATTGTCAATTTGATTTTAAATTCACTAGTATATGAGGGTGTAACTTACATTTACGTAATAATAAATTTAATTAATTCTATAAATTTATTGTCTACACAGTTTGTTATTTTTTTAACATTATCCATTATGTCTATGAATATCCAATCTTGAGTAATTTTTTAATTTCATAATGAATTAATAAAATTGTACTAGTTGATTGATTATCGTAGTGTAGATAATAATTAATTTCTAAAAAAAACAGCTTGAGGGAAAATAACATAGTTCTTATCTTAATGATTAATAACTGTTTCTTATATGCAAAATTATTATTGAAAGTAGCTCCTTTAGATGTTATTCATATAGAGCTGATTTAAGATTATTGTTAGGGATGGAGATGATCTCTAAATCTTATTAGGGTTTAGAATACTTATTGAGTAATTTTAATGTAATAGTTTAAATTATTTATTGGATTAAGTTTATTCTTTTTTGAAATG